CTGGCCTATAGTTGGGCAGCTAGAACTAAAGATACTCTTTACGGTGTTGGTTGAATATGGGGATCTGGCCCCTTTTCCTCGCGTTCAAGACCCTCACTCGAGCCGAGGAATTAATTCCTTGGTGGTGTGAAAAAGGTTCCCCACCTTCAACGACGGATTTGATACGCAACACTAGCTCGCATACGGTATATTTTCCTGAATAGCTTCCCGCAGATGACTCAACCTTACGAAAGAAAGGTGACAACAATACCTCTAAAGCAGTTTCAAGAACCTAGGGATGGCTACGCGAATGGCTCTAACAACCAATTACATGACACCGCTCCGTCCGTATAGTAAGTTGTAAACTTGTCTTTTCGTACCATGGCGGATCATTACAGAATATTTCAGCCCTTGTAGTTGCATTTCCCAATCATCGGCTGGTACTGTACAATGTACGTTGTCCCTATAACAATATTTGCCTATAGAATGATTTTTCCCACCCCGTTCCGTCATGGTCGGCCCGTCTGGAAGAGCTTCCGGCGGGATATATATAGGATAGTAGCAGGTGAAACCCCCATGTCTAGTCCACCGGTTGTCGGAGAAAACAAGTCTATGATATTTATCCATTGACATGACTAGGGGGCAGTCCCAAATGGCTTCGAAGATTTTGCGATCAGATCCGAAGACGTCGCCCCAAAAAGACCCTGGCGGTCCTCTATGGTTCGACTCGCTCAATCCCGAAGCAAGTTTAGCAGAGGGTCCAAAGTACCAGACAAGTACCTGTCGTGATATAGCCTCGTTGCGATGTTGATGTTTTGTGTTTGTTCGCGATGTCGTTTTGATCATGGATCTTTGATGATGTTGGAATTCAGTGAATATGGTTCGTAGACGCGACAGCAACTGCCGCTTAGTAGCATGGGCCAACTACCGGAGTGGCTGTACGTACCAATCATTGAGTTATGAAATCTATTTAAAAGACAAAAGCTAATTATGTTATGCAAGGCATAATGATAATGAAGCTTCTTTTCTTGGTTATCAGCATGCTACCGTGAGATACGATGACCTTGGAAATTTTTGAAATGGAAGATTGGAGATTGCAGTGTGTGGAAAGACGGTGTATATAGTATATGGTATTTTTCATGATGTGAAGCATCCCTTGGTCTTTGTCCTGGTGGTCCTCTTTGACCGTACCAACCGCCCGACACACATACCCCTATTTCCTCTCAGAACATGTCTAGACAGCTGCCTGCTAGATTCTTAGCAGGAACTCCCAGTATCTCATATCATCGTATGTTATGCGCAGACTGGACCTGGGTACTGTCTCCAAGTGAGTAGACCGTGACCAAGGATATACAATCTCAGCCGGGGCGCCGGCGATCATGTTCTCTTGTCCGACAAGGCTGTTGGACCCCCGCCAAGGGTGCTGTGAGCAATCCCCAAAACAAGGACTCTATTCCACACATAAATCAGGTTTGCTGTGGGCGGTAGAGAAATGTAAATAGCATGCTTGTCTGGGATGAAGCCTCCGACTCTCTCTAGGGGAGAGTGGAAGCAGTCCTGGACTCCTGGAGTGGCATTCTCTGTCCCCGGCCAGCGCCATCTGCAACGGCACATCCAGCCACCAACTCCTGTCCACTGAATTTTGCCCTTTAAACTCCTGTTGCTTGGTTGCCATATGATTATGGAATCGCGGTCACTACTCATCTACCTGGTACGCGTTGCGCTCTCTATAGTGCATCTCTCGCATGCCTCGGGCGAGTCGCGACTAGGTCCTGAATCCTGCTACAGCGTCTGATTTAAGACCATTCATAATTGGAGAGTCCGAGCCCAGAGCTGGGAGCGCTAGATAAACGGATCCGTAGCCAAGATTCGTGTTTTCAGCCTCATGTGGATGGCGGCTCACGGTCCATGACTGCAACCGTCCGGAAGGCATTCGAAGGCAGACCTGCTCCAGGTCGGCCTCCAAACTGGCCGAAAGATTACGGGACGTCGCCGCTAGGGTATGGTGTTGTCCATCCCACCCCGCCCATACACCGCTCCGCTGCACCGCTGCTGTCAAGACTCAAGATACGCTGGAAGGCTGGTGCTTTGGTTGCCAAACAACTCCAGACGTCAACAACGCGACGATCCTGGCCTATCAAATGCCGCCTCACATCGTCCTGGGGGTAACCAATGCTTGTACCCCTTGTAATCGGGTCCCATCACGGTTAGCTTTTGTTTGCCCTCTTTAGGACTGAATTTCTTTTTTATTGGAGCCTTCAGAGTTGTAAATAGGACGTGTTCTCCCCAAGTCTTCCTCGAGTTTGTCTCGCGGACACCAGTCCTGGCTCACACACATCACTGACATCAGCAAACCAAAGGGTACGAGAGTCCAAAATCCCATCGATATCGCCTTCTGTGGGTCTTCTAGACAAAAAGTGTATCGCTGAAGATATTCCGGTTACCCAGCCCCTCTCAACTCGCGTAATATAGAGATTCTCGCCCGACGACACGGTAGACTCAGTGCTCGTCTTCACAGGTAAGACCCCGAAACCTCCACCCTTATTCTCTGCTGACCATAACGCACATAGCGAGGCCTCCAAATCCGCCAGTGACCAATCTATCTACGAGATATCCCTATTGTAGTTGAAGAGATGACGATGCCGTCCGCTCCGCCTGCAGAATCTCCTTCGAATTCCCCTCTACCTCCCAGCGTAGACGACAGCTCCATGGGTCAGATTTACAAATCCGAGGGGAAACAGCTTCAAATTCCAGTTTCTCATGGGTTCATCGACCCTCCATCGCGGCCCGTTGTGCCAGTATGTATCCACCTCCCTACTATCCGTTGAGCAATGCGCTAACGTAGCGACAAAAAGCGACCCCTGCCATCAAAGCCGTCGAAACTTGCTCAACGAACACAATAATTAGATTCAACTTTTAAATGGAGTTGAATCATCAAGTCCATCTTCTTACATCATTGAAGTTTTGGCCCCTGGTAGCTGACAACATTTCGGCGTTCGGCCCCGTGGCTACAATGTATGTCGTTTCCACCGCACTAATACTGCAAATGGTTCTCCTAAGGTGGTGGATTTTCTGGAAAAAGCTCGGTAGCATTATGGTATCACGGCTGCTACGACTCGTCTCATTTATCAATCTGGAGTAGGAACAAAAATTTAGATGATAGATACACTAGAATGATATAACTGATACATTTCGTGGCAATGAAAGTGGTTTCCGTTTTCAATTGGGATAGGTACTTAGAGATCAAGCAAAAAGCAAAAAGCAAAAAGTCTTCTCCTAGGTAATATTCGTACTTGCCAATTGGCCAAAAGTGAGATGATATATAAACAGTTCATCGTAGGGAAATACCTAGTGGATGGATGCACCGTGCTTCTCGTCTCTAATAATGTCAGCTATGTTGAAAGACGAGTCCCAATCACGCACCACAGTGGAATCTTATGTTAGATCAACCATGTCTCAGCTAGGGGGCATACAGACCTAGTATTCTCACGCATAGGGTTTGCTACTTGCCTAGATACGCAATATACTTACATGACAGATGCTCAAGTTGAAAACTTCTCCCAATCATATAATCCGTGCTGCTTTCTTGACGGAATTTCTCGATACCTATGGAGATGCAATTCATAGAACTTGTTTACATTCAATTTCTTTACGTGAAATTAGGTCTCGTTATTGGCGTCGCAGCAATACGGTAACACCTTTATATCTATTGTTAAAAGTTACCCCAGAGGAAGGTATACCGGGTTTTATGGAGGTTAATATTGCGACAACTAGAAGTCTTGTAGTGAGGAGATTGAAAGTAAAGTGAGAAAGGCTTAAAAAGTTAAGATGCATATGCATTGCCTAAAACAGACCATTAGACCTACATGGGAACGGCCTCGGTCGTAGTCATGGGAAAGCAAATATTGTTGTAACCTATAGTGACTGAGGACAGGAGTGATGGTGTATATTTCTAACTCTCGGTGAAGGCATCAATAGCACGAGCTAATGACAACATAGTCAAGGTAAAGAAACGATATATTTATAAAGTCAAAGGCTTAGGGTTAAATGTATTATTGTCTCATTAATTTTAAGAGTTCTGCCATTGGCTACATAATAGCCATCTAGTACTTAGGCCCGATTGATCCAAAATGGGATATCTTCAAGGGATCCCCAGCAATTTTATAATTTTAGCTTCTGGCGCTAACTTCGTACCTTAGACTGACTACTGTGGCCGATAAAATACCACTTATGCAGTTTATTTTTCTGAGAAGTGGTAGAATCTAGTCAGGTTATAATAAAGGTTATATAAATAGATGCTACTCGGCTTTCGCAAGGTTGGGTATGCCCAAAGAGATCCCAACTACCCCGCTTTCATCTACCAACCAATTTCCATATACAAAGTACTTACCTAGCGACTCGCGACCACCGTCGTTGAACATTCACAATTTTCACTGTCTAGTAAAATATCACTAAAACGTCAAAGAAAGATCAATTCTGTATTCCGTTCTAAGTTGCCCGCTAATTCTCGCCCTCGAGTCTCGCGGCTCTCGCCTAACCACACTTTCGACAAGACTCAGTTAAAATTACCCCTTACTGGGCGAGCAGAAACCGTTGCTATCTGAGTCTAGCAGGCAGGAACAGTACTGTCACCAACAACAGAGGTAAGACATCATTCATTCTCTAGGCATATGATTCGTGTGGTGAGAGCAGTGTGGCCCCATGGGGGTAGCCTGAAAGGGTGTGCGAGAAGATCTCGGGACTGGATCGAAGGATAAGCGCAAGTAACGCGCCAATACCTCATTGCCTCTCTGCCACGCTTGTGCAACCATTGTGAAAGGCAATCGAGTAGTTGACGCCTGAATACATCTAAGGCAGACTTGACAAGATATTACTTTCTGCCCAACAGGAGGAGGTGCTGGCCATGCAGTAAGCATGGCAACGGTAGATTTAGAGCTGGGTGAAAGGGGCTCTGCTGGTGCAAGTGCATCGCGATGCAGTAACTATCTTCAGCTACGTGTCTGTCCGCAGGACTAGATAGTATGGCAGTTCCAAGACCGTCAAGCGCCCCTATTCCCGAGCAGGTCAGCGCTCCCATTCTGAGAAGATATGCTTACACCCCCAGCCTCGATAGCGCGTACCGAAAAGAAACACCATTCGTAGTGGACATGGGAATAGAAGTCAGCGAAGATGGACCAAGACAGCGTCGCGGGGCAGCTGTTGAAGTGGAGTCAAGCTCTCAAGAGCCGAACCCCATATTGACTCCAAGCTCAAGCAATGGCGAAGGAGATGGAGACACGACTGGTAACACAAGAACGTATAGCATTAAGATGGCCGCTAACGCCTGTTAAAAGCTGACCTTGCAGCGAAATTGTCCAGTATTCAACAACTCCTTGCTAAGTTGCCATGGCCCCCCTTTTCGAACAGAGCCGACGGCACTCGGGATGCGTCTAGCAATGAAGAGTATTGTGCAAAGGTCAAATATGACAAACGTAAGTAATTCCTCACGACCCAACCGTTATGAAAATTAAACGAGGCTAACATATTGTTTGCTTGTATAGTTGAGGAGTATATGCTTGGTATACCTCGTCTCGCAGCGCTGCAAGACTCCAACGATAGCTTTTGCATGGCTCGCAGATTCGGGTATGCAGGGATGCGGGTAGTTCTACACAAGGCGATGGTGTTAGACCAGCTGCTAAAGAAATTACATCAACTCGATGTATCGGATAATGCAGATGATAGTCTAAGGTACAGATTGTCAAGTGGGGAATATTATGAGGGACGCCCGGGATGGGACGCAGCGCAAAACAAGTTGATGCAAGAAATAGAGACTAAGCTGACTGGGTACTGTGAGCAGAAGGAGCTGGTTCATATAAAGTCTATGACATACTAATAACAAGTAGGGGACTTCTGGCTTAAATATGTCGATGTTAGAGCACTCGCTCAGGTGCCAGAACATAACCATCGAAGCGTCCTAAATTGGCTGGAAACATATCAGCCTATTTACGAAGGTGAAGAGGACTTCTTGTTCGTAATAGACGACCTTGTCGCTGCAAAACGAGATGGTGGTGCTACTAAGCATACAAGTAAGATCGACGAGCTGATAGATGCAAACATGCACAAAATCCCGAGAGGTCTGCTCAACGTACGTTTCTATTCTGGGCCCCGAAGCCTTCCTGGTCAAAGCTTTTAGAAGCTGATATATGTTTTAGCTACTTTTCCGCGATAAGAATCAGGACAAAAAAAGCGAGGATGGTCAAATCCATCACCTAACATCGGCTCGGCTTGTGATCACCGGAAGATTCATCGTAGCCATCATCGCTGTCATCACCATGCTCATGCCCATATTGTTAATGTTCCTGCTCGACTTGCGCAAGGTTATCATGGCAAGCATAGTGGCTAGCTTTGTGGTCATCTTCATGACGTTGACGATCCTGGTGGTTGACGTGACGGCAGACAACTTGTTTCTCTGCATCGCCGGGTATGAGATCTTGAATCCAGCGAAGTATGGAGATAATGCTGACACTAAGGAATAGCTATTGTGCTATTCTTGTGGCAATATTAGGCAACACAATGGCTCAAGGGAATGGTAGTTGCAGCTGCAACGGGCCAAACTGAATCAGCAGACGTCCTTAGATGTGGTGCTAGAGTTAGATGGATAGCTCGTCATCGGTCGTAGATACTAGGACCAGTTAAAAGTGTTTACTTGTCGTCTAATATTCGAAAAGGTCGCAATTGAATATTTGATATCTCGGAGCTGACTCTTGACCGACATTTGGAGATTGTACTCCAGGTGAAGTGTTCGGCATAGGCACACGTGCAGCACAGCACGGGGACAGATACAGGATTAATGAGAGGTTAAAACAGAGCCCTTCCGAGAGCAATAACAATAAGGAACGTAGTGTGAAACAGTATAGCGGAGCAAGGAGGTTCTGAAGTTGGCGTGGAAAATAAAGTACCTCCGTACCAGTAAGGGTTCTTGAGCACTGCTTACTCCGTATGGGGTAATTTCGGCTGCTTCGTACGCAGTGATATGTGCAGTGGTACGAAGTAAGCCGGACGACAGTTCCCGACGCCCCAACCGACCAAACAAACAGCAGGTCTGGTTTCCGCTGTTTCTACACAGCTCTCCAAAGTATTGTTTCTCCCATTGCTCTGTGTAACGCTGTCTTGTTGAGCTACATATTCCGATGAATTCCTTCTTGCGAAACGCCGGGTCGGCGGTTGTATTGTTCGGTATCACCTACCAATAATGGTGGCTTGAAGATTTGCTGTTTGTGAGCATCGGCAATGGCCGTGCTATGCAATCAATCTATCGATGAGTTCCCTTACAATTGTCACCGCCTACGCCACGTAAGACTGGAGGGCTGTGAGGATCTCTGGCTGGACGATGATGCCCGCGTCCTGTATGCCGCTTGCTCTGGATCCATCGCTCGATCTCAATGGAACCAAGGATAAGCAGAAAGTCATTGCTGTATAATTACTACGTTACTCTACTTATGTGCTCCGTACGGAGGCAGCAACGGGCAAAAAGGAATCTAGTATTCTCAGGCAAAGAACTCGACAATTAAACGAATCGGAAAGCATGGCGAAACATACTGGCTAATAAATATTGCACACCAGGATGTCGAGGCTGAATATTTCTATGCGACGCCCTTGTTGGTCAGAGCTCATGGCGCTCAATATTGATTCTCCTGGGGAAGATAGCTTTTTCGGCATGCACAGCATCAAGCCTGTTGGGTACGGTGGCGCCACTGGCGACGGAACTCTAGATCTTGTGGGCTTCGACGTCGAAATCGTGGACGAGAGGACTCTTCGCTTTTGGCTAATCAACCAGCGGCCGCCAGTTGATGCGAACAAAAAGTACCTTGATCCGAAGAAGATAGGGGGCAAACGCAACTGTGGATGTGTTTGAGCTAAAGCGTGGTGAGGACAAGATGATGCATATCAAGACGGTCGCAGATCCAGCCGTATACTCTCCAAATGGTATTGCAGCAATGGGAGATGGGATATTTGTGACAAGCAACGACCACTCGGGCAAAGGTTAGTATCCGTGGGATTCCTATTTTATCCTAGGGCCTTTTTCATGCATTTTTAAGCTAACAAACTTGCATGAAATAATTGGTCTCGTACGTTCTCCGCCCTTCAGAACGGAATTTACAAGCTTGCTAACTATTTCCAGCGCAAAGAATTTGATCTCCTCATTGGTGGCGGCAACGTTGCCTATTGCGCTTCTTCGGGCACCTGCCACCCCACCACGGCAAATAAACTATTTTTTTTCTCGAATGGCCTTACGCGTGGTGCTGATGGTTTGGTGTACGTTCCCAGCTCCCTGACTGATGGAGCTCAAGTCATGCGACTTAATCCCAATGGTATACTTGAGCTACTCGACGTCATCAAGCTCGGTATACTGGTGGATAGCCTGGCGGTCTATAAAAAAGGTGATATTTACGCCGCCGGCCTACCAAAATTTTTGGAAATCATTGGCACCATGGATGATCCCTTTGGTAAGGATGCTCCCTCGACAGTATGGCGCATCACTAGGGATGTCAACGGCTACACGGCAGAAAAGATTCTCGAGGATAAGGAAAAACGAATCTTAAGTGGAGTTACGACTGCGAGGCATGATGTTAAGACTAGAAGACTGTCTATGGGAGGTAAGCAATCCACATCCTCTCTGCTCGAGTGATACCCTACTACCTTTTCTCTGCCAAATTTAAATTAGATATCGTGGGTTTAGCTGATTTTGATAGCCGCGTTGACTCCATACATGATGATCTGTGATCCGAAGTAGGGATTTAAGAGACCATTCATTTTACATTGCAACTGGAGCGGCAACATTTCTAAGCTTGCCAATCGCGTGAAGTCGTCCAAATCAATAAATGAGCAGAAACACACGGTATCCGTAAGGAGGCTAATAGGCTAAATCGTAGCTGCGGCAAGGAATATGTTTTCGAAATAGGTAAGGTCTTACTTGGGACGGATCTAATGCTGCCAATCAACAGTGTACAGCTAGGATTATGCTGCCCCACATGAGATCAGCCTACATGCTCAGAAATCGATGGAGACAATAGCATATATTCCTTGGGTTTATAATGACTAATAGTAAATTTCACCTATGAGTACAGTTTGTCGCAATTTTGCTAACCACCGTGTCTTGGATAGATCCTACGTCTCAAGCACATTACCTTGATTCCCTCCCACTCCACCTAAACATAAAAACCTGAACAGACAGTCGGCCGCCGAGGCGCTGTGGCCGCGTTCATGCACATTACAGTAAGCCTTTTGTACTCCTCAGTTTTAATGTACCGGACGGATGTGTGCTTGCTAGAAGGAGATATTTTATGATTGGACATGGGAGTTAGGGCTATCAGGCCAATCTACCTATATACGTGACTCGAATGGCCGAATCGGTTCTAACATTCTTTAAATTTCTTAACTCTGAAAACTCAAGTTTCATCTTCCCAATATCTTGGAATTGACTTTTCTACAATGCATCAGTGCAAATATGGTCCTGACTAATACGATGGCATTTACGACTTCTCCTAAACAAACCATCAAGGGGCTTAAGCGAGGTCAAACCCCTATTGTCATGTTCTTGTCTTCCCCCCCTTTAACAAGCTAGTGTAGATCTCTGCCCGATCCCGTTTCCTTTCACTCCCCATACAACATGTAAACTTACACGCCTGCTCAATCAATTTTTGCTCTACTTCTCGTCGCACCTCTATACCAAATCCGCCAAGACTACAAGTCTAGGACTTTTCTATATATATAATGGGCTTTCACTCTATGTTTCTTAAAGAATTCGCCAGTACTTCGAATACGTTTTAATACGATTTTGTATGTGTAATAAGTCTCATCCTAGTATTTCGGGTCTATAGTCTACAGATATTCCTTGTAAATTGTATAGTTTGACAGCTTCGACTACATTTAAAATATTACTTTGCTAGGGATTCATTTTGTGATGTTAGTCCAAGCTAGCTTATCCAAGAAACATCCATACAAAATCACAAATCCATATACTTCGTGAGGTGGCCCCCGTATCGATCTCCATGGACCGTAATCTTGGCCAGCATTTGGGAAAGCTCGGACATATCCTTCTCATCGAGAGAAACACGCTTCAAATTTTCCTGGACTCGGCCAACAGTAGTACATCCAGGGATTGGGATAATCGTGGGATTGCCCCCCTTTTTGCTTTGAGCGGCAACCCAAGCAATCGCAACTTGAGGCATAGTATAGCCCTTCTTCTGCGCCAACTTCTCGATTTCCTCTACCAGCTTTAGATTCAAATCAAAGACATCCGGCTGGAAACGTGGGTAATTCCGGCGGTCATCATTCTCCGTGATATCAGCTAGTTTGCGAATCTGGGCCGTCAGCCAGCCCCGCGAGAGCGGCGCGTAAGCAACAAGGGGAATATTTAACTCAGCGCATGTCTTGGCGACGCCATTGCTAAGGGGGTCAGTCGAAAACAATGACATCTCAACCTCCACGGCTGCAAGAGGATGAACCGCTTGAGCGCGGCGGATAGTGTCCGCATTACACTCGCTAAGTCCAATGCCGCCAATCTTCCCGGCCTTCACGTACTCGGCCAGGGCCTGCATCGTCTCCTCAATTGGTGTTTGAGGATCAATGCGCGCGGGCTCAAAGATGTCGATGAAGGCCTTGCCATCAAGAAGCTTAAGGCAGTTGTCGACGCTCCTTTTGATGCCGGCGGCGCTGCAATCCGGGCCGGTGGGGGTGAATCCACCTTTCATACTAAGGACAACTTTCTTGCTATCCTCAGGATGCTGGGCAAAGTAGTGGTTTAGAAGTTGGAGGGAGTTGGCGTTTGGAGGGCCGTAGAATTCGGCGGCATTCCAGAAATTTGCGCCGTGGTCTAAGGCTGCTTTCATGACCTTTGTGGCGTCATCGTATGAAGTTGGTGGCTCGCGCCAGGTGAGGCCTGTGAGACAATATGAGTATTTGGCATTTTATGTTTACTGATGCGAGTTGGGGTTCCAAGTTTAAAGGGGAGCTCGTCCTCATACCCATCAATCCAAAACCGACTGGGCCAGCCTCCTTGCCTGCCAGTGCAACTGACATATTGACTCGTAACTCGTTGATAAATTTATCAGAAATTTAGTAGATAATCGGGATGGTAGTCTGGTGGGTTCTTTCAGACAGGCTTCTCCTAGTCATGTGCTGTGGCTATTTTAATTATATGTTCCCGTGCTCTATGACTACCTACCTGACGATGGCTGACGACGCAACAGAACAACAGAAGTGAAATCCGGGGGAGGATGAAGCTGAACGTGGGCCTTCCCGCCTTCCCGCCTAATACTGCCCCCCCTTGGCATGCAGCCAAGCCACTGACGTGACCCGAATACCAGGACGCAAGACGGAGGTGATCTGCGCTTGGCCGCAATGCCGTGCATTGGCTTCCGGAGCGTCGAGTTACGTACCGTACGACGGCAAGTTACAAATAAGGGATATAACAGCAATAATCATATAGGAGCGGGGAATACAAAATGTAGCGTGGCGAGCGAGGTGAGAACAACACATTCTCGCCGGGTCGTGCCAATCATAGGGTGGGTGGTCAGTCACATGATTATCAGTCACATGACGGCAAAATCCGGGGTAAGTCCACTCCACTCCGTTTCACTCCCGTCCACCCAACCCAACCCAACGTCGTCTCCCTCTCTCCCTGAGTCCTTACAGTAGTCGCCCTCTATCCTCTTGATTTGTACGTCTCTTTCTACTTCGCATCATAGTGCTCCGTTTATCACAGCCTGCTAGATGGTGGACCATACATAGCAGGCCTCATCTGTCAGTTTTCAAGTTATGACAATCGCGGCAACTGCAGGCGGAGGCGACGCCGCATGCGAGTCGAGGATGTTTGTTGCATTAATGCAAGTACTGCGTACCAATACTAGACTTAGTGGCTAGATGCGGACATTCAATAGTTTTGGAATTGGATGCAATCTGCTAAGTTACCTTTATTACTACGTACAAGTTGCGGCATTATTTGGGTTAGAAAGGGACAGCTCCAGAGCAATCCCTCCTTTCAATTACCAGCCGGCAAGGGTTCTGCTGCATCACCTCTAGCCGGCGTCACACAAAGCACTCCATGCGAAGTAGTGCTTACCAAGTGCAAGGGCCCGTCCCTGAGGAGCAGGGCCAGCTATTCGTTACCAAAAGTTGTCGTGTTCTGGGACTGCATATTTATATTGAAGAATGAACATGCATATTATTACAATATCTCCGACTCATTCTCCGGGAGCCTGGCTATTCATCAACACCCCAACCGCCCAATAGCATTTATATTTATATAGCAACTCTCCAGCCCAGGGGGATGTTTCCCCACCTTCATCATCAACATCGCCATCGCGGAATGCAGACTGGTAGCAGCCATACAAGTATTTCGTCAACATGGCTCAAGCAATTCGAGCAGTGACCTTCGCCTCCCTGGCTAGCCTGATATTGGCTCAGCAAATTAATTCTGGCCATGGGCCTGTTGGTGCGTGAGCCTACTCCTGCCGGTAGATTAGATCATAACGCTTCTAACTGCTGGAAATCTAGCGGCAACCCCAGGGACTGTCCTGCCTGCAGCTGCTGTCGTGCCTGCGTCATCGACTGCGGCGGGTGCCCAGTTGTTTCAATGGGAGAGTCTCCAGCTGACACAGCCTGTCCTCGCCAACCTCACGAACATGAACCTCACCAATGCTGCACTCTTTGGCTTTCCGACAACGAGCTTAGCACCGACCAGCCAATGCAAAGTCTTCCCCGGAGACGCCCATTGGCCCCCGCCTATCGTGTGGGAAATCCTCAATCTCTTGACCGGTGATGCACTCACCCAGGTTGTCCCCCTGGCCGCTCCGTGCTACAGCGGCTGGCCAGAGTATAATGCAGCGAAGTGTGCATCCATCACGAGCCAATGGAGTGATCCTAACCTCCAGTAAGTGCACAAGCCCAGAAAGACTCCAGATAAACGGTGGGGGAAGATTGACAATTTTTAGCGTCAACGACCCTTCTTCAACCCAGTGGCCCCTATTTCAAGGCCTGACATGCCTCCCTCCCTCGCTCAGAAGCAGCAGCACTACTTGCACCCTTGGGGGCTATGCATCTTACTCAATTGAAGTTACAAATGTCGCCCAGATCCAGTTGGCGCTCAATTTCGCTCGAAACCTTAATATTCGTTTGGTTGTTAAGAATACCGGTCACGACTTTGCAGACAAGTCGATCGGTGCCGGTGCTCTATCGCTCTGGACTCACAAGCTCAATGACCTTAAGTTCTACCCCAACTATGTCCACGGGTCGTATAGTGGGCCTGCGTTCAAGCTTGGGGCTGGTGTTGAGACTGCCGATGTATATCTTGCGGCTGAGCAGAATGGTGTCACAGTTGTCGGTGGAGAATGCCGGGTACGTGAGAACTCGCTGACCCTGACCATCTGTTTCTGGCCCGTTTGAAGCTGATGCCTCACCATAGACTGTCGGCCTCGCTGGGGGGTACATTGCCGGTGGTGGACATTCTCCAATGTCAAGTCTCGTGGGAATGGCGGCGGACCAGGCAAGTTGATCCTTTTGCGGAAACCCTGGTTCAAAAACTAACACCGCAAATTCTAGGTTCTCTCAATGGAAGTAGTTTTGCCTAATGGCAAATTTGTAACAGCTAGCGCAACTTCGAATCCCGACCTATTCTGGGCTCTTCGTGGTGGTGGTGGAAGCAAGTTACTCCGCTCTACTCCACAGCGAAGTTACTAACTTTTCGTGTTAGGTACTTTTGGCGTAGTGACATCGTTGGTCATCATGGCGTATCCMAAGATTCCAGTCACTACAATGACTTTCGATTTCACAATGAGCAATACTCTGAGCGCCGACACCTTCTGGGCTGGTGTAAGGGCGTACATGACCTATTTCGCCACGTTCACGGATGCGGGAACCTACGGCTATTTCAACATCGTCCCCAACACATCTGGCGGTTTCACCTTTACGTTCAACCCGTTCTGGGGAGCCAACATGACCAAGCCCCAGCTACAGGCACTTGTCGCCCCTTTCCTCGGGGATCTCAACAATCTAGGTATTCCAGTGACTCCCGTCTACACCCAGTACGCAAGCCTCTACCCAGCGTGGAAAGCCAGCTTTCCCCCAGAAGTCGTCGGCGGCTTCAACAACCACGCCGCTAGCCGGCTCTTCCCTCGTGAGAATTTCGTCAACCCCACGCTGCTCAACGCTACGCTCGCTGCCGTGCGGTACGCGATCGAGGCTGGTGGTATCTTGGTTGGCTACAACATCAAGGCGGCCACGAACTCGCACGCCAACCAGAACAACTCGGTCAACCCGGCATGGCGAAATACGCTGACGCACTTCATCCTACCGGCCCTGTGGGATAACGACGCAACGTTTGCGCAGATCCAAGCCGCCAGCGAGACCCTGACGAACGACTGGATGGCTAAGTGGCGGGCGGCCTCGCCGGGCGCCGGCGCGTATATGGCAGAGGCAGATATCAACGAGCCCAATTTCCAACAAGCCTTCTATGGATCGTACTATCCCAAGCTATATGCTCTAAAGAAACAGATCGACCCATACGGCTTGTTTTATGCGCCAACGGCTGTGGGGTCTGAAGACTGGTATATCACGGGCCAGATTCCCTACGTACCTACCCAGAATGGTAAACTATGCCGCAAACCGTAAGGGACTGTTGGGGAGACCAATATTTAGCCATTAGAGTATATCATAAGACCCTAACGAAGTTAATTCAGTATTGATATCCAACGAAGTATCAACATTAGCAAGGTGTGGTTTGCGCGACTGCCCACATAGGTGGCAACACCGAAAGGGTAGTATAATATGTAGCGCTGTTGTTGAAGTATAGCGAAAAGCCAGCCGGTCCCTTGATGTCTGGAATTGAGGCCCTTCTAGCCCCCTAAATTTGAGCACTGCGACGGTGAGAAAACCACTCCCAATAATGCCATTCGGGGCTGTATAAGTGCACCACAATAATGTTAATGATTTTCCGGGAAAATCACCACTGCTTTGACGAGTGGCTTGATCGTTGACTTTTTCTTTTCGCCCCTGGATGCAAAATTCGTCCTTCGAATCATACATTCTTCTATAGGAGATTGCTCGATAACTCTGCTCTACTATATGCATAAACAGCGTCCTCGACACAAAGTTTTACCAGACATCCATCACGATTCCTAGCTGTATCTAGCGAGACCCTCTATAATCTCGGCTGTCATGGTAGTTTTGTCAAATCTAGTACCAGGAAGATATGAGACCATTTCGTAATCTTCTATGTTGAGGCGTGAATTTGCTTTGGTTATCAGGGCGTCAGGAAATATGTCCATGAGTCGAACCCGTCTCTCTTTCCACTCGTTTATAGCTTCACACAATGTTGAAAATCCCACCCAGGCCGACACTGACAAATAGTCAGAGGAATCAGAGAAGAGAGGCGTAAGTGTTTGGGAAAGTCGAATTCCAAGACTTTCAGCTACTTCGGGGACAAATATTTTGCGAAACTCGTTTCCGTTGATGAGTTCATAAGTTACGGGTTCGAGATAACGGAGGAATATGGTCCCCAGTCTATCAAAACCCACTAGGGAATTAGATCAACTATCAATAACATTGATGTTGATTGTTATGTGAGGAATAGGATAGAATGGGTGATCCACAAGATGTGCGGTCGCTATGGGCATGAAACATCCTATCAATGTTCAGGCCAGGTCAAAATGCAGTTAATATAATGCATTTTCCAAAATATAATAAAACTAACTCGATATCTTATATATAAATTTGAGTATTGTAGGGCAAATGTTAATAGATCAAATTTAGATACGTCGCCTACCCTGGTTTTAATCCTTAAAAGATCCACATTATTATAATCTTTCTTAATCTACATTAATAACGATTGGGATATACGAAAAACAAACATAAATAACTGTTAGAAGTTATTCGCCTCAGGTTATTATGCTAGAATAATAAAGCTTACGGAATATTGTGATCCTGGCTGGACTTGCTATAGTTCTATCTACACTTAGAGCTTTACACGCCAAACAGCTGGGCACAAATAGTTTGGATGCTTGCTACTACTTGGTTAATTTTAATATCGCAAGGATGAATTAAAAAGTTTAACTAGCTTTAGTACATATGACTACGTTAGGTTTTTTGGTACTTCTAAGAACATCTACTTCGATCTTTCACATTTGATCTTGTTAAGTCTTCTAGCATTACCTAGAACATCTACTCTAACCTTTCGTACTCTTCGGTCGTCGTTCACATCTATTTCGACCTTTTATCGTCTTCGATCGTTCACATCTCTTCCAGTACTACTAAGAAGTTATACTTCAACTTCTCACATTTGGCCCTATTAGGTCCTCCGGTACTACTAATATCGCTTCCTAACGGCTATGGCGTTAAACCAGTCCGGCAACCATACATACCAAGGTAGCCTAGAACCACGGGCACCCGGTGACGCTCAGTACCTCTTCCCTTTTAAAAGACTACCTCAAGAAGTCCAAATGATGGTCTTTGGCTTGTCGTTCAAGCTACTACCACCCGACGCTAGACGGCTAGCAGTCTTTGAAGCCATATCTAAAGACAAATATTTTTCGCATGACTACGTGGCTGTAGTCAAGCATTACCGCCGGACAACGTCTCCGAGTTACGATAAAAACGACAGAGCAATTTCGTAGCTTGATACTAAAGGATATCTTGAAAATAAAGTACATCACATTGGTTTTGGATGAGAGAGAACGGTTAGTCGTCAAGAGCCCCCCAAACACAAAACCATCCCTGACCTTGACTTCGTACGTAGAGAATGCCTGAGGGGCCACAAAAGCCTGCTAGCGAATAAGTTCGAAACTATTATTATGAAGGTGAAGTGCGGATGTGAGCCCCCCCAATTTGCTGCAAAGTATGCGGTGTTCCTGATCCGCGCATCAAGCCACCCTTGCAAGCTTATCATTCGGGCCTTGCATTCGAACATGACCAAAGATACACGGGCGAATTTTAATTTGAAGTCCGCAAAATATGGGAGTTCAGGCAAGAGTTGAGTGCGAACCTACGACCTCCCGGACATGGAGCGCTGGGCTTAGAACTTTGCACTGCCCTCTACTCTGAAGGCCTTTGTCGAACAATTAAGGTGGCGGGGCAGCACGAAAAGGATCGTCCAAGCCAGATTGGAAGCATGAAGGTCGGGGAGAGGTTTGACGGGTTATTGGGCATAATAGTAGGAGGGCCTGGAGGACTTGTAACTCGGCACGCGTGACTTTAGACATCGATTAGTTTTCGAGAAGCGGGTGTTAGTTGGAGGAAGGCTCTTACCTGAATTCGGGGCAAATTTCAAGACACTGATTAACAGGTAGGTGGCTTCCTTGGTCGCTTGGTATTTCCTTGGTATAATTATTTGCATGAGCGACTCGATGATAGACCTAGGCCGGCCGGCGCAGGGTCTACAAAAGCATCCTTCTAGTTCTCTTAACTGTATACCATCTATGGGGTATCTTCCCCGCTAGATAGACTTTAAGAACCCTGCTCTTGAATTGTAGGACAGCCTAACGCGACTCTGGCTGTTGCGGTGAACGATCTAGTGCTGCTCGATGCGGGCGTCTTTTTTGCCTCTGGGCTCCGACAGGGAACCTTTTCTCCATCCCACAGATACTGCATCCTCGGACCAGTACATCCGCCCAGGGTTTCCTTCCGCCCTTGCTTTTATTCTCGACTTTCTCCGAGCAAGTTGACCCCTCTATCAGCACTGTGTTGCAGTTGCTACATATAGAGTGCTTCATGCTTGGGGATATCCGGATCTGCATCTTCAACGATACAGACCGAAGGTCGGAAGCCAGGCGGCGGGACGAGGTTTGACATATTTCGGATGGTGTATTTGAACTGCTCGTTTTTGTACCTGAGGAGAGTTCGCTTTGCGGGTCTGGTTTGGAATGCTGTTGTTGTTGCTGCCGTGGCAGTTCGTGTGTGGCCAAATATGCTGCGGCTTGATATAGAAACGATACCCTGGCATGCAACGACTTGTTGGGGACGTTCATGGACTTTACTTTGGCCATGTTGACTGAAAAGAAGTCGAGATGCGACAACCTATGGGCATTTTGGGCTCTGGATTGAGAACCAGCACTTTCCTCATGCCCTCGTTCTCGTTGTCTTTGTCATGGCGGCGGAACTTCGCATTCCAAGTGGCGGCGCTTGTTTACCGAGTACGAAGCATGACTAAGCATAGTCATACGCCGCAGTCGCGGAAAGCCCTTTGAGCGCGACGCCTCTTCCTCCTCAACATCCTCTTCATCAGCCGCAATCAACCCTCGACCCTCAACCCTCCATCCGCATCGTCTTGATTACTTTCTCCCTTCTCTTATCTACGCGCTCTGCTTGACTGCAGACTGCCTCTTTGATCCTGCGACCTTGACCAGCCTTCTGGCGCCAGATTCACCTCTCCGCCACAACTTCTCGACACGAAACAGGCTTTTCCGAAACCTCACCTTCTTCCATCAACCAAGATGTCTGCCGAAGAAGATCTCATCGATTACTCCGATGAGGAGTTGAACACCACCGATGCTGCGCCTGCAGCAGCTGCTGAGAATGGCGGTGCTAAGAAGGGTGATCTGACGGCTACCGGAGGCACCACCGAGAAGAAAGGCAGTTATGTTGGTATCCACGCCACCGGGTTCCGCGATTTTCTATTGAAGCCGGAGCTTCTACGTGCCATCACCGATTGCGGATTCGAACATCCTTCGGAGGGTCAGTCATAACTTTCATCCCTAAGCTCCATGTCCTTCCAGCGCGTCCGTCCATCTCGCAAGCAAGAATGAATACTCCGGTCCTTCCTTCAGCAAGTTACGATCGATCCTGGGATGTCTCTATGGGCAGGACGCAAACCGAAGCAGGTGATACAAAAGGGGATCTCCGCGAAAGCGAGTCCCCCGAGAGCGCGATGCGGTTGCGGGCAAGATGCGGAGGATGCACACAGATGGTGGACCCGAGAGACTTCCAGGATCGCCTCGTATGCGACAAATTGAGAATGTTTTGCTGTGCGCATCGATCAATGATGAATGCTTTTAATGGCGAAAGCCGTACTCGTCTTTAGAGTCTATGATTTCCTTGGGGTGGTTTTGCGGAAATATTAGCATGCGAAGATGGACGGGCGCTGCGATTCCTTGCACATCGTTATGCTCTTGGAAAATACCATTGATCTAACTTCGGCTCGATTATTTTACAGTCCAGCAAAATTGCATTCCCCAGGCCATGGTCGGTACCGACATTCTTTGCCAGGCCAAGTCTGGTCTTGGTAAAACCGCCGTCTTTGTCCTCACTACCCTACAACAAATCGAGCCAGTTCCCGGCGAAACCTCCGTTCTGGTCATGTGCCACACTCGTGAGCTTGCTTACCAGATCAAGAACGAATACAACCGTTTCAGCAAGTACATGCCAGAGGTGAAGACCCAGGTCTTTTACGGAGGAACTCCAATCCAAAAAGATGCCGAAATTCTCAAGAACAAGGAGACGCATCCTCATATCGTTGTCGCCACGCCAGGTCGACTGAATGCGCTCATCAGGGACAAATACTTGCGTCTTGGCAGCTGCAGGATCTTCGTTCTTGATGAATGTGACAAATTGCTTGAACAAATTGGTGAGATAATGTTCTGGAATCTGTGTTGTAATTTCAAATCCTAATTAATTGACAGACATGCGCCGTGACGTCCAAGAGATTTTCAGAGCGACTCCTAAGCAAAAGCAAGTCATGATGTTCAGCGCCACACTTTCCCAGGAGGTCATTCCCATCTGCAAGAAATTCATGCAAAATCCTGCCGAGGTGCTGGTTGATGAAGGCTCGAAGCTTACTCTCCATGGTCTGGCGCAATATTTCATCAAACTCGACGAGAAGGAGAAGAACCGAAAACTGAACGAATTACTCGACGAGCTCCAATTCAACCAGGTCATTATTTTCGTCAAGAGCACTCTCCGAGCAACAGAATTGGACAAACTGCTGCGCGAGTGCAACTTTCCATCCATCGCCGTGCATTCCGGTGTGAGCCAAGAAGAGCGGTATGTATGCTAGTTCCGCACAATTCATTGGTCTCTAACACAAAAATAGTATCAAGCGTTACAAGGAATTCAAGGAATTCAACAAGCGTATCTGTGTCGCCACTGACGTGTTTGGCCGCGGTATCGATATTGAGCGAATCAACTTAGCCATCAACTACGACCTTCCCACGGATGCAGACTCGTACCTCCATCGTGTCGGTCGTGCTGGCCGTTTCGGTACAAAGGGTGTGTCGATCTCCTTCATGAGCAGCGAGGCGGATCAAGAAGTTCTGAAAGAGATTGAGAAACGATTCGAAGCTCCCATATCGTAAGTTGCGGCCCATTAGCTACTCCAGAGGGCTTTCTGATCACTAACACTCAAAAGCGAATATCCCGAGGGCGGTATTGACCCTAGCACCTACATGGCAAATTAGATGATATGATTCTAATTACGGCTTTGTGCATTTCAAAACCACGTCTCCACTCTGGGCCGCTTGATTTTGCCTGTGGCCGGTCTAAAGGATCTGGGTTCCTACCTTCTGAGTCTTTGCTACTGCTTTGCGTGCGACTGAATCAAATTGGGGTGGAAGAGTGCTTGGGCAAGGCAGACATCGGCTTGTGATATCTATCTTTTCGCTCTTGATGCAAACATGGAATTAGTTTACCAAAATTGGCGTGGGATGGGACTAAAGTAAGAATGAAATGCAAGCTAGAAAAGTGTTATATCTATGGTGTGGTATTTGTATTCCCCGAGTGCGCTACTTTCTGGGTTTACTTTTCTTTTTGCTTTCCGTTCCTGTACTCTCCCTTTTCTATCCTTGCCACCCTTACCTTGAAACTTGAAATCAATCGCCTTGACACTTAATAAATAGTGGCTGGAAAACATACAAGCATGGTCAACAGTTCAGTGCCATACTAGCCCCAAACCCCTCCGACGAGCCTAAATATCTAGCAATAGCGAACCAGGCCCCGACCCAGCCATTGGGATATATCTCCCACTTCTCCTAGTATACATCTCCTTTATAACCTATGGTTCTTTGCAACAGCAAACTCATAGAACCTGTAAGAACGAGCGGCTTGCTTCAGACAATGAAGTCGATACACCAGGGAGTCACATAAGCAAGAGAGCCCCTGTAAAGTTTTATATCCGCCTGTCGCGTCAAGTCAAAAACTGCCGCTGGTGTTGTATTCCTGCACCTTTATCAATAAATATACGTATTCTTTTCGGAACAACCATTTATGACCTATGGTAGGTTTGAAGAGTAGGTTATGCCAGTCGTCATTCCCTAGTTGGCTAGCCCTCCTGCCCTGAAAAACAGATTACATTTACCATAATGCCCTTTACGCTAGCCCGAGGACATCTTACTACCAATTCGTAGGCAGCATTCGTAGGCAGCTACAGGCTTTATGATGCTAGGCATTTATAAATACGTCGTCCCAACCCCAAAGAAAGTCTAGAAAATATGATGAGATGATACCATTCTAACAGATGCTCCCAATTTGAGCTAAGGGATCGGTCTGGCTCAAACTCTGCGGCTAACACTCGAAGTACTTCAAGCCGTTTTCTAATAATATTATGTTTATTTAAGAAAATCTATGAGCTGGGTATATTCTAAACGATTCTAAAAACATCTTATAAACCATATCTATGAAACGAAATTAAGTTTCCATATATATCCCAATTTTCTAACGCCCCCAATATAATACGGCACCACTCACTACCAAGCCCCTGCGAGCCCTGCGAGAGATATTTACTCCATCTTCGCACTCTTGGTCTTCTTGCTCCTGAATTTCATCATTAAGAAGACGAATCCATAAGTCGAGATACAGAACAAAGCCATGATTCCGGTATCTCTCCATCCGTAATACCGCTCGTTCAGATTAAGTGTCTTTGCATATTCGCCGCCATTTGCGTAAGGGCAATACCCACACTCCGTAGTCGATGAGTTGTTGGCAACGTAACCAAACCCTTCTTTAAAGAAATCTGCCATGTACTGTCCACAGGTCTGCCCATCGGGTGGCTTGAAATAAACCAAGTCCTTCTCGTCGCACTGTACCTTGACGTCGAATAATATCTGAGTGAGGAAGCCACCGATGAGGTAGTTGTATGGATTGAGATAGTAGAACCAATATCGCCAGAAGACGGTGAGTTGACTGTATGGCACGAGAACACCACAGAAATTGATGAAAAAGGCGCCGAGAATGGTAGGATTCATGAGAGCTGCGAAGAAGCTATTTGGGGAGATCGCGGCAATGCCTTGACCGGTTGCAGTGTAAAGGAACTCAAATACTAGGCTTTGTTAGTTTGGACTCATCGAATCCCAATGGGATAAATGTATTCTTACGGATCATATGCAAAAAGACTTGTCCAGATGTGCTGGCCTTGACTGGCAAACCGACAGTGAAGTACCAGCAACAGAAATATAGCGTTCCACAAATAATAAGATACGGTATCTCGGCTACTAGTTGAGCAGTAACAAACGCATACCAACTGTACATCTTGGACTTCTTTTCACGAGTCTCAAAGATATCTCGGTAATGCAAGAAAAGTGGCTGAAGCTGGGCGATAACACCGACGGCGACGAAAAGAATGTTGAAAACAGCTAGAAGACGAAGTTGGAGGTCACTGGAACTGTCGCCTAACATCCAGAAGGAAAAGCCAGAGAATAGCGCCGAGATGATATGGAGGATAATCTTATTGTGGATATAATCCGGATTTCTCCACAACGCAACGCACTGACGGTGAGTGACAATCTTCAGCTGTGCCCAGTGGGATGTAGCAAAATCAGCAGCATCATCAAGCTTTAGCTTAGATTCTTTCGACAGTAGGTCCTGTTTCAGCCATTTCATATGTTCGTTAACACCCGCGCACTCAGGAGATGCAAGCCAGATGTCGTGCCAGTTACGCCCACCACCACTTGCACCGGAGACAACATCAATAATGTGCTCGGCAGGATTGGCATTCGGATCGCACGGAGCCCCATTTTTAGCGAAGTAGTCGAGAAGTATAGAGGAGCTTTTGCCAGTTTCACCGAAATACACAGTTTGTCCTCCCTTGGCGAGAAGGAGTAGCTGATCGAAAGCGTCAAACAAGAGGGCAGACGGTTGATGAATAGTACACAAGACAGCTTGGCCAGCCGCTGTGAGTTTACGAAGGAAACGGACGACGTTAAAAGCAGATTGTCCGTCGAGGCCAGAGGTAGGTTCGTCGAGAAAGAGGAGAATCGTGGGCTTTGCAGCTAACTCGACACCGATAGTGACGCGTTTTCGTTGTTCGACGCTGAGACCAGTACCTTGAGTACCGATCAGTGCATCTTGAAAGTCTCCCAGTTCAAGTAGCTCAATGACACTATCCACATAATGTAGTTTTTCATCGTCTGGGGTGTCTGCAGGCTGTCTCAGGCGTGCAGAAAATACTAATGCCTCTTTTACGGTAGCAGTGCCTTCGTGGACGTCCATTTGCTCGCAGTAACCGGCGGAGCGTTGAAAGCTGGTAGGTAGCGGCCGACCATCAACAAGAACTTCGCCTTGGATAACACCGACATCCTTGCGTTGTGCAAGAACATCAAGGAGGGTCGTTTTACCGGCACCTGAGCTACCCATTAGAGCACCGAGAGTTCCAGGCTTAACCCAACCAGTGATGCCGTCCAATAGCTTTCGATGGCCCCCAGGAACAGAAACGGTATAAGATAGATGGTCCCAAGTGAATACGGATTCATTTTTAGCGAGGTTGAGGTCTCCATCTTCTGTGTTTGCAGTCGAGCTTGACGAATTTCCAACCTCTCCTTTCTCTTCATCTTTGGTCTGTTGAATGGAATGGGCATTTCCACCTCCGCGCTTGAATACCAATGACGATTTGCTGCTGTTAGTGATGTTCATCCGCTCCTGGGCAATTGCTGTAATGATTGTATAAACAACCCCCCAAACGATGACGATTGCGAAATCTTGCCACAAGGCCCCAGGGTTGAATCCATATGCTTGCCTCATATAATCTTCTCCGATAATCGTTTTCCCATCCGGGGTAGCCCCAGCAATGGTGCATGTCTGATGCCCAGATCGATCATATCCTGGTCCATTGGGGATGAGTTGCTGTCCAACGCATGCAAGCCTCAAACCACCGAATTCATTTGCTTGCAGTGCCTCGAGCGCATAACCAATAGGATTCAACCAGAAAATCCATTTGAACCAAGGAGGCATAGCATTGAACGGAATAATGAATCCTGCGTACACCATACAAGCCATTGACCAGAAACCAGAGACTTTTGATGCGTTATCGAAGCTCGCGAAGAGGGACCCGATCATCCGATACATAGCGACAAAGGTCAGCGCCGAGACAACTGTCAAAATCCAAAATGTGAAGAACTTCCCAGCGTGCATTTGGAACCCCGCCATGAAGTAGAAGATCAGGCAGAAAATTGATACTTGAGCGATCATGAACGGTATATCGCAGATCAGGCGAGCGATGACATAGGCTGTGGGTCGATACAAGGAGAAGTCGCGATGTCGGTTAAGAATTGGTCGGCCAAAGTAGGTTCCGACGACTTCGCTCATTGCAGCCAGCTGAAGAAGCTGTTAGAATCATATTAAAAGAGGCATATGGAGGTTAACATACGTTATAAAACACAAGAGGATAGAAGATAGCGCCGCCACGGACGAACGCTCCCGCGCTAGTAGTAGGCAAGTTGTAAAATAAACTTCCTGACAATAGAGCCTGAATGATAGCAGATGTTTGCTGCAGAAGTAGGGACGGAGTATCCCCACGGAGGATTTGGAACTCTCTGGTTTGGAAGTCAGTTCTGCAGGGTTAATGCCGAACAATGCCCTACATACCTAATAGCGCAGGCTTGAATTTGGTGTGCAAGCGGAACAGTATAAGAACTCTGGAACGGTGTTTTGCGTTTTGGTTGTTCCTCCTTAATTGCTGCTACCATGATGCTGGTAGCCTTAGCAAAATTGGAGACGGGTTCTATATCTTGGTTCATCTCCTTGGCGATGGCACTTTCTCTGTAGGAAGACTCGAGTGCTTCTGTCGTTTTTGGAACAAGCAATTCGTAACCAGGTTTAATTTGCCGTTCAAGTGGGACGGTGACGGAAGTCAAGAAGTCAGCCACATTGGCCCCTGGAGGGCAGATAAAACCGAGGTCTTCGAAATAGCCTTTTGCACGATTGGCAGGGCCATAATAGATTTGTCTCCCACCGTCTAAGACGAGGACTTTATCAAACAAATCAAAGATGCCATTACCGGCTTGATAAAGAGTGACAAGAGCAGTGCATCTTGCTCTATCAGCTGTTACACGAAGAGCCTGGATAAACTCAAGCGCGGAACTTGCGTCTAGGCCTCGAGTGGCATTATCCCAGCAGGTAATCGACCCCTGCGATCATTTGGTTAGCTTGAGGCAAGATAACACTGCCATGAATGGGATCTTACATTTGCTGCCATGACCTCTGCGATTGAAACTCTTTTGCGTTCTCCTCCGGAGACACCACGAACGAATTCATTGCCCACCAGGGTTTTTCTAGTATGGCCAATTTTCAATGCGTCTGGAAGAACATCTAACATTTCACCCACATGTTCTTTGGAAGCCCCCTTTCCTGTCACATATCTAGGAACACGATTCCTGACTGCGAATCCAACCGTTTGCTCAACGGTCAAATTGGGGAAATGTATATCCTCTACAAACATGGTTAGGCCATATTCGAGAATAGAGCGGGAGTTTTGAGTTACCTTCGCTGTTGTACAAAATGGTACCGCGGTACTTCTCTGCTTCCTTTCCATCCAGAGTGCCGTAGAAGACGTCGCCCTCGACTTTCTTAAAGGAGCCGCGTTTATTTGCAACGGCTTTCAAGAAAGATGTACATCCTGATCCTGGGCGACCAAGGACAAGCATCATTTCCCCAGGTCTAACCTGGCCGCTCACATTATGGATGATAGTCTAAACATGCCATGTCAGTATTTATATTTGTTGCATCCTGTGACACTCACTGTCTCCGCCTTTGGGCCCCGGGCCTTCCTCAAGATGGCCACCGGGTTGATACTCGAGAGGACATCGTCGCTAAGAACCGCGTGACTGTCCACGCCAATTACCGATAGATTCTTCCAGGTCAAAGCCAAATGCTTTCTCTTGATGTTCCTGGCGATCTTCTTGGTTTCATATTCATGTAGCCATTGATTGTAAGACCAGCCATCGGGCCCTTCGCCAAATCGATCTTGTTCGTCGCATTCCGAGGGACTTGGCGGCGTTCCGACCGGAGTTTCCCCTTCGAGACTGGTGTGCTCTGGAGAGGCTTCGCCGACATCGGGGGGTTTACAACCCGTCATCGTGGCGTCTGTTCGGGCTTAGTGTTCTGTTGACAGGCTGTAAATATTCCCTGAACGACAATTATCCTGACCGGGGAATATACAACGGGGAGAACGAAAGGAACAGAACACAAGGGGAAATAACACAAGGGGAAAATGATAGACTATTGAAGGGAAAGAATAGAACCGTTTCCAGCACGGTTCCTGGCCATCTTATATTCTTTGAATAGGGCGGAATCTGCTACGGAAGAAATGCGCAAAAGCTCCTCATCCGCGATTCCAGTGCACCTGGGGAAGTATTTCGGAACTGGCGGAGAGCCGCAGAAGAATGTATCCGGTATACAGCTACTTTGGGTAAGGTTGCACTATATAGTCCACTTTGGTGGCAGACTGTGCCTATCAGATGTCTTAGCTGGAGGCTAGCATATGAGTAAGATGCGTCCGAACCTTCGTCGAGGTGTTGATAAGCAACAAATAACCAGGTACAGCTAGCGGCTTCCACTACACTGTTTTGACGGCTTCTATAGACGGCTTCACCAATTTGCCACCCGCGCCTTCGTCGCGGTTATCTTCTGAAGTCGAAGATGTCGGAGTACACGACCAATCCCTATCCAATATGCCGATGACTTCATTGGCAGCCTCACCAAGAGAGGGTGATGGTCATATCAAAAGGCGCACCGTCCGTGCTTGTGCTGCCTGTCGACTTACCAAGAGCAAGTGTGATGGGAAGGATCCATGTGCCAGGTGCCATGCCCGCGGCCTGATGTGTATGCCAGGAGTGCAGCGTCGGAGACCGGCAAGGCGCGCTGGAGATGAAAATGAAAGCGATCGAGAAACACCCCAAAAGCGAGGTCCAGGCCATCGTTTTGCACGCAAAAAGGCGCCAGGATCGAAGGATGAGGCCAATCTGTTGAACCAAGAAGTGCATTGTAGCATCACTGGGTCCGAGGCGTCGGTGTCGTCTACCATGCACTTATTTTACGGAAGCTCGTCAACCTTCGTCTTTCTGCAACAGCTCCATAGGTTCCTATTCGGCAAGGGTTCTCTGCAACCTACCATCACCGGAAAATCTGCAAATTACACTGCGGAAGCAATTAGCGAATTTGGATACGGAAGCATATTCTATGGCAGAGATGCTGATGATGGTATAGCAGCTGGGTTGCATGACCCATCTACACCCCGTAAAACATTTGAAGACTTATCTGACGGCCTTCCCCCGTTCGAACTAGCAGCTACATTTTTGGAAATGTATCTGTCCACTGTTCATCACGTCCTTCCATTTTGCGAGCCGGCGACCTTGAGAAAGCTATTCTACAGCCACTACTCGATGCCATCGGTTTCCTCCCGAACGTCCAGGGACTGGACCATGATTATGGCTATACTGGCATTTGGCGCCACGCTTACCTATCATATCGACATGGCTGATTATTTATTTCAAAGGGCGGAGTCGAATCTGAAAAGCTGGGGTGACGCTGTTAGCTTACGGACGGTCCAGATCTCGATGCTTCTCTCTGAGATTCACCAAACATGGGGAAGACCCAACTCAGCGGTCCTCTGGGGTGGGTATACCGTTTCTAAAGCGTTCGCTGTTGGATTGCATCGCGATATTGTTTCCCCTGGGGCTGCTAAAGACTTGAGCGATGTCGATCGGAGCCGTGCGAAAGAACGACAAACTACATTTTGGGCTTTGTATGCGCTCGACCGGCGTTTATCCTTACTACTGGGCCGCCCTGCATCAATAAATGATATGGATATTGATATCCCGGAGCCAGCTGGCGGAACGCACCTGGAGGCTGCGGTGAATCTCGCGAGGATATCTCACAAGGTTTACTATAGTGTCTATGGGCGAAAAAGAGGCTCGGTTGGAGAGTTTTGTAAGAAGATACAAGATCTCCGAGGTGAATTTATTGAATACCATGAGAACTTAGCACCTGCTATTAAGTTCCCACTGAGTAAGGACCAGGTCACAGATGCATCACTTAATCTCAGCGCCAGCCAGATGATACTGGCATTCGGTCAGTTACCCCCTATTTATTTTAGAGATATGAATACTTAACTTAATAGATTTCCTCCATACCATGCTTATCACCCTCCGCCCATGTCTGGTACTCGATGCTGTGCGTCGAAAATCTCTCCCCAAACAAGGAGAAGCCAACCAAGTCATCCCTTCCGAATGGATTTGTTGGCTTGACGAAAATTGTAAACAATGCTCTGCAATCTCCATTCATATAATCCGTCTCTTTTCTGCGGCAATCGACAATAATCCTTTCCTTAGTTGCATGCGTCACGGTCGTTTTTTTATTGAAGGCGCATGTTTCACACTCCTCTTTGACGTTGTACGCGATCCATCCAGCCCCGCCTGCGAAAAGAATCTAGCCGCCGTTTCTGAGGGATTGAAATGCTTCACTCGACTCCCAAGTGATCATCTGTTGATGATCAGCACGTCGGCTGTGTCTCGAATGCTTAGTCTCGCACAGGAGCTTGTTTCTGGCACTCCAAGTGCTCGATCAAATCAACCTTCCGAACCCGGGTCACGAACTACGGCTGCTTATGACCACGCTGAACTTCCTTTACAATCTCTTCCTAATGAAAAGATGCTATTAGCTCCTACCACAGCATTTATACCCAACACTGATGGTCTTGGTAGTGGGAATTTCCTCGACGACGGCGCCAACGGCGAAAGCCTAGGGCTTCATAGCCATGGCTTTCTCAATAATGATATTTTTGACATGAGCTGCTATCTGTGGACTGAAGATTTGGCCATCAATGAAGCCTACGGTTGATTTTTCATAGGAACCGACCAGCAACCCAGAACCCCCGGGACATATTGGGCATCGAGCACGCCCACGAATAGGACATGCTCTTCGTCTTATGGCGGGTGAGACGAGCCCCAAGCTAGTTCGTACCGCCACCACCATCCAGGCATTTTAACACTGAATCGTTACTATTATTCTCCACGAACAAAGTCGGGAGCTTCACACTCGAACTCTCCGAACCGCGGATTCTAGTGCTAGTACAGTCCCGAGGATGCTTTCCAGGAGACAAGAAAACCAACTTTAGGTAGCACAAACCTGGTAAAACAGCCTTGCCGCGGTGCAGCACCTGCCGAAATCTATGATTCAAGCACTTCTTGATAATCTGCCACTTTTTCAGGCAGTAATAGCCACATCCCCGTGGTGTAGGGCTACAACCCGCGCTTCCCCCGTTGGGGCTTGAAGCGTCTAAAGCGAACTTAGGAACAGAATAGACCGTTCTATCAGTAGCTAGATGGCCATCGAGGATTGTTGTGGGTCTAGACGTTCTATGGTCGGCAGATACTGGGATCAGCACTTGGTTTCTAAGTTTGAGGTTGCGAAAGCCGATCATAAAGGTTAAACATGTTCAAAATAATAAGTATACAACAGTGGCTAGGGACCTTACGTAGCAAGTCAGGTAGTCAGATCCAAGCCAAGGCGCGTTTCATTTAAGATGGCATTCTGAGAATGATAAGTTGCCGACTAGTCGTTGTACCACTCTCCCGTTTGCAATGCGGCCTACCGATAGAGCAACGTTGTTCACCTTTTGGAGCGGGAGCGGATCCTGACCCAGTTAAAATTGAGGAGCAATGTCCTTTTTCGTTTCTCAGGTCCATTTGCAATACGGTTTAACAGAAGCGCCTTGTTGACTAGTATTGGGGGATATCTAGGCGAGAGTAGGTATTTTCTACTTGTATCTATCGATTTACCAGATTGCGCAGTGCAGAGGTACGACGATGCACCTTGATGGCGTATAAGCCCTCGTCTGAATTCACTGCAACTAACCTCTATAGCTTGTGAGTGTGTTGGCTTCGCCGCTTGTATGATCCCGAGAGTAAAGTTTGAAAAATTCGAGCTGTCAGCGCGTTGTTAGCTGATTCGCTTTCGACGCCGTTGCTTCGTTGGACGCCTCTGCGTTGGGCAATTTTGTTCCTCCAACGTTAACACGTACATTCAACCCTCCACAACACGTCTTTGATTCTGTCTGATATTAACCTGCAACAGATAGTTGGACTAATTTAAACGCGTCAATACTCGGTGTTATTGAGCCTCAGCTTCTCGAACCTTTATCCTGGGGATTACTCGTGGTGAGGTCGTTTGTTGACACGAGCTCGTTGACTTCAACACCGGAACTTCAACGCATGCTCGCTCATCACCTATACCAGTACTCTATAGTTACATCTGCCTAATTGTCCGAGTTATATCTTCCAACCCAATGTCTACGTCCAGAATCTCCCCGGCCATATTAGAGCCGCTCGTCAACCATCTCACTCTCCCGGCCCGCCTTCCAGGTCAACAGGACAGCAGGCTCTACAAGATTGAACAGGACCTTACTTCGCTGCTGCTAGATGCTACAAAAGAATTACAGTCTGCTGGTCTGCTGGTGGATTCCCTCCGTCAATCACTCCAGACAAGCAGGGTGATCAACGCCTCTGGAAGGCTTCTCTTGTCGTCTCTCTTGACCGCCCTCAGAGAATTACCCAAGAGCGAATTCCTGGTCCTTCATATTGTTGAGCAGAATGCAGCTTTAGTCATTCGACGAGATCATCCGTAAGTACCCGAGCATTCACTAGCCTCTCCCTCCCAATAGTCGTGTTCCGCTTCCCTACTCCACTATAGTATTAAATTACAATGCCTGATAATGTCCTTAATAGAGAGCGCAACGAAACTGTTCTATTTGAGGCGTTTGAAGCTTCCGCCAGATCTGAGGATGTCCTTGCATCTAAAAGTGCGCTACAATGGGACTTCCCTGGGTGTGCGGTTGCGCTTCCAATCTCAGAGTTCGAAAAGCCCTCCTTCCAAACCGAACTTGCCAAATTTCTTGAAAAGGCCAGCATAGAGTCGATCAAGCGATTTGCAGCATGTACCAACAAGGCAGGATCATTTACTTACGAGACTCGTGACTCGGTCAACCCGTCCCTCATCACCCAAATGCTTATGACTTTGCTTCAAGTCAACGGCACCCGGGTATATCCATCACTTCTTCGAAAACGCGTTAGAGACGACGTGTCTTGGGATGGAGCTGAGAATCCTTGGCGCCGTGCACCCTTTTGGCTGGTACTTAGGGTTGCAGCTCAGCGACACTTGACTACACTCCTAGGTGGCGGCCGCGGAAGAATAGTGTACAAGTTCGCCATATGCTTAGTCCTTGCCCATATTCTCGTTGAATCACTAAACCACTTGAGCCCTGAGCTTGTGGTCCATATCAGAGCCAAACTATGCCGGCGCATTGTGAAATTAGAGGTTGAGAAACAGGGGGCTGATGTTCAGCTTCGAGAGCACTATGTTTACATGCTCGGGGTGTTTCGAGAAGTTTTTCTCCAGTCAACAGCTACAGCTACGAAACGACTTGAAGATGACTGGGCCACATTCAGGAGATCTATTCAACGGCCGGTTCTTCCACTCCCGCGTCGCGCCGACGAACGTCATTTGCATCTCACACTTCCAAACAGTGCCAGTTACCTCAGAAATGTTCTCACGGTTTCCCTTCACCGACAAGCCGGATTTCAGTCTTCGATTACATACACCCTTGCACAGCATTACGACGTATCTACTACGATTACCAAACCGGGTACTGCCTTTGCCAATCGATACTTCGTACTATCGGAAATAGAAAACAAAATTGAGCGGGATCTCCAGTCGGAGCCAGAACATGGCAGTCACGGCGAAAATAGATGCCTCAGTATCGCACGGCTGATAAAAAAGTATCTTGCCGCTGCAGCGGGTGCTTATGATTTCAATCCCGAGCAAAAGAGTGTCATGATTTTACGTGTAATGGAGCTCTGGGCATCACTAGATCGAGTTGTTATTAAGCTCTTTCCGTTACTGAGAGATTATCACCTTGGTTTCCAATCAATAATAATGGATGTCTTGCAGCTATCTCGACTCCAAGATATGTCCCGTCTGCAGGAGATACGAGCATATATTCAAGAGAGAAATGCGACGTGCAAGGATCCTCATAAGACATTATTCGGTGACCCGGAGAAAGGGTGCTTTGCGGAGCGGTACTACGACGAATCAACTGACTCACTCAGACTAGGCCAACTTCGCCAACAGATAGAAACAGCGGCTGAGCAAGCTAGAGCAATGAAAGAGCGAGAATGGGAAGATAAATGCGTGAAATATGAAGAATTAGTGAGGCAAATCGCGGGAACAGCATGCCTCTATGTTACGGACCATTTAAATATCAAGGTCCACGCTAGTCGACAGTGTAAGAAGTGTTTTCACGAACGGGAGAGAGAAAGATTCAGGATCCAAGCCCACGAGCACCCTTTACCAACGAACCCAGTCCATGCGAAGGCAGTCGTTTTCGAACTCGGCTGCCCTAAAGAGCTTGCCGCCTACCGGGATATAACATGGCGGATCATAAGTACTCTCGCTCTCGCAACTCTAGTTGAAGGTGACCAGCCTAAAGAGATGCTTAAGGATTATTCCGAGCTCAGGGCTTACTCTCAGTCAATGACCTCCCAATTCTCGCTCGTGTCGGAGAAAAAGTCGTTCCTTAAAACTCACTATGCACGTCGACGATTTCCTGTTGATCTAACCGACGTCTGTCTCCCAAATGGACTGAAGCAATTCAAATATTATGATACAACGTTGAATATATGGCCTGGGAGGCAATCCAAAAAGACTTCATTTGCACACCATTGCGGGATTACATTACCTCCAACCTCACCTTATGCTTCACTGCTACTCTCACCTGAATTCTCTGCCGATGGATCTGGGCTTTCGTCATACCAAGTCGTCGCAAGTCAGACAAAGTGCCCTTCAGGGCTGAATGTACACGAATTTATGGCATTCCAGTCTTTAGTTTCTGGCAGAACTCGAAGGTGGCCCCAGATATTAGTAGAGCTTGGTTCGACGAATCTTAATTTTAGCGCAGAATCGACAACCTTGTTGATGGGCCTACTCGCACTGCAGGTTGGACCATCTCATAAAATTGATCCGCTTGGTGCAGTGCATGTTGCTTTTAGGGACGAAGCATTCTGCAAGAGATTCGTGGAGCAGCTTGACCAGCGCCTCGATAATATATCGCCTAATTATCGCGAGGTGAATTGCATGGAGACGATAATATCTTTTATCCTGAGACTCACACTCCTTGCAGACTCTTTCACTGCAGAGTCGGTTAAGTTGTTAGAAAAGGCCCGAATTACCACATTCAACTGGCTCAAAGCGTTGAGGTCGGAGGTTCAGATAGCCACAGATGCTGATATCTCTCAAAGATGCTCTCGCTACGCCTGCTGGTCAGCCCTGCTCTGCAAACGAACCTTTGCAATATACGTGGAACGCGGTCAACTTTTAGAACCGCCGGCTCTTCGCTGTTTCATTGAGTGTTCGATCACATTGCAGGATAATTTAGTTAGCGATCCGGCTACATTGCCCTTGCTTCTCAGAAATGCCCTCATCCGTGATTTGAAAATGGTACACCGAATGGGGGACATCCTTCGTCGGTCCCTAGAAGCCAGCCCAAGCAGCTTGGTTTTGTCCCTCGAGTCAGTCTGGCCTGATACTGAACTTGCTTCAACGAGATCTTTCTCTAGGTTTGAGTTCCTGGAAGGGAAAAATCAAGGCTGGGTGAAAGTAACCATTGATGCCACATCCAAGGCCCTAGAACAGACGATTCATTTTCATCTACTGGAAGGGCATTTGCTGGTTATGGGCAAACCTGTTGGTAAATTGCCTGCCGAGCATAGAACATCGGCTGTTCTCCAGCAGCTCTTTGGGAATCAGAGCTTGCTAACGTACCCATCTTCTCTCCCTGGAATGACCTACATGTTGGCGATTCTCGTTCATGGACATCAGATTCATCTTGGATTCCGCAACCGGATGCTAGTGGTTAGGGCTTTAGTACAGAACACTGTTCTAGAGCTAATTCCCCAGGACAAGTTTGGTAACCTACGAAATTTTGATCTGCCTGCGTCCCTGCTCATGAACTGTGTTCATTGGCTTGACCTTGAGACAGGTATCATTGAAGTCAGACAACAGCCAGATATATGGAAATCAAAACCTAGTAACTGGACCTTGAATTTCTACACTCGCTCTGCAACCCGCCGCAATGTCACGCTCGTCGATCCGCAGAGCCCACTTTTCTCTAGAATTGCCCGGATCTTTGACAGGTTCGAATATCGCCACCATCTAACTGTATTCCAGCCACACAAAGTACCTTTATCCGTGGAGTTGCGGCGCCTAGAGCTCACCTTCGTTGTCAACGGAAGGAACCTACTCGAATCTCCGCAACTACAGGCGGAAATAGTCATTGACCAAGACGCTGGCACTTGGTATGGCCTGAGTTCAAAGATCGTAATGAAAGATGTGATTCGGCGCCGTGATCCCCGTACCCAACGGTTTATCCATTCAACCCCTGGCCGCCAAATAAGCATCATTGTGCCAATAGGGGATATACGATATAAGCGTTATGGGCCACACGTCATAATTGATGTTCAAAATGACGGTAGTTATGGCAGATATACAGTTAACCCCGTGTTGAAGCGTCTCGACTGTCCGGCTGAGCCGCGACTCCTATATTTGAAGGCCCAATTTCACGCATATACATCTTTTGTCTTACCGGACTCACTCACGGGCCGCACTGGAACTGAAGAGGCGATACCCTGTCTGAAGTCAGGGTATTGCCAACCGTGGACACCCCTTACCGTCGGTCCACAACGAAGTCTCCATACACTCTCGAAACTTACCCCGCGAAGGGAGTACTACCCAAAAGATCTCAAAGTAATGCAGAAGACGCTCTGGGACCCCCAGCTTACGGCGTCTATACAACATGACAGTCTTAGGGCTGTTGTCCAAGATATCCTTGCGAAGTCGGAGCAGCTATCCATGTTCGCCTCACAAAAGGATGAGATCCTTTCCCTGGAACATGGGGGCGAGATTCACTTGACTTCACGGAGCCAATTGAGACGTGAGGCCTATGAACGTCCGAATGATGAATCTGGCGGACAGCAAGCGTTCCCAGATCTAGAATATTTTTCCCGAGATCGATGGATTAATAGCCCAGGACGGTTGAATGTTATTGAGTCCACGGCGCTGATTCGTGACTGGCCTTCAAAGATCTGTACAACACAGGACTTGGCAGGAATTCTCCAGGGTTGGGTCAATATTGGCGGATGTTCCTCCAGCTTCGACAAAGTCCTTTTGTCCGATCTTCTTAACGTGCAGTTTGACGCTGAATGGGGATCTATTGCTAATCTTTGCCGAAGCTGTACCTTCGAGGACGGATATCGGCTTATGTTCCTTTTCGGTATTATATCATTCCGACAGGAAGCCGACATGGCAGTTGTAAGGACCTTGATATCTTTTGCCTTGCTTATGGATTTGAAGCATCTACAGCCTCCAAGTTGGCCAGGTTATAATAACTTTCGCCCCGACCATGTACCAGGCGTGGATTACTTAGTCCAACTAATGAGCCCGTGCCTCACCCCTTATGGCGGCGACGAAAGATCCACTTTCGAGTTTGTTCTTGGTTTCAAACTACGAAAAAAGCTCGAATGTGCTGAGCTGGCACATCAACAACAGCAAAAGAACGACGCTACTGCTCTAGCAAATTTTCTTCTGGAGCAATGGCCGTGTTCGGAGCTTACTATTGAAGGATTTTCGAGGCCTGTTTTAATTAACATTGCTGATGCCATGGATATCATTCGTCCAGAATGGCAACGTTTGTCCCAGAACTTAGAACTTTCGAAATATATTGCTCAAGTACAGTTAGTCTTGGATCAGCATCGCGCTACAGCTACAGTCCTGTCATCTAACATCGAGGTTAGAGAGCAAGAGGTACTTCCGACTCGCATCCGTGGGGGAGAGTTCCCAACTTTAAAAAAGACTCTTCTTCGCAAGACGGTGCTAAGACCCCATACCTCCGCAATGTTTGCGCTAGACACCGTGGTTGTAAATCATTCCCCCACACATGTGCCCAATTCCCAGCGCCAGAAGACCAATAACATATTAACATCTCCCATCTCGCCGGGGCATAAGGTCCCCCAAGTCGCGTGGGAGATTGACGAGCTCAACAAGATTATCGACCAAGTCACAAGGTCTAAGTCAGCAGTCCGACAACAGTATGGAAATGATTTAAAGCAGAGTTTGGATGCACTTCGGGGCCTCAAGAACCTGGTAGTCGATGAAGGGGAAGTAACCGATCTAACAAACTTATCAGAGGCAATCTTAAAGGCTAGAAATCACACTAAAGAGAGGCTCAATTGGCTCCAGGAGACATTTGAAAGGGATGACTCTCGCGTGATCTGGCTTCAGCAAGGTGGGTTGTGGCCTATTATAACCCCAGTTACAGTCCTTGAGAACTTGCGCTCGATTTCACGATGTGTCTTCGGTGATGGTATGAAGGAACTTATCACGGCTTATGCATTATGCATCACCTCGTTACAACGTTTGATTAGAATAGAAGACGCACAACAGAAATCTCAATATCAAAGAATGATAGAAGAGCAACGCAACCTAGGTCACACTAACTGGAATCCACAAGACCAACCGGATTGGCTACTTCTCGAAATCGACGCGAACATGCTTATCCGACCTGTTCAAGTCGATGTTACTCTTGCTACAACCTCGCCATACTCGGGATCGAACTCAGTGTTGCAGATGAACATGGGACAAGGTAATTTGACCGTCTTGGTATGTTTCGAGCTCTACTAACATATTCAGGCAAAACCTCTTGCATCATACCAATGTCGGCAGTCAGCCTAGCAAATGGTAAGAGCTTGCTTCGAGTAGTTATTCCCAAATCTTTGCTGTTGCAAACGGCCCAACTGCTCCAAGCCCGCCTAGGTGGGTTGGTTGGGCGCGAGATCCGACACGTCCCCTTTTCGCGCAAAACTCCAACACATTATACAGCCATCCAGGCGTTCCACAGGATACACAAAGATATAAGAGATGCCCACGGAGTGATGCTAGCGCTTCCCGAACACTTATTGTCTTTCAAGCTGTCAGGACTACAGAGGCTGTCAGATGGCCGCATTAATGAAGCCAAAACAATGATCAAAGTGCAAGATTGGTTAACCGGTAAGGCGCGGGATGTGCTTGATGAATGTGATTCTATTCTTGCAATTAGAACACAGTTGATCTATCCCTCTGGCTCACAAACAACGGTTGATGGCCATCCTCACAGATGGGAAATCGCAGAGGCACTGTTAAACCGGGTTAGTGGACACCTATGGAATCTACAAAAAGACTACCCTCGAAGCATTGAGGTCAGACGTCCTCAAGGTGGATTCCCAGTTGCCTTCTTCCTCCGCAAAGATGTTGAAGATCAACTGATCGCAAGGTTGGTCGACGATATCTACCATCAGCGGATATCGATTCTACCATCGCAAGGTACAAATGCGGATCTCCTTGTGATCAAGCAATTTATCTCGGACGCCAAGGTTTCTGCCCACGTTGCAAAGTCAATTCAGAAAATATATCCTGACAATCCTTCCGTCAAACAAACTCTTCATCTTCTCCGAGGACTGTTTGTGCACCGAATACTACTAATGACGTTGAAAAAGCGTTGGAATGTTCAATATGGACTTCATCCTGGCAGAGACCCAATTGCCGTCCCATATACAGCCAAGGGGTGCCCCAGTGAGCAAGCCGAGTGGGGACACCCCGATGTTGCTATCCTGTTCACATGTTTAGCATTTTATTACGATGGCCTCAGCGTCCCACAACTTCGCCAAACACTCGATCATGTTCTAAAATCGGATGATCCTTCTCAAACATACGACCGATTCTCACAAGGCTCTAATCTCCCCGATTCGTTGCGAGAATGGAATGCAATCAATATAGATGACGAAGCTCAGCTTAGAGAGATCTGGCAGCATGTTCATTATAACGTCGCGGCTATTGATTATTTCCTGAACTGTTTTGTTTTCCCAAGGCATGCCAAACAATTTCAGATGAAGCTGCAAGCTTCGGGCTGGGATATCCCGCTCATGTTACTTTGCCATCACTCAAATGACGTTAATGAAGTCACAGAACCATACAAGCCATTGACTACAGGATTTAGTGGGACCAATGATTGGAAGAGGATGCTTCCTTTGACCATCAATCAGCGCGACCTCCCGGGACTTGCTCATACCAACGCAGAAGTCCTAACGTATCTACTACAACCCCGAAATCGAAGATATGTCCTTGCAGCAGACTTCCGTGGGAAGCACCTGTCCGAGATTGAGCTGCTTAAAAAGATTACAGGCTTTGGGATTCGAGTATTAATCGATGCTGGCGCGCAGATTCTAGAGATGACCAACTACGCGCTGGCGAAGGTGTGGCTTCAGATATTCACCGAGCCTCCAGCAGCTGTCTACTTCGACGAAAAGAACCGACCAATGGTACTGTATAGGAAAGGCTATCAAATCCCTCTTTTAGCTTCCCCGTTTGCCGACGATCTGGGAGAATGCCTCGTATACTTGGATGAGGCTCATACAAGAGGAACAGATTTAAAATTTCCACCGAATGCGAAGGGAGCATTGACTCTTGGGCTTGGGCAACCCAAGGACCATACTGTTCAAGGTTCGTAAAATGTCGCTTTTCAACAACATTCCTATTTCCTTCTTTCCTTCGTTGCTTCCTTAGTACCATGTCTAGTCCTTTGCAGTATCTGACATGTGTAGCTGCAATGAGATTGCGACAGCTTAGTACATCACAATCTGTGGTATTCTTTGCGCCACCTGAGGTCCATCAAAGCATCATGGATCTTCGCAAATATAAGTCAGGAGCCGTCATCGATTCTTATGACGTGATATGCTGGCTTCTGGAGCAGACATGCAGCGAGATCGAGCTACTACAACCTCTATACTTTTCCCAAGGCATTGACTTCTGCCGCCGTGCCCAAGCCGCTTTGGACAACCAAGACTTTCTGGCAGACTCAGACCACCGCAAAATTTACCTTGCCTCTCTACGATGTATCGAACAGCAAACACTGGAGCAATTGTACGGGTTTAATATAAAGGCCAAGACTTTTACGACTTCCGGAAAGCTTTCGCCGTCTATAGCGACATTTAAGAAAGAGCTAGATAAGCGACGGAAGGGTTTCCAGGACTCAGGAAATGCCGTCCACGGTTCAGTACTACAGGAAGTTGAACAGGAAAGGGAAATTTCACATGAAGGTATGTGCTGTAGAGATGATCGGTTCCTTTCCAACATAGTGCTGCAGCACATCGTAAACGGAACTACCTTTTGTTCTAACCCTCAAATGGAGTTTGGGCTATTCGCGATATTGCAACCTCACGCTATGTCTTTAGGATAGAGCTATAGCTGACACTCTTCATAGTGGAAGCCATTAGGGAGGTGCAAAAGCCTGTCCATTACCAATCGCACAATTTCCCAGGGCTTCACAAGGACATCATTGCCTTTGCAAAAACTGGTCGACTTGCTGCAGGTGCTACAACATTTGTGGAGGCATTTGTTGCTCTTGGAAATGGGACAGCCCTAGGCCGTAAATACGGTATCAACAGTAATGCAGTCTCATGCAGGCTGCATGTTTCATATCAATTTACCAAGACAGTCAACTCACCGTTGGATCGCCCTCTTGACCAATTCCAGGTACGTTCGAGCTTAGGGCCTTTCAAAAGGATATCGAGAGCCGAGTTCTACGTCCTTCCAGCCCAGACTAACATTTCTACGTAGCGCCCGGTGAACTGGGCCATCTTCAGCGTGCTAACCGATGTTGCCGTCATTGTCATCCCGGAAGAGGCTGAGCAGCTACTGCGCCTGATGCATGGAGCAGAAAGCTCGCCAACTCATCTCCTCGCATACGCGGCCCCCGTTACAAGAAAGATGCTGCATTTCAATGATTTCAGATACTATTCAGTACCATCGTTGCCCAAAGACTGGGAGGCGCCGATGTGGTTTCGCATTGAGCTCGGCATATTTGCGGCACGTCTCTACTTCCCCTACTCAGAGTACACCTACTTGCTTCAGTATCTTGGGATAAAGCATAATGGCTCGAAACTTGAGGAGGAAACTGAAGACTCTGGTCCCGAAGTCGATGTTGTAGACGACACTAACAAAGAGCCGGAGCTATCTGCGAAGAAGTATGAACTTCCAGCCTTCACCCGCAAGCCCCTTAGCTTTCTTCAAGAGTAGTTATCAACTCGCCGTAAAGGCCAAGATTTCGCACATACTCCTATGGGGTTCGTATGCCAAGGCAAGCCACTCCTCGAGTCTCACCCCTTCTTCACGCGACCGGAAACCGATAGCGAGAGACAGAGACCTGTGCATGTTGGAAGATCGGCGTCTGCAGGGAATAACGAGGACGAGGATGATATTGAGCAAGATTTCTGCGACGATACTTACGGTGGTGAGGTTGGTATTGATGAGAAGGATGCTTTCGACGATGCCCAGTTGAAGGATGATGAAAGTGATAATGATACTGAGAGCGATTACTGAAGGTTTTGCTTGTGCTGTATGCAGATGTCTCGGGCTAGCCGATAATTCAGGCGATTTTGTAGGTGTAGTCGGATGTTACACAATTATTTCTAGATAGGCTATTAAATAAACTCTCGGTCAATTACGATGCATAGCAAAAAGTCAAGGCCACCAATACGCTCTCGGAAGCTTGTATTGGCGAAATTCTCCATTGGCTGAGATGAAAAAAGTGGCCCTTAGGAAATTTAGAGCCTTAAAGAAGATAGCTTACAGAGGAGGCGGAGGAAGGTATGGCGAAGCGATGAAAATATCCAGAATTACGCCCCGGAGACACCTCATGATCCTTCTCTGTGATACTGAGCCAAGAAAACCATACCCGGCCGTGCAACACGACAAAATAGGTAGAAAGTTATAATATAATAAACTTTGATTTTAAGTGCTACGAAGCACATGCACAGTGTCAAGATACGATGTTAATCACTGACTGCGACATTCGCCGAGGAAAACGCAAATCAGATTTGATCATTCGGTATGCCAGAAAAGGCATTCTCGTTTGCACCGAACCTTGTGTAGCACTATGGGTTTAGCAGGTCGTTTTCCCGTGTTAAGGATTCTAAGCCATATTAATGATAGCCATGCAAGTATCCATTTCGAACTACGTCAAACCATCAAACCAGATGCAACTGTACCCACCTGTACGTAGTACTAGGGCAATTATATTTCTGCCCCCGGTAGCGTGCAAGTAAGCATTCCTTATCAGGCTATCCCATTCCTATCTATGTAATGTCGTTTCTTACTAGTACTTTGTTTCATCACGGAAATTTCACATGCAGCAGCAGGAAGGATTGATATCGTGAGGCAGTAGTGCAGAAGGTGCTTCAAGACGTACATTGGTGGTCAGTAGAGTATGGGATATGGGGATGCGGGGATCGGAGAATTTTGTGCTGCAAGAAAGGGGGGAATACTGTTTCACACGGGCAGGTAACTGACTACAGCCACTTTGATAAATAGAGTTTGTCCTTGGAGGCGACGATCAAAGGGACTAGGTGGTAGCGTTGAGAAACGGTACAGTATCATTGTACCTTGTACCAGTGTATTAACCCCCCTTTATCCAACTATAATACCTTTCTCTAACTTTCAATAGCTCCCCTGGCAGTAAGGAGCTGTCCGGGAGGTCTTGAAAGCTTGTTATCTGCCTCCTGCATGTCAAGCCATTCTATTATTAAGTCAAGAAAAACTTTGAGAATCGAAACAATTGGACTTTGGAGGAAGCTATGGTTTGGTTGGTTCCCGGTCCCGAATTGCTCCTGGAAAAAGGGGCGAGTAAACACTAAGCGAGATGGCCGAGGCTTACAGTAGGGGGGTAGCGTGGGTCGCCTCTTGGCCCTAAGATCTAAGATTAGAACAACAGTGATTAATATTTCAAGAACTTCGTACGATACTTGCTCCTGAAGACTCTAGGTGGCGAATCGGAGGATTGAAATGGAGATCACAATTCCTGGCTGCTCCGTAGCTGTCGGAGCAGCCCCTGAAAAAAGAAAACTTGAAAATACATGTTTACTTGGCTGGCGGAAGGTACGGTACCAAAGCTTACGAATGTAACATCAGACATTTTCTGTTAGAGACCTTGTTTTTTTCTGGCGGAGGAGTGTATTCTGTCCTTGTCCAGTCTGGGCCAGATTACTGTATTTTAGGAGACGCGAAATTGGACGCGAAATTCTTGGTGACGGCATGTTCAGGGATGTGTGATTGGCAGCAGAGAAAATAGAATTGGGGTAGGTTAGATTTCAGCCATCATTAGGCTGCCCTTTATGCTTCGTACCTGAATAAATCCCATGGTGCAATGGGATGCCCTTTGAAGGCGACCTGCGCCACAGTTCGAAGCCTCTCCATCCGTCTAAGTCTAGTATATATCCACGGAATCTTTTCCTTTAGTATTTCGCAAAGCTAACGTCGTTTATGACTGCTCTTCCGCATCTGCAATCCATACAATAAACCTTTGCGAGTTTACGTACTGGGTACTTCATAGCAAGTCTGCGTACAAAAGTGGTGGCTGTGATTAAGGCTGCCACTGTCTGACATGGAAATAAAGGGGTATACTCCGAAAACAAAATAGGCTTGGAGATGCAGAGCAAACTGAAGTGACACAGCAGGACTTGAAAAGGTTGGATGCCCTAGGCGAGACTCGCATGGCCATGGCCATCCTAGCTAACGTGGCGGAATGGCAAGAGGGAGAACAACGTCATAGACTGGGAAATACTTTGGTACGAATTACCCGGGCAGTACTTCAGTACTTCGTAATTGAGGGATGAGACGGGTTTGAAGCATTGGAACGACGGATAGGGCGCTGCAACTTTTGTGATGATACAGAAGAATTCGGAGGGCAGGCAGCATGCCGAGGCAGATGAAGTATCAAGCAAGGTACGACTGTAGATTATGTGCTTTGTTCTCCGTACGTCCCTCAGGTACGGTACCTTATTGGGTGCCCGCTACTACTGTCCACTGCTGAGACAACGAGCCACCCGACGCTCGCCTTATTATTGTTTATTAATAATAAGACAACTTCCACTTGTGACTTTCTCCCAGAGTCCCATTCTCCGGCCCTCCCGGGAGGGCGACGTACTCGGGGATTGGGGGGATACGAGTCCGAGAAAGGGGCACCGGTCGTTCCAGAAGGCTGAGCTTGTGAGAGTCTTGACTCTTGAGGCCTTTCCGAGGCCTTATCGCAGAGACTGCTTGTCTATGCAGTGGATATCCCTGGACCGATAAGTGACAGTCCGTCCCGATCCCCGAGAGGGTTGACTGGTTCTTTGGCGTTCTGGCCTCGGAGTTTCCGTCCAAACTCCAGACTCCGGGCATCTTGTGGAGTCCCGAGCAGTGGGATCTATTTCTCGAGTCGATCCAGTTCCTGGGCGATATTATGTTGCAACGGTTTGTAAGCCTGACGATTGGCTCTGGCTCTGACTTTCTGCCAAAGAGGGAAGTAATTAATAATACTTCGTATATCCAATGCAGGCACAGATTGATAAAGTGACATAATCTACATGTACATACAATTAATGTACGGAGCGCGGAGTGAAGTATTGCCGGATTGTGAACCGGGGAGTTCACATTTCCAGAATCTCACGGCTCCCCTGCCAGCGCAATCTTGCAATAATTGCACAGCCTGCCTGCTTCCAAGAAATCGTTCCCTGGAAAACGGTGTCATCGAGTCGTAATCCTTGCGGCGATGTCTCCACCCAGATTGCGCCAACGACGCCAGGTCGAAGCCACGATGAAGCGCCTTGACTGCCCCGGCCTCACTGCTGGGAAGGGCCCTGACCGTTAACTTGGACACCCCACCGCGGTGGCGGACGGAAATTCTCTGATTGTGAAAAATAATCAACCAATTCGTCGATACGTAGTCGAATACGCCAACGCTGTGCTCAGTCTGTATGGTGACACGACAACACTTTGAACACTGGCAGCGCCTTTTCTGCAGGACTCGGGTGACTGGCAGAAGGGAGGCCTTTTCACAGGCTGCTGTACCGCTGCTCGACGCCCTGACAGGTTGTCCCTCGCACAGCACAATCAGCGGGCTGCACCATAAAAAGGTGCTGTCCCATTGTTCACCTCGTTTAGCTGGCCCTCGCGGGGTGATATTGGTTCTGATCAGCGTGTCTCGGTGATATTTGGGTTGTAATAATAAATCAATATTGTAGCCATCAAGAACCGACGATCAAGGCAACCATCACAGCCGCGGCCAGGGCGGGCGCAGGACTTCGTAGCTCCTCCCTCCTATCAACAATACTAGCGATTAGCCTTCTCGTAGTTGCTTCACCTCATGGAGCATATAGTGGTAAGGACCAGATGCGGGTCATTATCTGGGAGGTTGACTGTTGACCAGCGGGCAGAAGAGCTTTGTACGTAGCACAGCGTATCCAGCGTACGTATCCAGCGTACGTATCCACACGCACGAAGTACAGTACACGTACTACGCACACGATAGGGAGGAGTCGAACGACTGCTCCCTGGGCTGACTGCCGACATGCGCAGGGGAGTGTTATTAATTGATTTTTGATTGATTGCACCGTGTCCGAGTCATCATAAGTAGGTACAGTAAATGAATGTACATGTACAGTACCTGCAAAGGACAAAGCATCAAGAGCGGACAAGTTGTAGCAACGATGACCACACTGGCAGACTGACCTGACGGTACCGAGAATATAGTCTCAAAGAGCCCTTAACCATGAAAACCATCAGGCACTGGTTGTTAACAGGCGTGTGATCTCCTGATGTATCTGTATCTTAGCTGTCTACAAATTAGTACCTATTATATGTACTGTATATACTTCACAGGATGACAATATTATTGTTAGTAGGGGGGTGTTTTGCACGGGGTATTTGTGTTATTTTCGCACTGCGTTGGTAGAACGATGCGAGCAACTGGGGCATTAAGGGACGGGGGCAACCAGGGCCAGCCAGCACGCGTCCAAGTCGAGTCTCGACTGCACCCAGGTGGACACCCAGAGACACCCAGAAACAACCGACAACCACCAACCAACCACCCAGCCACAATCCAACGCGAGGAAACGACAACCCGTCGATCCGGCGATCCCAGGGTCATTGCAGATGTCGCTCTGGGTCGTCCAAACGGGGGAGGAGGGCGCGATGGGCAGGCACGCTCACGGTTCCGGGGCATTCCACTCAGATCGGGAGGGCAGAGAAGAGCAGCCAGCATACGACGTGCAGAAAGGATACAGCATACAGCATACAGAGTACATCAGACACAGTACCGACGGAGACAGGAGTCAGATCAGGAGCAGCATCAGGAGCAGGAGCAGGAGCTTGAGCTTGAGCTTGAGCTTGACCACCAGCAGCAGCAGCAGCTTGGGATTCCATTCCATTCCATCACTTTGCCGCAATCCACAATCCACAATCCGCAGTCGCAGTTATAATCAATCAATCGCCTGGCCCATACCTACAGTCTCTAGGTCCCTAGCTACAGTAGGCGCCTGTTGAGTGAGGTCTTGACACTGTTGACCGCAAACACTCCGTCCCCCCGGCCCTGCTGCCAACTTTTCTTGAATATTTTTATTTGCAGCCGCGAAGGTTCCCAGGACCACCGCAGCACGGAGCACAGTAGCGCGAGGTACCTCGTCCCAACTCTGCAACTCGCAACTCGCACAGCACAGCCCGCGGGCATTCTTGCTTTCAGGTCGACAAGGATCGCAATACGAGTAGCGTCCTGCTATTGTCCTCCTGCGCTGTTCTGGCGCCTGCAAAACGCTGCTAGCAATCCTGCTAGTTCTGCTAATTCTGCTAAGTCTGCTAAGTCAGCGCCCGCCTCTCTCCCTCCCAAGCCACCCCAACGGTCCCTACCTCACTCTCCCTCTCGAGTTGGCGCGCGAACGGTCTTTTGACTCAGTTACAACTGACACCACTGACACAACTGACACTCTGCCATACACCTGCTGGCACGCACCTTCTTTCCTCTCGACTATCCCCGACGGCGCCCTCTCGTACGCCCCCATCTCCTGTCCCGTCTCGACGAAAGTGGCCCAAGTCAGGTCGTCGAAAAGCATTTCAGCCATCCGACCCTCATACACGCTCTTTTGCTAGTGCCCCCGTCGAATCGTACGAACTACAGCTACATACAGCCTCCAGCTTGCAGCCCACGACCCGGAACGCCCACAAGCCCCCTCCACTTCTCCAACCACGGCTGCTTCAGATCTGCTCTTCTCGCAGCATTACCCTCGTTCCACGCCAGACCAGGTCCTAGGCGCGCCCACAACAATACCGCCGCGATCTGAGGATCCTGTGCCATTGCATCAGCGCTCGGTTTGGCCCTCCGGCACAGGCACAGCGACACGATCCAAAAAAGCAAACACTAAGCACCCCCAAATTCAATTTCCCTTCTGGCTGATCCTATCCCGGAGTCTGGAGGCGAGATCTTGCCACTCGACTGTACGGCTCGACCGCAGCGGGTCCTCCTGTGCGGTACGGACGGAGTAGCAAGCCAGCACTAACCGCTGTCACTGCATCCCACAACCACAAACTTGGCCGGGCTTCATTAAGCCATATCTGGTTCAGATGGCTCCGTCTCCTCCACGCCTACGGATACTTTCAGGTTGGTCCTACCGCCCGGCCCCTTCCCTACACCGTCTGATCATTGCTTGCTTTCCTTTCCCCCTTTGGGCCCCATCGCGGCAGACAGCTCCTCTAATCCACCATCGCACATTACCCTCGTTTTCCCCCCTTCATTCCTGTGCGGCCGATGAATACATATCTTCAGCGTTGAGATGGATGACAGTCTTCTAATCAGAGTGTGTGTAGTTGGCGGCAACGCGGTATCGGCTTTCCTGTCATGGCGGCTCCAAGCCACCAACGCCTGCGACGTGACATTAGTGTGGAAGACTGGTTTTGAGTCGGTTCATCAATATGGCCTCTCGTTCAAGTAGGTACCGGATGGGGAGCGATTGATTCTAGCGGGCACGACGACTGACTATCCTTTTCGTAGATCATCATACTTTGGCAACGAGCGGTTCAAACCTCGACAAGGTATGCTACCTCCCTCCTTTCAACCCCACCTAACAATGGTGCTCGTAGCTAATTTTTATTTTACAAATTAGTGGTGCGAGCTCCAGAAGATGCATCACAAACGAAGGGGGGTGCCTTTGACTACGTCCTCCTCTGTGTCAAGGCCCTACCAGATGTCTACGACCTTGCCGCCGTCATCGAGTCCGTCGTTACCCCACAACATACATGTATCCTCGTTAATACAACACACGCGTTAGGCGTCGAGGCCCATATCGAATCCAGGTTTCCTAGCAACGTTGTCCTGTCCCTCGTTTGTGGCGCGGAGATTACACAATTAGCTCCCAGCGAGTTCGAACACAAAGGGTCAACGGAGATCTGGGTTGGGCCGGCAAATATAAACCCATCGATGCCGGGCACGATACAGAATGATATGGCTGAGGCATTGGCAATGACCCTGAGCAGTGGGCAGGTGGACTGCCATGTTTCCAATAACATACGCCAACAGCAATACGAACGTATGATCGGGTAAGGAAAACTGCATCCCGAATGTGGGAAAATCTACTAATGATAGCTTTACAGCCCAATTGCCTTCCAGCCCCTGAGCGTAATATTCGAAACCCCTTCGCATTCAGCCTTACTAGAGAAAGTGGGCGTCAAGTCACTGATATCTGATATTTTTGACGAGCTCCTCAACATCGCCCAAGCACAAGACTGTCGTTTCCCTGCGGATTTCAAGGCGAAGGTCATGGGCGAAATGGTGCGACCAACAGAGGCAAACAGTATCATGTACCAGGATTTTGCCGCCAGACGACCAATGGAGATTGAAACATATCTAGGATCGCCCATTAAGCTTGCACAGAGTGTGGGTGTTCAAGTACCACGCATCGACACTTTATATACGATTCTTCACAACTTAAACATTGTCAATCAGCAGAGAAAGGATATTCCGGCGCCGTCTCCAGGCCCCAATGGGGCCCCAGCACGGTTGTCCTCTCTTCCGCCCGGGAGAGCGATGATGAATGGCCCTCCCAATGGCATGGGACCCAACAGAGGCCGCGGAAGAACGCCATCGATGAATGGCCCCCCAATGGGCATGCGCAGAGGGCCTCCGCCGATGAGTGGTGGCCCAGCTAATGTATATGGTAGAGCTGTGAACGGCAATGGATACCCTGGTCCCCGAAACCAATCCAGAAGGGGCTCGCTGGATGGCAATGACCTAGAAGAATTCAGCCACCTGGTACTGTATGATGATATTCCGGAATCGGGGGAATCTAATTATGGGGGTGATGGTCCTGAAATGGGAATGCGTGAGCGAGAACTAATGCTCCGACAACGAGAGCTTGCATTGAGAGAACAGGAAATGAGAATGCGAAGTCGTGGCGGCCCCGGACCCCGCAGATCAGCCGCACCATCAATACGAAATGGTGGATATGATGACGATGACGACGAGGACGGTTTCGATCCTCAAGATGGCCCTCCCCCACCCGTAATTGATCCTGATAACTTTGATATGATGAGTGTCACCTCTCGTCGAAACCGCAAGGCTCCTAGTGCAAGCCAATTCCGCAAGAACCCAGAATTTGGCGACGCTCCTCCGCGGAGAGGGGGTGGTTTCATGCGCCCTGGATATTTGAGGAACCGGGCTAGTGCGCAAATGATGAGCCAAGTCCCTGGCCTACATGATAGCCTGATGGATGACCCCCTCATGGGCTACTCGTCGAACCGATATGGCACGGTTGATCGGCAACAAATGGGAAAGGAGTCTAGGAATAACTCGCTCACATCTGTTAGACTCGACGAGCTACAATATGGCGGACCTCCCCACCCCAACGGTGCCGGGCCTTATCCACGGCGAGCGAGTCAATCCCCAGGCAATCCATATAGTCCGCAGATGGGGAGAGGTGGCAGACCATCGCCTCCCAACGGATACGGCCCTCCGATGAATGGTCGGCCTTCTCCGCCAGGAGGTATGATGAGGCAGCCGGTCCCGCGTCATCCTCCCGGTCATGGAAATTCGGTTGCACCGCAACAGGTTGAACAATATGCAGGGGTGAGCGCCCTCCATCCTCCGAAAGGCCCCATGAACGTTCGAAGTCTGACGGGTAGTGCGAGTGCTAGCGCGGGGAGTGGTGATAGTGCCAATATCGATTCCGAGCCCTCTGCTCATAGCAGCCAGAGCAGTCTTGGACCACGACCGCCCACCGGCGTACGGTAAACAAAAGGAGTTGCGAGGCATGATTTGGTCATGCTAGGAGCACCGGTATCCAGTTAAGCAAGGAGATACAACCCTAATAATTCTTACACGAAGGTCCTTATACTTCGATTCACGGCCTACTCGACTCGGATTCGCGCAAAACTCGATCGAATTTTTTTCAACCTTTCTTTAATGCAGTCTCATTGAAGACTGAAGAACACGACTAGGATCTGCGGCAGCAGTGGAAATAATGAGGAATTATCGGAAAACAATTAGACTTTGGGAGCTTCGGGGTGCACACATTTCTTTTCTGTTTCTGATCCTACGCAGGATGACACGAGTACATATACAACACAGCATGCTACAAGCACACCCCTCGAAAACACACACACAAACACGTTATTGTTTTCTTCCTTCTAGTAATACCTGCATTCGGGTCGGCGTATGTCTTTTCGATTGATAGTCCCGCATATAATTCCGAGCAAGGCAAGCATTACTCCCTGGAGACACATATATCGAAGGGGTGTAGTTCTAGCTCTTATTAAGTACTCTGACAGTCGATTGTCGAGTTTTTTTCACAAGTGGGAGGAACTCACTCTGGGGGGGGAGAAATTGGGGAGGTCTGGACTGTCTGGCGCTGTGTATGATTCATTAATCTCAGGGAGGAATTGACCGACGGCGAATGGATGATGGCCTCTATTTGTGGCCTTGGTGCTTATGGCGATGTGGTAGATGGGGAGGGTGGCATGAATGGATTGTATAGAACCGAGAGAGAAAGGACAATTAACGTGCTTACTGCCAGCATTGGGAAAGTACACCAAGCTGTAAGTTGGTAGGCAGGTTATTTTCAGCCGCAAAAATATAATGACTCCGTCCAAACTCTGTCCTTGTCGTTGAAGCTATTCTATTTACATGTCCTGTCCCGTCCTACTACTACTCGCCACATACCCTGGACAAAATTAGGCAAACGGACATTTCGAATAAATCCAGAAACGTAGAGCAGACGCGCTAGCACCTTTACAGCGTCCGCCCGTTCTCATATGGCCGAGGGAGGAGAGGAGTGGCTTCCCCACAATTTATATGTGTAGGTACGCCTGCCTATTCTTCCTTGGGGTAGAATTTATCCGTGATTATGAGTCCATGTTTCAGCAGCATAGCGTTGGGCGTTGATCTATGGCTCACTTTTAGGTAGAAGTAGTCCTCCGCTGCCAAAAGATTTCCAACAGAATGATGCCCTATCTAGCTTCTTTCCCTTATGGTAAGCAAAATCAACACAGTAATTGCCGTCGCCGTGATTTAACCCTCTTGGAAACCTTTACCTAAATGCCAAAGGAAATATGAACGGAGAGTGACAAGCTAAACCCCTCCTCCAACCATTTATCATAATATCATAGCATATACAAGCGTCGACCATCCCACCAATGCCACCACCCTCAGCTTGCTCCTTACTCTCCCTGCTGCACTCTTTTTACTTAGGCCAAACGGCAAGCCCTGCTCACTAAACGTGATATTCTGCTTGATTGTCGTGTTGACACACTGTCCATTCACAATATCTAGGCCCTTCAGATCATCAGGTACTGTGAAGAACATGTACGTGCTATTATCCAACCCCTTGAACCCAGATGTGTTGTAGGGAAATTTATCGCCAGAATCGGTAGCAGAGGTGTTGCGGAGGAATATGCATTTGACCTGACCGGGGAAGTCGGTCGCCATGCCAGGGTAGTCTTTCATTACGTCGCTGTTGGATGTGTCGGCCATGAGGACAAACTTCCGTTTTGGGTAGGTTTGGAAGATTTTTGTGAGGAGAAATTTGCGGATGGAGAGTGTGGCGGATACGTCGGAGAAGTTTAGGGGCCGAGTATCTGAGGATATTGGTATTAGTGATATGATTTGGTTGTGGAATGGGGGGAAGAGTAGTTAAGGGGGCGCAAGGTAGCACATACCAAATGAGCCCCCAGGATAGGTTTTGTAAATGAAATCCATGTAGTTCCGCGTTACTTGCTCTGGAGTCGTGGTGAGATAATGGAAGTGGAAATCGGGGATGCTCTGGCTCCAATTGGCGTAGATCTCGGGCATATTCATCCAGGGCGTGAAGGCCTTCGCGAATGAATTTAGCAAACCATCGGCAGGCTGGTAGATGCGTGTTACGCGGAGGATGTCATCGATATCCGAGATGATAGTTAGGCCTTCCTCGGGCACGAGGAAAGACGTTGCGTTGCCAGTGTCGGTCCCGTTGGCGTAGACGTTGAGCCGCTGGAGCTTCTGTGTGCCATTGCCCGGAAGGAGGTAACCGCCGGGACCAGAAATATTTGCCAGCGGGACAAACTGATCGAAGTCTCCTTCAACAGTCGTCTGTCCCACCAGTGTTATGTTTTGTGACCCTCCTCCTGGAGTGACTGCATTACTTCCGGTCCCCGTGCCATCTGAGCCTTGCTTTGCTGCTGGTTCGATATTGAAAGAAACATTGACGTTTCCCTGTTGGACCACAAAGATCTCGGCCGTCAGATTCCGAGCTTGACTTTGTTGTGGGGGTGGCAGGTCTTTAATTGACGTGCCAACGAGGAAGATATCCGCCAGTTGGTCGAGTTTCGACTCAGAGATATTGGGCTGCTTGTAGACATTTCCGCGAAACCGCAGATTCCATCCTTGATCTGTCCAATTGGCATATGCTCTACATTATCATTAGTACGGATGTACTGTGCTCCAAATTTCGGAGATATATATATATATGACTCACGGGATATTCAGGACCTGAGTAGGTGTTGCCGCTAACTCATTGTCGCTGATGCCCAAGCTTTTTTGCACGGCAGTTCCTGTGGGAAAGTCTTGGAAGAAATTTGGGACTCCGCTCGCGACATAGTCAGGGAACGAGCCTATAGCACTAGTGAGAAATCCCCCCAGGCCTTCGAGGGAGCTGAGAATGTCACGGTCCTCGAGTTTAGAAGTTGTTCGGTCGGCCAAGGATGCTCGGGGTGTGATCATAGGATGCGGTGCTGCAGAAACAATCGGCGACGGGGCTGGAGCTGGAGCTGGAGCTGCGAAGGTAATTGGCAATAAGGCCAGCAAAATCCGGACAGAGCGTAATAACTTAGGCATGGTAGCGGTGCTCGCGCAAGAGTAATGAGGGCAGGTAGAGCAAACTAAGATCCTACAAACCAAGAGCACGATACCGACGCACCGACACGTCAATTGAAAAGCACCAAGGCTACAAATGAGTAGTATAGGCGGGGATGAGAAGGGAAAACATTATATATATTATCCACACGTGTCCGTTAAATAGTGGGATATTAGTGCTGTTACTGTTGGTGATGTTGTTGTTAAATCCGGCTGCCACCAGTGCCTCTCAACGACGTCATCGAGGGTTTGGGATTCAGGGGTTATCCTTTCCTTCCCGTTTCCGCGCTTCCGCTTCCGCCTCCGCTTCCTCCGCATGTATCAAAAGCTTGTGCTGTGCGCTATGCGCGGTGTCCCATCCCGCCAGGATATAATTTCACGTTTCTCTTCTCTCTTCCATAACCATCATCCTCTGTCCTCGGCGGCGTTAAGACCTTCGCTGCTCTCTAAGTAGCTGGAAAACAATAACTTAAATCTAATCTGATACGACTCGGATAGTTGCGCTAAGTATAGACACCCGTATTTGAAAGAATACAGGTATAAGGACACTCGTTATGTTCTAACCAGGTACCTTGCAAGACAAGTCACTACAGTACTTGTACCAGGAGTTTCTCGGGAAATGTGATGCCACCAAGATAATCGAGAGAGAGGTCTCCAAATGCATGCCTCAGACTATGCCAATGCCAGTCCAGTTCTTTGCTTTCATGTATATTTCCCACCGGTTTCGCCTTGATATTGACTCCTTGCATTGCCCTCAAAGTCATCATGGTGTTCAGTTTTAGTTGCTAGTCGAAGAGCAACTCCCGTTATCTTCTCAAGACTCGAATCACCAGCTGGTTATATATTTATAATCCCGATCCTATTAGAAGTAGTATATATCAGCCCTCTTGTGGTCCAGATGGTTGCAACAACCGGGAACCTTTGATAGACGCATATTACTGAGGCGGAATTTCTAAGCTCAAGTGTTCCGAGATGGAGTATTTCTGGGTAGAATATAGCAGAGTTACAGTTCCGGGTGTTATATGTCTGGATTTAACCCAATTATCAGTGCTATCAGCTAGCTATCTTTTAGTTCCCGCCTCAAGCATAACTTAATCGTGCTCTGGTCAATCAAACGCTGTTATTATCTCTATACAGCCTAGCTGTTGTGGCTCAGAAGGCGCGCTGCTTTTATAGCCTCTATGGCCGTGCCCCGCGGTAATTGGGGACCTTACACGTAACCGTCTTATGGTTGACTCGACCTCTTAATTTGCAAGGCCCTGTTCAGAGAGCTTATGGTTTCTTTTCACTCATTGACGTTGTACTTGGAATCGATAATTTGGTAGTTTATTGGTGCTAGCGGTTCTCAATAGCGCTGCCCACCAATTTATGTTGAGCGTCAAATGTCCCGGAACACTCGTAACTGCCTCTCTTAATTAGGAATTGCAATAATTACAAGTTTAGCTTAAGTAGTGGTGCTTAGGCTGCTGAATTTAGGCAGCTTTGGGCGCTGCTCTATGCCACCCCAATACCAATCTCTAGGGACCCATAATTGATGCAACTACATGTGATTTCAAAACACCTTCCTCTCCCCTTTATCTTACTAATCTATGGGTCCCTCACGCTCATATATCTGCAATACTCGCAAGTACTTCAGCGTGCTGCCTCATTAAGCCCTGAACCGCATCTGCCAACTCTCCTCTCCGTCTCTCCTCTTCCTCACGGCCAACAACCTCCATGTTACTGGGCTGTTGCGGCGCACAAGCCAATGCTATAGCAATATCGTTCTCAATAGGTACAAAAACTGACACTAATGATTTTTGCAAGGTACTGAAAGCTGCCTTAGCCGTGGCTTCGATGTCATTTTTTATTGCTCTCGAGATGTTAGGGAACAATGTGCCGTTCGTAATTCGTCCTTGCACGGTGTGTTGCTGACGAGCTCCTTTACCAACGCCTGCTCCAGCAAAGGGATATTAGTATGGAGTTTAAGTTGATTTAGATGTCGATATTGCTTCGGTTCTAATAGGGGGCGGGTATACTAACCGCATTCTTGGGCTGCCGATCGGTAAGCAGGAAGCATTTCCGCAAGTACATAGGAGGATTCATTCGGCTCTGATGCTTTAGAGCGAACAATTCTATCCGATGTAAGCACAGGAGTCCTTGGCCGAGCGAGGCTCAAGAGTTGCGCAATTTTGTCAGACGCAATAAAGCCTAACTTACCTGACTTCCTTCGCAAAACTTTTCTCTGCTAGGCTGAACTTGTACTTGATATCTTGAATTCTAAAGTCAATTCCTTCAATGAGTAAGGGGCTGCAGCCTTTCTCTTCACGTGAATGTTAGCTAATTTACCGCACAAGGACAATATCTTTTAACTTGCCTCTCATCTCTGACTGCAATTCCAGTATGGGCGCTTTGGCGGACTGGAACAATGTTTCAAATAGCGTTGGAATGTCGTCTTCTAATGTTTCCCATTGAAATGCCATCTCCATTCTCATTTTCCAGATGAGGTCAGCGTTCCAATTCACCTTGCCTCGCTTTTCCGTCCAATGGTCACCATCTTTCCGGCACCAAGCATTGTACTGAGCTACCACCAGCTAAATTAGTTCACAGTAATTCAAGTTATACAATGTATAGAGACGTTACTCCAATGCCACTATATTGCGTTAGAATGCGATTTGTCATAAATAAGAGATAAGATATCACCACAGTACACCAAGTTCGACCATTTTGTGCCGCCACGTTTTCCCAAGCCTCATTTTGTTTGTCTTGAATAAGTTAAATAAGCCCTTTAACTCACAAACCTATAGCTAAACTCACCTAGAAGTTCAAGAACCAGCTCCTGAAATGTTTCCTTAAATTCGTTTTTAGCCCGAGAGACAGCGTCCAATGACTCCTAGAGTTAGCCAAACGTCAATATGGCATAAAGTACATCACGAACCTCTTGTTTTCTATTGTCAACGGCGAAATAGATAGATTCATCCAAATTAGCCTCCACGGTTTGCTGGGGTTCCGTAGGTTTGGCCGCCCAGAGCTTGGCTGAATTTAGAAGGCTCGACAGCATTGAACGAAGGCAATTCTTAGCTTCGAGTAGCTGCGCATGAGCGGTTATAGTGTAGCAGAATCGTCGGAGCTCCGGTATACCACTAGCTTGAACCATTTCCACATTGCCTTTCTTAGCAAACTTCTCATATGTTGTGTTAGATACGCAAAATACTTCCAGTTCTCCCTTCGGGATTTTCGAGGAATAGGTTCTTTGTAACCCTTCTTTGACGTGAATACTGCGAGCGTTAATGAGTAGTAATTCTTGCCTATAGAACGGTTAATAGCTTGATCGCCAGCATGCCCAAACTTTCATACTTTCGCTTCAACTGTTTCTTGAGGGATTTATCGCCGCGCCTCTTTGCCTCTTCAATATCTTTATCGAATTTCATCATTACTTCTTCAGCTATTCTCTTATTCGGCCCACAAAATTCTCGTCTCGCCGCCTTCTGATTGATATCCTAGTAAAGTTAAGTGTAAGCCATACGCCCAACCAACTTAGGCGCTAGAATACAACCTCTGACTTGGTACAAACAACGGCAATTTTCATGCTTTTGCCAATGGACTCCTCACATTCTAAGTCAGCGTGCCTGGATAAGATAGAATAGAGGGATGATTTCAGCGACTGATCACTAATCGCACGAGAAATTTTTGCAACTATGAAGATATGATCACATCTTAGGAGATAGTCCTGCGTTGCTTTTACTCTTGCTAGATTGGTATCGTGTAGACCTGCGTGTTTTGTCAGTTGATCTGTCGCATCGGAGGCCTGAGCCACAAACCTGGCAAGTCAGCGAGAACAACTCCAGTCTTTAAGACGTCTGCTCCAAGATAAACACTAGCGATAGTCGTCAATTAGAAGCTAATAAGTACGTGGTAGGGCATGGCGCGAATCTTACCGGATGATTTTTGTGAATGGCCAAAACCGGTCTTGCATAAACACACTTGTCTTCTCGCAGCATTCATCTGCAGTGTCTGCCGTTGACGTCCACTTCCCACTCTCTCCGCTGTCTGGCCAATTAAGTTCATGCGCCCACTGAACCAGCTGATTATTTGCTATAGCCAGCCCAGCTTCAGACATGTCATTTATAAGCAAATCTTTGCTAAACTCCCTCTGATGGCTAAATCCTGCTTCAAGCGAGGACCATGCTTGTTCTGATACACGTTGCATCATAGTGTACTCATTTTCAGTAACGTTTTCACCTTCGCTGTGCGGAAGGTAAATTCGACGGTAGTTCCAGATAAGTTCCTTAATTAGATCTTCAATTTCACTCATAGAGAGGTACTCGACCTCGATCGTGATAGGCGCCACATGAATGGCCGTCTTCTGTCTATACTCAGTAACAACTGAGGTGCAAGCTGCACCTATATCTCCCTATCGAGTAGTCAGGTTGAGAAACATTCGTGCTGTAATATATACATACGGTTTTGGCGATATCTGGAAAGTGAAGTAGAGCGTTGATGAGACTACTCTTTCCTAAAAGCATATTAGATCTATATGGCTTGATTTAATGGCTTGTATACATACCTTCGCCCGAGTCCCCTAGAATGGCGATGGTTCTTGTACCGGGGCCTTTAAATGTACTTAAGCCTTTAGCATCACTAATCAACCTTTGCAGAACGCCCCCTTCTACTATAGATAGCCCTGCCTCCTCCATCGCGCTGGCTGCATCCTTTGCAATATCAAGTCCTCTTTGCAGCGCTGTTTGAAAAGTTGAGGTGAAGAAGGGCTCCAATGGCGCCTCCTCACTTCCCACAATATAGGGGCTTGTGGGATCGCTGTTATAGCTGATATCGCTTGTGAAAGAAGTGGCCGACACGCTTCGCCCATGTAGATACAGGGATGAACTTGAACCTAGCTCTGACATTTGACTAAAGGGAGGAAGCTGTGTCTGAGGCGGAGTAGATGGGCCCGCCCCAGTGGAGGCCAAGCGCCCATCAAGTAAAACAGGTATAGGCATTCCGAGATCCTCGTTTTCAGTAGTAGCAACTATCTTTTCGTCGGAATACAAGGTATGTAAAGACTGAGGGTCCTCTGGTTCAAGCCTTGATAGAATTGGCAAAGAGAGATCACTAGACCGAGTCTGCGAGCCTAGAGATGGGGAGAATCTCATCGTGTCGAGCGGGGGAGCGGCTCCTCCCCCAAATTCGAAGCCGTTGTCCTCATAGCTAGAGGTGAGGAAATTTCCTGTTTGGCTGGTAGTGACATTGGCTGCATTCGCAGACTTAGGTCTTCGTGGAGAGAGGTTGTTAGAAGCTGGAGAGATCTCTAGAGGTTGCTCGAGACGCTGAGCATCTGCGGAAAGCGGCAATGTAGAAAGCTGGCCTTGGTCGCTGTTCGAAATGTTTCGTCGTTCTCCCCGCTGCCCGAGGCTCTTCCTGGATCTCACTGGCAAGATCTTGCGCTCCGGAAAGGAATTGGACATATTTCATTTAGAACTGGGCAATCTAGAAAGGACTCCGTCGTTGGAAACTTGGGTGGCAATACGACTGTGTTGTTGTTGATCACGAAGGCAACAGAAGATGGCAGCTTGCAACGTCTTCATGTGAGACGGGGTCCAACCAATAAGCCACTCCCAACAACCAACAACCAACAACCAACATGCAGCAACAGAGGGGTCAGTCGGCCGGGGTGGCTGTCCGTGCCAAACTGCAAACTGCACCGACTGAGGTGTAAGAAGCTGGTCACATGAATAGCTAGAGAAAGACTGGAGTAGAACTCCAGTCTTCAGTCGATGTTCGACATGCTGTATTGTACCTACTCCGTACAATATATAACCTTACGGAGGTAGGCAGCGGGTCTCGGAGTATATCCTTGAAGGCGAATACAAAGTAGAGTCTTTCATCAGTATCTGCGAGCCAGCGCTATCTGATGGCAGCATGAAACAGCGTGAAGCGCCGTTAATATCGCCGTCATCATCGCCGCGGCGAACGCGCGACTAAGATTACGCTTTATATTTCTTAAGAATCTTGACTCCTCGGGCGCCCCAAATTTCATATTACCATATCTCTACCCGTGTGAATAAATCATGCAATGGCACCGCGATCTCTCAACTAGGCTAGCTGTTTAGTTGTATAAAATTTCCCTCCTTGATCTAAGTGTATCTACCTATCCTTCTATAGATTTCCACGCCAACTGCCTACGAATCGCCTGCCATCTGCAATAATACTTGTCAAATCTTTTGGCGAGGCCGCCCTTCCCCAGCGGCCGCATAGTCTCATTCAGAATCTACCTACCGGCAAGTCTCATCGTATATCCGCAGGATTTCCTCCGCAATCTTTGCCGTTTCTGCCTCCTCCGTAGGAAGCCGATGTCCAATATCAAACTCCAACTTTTTGGCAGTCTTCTTATCAAAATACCGGTCAAACAATGTCCTCCCACTCTCCGCCCACTCATCATCAGCACCCACAACATGCAAACTCGGAAGCTCAATTATGTTGTCCTTCTGCTCATCTTCAACGAGATGCTCCGTCATTGGGGGCGAAATCCCATGAGTAAATACCCCGAACTTGAAATTAAACCCATCGCCAATTCCCCTCCCTCCAACGTCCCCATTCCTCCTCCTGAACTCTTGCTCCCAAAGCAGTCCCGCCGCCAACTTCGAGCCCTGCGAAAAGCCCAAAACGCCTACAACATCACCCTCAATCGCCAATATTGCCCTTACAATTAATTTCCTTGTCTCGGGCGGCATGTGCGTGACGCTCTCGTCGGGGCGCAGCCACCGGAGATACGGACCGCAGCCTTCAAACATGGGTAAGACGCCTGGGCCAGGACTGGAGTCTATGGGTCCATCGAGAAAGACGAAGCGGAATGACTTCAGTAGGGCTCGCTGGAGACGCATTGTTTGCACGTTGAAGATTGTAGCGTTGGTGCCACTGCCATGGAGGCAGAGGATTATGGGGAGGTTGGAGCTGGGGCCGTTGAGGCCATTGCTTATAAAGTTTGGTTGGGGGGATGACTGTGCCATTTCGAAGGCCTGTATCCGTCAAACTGGATTTAAGATGATGGACGGGTTTTGTTTAATCTTCTATCCCGTAATAGTGTCGAGCTGGACTGTTTGAAATTGTGAGATGCTGTCGTGGGTCGCTATATTTAGAAGTTTGTCAGCCGGATCCTACCTCTTCCTGATATTTGCATCTCCTCGCTAGCAAATGGATTGGGATGCCGTCATAATCTTCCAATACGCGTGAAACCTCTCCGCTAAAATTTACATGAATATTCCAAAGGATTGGATTTTAAAGGCGCTGAGCATTTGAGTCCATGATCACGTGAAATACATTACGTGAGCACTTTTCCGGTGCAAGATTGGAAGATATATATATAATCTATTCTATTGCTACTAGTACTAGAGTAGAATGATTCTTTAGTCTAATTTATTTCCGTCAACATTCTACCTCGAAACAGCTTGGACGGTTGAAACATTAGTCACGTGAATAATTTACCCATGGCGGTGACCAAATCCGAAACCACTCTGCGGCGGCAGAATTGTTTCCCGTCAACATCAACATCAACATCGCCAGCCTTGTGGAACAAAATAGCACCGTCGATCGGAATCAACGAATGCAACCCAATTTCCTGATGAACTGCTTCTAAAAGTATATCTCTTTTCTGTTCTAGCGTCACCCATGACCACCTGTTTAGGAACTAATTGGGGGAAGCTAGTGGTAGTTACGAGCACACTGACGCCAACTATCCATCACCTCGTATTAAGAAGGCTGTAACGATAGCCTCCCCCGCAGGAGACAGTGACCATAGCTCACCTATAAGAAGACTCGCCCTCAAGAGCAGTGACGATGGCTACGATATGGCATCAGCGAATATAGATTATATTCTTTGACAACAACACTCGTCGCCTTAGGCACGCCTCCGTTCTCCTCATTTCTCCTTCCGCAGCCGACACTGCGGTGGTCTCTCCCACCGAAATACATATTGCCCATTCTCAATTGCCTTGCGCCGAGAGCGAGATCCATAACTCGGCACGGGCGTTCCATCCTCCGCCCTCAACCCTGCCATGTAAGGTAGGTCTTTAGCTTCCTGCATATCGGGCCATTCGCAGAGCTGAGGCACGCTCAGATAGAGGTCGATGTCGCCCTCGGATTTGCGCTTCACCGCGCATTCGTTCAGTAAATTGCGGGAAAGCGGACACGTCCCTATCGAGCTCGCGGCGGACCGGCCATTCAAGCAGATTCTGCACCTCTTTGTCGTCCCGTTCCCAGTAGTGGATTCCCGTGTATTCGTTGTTTCCAGTGATGATTTCGTAGAGGGTGTAGATGACTCCGGTAACATCATCGCGCCGACCCCTCAGTCCTACTTTACCCTGTGCGGCCCAGTCAAAGTCGACGAGACGGGTTCCCTGAGTGTCGGGGTCGATGAAGATATTTCGGGGTGTGATGTCCTGGTGCATGATTCCCAGCTCCAGGTTCAGGAAGTCTACAACTGAAGTCAGTTGTTGCAGCCACTCGAAACGAAAGGGGGTGGTGGTATTCTCTTCCGCCGGAAATACAACGGTTGGTAAACCCAACCAGTTGGAATTCAACGTCTTCAAGAACGACGCGGTCGAATGGAAGCAGATTAGGATGCGGTGGAAGAATCTTCAGCACTTGCAGTTCGTTCCACGCCATTTGCCGTCTCGTGGGTGTCGAGCGATAACGGGAGGTTCCTTGCCCTCAAATGGCGGAGGCTGGTCCAGCTTGCCTTTGATGGTGAGCATCCGTCTTTGATCCCAGTCGAAGAATTCGGTTATAACCCCAGACTTCCAGTCTACGACGCTGCTTCCTGAGATGAAAAACCGGAAGTCGTTTTGAAGCATATTTGAATGGAGGATGAGGCGAACGGGGAAAAGTCAGAGGACTTGGGGTTGTATCAGAAGATCAAGGACGAGATTTGAAATAGTACTGGTTTTCGGTAGGTAGTAGTAGTATTGAACTCCAAGTTTGATGAGGATGGGAGGTGACCAGGTCTGTGCGGTGCGGCAGCAGACTTTAAACGAGTCATATGAGAGTATATATTCCCAGTCTTTATTTCTGTCGTCACATCTGTTGCCTTTCATAATTCAGTGACTTCTTTGCCTTTCATTATCACTTAGGCTCTACTTCACTATATAGAAAGATTTAGCAAGGCTACGGCATATTTTATTAATTCTAGTAAGAGACGAAAGTAGGCTTCTTAAAAATGCATGATGGAAAATAGTAAAGACAATACATCCGCACCTTAAATTTAGTGAAGAGACAATGTATAGCCTTTAGCTCGTGTAAAGTTGACCGAAGTCATATGCATGATGCTACTTAAGCATCCAGTACATTAATACCACTAACGAAGAAGAAGGGGTTGTAGGTAATGCCTAAGTACCTATGTATGTATGCTTGACGACAACCCCCATATATATACTCCGTAGCTAAGACGAAATTAGATGTAAAGGTGAGCTGGAGGTGTAAACAAACCTAAGCAGGTTAAGCCGAAGTTGAGCCGGGTGAAAATTGCTTATTAATCAATCGTAGATACTACGTAACTTTAAGGTATTGCTGGATACCATTGCTATCCCTAACATAAACCTCCAAAATGGCGAAAGAAAAGTCCATCAACCCAGCCCAAGCCCAGCGCAAAGCCGACAAAGCAAAGGCTATCAAGAAAGGTATTCTTGTCACCCCCTCCTACATCCATATTCTCATTTGACTAACCTATCCAGGCAAATCCGAAGTTCTCGCCCGCCGCAGCGAAAAGCTTGCCCGTCGCAACCCGGACCGCCTCCAAAAACAGCTCGATGATCTTAAAGCCATTGAGAGTTCGGGAGGTAAACTCACGTCGCATGAGAAGAGCGTCTTAGAAGGGCTAGAGAGGGACGTTAAGGCTGTGAGGAAAGCGAGAGAGGCATTAGGGGATAAGGCGCCCAAGTTCGGCTCGGGAACATTTGACAGGAGAGAGGGAAGAGATGGGCAGGGGGTGCTAGGGAAGAGGAGGAGAGGAGGAGATTCAGAACCAGGCAGTAGTGACGAAGATGTGCCAGAGGATGTGAAATCCATTCCCATGCCGAGGGACACGCCACCGCCGATCCCGAAGGAGGTATTGGATAAGTGGTATCAGAAACGAAGGGACCGGATGGGACAGACTGGGAGGGGATCCAATGCCAATGCAATGCCCTTGGGTGACAATGCCAGAAATATACCAGAGAGGTCTGTTGCTGCAAGTACGCTGCCGCCTGTGGAGGCCAAGACCGTGTACGAGGCGAAGCCTGTTGTGAGGGATTTGAGGAAGGAAGCTGTGGCTTTTGTGCCGGCTGCTGTGAGGGCGAAGCTGGACAAGTCAAAGGGTGTGGGGGGTTTGGTTGAGCCCGATGAGGCGGATAGGTTAGAGAAGGAAGGATATATGCCAACAGCAGGGTCTGGAGCAAGGAGTGGGAGTGTTGAGGAAGGGAGGCAGCATGAGGGCAGCTTGGTACGGCCTACTTCACGAGTTGTTACGATGGAAGAGGTGGAGGATGAAGAGGGCTAGGACAAATACTGTCGCTGACGAATACGTCTACGGATTGGATAAAAACACTTATGGTGTCTGGGTCGAGGTCAACTGAGTCTATTCGCCATACTCCTAGGATTAAAACGCCGCGCGCCAGTTGTTAAGTGACTACGCTTTCTAGCAACAACCTAAAGGATGCCTCTTGACCACATCAATCGAACCCCAAATATCCAAGAGGGCATATTGCTGGAAGCACAAAAGAAACACCGATCGCTATTGAGATCATGTGCTAAATCAGCCTAAAATGAGCGACTTTCGAGTCATGTGCTCGCAGAAACAAGACCCTTCTAACATGGGATGGTTGAAGTTCGTCGAGGATTGACGAAGTGGAGGTCTGGTCTGATATATAAAGTATCAGATGGAGAAACATCCATATGGTATGGGTTCAAAGTCGGATGGTGATAGACTGAAGTCATAGACTCCGCGAAGGAGAGTATGCTCCCCTATTGATTTCCATCAATAAGCCCAGCGATGACGCCAGGTATCCTGCTGGATACATATCAGGCATTCAGGTCCGCCAGTTGAACTCCAAGGCGACTGTTTCGAGTAGGGCTTGCAGTGACCTTGTGCCTACTATCCTACCGCATCTGCGCTCTTTCATGCCTTTCTCTTTCTAATCTTCGAAGATATTCAAGCTCAGAGCTATCTCTCGAGATCTCTGGTGGGAATACATAGCTTCCTTGTGGGCTCGGTGGCAGCGACAACTGTGCTGGGCAGGATTCCTTTTTTAGTCGAGCTCGGTGAATGGCTTCAATTATCTTTCCCCAGGAAGCTCCAACTCCTTTCTTTGTGGCCATACTCAATAGCGAGTCTCGTTGTGCTTGGGAATATGTTTCCCTGACAACATGATATACCGGTCTGTGAGGATTTGGTATTTCCAGAAATCTTGGTCCGGGTGTCAGTACCGTTGGGCTTGACTTCTGCCTTTGAGGAGCTGGAGGCATTTTCGGCCATGTGTCACGGGTACAAGGCCCTTGGCAACTCGCACGCCGCTCGCCTTCCGTGGAGTTGTGGCGATCAATTTTAATAAGTGTTACCAACTTAGCATGAAATTATGAGGATGGAGAGAGCAGTCGATTATAAAATTCATCAACCAGCTCCATTATGAATATGCAACTTGGTCATTGATTTCTTATTTCTTATTCATACCATGAATTGGCTTCTGCTTTGTCTACTAGATGCTTTCATTTTCCCAAACTTTCCTCGTTCCCCTCTACCAACTGTTGGTCCGCCACCTAAGCATCCAGTTATATCTACCTCGGAAATCTTATGTTGTACTAAGCCACAACTCCCCTTTGTCTTCGTTGTCGAAGCTTGTCCCGCCCGTCTAGTAACATGGCTAGTTCCGTTACACGCGGATAGGTTCCAATGCCACGTGGATGAGGACACTCCTAAAATGGCGATCCATTCCAGAGATTGGTTCGTTAAGCCACAGAAGTATGGGCGTAGCTCTGGGGGCGGGAAGGGAAACCTTAAAGAATGCCTTGCAACATTCCATTGATATTCGCTTCGCCAAGTATGATATCCACTTTTATTACATTCCTTGACTTGTTATGGCGAGTAGCTCATTCTACATTCCAGTAAAGCGACCAACATCCAAGAACTATTGGCATCGCAGTTCTCCAACTCACCCCTTTGTTGAAAGATGTGGATTCTAACGTGATACAGGGCTCTCGGTGCGAGTAATTCATCATCAATGAAAATACTTGCGACTTCGAAAGCGCCACAATCCTTTGCATAATGACTATTAAGTGGTTAAATATTGCTATAATCTCTATATATAATACGCAGCCAGGACAATACCTGGGTACTTAGTATTGACTAGTCGGTCGGATTTTAATCACAGAGCCCTCGATAACGGTCAGTGTCTACTAACTCAAATATCCCGATATCGCATCAGTTCGGACCAATTTCACGCTGCCGGATAGTCAGTGGTTGTAAATTGTCTAGTGGTTATCAATTTAAATTCTTCAACTGCAGCATTAGATTATGACTGCCGGCAAGTCCTTATGAAAGAAGCTGAAGGTCGTCCCTTTTTTGGTAATGGCGTCATTACTGCTGGCGGCCAGCGGATTTTCCTGTTTTAAAGGGCTTCTTGACCCATGTAGGCGAAACGCATAATAGCCGGGTTGTAAACAAAGCGACTTGACTGGATCTATTTACTCACCAGGCTATTATGAGGATGAGGTTTAATGACGGCGAGTAGGCGATAGTTTCAGGAATGCTAAAGATGGAGTTATGAAGTTAAAAAAAGACCTATACGGCATATGTTAGTAGAATCAGAACACTTGGATAATCGCTGTGCAGCTAGTTTAGGCTATCAAACTTCTCTAGTCTGACTTGTCGGGCATACTATAAAAAGGTAGCTATACTAACTTAGGTATCTTTTATATTAAGAGGTCGCGGTAGCGTTACTAAAAGAGCGGTCGGAAGGATGCTTATTACTAGTGTCTTTCGAAAATTTTCATGGAATTGTTTGACGACTTTTCAAGAATCAATTACTTTATCAGAGACATTAAGACGGTAGTCCCTTTAGAGTTGGCCTTCTAGAGACTAGCTGCTGCTCTCTTGAATTTGGGACACTGCCAGGTTTGTGGGGTCTTTATTATATCATCTTCCCAATTCAGTGACAATCTAACAATCCTTCTCTTGAAATTAAGTAGAAGGTTACGACATCTTTCATGGGTCAATGACTGGTTTCCTAATTTCGTCCAGAGCAGATGTACTCCCTTACTCAATTTCCTCAATCCTAGGGGTCATTCGGCTTTCCCTGCTGCCTCCTCCCGGCCTAATATGTAGCCCTGATAATTCCTGGATTTCCGTTTGCGGTTCAGCACGGGAGGCAAACAGGGAGTTCATTTGCCAGGCTTGTAAGCTTTCCACAACATCCTTAGCATGCTGCCTGACCAATCCATCGCTATCCGTGTCCTTTACATACTCCAAAACTCTCGTCACATTATCAAGACTTTGCCCTACAAACCCAAAACCAAGGCTTCTGCCTTCGGACCGAGCGGCCTCAAGAGCTCTAATAAAATCCATAATTAAAAGAATAGCAGCGCGCCGCAGTATAGCCCTTTGCAGTTCAGGTTCCAACGTTAGGATATGAATGCTCATATCGATTGCTGCGGAGGTTGTGCTTGGGTCTATGCCTCCCAGGTTGGATTCTAATACAGAGCCAAGAATCGACAATGCAGAGGCGCGGATCCGGACATCCTCAGTCCCTCGTTTGCTTTCCCATCCAGACACTATCTGGGCTAATATCTCGTCCTCTGGAGACATTTCGTCCTCAGCCAGTTGAGGAACCTCTCCACCCCATGCTTCTTCTGCCTCCGTCTCGCTTTTCTTCTTCGACTTGAGGCGCCTTTCTTGGGCTCGTTCTGTCTTGGGTCGATACCCGCGGCGGCTGGAGATGAACAAGAGCCCATGACAGACTGAGCGGGCTGTTTCGCCTGTGAATTGCAGAGCGCTGGTTTGTATGACTTGGAGTAATGCTTCACCAAGTCGCAACCGTTGGTCGAGCTCGTACTCCTCATCGGGATCTACGTAGCGGTCAATAAGATCTTTCATTACGGCTTTAGGGTGTCTCTGAGATAGTTGAATGAGAGACTGAATGGCGCGCAGGTATATGTATTCTTCCTTGTCTTGGAGGATCGAAGTAAAAAGGATAAGGAGAGCGGGAATATCTAGAACTGCACTGTTGGCTCGCATTAGGGTAGAGAGAATTTCGAGGCCTTGGACGCGAACTGGCGGTGGCGAGTCGCTAGCCATAAGATATGACATGGCAAGACTGTAGCTCTTGCGATCTTCCCATTGTTGATCCGTAGATGTGCTTGGAATAGCGACTTGTGGTCCACCGATAGTGCTATGAAACCTAAGTAATGATTGCAAACTTTTGGCAGTTGGAGATATCTCCTCGCGTCCCAGTCGGCTGATTGATTTCAGCGAAGACTGAATAGAATCTAGAGCAGTGTCCTCTAGAGATATTTGAAAGCTTGGAGTAGTCAACAACATGTTGAGCAAGCTAAGCGCAACGGCAACTGCATCATCGCTGTTGGTATGGTCTCCACTGGCATCGGTAAAATCGGAGAGGACCTGGCACACCAACGCGAGTACTTGTTTAGAATCACTAATCAGTTTGTCCGGAAACGTATCCATCAACTTCTGCATGACCCTGGCCTCGATGAGCCGAGACTCGATATCACCCCTGTCCTCGCTGGCTTCCAGGCGCGAAAGCACCGGGTTCCCAATCTGTCTATCATTGTTGGAGAGCCATTTGGAACATAAACTCATGAACAAACGGGAGACTTCTGTTACAAAGTCGGGCGTGCTTCCTAGTATCCCAAGAAAAGCTATAAATTTGTCGACTCCGTGATCTATCCTCGCCAGATTGGATACTATATCCGTATCTTTTTGAGGATTATTATCAGGCTGTTGAACCTGAATGCCGCCATCTTTACTTGACGCATACTCCCAGCACGGTTTTCCAGGACCTGATCTGCCTTTGAACAACAAGTTGTCTAAAATTGTAGAGAGACAGTACGATGTAGGGCGCGGGCAGTTTTCGTAAACTGGTTCTTCATTGACGGGACTTAGTTGAACTAAAATCTTCAACATCTCCCTTGCTGGCTTGCAGAATGTGATTTCCACTATCGACGCATCATCGTACCAAGAGGCCAAGGACCAGAGTGGCAGAAGAATAGGCTTTAGGAGGCGCCTCGCAAGGCCGGGATTCGGATGTGAAGTTACAAGTGTTAACAAATTACAGAGGCTGCGAGAAACGTCGCCAGAGGACACCAATATCTTTGGAGCACCCAAAGTTATTATGTCCTCCTCTGAGGCTGCAGCCTGAGTTGATTCTGGTGTAATTGTCGGATCAATGCAGCTAAGCATGGGGGCTGCGAAGGCCTTCCAGCCAGCCATTCCTGTACAAATCAGCGAAAAAGCCTTTAAATCAATATAATAGGATATACCTGGTGCTCCGTATTGTTTCCGGCCAAGGATTCCGAAACCGATGATGAATGCCGCGGCTTTATCCATTCCAGGCTCGCCTTGCCCCTGAAGGAGCGAGAGCAGTTGTGGTGCGATTCCGGAAAACCATCTCTCTGATGCCATACCAAATGGTGGAGAACAAAGAAGCCGAGATGCAGCGTTCAACGCCTCATAAGAGATACCAGCCTGCTTGGAGGTATCTTCGGATGAGCCCACCCGGGAGCTTGGGTGCACCGAGAGGATAAATTCAATAGTATCCTGAACCCCCCGAGGCCTGAGGGGAAGAGATGCCAAAGCCGAGATGAGTGGCGCTCGAAGCCATGGATGAGTGCGACCTGGTTGAATCAGCAGGTTCAAAACCGGCATGAGCACCAAAGTGCTCGTGCTAGACGATTGTCAGCAAGATACTGAAAAGGGTATTGTCTCTGCTAATACCCATCTATTATTGCCTTGAACCTAGGCCGATTTTCCTGCCTCACCTCTTCTGGCTGGTCCGGATCAAAAGCCAACTTGCCAGTCTGAAGTAGGCGATCTGCCAGAGGAGGCTCACCCATATTGGTACCTATTAGGTAAACTCCTACTCTTTGATGCCGTACTGTAATAATAAGAAAACTTAGCAAGTTAACACATATTTTCCACAAAGTTTATGTAATCTTAATCAAACACTCTATAAACTCAAGCAACCCAAAGGAAGATTCCAAAGCGGAAGACCTCAATTACGGACGAGGCCAATCTGGTGAAAGCGGATGAGCACTGCCTGAGGATTCTCTCTATGGAATAGGAAGTATGCAACTCGGAGTTCACGCAGGGAAGCGCTGTCAAATTCGGATCACTGGACTCACTTGTATGATGTATATTTTGCCACCTGAAATCGAACAAAGTGATCGAAATAATAGTCATCACGTGAATTGGCGAATTGGTGCCTTGTTGCCTGATGCGACGCGACGCGACGAGATGTCGTCTCGAATCCCCAACATCCTTCTTTCCCTCCTCAACCGCTCCAATCTCAAATCATTACCTTCAAATGTCGATTGCAATGCTCTGCAACCTCATCTCTATATCTACCTCCCATGTCTCTACCTGGAATCGATATTCAACCAGCAGCAGCCTCGAGTGTTCACTTGCAGCGCCAAACGCGAAACGCGCGCCCCTTCCGATGCTACCAGATACTTCACCACAAGCCACAACAACGGTTTCTCTCACTCTTGACTCCAAGAGCATGCACAAATCAAGCACTTCGCCTTCCGTACAGTTTTCTGATCACCAATTTCCGAAAGGAACATAGGGGATCAGAACTTAACCCTAAGACATTGTCGGTTTAGTTTGCGGTCATAGTTGTCCTTCTAAATTACTAGGTTTCCATCCGCTGAGCGACAATTACAACGCCGAAAGGCCAAGCCATTGTTTCGAGGCCCGGAAACTGAAAGGTTGGAAGGATAGTCCAGACGTCGAGAGACGGTAATACAGATTTCTCCTATGAGCCATTTCGGTAAGAGCCTCATGTGAGGACGCTCGTCAGGGTTATCGGCTGGGCGTTATACTCTGGTCATTATGGGTTGTCTTTGCCGATGCTTGAACATGGAGAGGAGATTCAATGTGGGAAGAGTACAGGCCCTTCCTCAGAGGTGGTCTTAGGGATCTTCATCGACTGTCGGAAACCGGTACAGCGTTCTCTACACCCTCGTCGACAATGTGGCTGGAGCCCTTCTGGGATGTGAAGACTGGGCACAATACCTTCCTTCTGGAAAGTCTACAAACAGACCGCCTCATACACATACTTCCACTTCCTTAGAGTTGTGATTCGGCTTCGATCGCACTCGTCTGAATCATATGCCTTGGCACTTGTAGCGAGCTTTCGATACAGCCTCCAAACAGAAGTATGATGTGGAGGGAGGTCCTTCATTGCGCTGTGGTGTAATAAGCATTGACGTGTTGATAAGCCCCGGAGTGTTTTGCACCCATATGGAGTCTCCTTGCCAGAGTGTCTGTCGAGATGAGTCCGCTCGGTTTCGCTTCAGTGAAGACGTCCCGTACCCTTCTTCATCCCGTACATCAGCTCCAGCTATTTGAGGGACGTTGTATCCAACCTTCCCATGCAAGAAACTCGCTTCTAGGAGCGCAGTCAGCTCGCAAGACCTTTGCCGCGGCACCAGCCAAAGGCATCGTCGTGTTTTAGCGTGATCCCGATCAGCCGCATCAACTTTCTCTCCAATGCCTCGCCATTGGATGATGGAAGACGCCGACACACTGTTTAGCATCCTCGAGATGTTTAGGCACCCCTTCCTCTACCGCACTATCTACTCGATAGATCATGTTGGAGAGATGATAAGCGGTTTTTGTTGACGTTTTTTGTCCGCCTTCGCCCTGGGATCTTGAAAAAGACTTCTAGAGGAAACATAAAACTAGTCTCAGAGGGCACTGCTATTCAAACAGAGGGAAACCTTGCGTGTCTGTGCTGAAGTATATGCTCATTGTTAGCTTGGCTCGTTACGCGTCCGGCTCACTGTTCCGACCTCCAATAGGTACTTCTGCTGGCATCGATCTCTTTTGGTATGATACGGTGGCGAATATGGCTAATGCGGGTTGCTGGGTGCAAAAGATGGAAAGTACTGGTGATAGATCCCCGCTGCCCCGGCTGCTAACATGGAGTAGAGCCCCAACAGCCAAAGGTGGATGGGAACTGCAAAGCGTCCAAAGCGGGACCCATCTCGAGTTGGTGTCATTGAGTCTAGCGCTCGTCTGCTTTGGGTAGCGTTGGGTAGTTTGCTGTGATCCCTTGGCTTTTGGTGGCAATATCCTCTGCTGGCTGTTGTTAGGTAAGGGGTATGTCAGGGATGGAGTGGCTCTTGTGGGTTGTTGGACAGGGACCGGCCTGATGGGTGGGTAGTCCCGGGTTGCCTCGTCGTCTGTAATGGACCAGAGGCAACCCCTCCGAATTTTTGGAGATAAGTTTGCATTTTCTTACTGCTTGCCTTTGGAAATGACGCTAACTATACAGTAGGTTTCTACAAAATGATCTTCTAGAAGAAAGCCTCTAAGATGAAATTGTGAAGTATAGAGCCTCGCCCAATGAATAGGCCGGTTGTCACGGCAAAACTAGTGTTCAACTACGTATGAGAATCTATGTGGGGAAGTACAAGAATATGTACATGTACCTACTGTAGCTACTTGCAAAGTCTAGAACTTGATAATGCAAAATAATTCGAGTGCGGGCCTAGTGGCCTTGGAGGCAAACCGAAGACGGGCTCGTGGCCTTCCAACCAAGAGTGGGTTAGCTCGGGCGGGCGGGTACGTCGTCCATGTAACATTATTCAAACAGCAGGGATAAGATCTATCTGCATATCAACGGCATCGATTGCACACTACCAACGATCTACCGATCCACGCATAAATACACCCGGCATTGGGCTCACAGCCTCACAATCCGTAGAGAATGCAAGCTTCGAACGCCACCCCTCACGACGAGGAAGGTTATGTTGTAACCGAGGTATACAGCAATACTCCACGCGGGGACATTCCGCATTATCATTCCTCGTTATTTAGGACAGGAATCCGCCTTGCCCTACCTTTGAACACCTTTTTTTAGTTCCCATTTCATCATTACTCGGTACTCAGTGAGCTCTTACGTACCTTATAGGAGATATTATTTTTGTTCACGCAAGTGTGTTATCATGTCTTCTCGACTCTCCGACCGTGTCGCATGCATCACCGGAGCTAGTTCTGGTATTGGGAGAGCCATCGCCCTTGCCTATGCTGCTGAAGGCGCCGTCGTCGTATGTTCTGATCTGCAGCCAGAAGCACACGCAGATACCAACAATGAGTTCCCCGTCGCGACCCACGACCTCATAGTCCAACAAGGCGGGAAGGCAAAGTTTGTCAAGGCCGACGTTCGATATGAGGAACAAGTCGAAGCTCTGGTAGCCAAGACGGTGGAAGAATTTGGCAGACTAGACATGTGCGTTCTTCCTCACGCCAATCCAATAACCAACCTGGGTAGTAATGATCTGCTCTGTCCAGTATGGTCAATAATGCAGGCATTGGCACCGAGGTCGATCATCAAATGAAAGCCGGCGACTTCCGTTTGCATCAGACTCGAACCCAGGATTTCGACCTCGTCATGAACGTCAATACGCGAGGAGTGTATCTCGGGTGCAAATATGCTCTGGCGCAGTTTCTAAAACAAGAGCCTCTTCCGCCAAACGGTCGTGGAGAGCGGACAGGTGGCTGGATAATCAATTTGGCAAGCATTGGAGGTCACGTTGCCTTAGCCGGTGCCCCGTGTTATACAACGAGTAAGCATGCGGTTGTCGGGTTGACTAAGGAGATCGCGGTGTCATATGCTAAGGACAAGATTCATTGCAATTCTCTCTGCCCCGGATGTAAGTCAGATGTTTTCGACTCTATGATCTCCCGAACTGAGAAGCGGTTTTCCTGCAATGCAAAGCGGCCTTTACTGACTTGGATAAAGTTACCGAAACATCGATGATAGCCCCTATGACAAAGGCCAAAAATGATCCAACGGCTATAGCAGCTACCGAAGCAATTCGAGCAGCCCATCCATGGGGCTCCCTAGGCCAGCCTGAAGACCTTGCTAAAGCCGCGGTTTTCCTTGCTAGTGATGATGCTTCATGGGTTACGGGCCACTCTTTAGTAGTTGATGGCGGATATCTTGCAAGATAATTTAGGGTGGTAAACCGCCGGATGTTCAAAGTTGCGGGGGTGGTTATCCTAAAACTACAACAGTGCCAAAATACAAGAAACTGAATTGATCACATCGTCGGAATCAATAATGTTCCATTCTTGGTGAATTTCCCAGCGTGTTCTATTCAAAATTCAAATAAGACACTAGTACTAAATATATAACGTTAGTAAAGTGAGAGGTCGCGATCAACACACCGCAGGTTAAAATCTCGTACACTGTATGTTAAATTCAAAGTCCGCGCTAGAAACAGTTCTGTTTACATTTCCAATCATAACATATTCCCTATTCCTTCCACTCCTTCCAGCTTACTGGTCAGTTCCACCGCCTCCATACCATTGCCTCTCTGAAACCTAATGTACGTCATGGAAGGGTAGTCGCCCTTCACAGTATGCTCTAACGAGATTCTGGCTGACCCTGGCAGTGGGCTCGATTCGGGAAGGTCGCCGCGCCCTGTCTCCTCCATTTCTACTTTCCACTCGCAAATCTTGAGAGTACTTTCACGAAACCACATACCTTCCTGGTATGGCGCGAGTCTTAGCAGAGATAAGGCTTTCCGTCGGATTCGAAGGACTCTGCACTTGAGAATTAGGAACATTAAAGGAAGTATAATACCCATATCGAAACATAAGAGGGGCCTTGTTTCCGCCTTAGGTTCGCAAAGGAGCCGCTCGCAGAGCTCGACCATCCGTTCAAATTCGGCAGTGTAATCGTCAAAGACCATCTCGTGAACCCTTTGCACAGTCTTCAGTGATAAGGAGATTAGAAGATAGTACAATCGGAGCCAATCGATCCCTGACGTGTGAGGAGCATCTTGCGAGTTGCTTGAATTTGCTATCATTCTCTCGGCTGCTACGTGCCACTGTTCGAAGCGTTGGAGATACGTCTCTCCAATGCGGTAACATTCTGATACAATCTCCGGGGCGCTTCTCGAGAACAATGAGCCGCCTGGATCCCGATGGAGATCTCGGAGCTCCCGAAGAGTCCCAAACATTGTATTGTATTCATTATCCAGGCAGACTCGGGCTTCGAATATGTTTGAAAAGGCGTCTGGGATGGGTAGAATCGTCTCTATGCACCCAGCTGATGAGGCGGGAATATTATTCGACGGGCTACCATGGATTGCTGCTTGGACTTTCAGACGCGTGAACGAACGTTCTAATGATCCATAGATATCTTCGGCATCGAAATGGCTACTCGCTGACGAGCCTAATTGGCGCGAGCATTTTATATGCTGCAGGATTTTGAGGCCCCCACTCAGATGTTGGAATCCAGGATCCAGGTTCTCCTGCAGAAATTCAATCCAAACAAACATGAGGCAGGAGATAAGAGCAACGCGGGGATCGTGGTCGTTCAGAGATATGTAATTGACCAAGGCTTTGACAGCCTTGTTGTATTGCTGTAGCGCATACTCATTAGTAGGTCGAGTTCCATTTAATCCCCTGGTTTTTCGACCATCATGCTCCTCATACACTGCACTTAGAGCAATCAAAGAATGCTGTACTGTGGGGTATATGTGGCTGAATTTCAGGACGACGTTGTTCCAGAAGTATGGCTCGAAATTTCCTGGCATATCAGAGGGATTAACTCGCGTAGTGAAATACTGGAAACTTCGACGCTGGGCCGTGGTTCCTTGGATATCGACCGAGGGGGTGTAGAGGATCACTGGGCCACGGGCTAATTCATGCCGGAAGTCTAAATTTGGCTTGGAGTTTAGTTGTTTTGCTTTCTTGGCCGGCGGGAGATAACCGTCACACTTGCGGCCAGTTGACGTGCATCTCTCACACCAAGGCTTGACCTCGTCACATTTGACACGGCGAATTCTATCAAGCATCGATCAGTCGCAACTCAAGTAAACCACGTAACGGAAGGCACTCACTTGCAGGTTACACACCCGTTCCGCGATTTTGGAGTGCCCCTACGGAAATTGGACACCATGTCTCTGGGAAGCTGGCTAGGATCGATCAACGTGTTCGGCCACAAAGCCATGCTTGCAGCTGCATCCTGTGCAAGTACTGCCCGACCTCCAAGAATAGTCGTTTGACCATCACTTGAGGACGAGTGGGACGAGGTTTTACGCCTACCAGGCACATTCATCGTGATCCCCGCTATACGAGTAGCGGGGAGTTGGGTGTCCAGAGGAGCCCGTGAGGTTCCCCTGGAGTATATAAATCAAAATGCAGGTGAGTCGCCCGTCGGAAGCCAATCAAATATATCCCGTAGGAAACAACTCTTTAAGGATAGGGTAGCTCTACGGCATCTGTCAAGCCAGACCGTAAAACGAATACTAATAAAGGATCGTAGGCTATCGTGGGCAACAGTGGAAGACGAACATCAAACGATATACGACGGAGGGCGTACTTCTTACTTCTCTCTTATTCCCTAGCGTCCTATATCAACGCTAGAATCCCCTGTAATACGATTCGGCCAGTCGTACGTAGCATACGTGATCCAAACCAGTGCTTTTCGCTTCGTGGCTCTTTTGATTTCCCGGCGGCACAGTCGAGGAACGTGCAACTTCATACTTCCTCGACGACTTCCGAGCAGTGCGGACCGTCAGATACAAAGCACGGCGCACAGCACACGCCTCATTCAATCTTACCAACAAAACACAACCGAACCTGTCAGACAGTGTCGGGAGCTGCTTGTCGATGTTTGTAAGCAGCTGTGAGCTTGGAGAGCCTCCACATCATCTTAAGTAGCCTGTCACAACGGGGTTTGCCACGAGTTGTATCTCAGTGCTCTTCGTATGGCAAGGGGGCTGCTGCGCAATGTCTACGCAAGCCTACGATGTACTCCCTCAAGAACCGCGAGGTTGGATGAGCTTCTAGAACCGCAACCAGAGTATATAGAGAGGTAGATTTCTCAATATTCATGTTCATAATCATTGTTCTTACTACATTCCCCCTCAGAATGTCCCCCTTCCGATTGTTTAGCTTTCTCAGTCTAGCTCTGTCAGTTGCATCTCACTCAATCCCAGTGGATCGAATAAAATGGACGGACTGCTCCAAGAATGTCCCCCAATCAACTGGTTCTTTCAATGGTTCCGCAATTGATCTCACCAACCTTCCTCCGACTCTCCATTGTGGTCAGATCGATGTCCCGATGGATTATTCGAAACCATTGTGCCATACGAATATGATCACACTGCGGCTGGCAATGTACCGACCGGCCAACCCTAAAGGAGTTCTATTCTTGTGAGATATACTTCTTTTAGTGGAAGGGTGTATTTGCTGATAGCCGTCTCTAGCAACCCAGGTGGAACTGATCCCGGAGTTGTGGTTGCTTGGGAAGTAGCTCTCGGCCTCACCAAAATTTTCTCGGAGCTCATGGACTTCGATCTACTGGGTAGGCGTACAATATGACCTTACTTGATAACATCACTAACACTTGCCGATGGATAGTAATGGATGTCAGAGGCACCTTCAGCTCCAACCCTTTAAATGTGTCCTTGGAGACTTTCAGCGGGCTACTTGGTAGATAGTAAGTCTCTCATTATGGCACTTTTCTTTTCTATCTTCTAACTTAATTGATTAGCCCAACGAACCAAACTGCTTTTAACGTAGTGAAAAAAGCATCTTCCAAGGTTATTCAATCGTGGATCGACTCTAGCTCTCCCCCAGGGATCATCGAGCATGTAGGGACACGTGAAGTAGTGCAGGACTACGAAAGTATTAGGCTGGCTCTTGGATACGCAAAGATCGATTTCCTGGGCGCCTCGTAGTAAGTATTTCTCTTTTTTTTCCAGAGGGAATGTTTTTATTAACGATGCGCAGTGGTTCCTTTAGAGCGGCACAATACGCTGCTAAATATCCCAATCGGGTGAATAATTTTGTGCTGGATGCAGTAGTCCCACACGGACGAGTAAGATATATTCTTGCTGTGATTTCTATTTCCGTTCTCTAACTGCCTCTGACAGAGTCTCCTCGCCCAAGCTCAAGATGATATAGCAGCATCAAACAGGCTAATGCTTCGGGCGGATGCATACTGCCAGAACGATCCCACTTGTCCATTCCATACTCAAGGCCAAGGTAGTGTTCTCAAGGTATGTTATTGAAGTGGCCATTTCTCAATCAAATCTTTCGGTGCTGATGAGACCCAGGCCTTTCAGAAGGTGCTTTCGAACGCGAAGGAGTCTCCGTATTTCATCCCACCTTGTGTCAATAGTACGCAATGCTACCCCTATGTAACGGATCTCGACGTCCAGACAGTGATGCTTGGAAATCTTCTGGGATCGCCGGATTTCCCAGCTATTCTCACCGGAATCAGCAGTGCGCTGTCTGGAGATGGAAGCTTTTTCGTGTATGGGCCTCCTCCGCTTGAAGCAGTCGTTGCAATGCCGTTACTTTGCAATGACTATGGTAATGTTTTTTCAACAGGTCAAACTTTACTAGCGGGAATGCTAACGCCCTGGCAGAGTATGAGAGAACATTTGAGTATTTCCAACGCTCACTAGAGCAAGGGCTAAAGGTATGATTGGCATTTGAAAAGTTCCATGGCCCTACCAGACGGCTAATAATTCATAGAAGGATCACAGTGGTATCGGCATGACGCAAGCCTGGCAAATTCAGGTATATTTATTTCCCAAGCTCCTGACAACGGCTGTCCAAATTGCTGATTCTCTCGGCTGTAGTTATGGTGCTCCGCATGGCCATTCCAAACACCAGCCTCTGAGCGATTACCCATACGCCACAAAATGGCTCTCGTAACGGCAGACTTCGATGGCAGGTATGAAACGCTTTCATCCAGATTCCAGACGACCTCAACTAAGCTAACCATCATTTTTTTTTTAGCACACCTACGGAATGGGCGACCTTCGTATGGGAGCAAGCACCAAATTCCGCGCTTATCGTCAGGCACGGCGATGACCACGTTTCTTTTCCTCGTACGATTTCTTTCCTATTTTCTGTATACTCTATTCCAAAATATTACCCGAAAACTAGCTTCGCTTTCTCATGCCCGGGCTAATCCAATTCCTCCACCAGTCATTAATCAGGCCTCAACAAAATTCACGAACAATTTTCTTCGTAACGGTGTTTTCCCAGCAGCACAGAATTCATCACTCGTTTCTGTTTATACTCCGGGGATGGCTCGGGACCCCATCTCGGATCCCTATTTAGTGCCCACTGGAACAGATGCGGGGGATGTGGACAGTGGGGCTGCAGTGGAGACTCCTTTCTAACACCAACTCTTAGGATGGAATATCCCTGGATGATACTTTGTTTCTAGCGCATCGATTAGAATGTATGCCTCTACAATGTACCGCCTGAAGTGAGTGATACAGGATATATAACAGGGTCCGAAGAACGAACTCATTAGGATTCTGTTGTGAGTTATTCAGTATCGTACCGACTTAGAATCATGTAGTGGGGCCGTCGCAAGGCCTTCTATTTTACTTAATGTAATTTTTTATGTCAGATCAAGATGCCCACGCACGTTAGATACTCCTCCATGTAAATTATTAGATAGTCAATTGATTCGTGAGCTTGACGTATGACTAGATTCGCAATAGCTCAGTTTTCGTCAAGCTATACCTTTGTATATCTCTAGCAATCAACCATAGAACAACCACCTACAGCTAACTCCCTACTCCCCTATCTTCACGCCCCCAATACGTCTCATCATTGGCGCCGCAGACGTCTCTTTACTAAGTTGCTCCTTGCATACCGCGAACCCAAACCTCTCATACAACGGCTGTCCCTGACTCGACGCAGAAACGTACATTTCAAGGCGATCTCTGTCCGCTTCTTCACGTCCCCATTGCAACATCTTTGACGCGGCACCCTGTCTGTGATACGAGGGATCGGTACCCAAGACTTCGAGCACTATTTGGGTGTGAGAAAAGGAATTTGTCGAAGCGGTAGAAAGGACACAAGGAGATCATCAAGTCGAAACTCCCCATAATAAGTTGATAGAAACCGAGGGGGAGGGGGGGAATGAGTAAGGAATAATAGACCGAAAGGGGCAACTGATAAAACTCGAATATAGTAGTATAAACATTATTACACATACCCAAATGTTGCTTCTCGCCCATAATAGCCTCCTGCTGTTTCGCCATCGGCCCAAAAAACTTTTGGTCGACAAAATCATAATCCATACCCTCCCCTAACTCCTTTCCCCATCGAGAACTCCAGTGCGAGATGCCATCTTTCCCGCCTTGCTTGTTAACCCACCTGGTAAACGAGACGACCTTTCTTCCGGAATCGTCGTCGGTCACGACCATGAATCTTGTGCGACGTGATTCTTCAACCATGCACCTCTTGAACGACTCGGCTAACCAGGCTTTCACGGCTGGGGTATCAGGGAAGGCTTCGAGCAGTATGGGGGCTCGGAAGACTTTGTACCAGACGTCTACTATTCCTGGGATATCATCCGGTGTTGCTGGGGAGATTGTAAGAGTCATTTTGGTGTGTCCTTATGGTTGCTGGGGAGACGAAGGGAGGATGGTAGGAGATAGCAAGAGAGTAGGAATACCATGGGATGAGAACTGAATATTTAAAGCAAGATAACAGGAGGTTTATAGAGATTAGTCGCTGATGCCGAGGGAAGTACCTAATGAGCTAGGCTTTACCCTGTCAGGTGACAGTAAGCACCGCTGATATGAGGTGTCTTAATATGTCCCTGAATGGGATAAATGGCGAAACCCCGCATAAGTATGGTGGGGTAGCAGGACTTATAAATAATATCTTCCGAGGGGAACCGAGCTTCAGAACGGCAAGAGCGTAATTCTTCAAGAAATCTAGCCCTAAAATCTCAAATACTCCAATTAAAGGCCTTTGGTCGATTACGGTTATGGCCTGCAAGACTTATGATCGCTGCTGCATTTCTCTCTATGCTAGGTATCTAATTGTACACAGGATGGAATAATGATTGCGCCAATTTACGCCGCCGAAAATGTCTTGCAATCCATATCCCATAGCGCCAGATTTAAAAGCCCACCGTATCGAACCGCGTAAACCTCACCCAGCATAAGCGTCATTGATCGAGCCAAGCAGATCGGTCATGTATTCAACCTATAGTTCCAGTAAGCAAAAGAATGTTTGGACAGCAAGTTAGAAGACTTACCAATGCCCTGTTGTGAGACATCACCTCATACAACCGCGGCACAACAGGTCTGAATAAACGATCGACCCAAGAAATGCCATCAGTTTTCTGTGCGGTTTCCTCAGCTTCTGTCTTCGGCAAGTTACGAGCAAGATTTCGAAGAACAAGCACGGCGCTGAGCGGAACACCAGCAGCAAATTGTCGCTCATCCACTGCAGTCGTTTCATACTTAAACTTTTGTTTGGGCGAAGATAAGATGTATGACGGCTTCAGCTTTTTGCTCGGAGGAGGTCCATGCTCGTTTGAGCCTCTACTAGCTGCAGATGGTCGTGGTGGAAGGTGAACCTTGATGTGCTGTCCTAGTTGTGCTAACTTGGTAGCAGGTGCTGTCTTGAATCGGCTACATGAATCCCACTGGCACACGTATTGCCCTTCTTGGGTGTTATCAAACTTGCCATCTGGCAGTAGCTGAGCATGAATATGGTCTTGTAGCATGTGTTTGTACATCTCCTCTGGGCTCATGAAAAACTCGCCGCAGTATGACCCATGGCCGGGCTGGACCTTCCAGAGACACTTGCTGTACTCCTCCTCAAAGAAATCAACAGGTACGCTGCGCATTCTAATACCTTTGATGATGAACTTTTGCACTGGTCCGGATTGAACTTGTGCAGTTGCCTTCTCTCCAAAGGTTGTGCTGACATTTTTGATGAACTCGGCAGCTGGCAGAAGTTGGCGTCCCGTCTCAATTGTGGTGGGCATAAACTGAGCCTGATAAGCCTGCCAAAGGGCAATTTGGGTGATAGACTCATCAGAATCTTCTTCAAAGAGACAGCGCAGCCACTGTGAGCTTCGTTCTGGCTCATCGAGTTTAAGGAGTTGCGCAAGCAATTCTTTTGGGAGGGGTGCGATTTGCAGAGGAGCTTCTTTCTTGAATTCCGGTCCGCGGGAGAACTCCTTCTCATGAATCTTAACTCCATGGGCCAAAAGACGGACAAGCTGGTTAATGAGTGGCTCGACCTGTAACTCGGTAATAAGAAAGTCGACGTTTTCGACGACGGCCGTGTATTGGTACAGGAAGTCCAGGCATGCGTGAACAAGCTCTTCGTCATTGAGAATCGTCCAATCTAGAATATTCTGAATTCCAGCCACGGGAACACCCTTGAGAAGATTGTTTTCTTCAAGATTCATCGATATTCTACTAATAGCCCGCAAGGATGTTAAAATTGCTCCTAGGTCCTCAGATTGTAGCTGCACAAGAAGTGAAATGTAGAGAGGGTCGGTTTCATCGGAGGGTAAATACTTTGTGATCTGTTCAGTGATATCGAGTGCATAGTGTTTCAACTCCACAAGGCTATCGTGATTTGGGAGGTTGAGAGCGATGCAGAGCATATCCCTCAGCGGAGCCATCTCTGAAACATAATGGGCATTATCCTCAAGCATGACCATATTTCTCATCGTAAGAGCTGCCTCATTTATCTGAAGTAGGGCATCGTTGAAACCAGCAGGTAGTACGTTATCGTTGACATCCAACTTGGGAAGCTGTGCTATTGTCTGCAGTATATCTGGTGTGCCGTCTACGCCATTGAGTGTGTTGCGACTAGTCATCGACCCATCCTCCGCGTAAGAAACGTGCCAGTCCACTTCGTAAAACAACGAGCTGACCTCCAACAGCTTCTCGATCAGCGCCTCTGCCAGGCCGGGAAAGGATTCGAATCGGTATTTGTCTCCTCTTTCCATTGAAATCTTGACCAAGTGGTGAAGAGCGTAATCTTGTTCGGCTGGAATGCCGGACCTCAACGCACAAAGGCAGCGGACATAGATATTCGGACCGTCAAAGCCAGCTAGTAGAGGATTAGTATTTCTCTACTTGGTCATTTGTGGGAGACTTACATCCAGGCAGCATCACACCTCTGTTAGTGGCTGGGGCAGGACGTCCGCTTGCCGCAGCAAGATTGTCCCTCTTAGCCTTCTGGCGGCGGGCAAATTCGACCGGATTATTTCCAGGGGTTATGACAGGACGAAGAGTGAGAGGCATTTGTGGCCGAGGTTCGTAATTCGCAACTGCAAGAGACATGTTTTCCATGTTTGACGAAGGGTTGTAAGAGGTGGAAGCGCCGCGTGGCTGGTGTTGCTGGTGATGACCGGCTTGTTGAGGAGATGATGTATGGGAAGCGGCGTGTCTTGTCTGTCGCGACGGTTGCGTGTCGGGTTGGAACAATATACGCTGTGGTGGTGCTTGTCGCAAGCCTCGGGTTGCTCTTCCACCGGATCCAGGTGCCTCTTCACTGCCGTTCCTGTCTCGAGCAGGTGTACCGTCGTCTCCCGAGGCCTCTGAGTGATCCAGAGTGCCAGGCTCTCGCCGAGAGGGCGGTTTATAGTTCTCGAGAGTCCGAGTGAGCAAGCCCCCGCCTTTCGCAGTCAAGTCCTCCAAAATCTCTTTTGGCGGCGGCTCTTTACCGTGAACGGTAGATATCTCATATGCGGCGAGGTTCTTGTAGTAGACCGACTTGAGGGCAAAGGCAAGGGCGGGCAGGTTTGGGCTTCCTAAGTTGAAATCCTGGCCCAGCTTTCTCCATGCCAGTTTCTCGTCGCTGACCTTGTCATAACCTCCACGCTCCATGACTATGTTGAACAGCTTCAACAGGTCGATCTGCCTGCTGCCAACCTTTGGTTCGCGCACGAACTCGGTTCCTCTCTTCTCATGGTACACGGCGAGCTTCTCGATGAATTGCACATATTCCGGGGAGTAGTTAATTGCAGAGGGAGAGCCCCCACGATTGGGAGAAGACGCCATAGCTGCGGTTGGGTTGTCGCGTTGTCGCGGGCGATGCTGCCATACGCTGGCAAGCAATGGGCGAAAAGTTGCAGAGAGCTCGTTCTCAGCTTGTGAATGCGACGCGCATTATTTCTGGTCGATCGCGACAGTTCCATTTTCGACCAGGGAAAGAATCGACTACTCCGTGAACGGCTAGCGCCGGACGTATGTTTATCCGTAATGCTGCCGAGCCTCGTTCAGTGATATTGCTCGCTTGCTTAGTAACTGCAGCAACTACATCCCTCATCCTCGTCCTGGTGATCGTTGGATGTTAACAGTGAAGTCAATGTATATGCCTATACTTTTAATGATCACCAGAAATCAACTCTGAGGCTTAGGTTAAGGTCCGTGGGACTGCCATATTGACCCTGCAAATATTGCTATACCAAACACCGATTCCAGCTAACCTGTGTCCGGACGGCATCGTTCAAAGCTTCTCTTGTTCCCCTTCCCGCTTTCTTATTATTATCCCCACCATGTCTCAACTATTTCCTCGGGCACATGAGTCTGTTCTAGATGCACTTCCTTTTGCGAAGTTCTCGCACGCTACATGTGCCTATGACGTGAGCACTTTCACATGGTGCCATGTGAGCGGACGAGACGACCTTCGTCTAGTGTTCCACGCCGGAGGGACCGTTGATAAACATGGAAACCATGTGGAAAGCCTAGTGATGGATATCCATGCCGGGGCGGAACTTCTTGTGCCTTGTCCTAACTATGGAGTGGAATTCAGTTCATGAGGCTAACATCAGTATTAGGAATCACAAGACCTAGGGGAACTGGTCGAGCTTTCGAAAGGGTTTGGCTCGTCAACGGAACCGGCCCGTCCAGTCCAGGTCGTCATCAAGTGCCCCTGTTTGGCCATGAGGTATCCAAAGCCGGGAAACATTGTATGTGGCCCGATACATATTTTTCAACCGTTCCGTTCTGAGAATAGTTCACCATCTGACTGTTTCACTGTTCCAGGTTCGGCGGATTCAGTTAAGGTTTCGAAATGAGTCTGACTTCAACAGAGCATTGAATGTACTGAACCACCTTGGACTTCCAACCTTGGACAATATTTCTGCTGAGCAATCTAGGTCCTGCCCAGTTGCCTCACCAGTGCCTTCCATGGTCTCGTCGACCTCAACATCAAGTACAGGTACTATCGTACCCTCAATGCCGAGACTTGCCCCCCACAACATGCCCTCATACGAACCAGTGAAGCAATCCTTCGACGTTCCTCCGTTACCGTTCCCTCCATCAGATTTCAAGGTCCCTTTTCGGGCGGATCATCCATGCCCTAGAACACTAGGACCACTGGGCACATTGCCATTTTCTACTTCTTCCACCATTCGGCCGGCATCTGCGTCAACTGGACCCGCGACCCGGCATCCCTCTTTATACCTTTCGCAGATTGAACAACAGGTATCAGATTACTGCACATCTCTATATTTTTGGAGCTATACAAACTGACACTGTCGTCCACTAAGCATCGGCGAATTTCCCAGCCATTCATGCAGTCATCCATCCTTGGTCAGTCCAATAGTTCCATGAGATCGCGATATTTTGCTCCAGAGAGCGGATCACAGCCAGGACAGATGTCTGAGGAGACGGATAGTATGTCCCGCGCCCTATCCACCTCCCCTTTCTTACTACCAAAGAGCAATCCTATTCATTCGGAAGGCTCCCCGCTGGCCGTAGCTAGTTTTGTCAATCCATTCAACCAAGGATCTAAAGCGCAGCCAGACTCCGGGAGACCATATTCGGCTCCCATTACTCAACCCCATATTCAAAGTCTCTCGATACCGCCAAGACGAGAGTTGCCGTTTCCGACCTCTCCGCAAAAGTCCACCCCTTCTCCTGTTTCTGCGCTCCCTCTATTGCCAAAGCCAACACCAATCAAAAGTACAGAAACCCCTATCGTGATCAGGGGAACATCAAGTGTAAAGGAAACAACCTCTACGCATAAACATGTGGAAAATCGCGTGGCCCAGCACAAGACAATGTGTATGACATCGTCGGTCAAGCCACAGGACAAGAGTCTTTTAAATAAAACAGCTCCATTTGAGGTTTCGAATAACGACGAGCTCGTCAGTGAAGGCCCGGCCGTGCCACAGGAAGTAGCCTCTCCCTTAGCTATCAAAATAACAGCTGCATCCTCCGGACTGCCCACAACTACAACTGGACTCCAGTCGAAACCCAAAACTGTGAGAAAGCGCAACGCTGCTCCGGCTCGCCAGTCTTTAGCCACCAAGCGGCTGAAGATGATGGATCAGGGTACTCAAACCCAGACCCTGTCGGGTCGTGATCACACGGTAATGCAAAGATCTACACCAGCGATTGATGAAAATGCTCCCACACTCTCTCTACCATCCGCGGACCACCTAGATACCCTTGATAAATTTGTCCACAAATACAACGGCAGGCCCCGCCCCACGGAGCTTTGGGAGGCTCCTGGATATATCGAAGCTAGCGAGGAACAACGTGATATACTCCTTGCCGACTTCGTTTGTGATAACCTGGATAATCCCGAATTTTTGCAATTGTGCCAGGACGCAGAGAGGGCGTGGTGCAGAATTGGCCTTGGAGTGTGAGTCGGGTTAGTGTGGATGATATGAGCTTATAGTTCGGTTAGGAAGTTTTATGGTTTAGCTATTAATCGCCCTACGTATTGTTCCTTTGCTATTTTCCCTAACTAGTCGCACAAACATCCAAAGGTGTCCATGTAGAACTCATTTCGTGGCAGCTCCACATTCATGGGGAGGCTGGGGCATGGGCTGGCAGGTTTCACATTCTCATATATGATTTTGCAAGTTGGCTTAATATCAAATCATTTACCAAGGGCTGTCAGACCCAATGGCCGAGGGGCCAGATAAATCCCTCTCTGAAACATTATATATCATCTAATATTTAGAGCTTCTTAGGTAGACCCGGCCCCTAGATAGCCAACCCTTCCCCATTGATACAACCATTAGCATAAATGGGACCGTCAATCCTCGTAACAAAACTCTTTCCAACTCTCTTTAAAATAAACGAAAGCTAGAGAGCAGGAACTTGATATCCAAACACAACGGTCTTTGTAAGGTCTGTCTTACGGGTGCGGAGGAGCCTATAGCAGAATACCTACATGTGATGTTTGTATGTAACCATTTCTCAGAAATAGCTCAAGTCAACTAATGTCTTACTAGGCATAATATATCACTAGAACTCTAAAAGATTTGAGCAGCATAGATACTCGGGATTGCAGCTATGCCGAACAGATGTTAAACAACACTAATAATTGTAGCAAGGTTTGATGGTGCTGATCCTTTGGGCCGGTGGGGGAGGGGGAGGGGGAGGGGGATTATTCGCACATACTTCACAGGGGATAGACTTTAGCAACGCTCTGGATTTTGTCTAGGCCATAATCTATGGTTATATTTCTCTTACTCCCATACATTCGAGAACAAATCTTCACTGGCCGCAAATCCAGGAGCAGGCTTCGCTGCAGTTGCACCAACTCCTGGCGTAACTGGTGCGGCACTGCTCCAGCCCCCAAAATCCTCATCCACACTGACCTTTGGTGGCCCTGTACTTGCCGGATTAAACCCCCCTCCACCTCCGGGTACAATGCTCTGGTTGGCTAAAGAAGCCCCGCCAGATCCCCAATTAAAGCTGTTGGGACTAGCCAGTGGAGTTGCCACTTTAGTGACTGTAGGGCTAGTGTTCGTTCCGCTCCAAGCGTCATTAGATCCCCATGCATCATTATTTGACCAGCCGCTCATCGGCGCCATTGCAGCCTGGGGTTGAGGCGCGGGTTGAGGCACTGGCTGTGAAAGATTAAAGACTGATGGCTGGGTCGAAGTTGGTGCGGCAGTGGCTGGCTTCGGGGCGGCAGGCTGTGAGGCAGGTTCGGAGAAATCAAAGAGGTCGCCTAAGCCAGAGCTGGCGCTCACAGCACCTTGAGCCCCTGAAGACATGCCCGGGGCCGAGTCGAAAGCGCCAAAGCCACTGGAAGAGCTGAGAGTCCGGGATGGCTGGGATGGTTGTTGTGGGGGTTTGCTAACTGGTTTGGTATCAAAGAAGCTTCCTCCAGTCAAGGTGCCAGGTGTGGAGGCCTGGGATGGTGCGCGTTGATGGTTCGTAATATTGCCCAGACTCGAAAATGCGGAGGGTTGGGGTTGGGCCTGTACTCCTGGTGAACTGGGATTAGAGAAGCTCAGGTTGCTGAAAGCATCATTCATTCCTCCAAAGTTAGTCTGTTGAGGCGGGGGCGATTGCTGCATGGGAGGTTGCATGCCACCAAACGACCCTGAGCTTCCGTGGGATGGTTGCTGCTGAGGTTGAGGTCGAGGGGCTGAGGCGTAAAGTGATAAGATAGATTGTTTTAGATCTGGCCGTGATTGGGCCCCAGGAGCTGCTGCAGTTGCGGCGGCACTCGATGGTCGATTCGGCGGAGGAGCCTCTGTTCCAAAGAAGTCCAAACCGAGCAGGGAGTCCGCAGGTTTCGTTTGCTTTGGTGGAGCAGGTTCAGACTTCGGCGGAGGCCCAGGTCTCGGGCGTGCTGGCGCAGCAGAATTTGCCCTTGGAGGAGCGATATCCTCTGCAAAGAGATCCGGCTGCGGCTCTCGTCGAATCTGCGACGGCCCTGATGGTCCAGAAGAAGCCCTGGTTGAGGCTGAACGCTCGATGGCATGCTTCTCCTTTACCAAACTGAGTGGCACATCATCGTCCCCTTCGGCGTCCAAAGTTGACGGATCTGGTATTGGCCCATCCATAACCCATCTCTTCGACTCATATTTGGTTCTAATGAAGTTCTCAATTTTTGCCTCTGACGGTACGTGTCCAGGTGCCAGCTTTGCCTCCCAGTATTTGTTCGCTCTCGAGTTCCCCCATTTTAACACGCTTTGTAATTGTTCATCCGTCCAGGCGTCGAGGTCCACTGATTTGACTCTGCTGATATGCGTGCCCATTCCTCGGTGAATGCCGGAGCATCTTATGCAAACAAATATGCCCAAATTCCAACTTGCCCATCTTGGATCTGTCAAGGGTATTTCAGTCAATGGAATTGTAATACACTCACTACGAGGAAGAGGAGACAGTAGCCGCTAACTCAATCTTACGTTTATTTCTCTTGCAGTCCGCGCAGGTCTTGTTCCCTTCTAACTTCAGCAGATTCTTAATCGTCTGTGTGTTCTGGGCAGCACGTTCCGCCGCAGGATTAGGCGCCCTCCGCGACATAGTGATGTGATATTCGGGGGGTGTAATGCGTAATCGGGGTAGATGGTATAGGGTCCCAGAGGCCTGAAGAAGATGGGGAATGGCTGCTTGCTATGAAGGGCGTTGCGATTCCAGATCACAACAGATTAATCGACGAGGTTGCAGCGCTGTACTGTACAAGCGCAAGCGCAAGTACGATTCAGGGGTGGCGCTATTGATAAAGAGTGCGGGGGGAACGGGCAATAACTCTGATAATCCCAATTGCTAGCGGGACCGCAGCGACAACATCTGACGTCGTCGATTGGCGCGGGGGAGGCTGATGATTCCAAATACCCCTGCTATTACTATTTGTCCTGTAATTGTAAGACTTTCAAGTGGCGCAAGTAGCTGGATCCTCTCACGTCTTTCGCCATTTCTTTACTAAGACTCCGAACATCTCGTTTTCCTATTAAACCCTCCATGCGCTTCCCAAGTTTCCCGAACATCGTCCGGGCATTTAGCAATCACAGCGCTCGTCTTTCAGCACAAACACCCTACAAATACAAAGCTCTCCCGCCGGTCTCTCGAGGTACAATTCTTAAGTCGATGCCGGCGATCCCATTCCTATCGAGTTTCTTCAGTTCGAGCAGCAATTCCAAGATGTCTTATCCCGTGCAGAAGAGCAACGAGGAGTGGCAGGCGGTGCTCAACAAAGGTCCGTACTTCGTATACTAGGCCCCAAGATCCAACCAAAAGTCCATTATTGACACGGCCCTTGGATTAGAACAATTTCGAGTCTTGAGAGAAAAAGGCACCGAGGCTCCCTTTACCGGGGAATACGACAAGCACATGCCGGAATCTGGTGTCTACACCTGCGCCGGGTGCAACGCGCCTCTCTACAAAGCCAACCATAAGTTCAAATCTGGATGCGGCTGGCCTGCATATTTTGACGGCATCCCCGGTGCCATTACTCGGCATACTGATAATGCATTTGGGATGTCGAGGACAGAGATCGTGTGCTCGAATTGCGGCGGTCATCTGGGACATGTATTCAAGGGCGAAGGATACCAGACACCGACGGATGAGAGGCATTGCGTTAATAGCATTAGTCTGAAATTCTCACCTGAGGATAAGAGAACGGAAGAATGCGCAAAGACCGAGGTGTGACTTTGGAGCGACTAATGGAGCTAGGTTGGAAATGTTTTGTGTATTAGCGGCTTTAGATGTGAGTACCGTTTGTCAATTCAATTGTTTATGAGAAGAACGCAAAATAAGCCTGCACAAGATGTGGCGTACCGCTGTAGTTGTTGCCATGGGCCGTGTAGGAGACCGCGGATATAAACAGGCAGTCAGAACTTGGACGAATGCCACCCAGCTGCATTAGTCAAGTCGCAACTCTACTCTACGGCATGGTTTGGTGGCCATAAAAGCGGAAGCTCGGGGTAGCTAACATGTGGCCGAACATTGTTATTGGCCTCTCCCCTAGTGATTACTTGTCAGTTCAAGAGTGGGAAAGCTGTCGTTCTAATAACTACTACAAATGCAAGGTTATTAGAGGCTCCGTCCTAACCACATTGATGCCTGGTTTCCATATCCAATATCTTAGCTTCATAAGAACATGGACTCTAAAGCTTAGACTGCTAGGAGCATAGTGTGGCTAATCCCTTAAGCATAACGAGGTCTTCGTAAAAGCAATATGGGTTTCTATAGTTTTTGACACGGTCTAAAACAGGGTTCAATAGCCTGCTTCTATCCACAGCAAGCTTGCCTAGGAGGAAGTGCACGTTGGTTCTCGGTATGAATTTAGCTTCGGATCGATCGATATTGGGGATTGAACCTCTTCCGTCATGTCTAATGAATTTTGCATTGGCATGTTTCTGTTTATTCTTTTACTTCCTATTTATAAACGCCAGCCAGCGCAGGAGTCTAATCGGGCAATATAATCTTACACTTTCACATTCCTCTGCATACTGTAAAAACAATATGCCCTGTTACTTAAACGTTTTACATGTCATTCTCGACTCCGTCCTACAGAATCTAGTTTTACCTCAGCCAGGCATTCCCCGCTCTCAGCTTGATTATTGACTTGGACGTAATATTAAGCTAACTACAGCTATCATGTTCATTGCGGTACCCAAAGCATACGGAGTGGAATGGCTGTGAGTGGCTCAAAGAGCCACTCACATGGTGCCGCCTCCGGGTTTAAACCTAACCTCCACTTCTCCACATCCTCAATTTTGCGGATCGCGTCGACTAGTTCTCTCTTCTGCGCGAGATATTTACTTGCTTGAGAGACAGTACCTTCCGCTGCTCTCCACATCCTGCAGTCATCGCGCACTCGATTCCGGGAAAATTTCCATTTCTCCTTTATACCCTCGACAAACTCTAGGGTAAGAGAAGGATCCCTCATCTCTCCTTCAATAGCGAGGCAATAATCGTACTCACCTCTATAGGAAGGAAGCTTGGAGTTAGGGCCTGGCTTGCTATTTCTCTCCTCCCAGAAATCAGTATGGTCTCGTTTCGCCGTTGTCTTCTCTCGGTAGCGGGCTAGGATGTCATTTAGGCGGCATTTGGAGGAATCCCGGCCCTGATAGTATTCGTGGTCCTCTCGTTTTGGGCGACATATTATCGAGCCAGCCTTCAAATTTCGATGATCGGTGCTCGGTTTCGTGGGGCAATTGTAACCCGTGGCATGATTTGAGAGAAGTTGAATACCATCGCAGTATCGCCGTTCCGCTACAGTAGCAGAATTAGTAGAAGGGAATTCGCTGTTAGGTCCTACAGCCTTGACAAACACACTACACTCGCAGATTTCCGCTGTCAAGCTTGGGGTGATTATATCCGCCTGCGAAGGGATGGTTCCGACCAACGGCACAGATATTCTTGAGCAGTTTAGCATCTTCGTTCCGTAATTGCCTACGGCAACCAGTGTTCTTCCTTGTGGGATTATGGAAATCGCATCGTCACTGGGATTGTTAGCCTCAAGCATGAAATTCTGTGCGTTGGCTTTTGCTTCTGGGGAGACAGGTCCATGGTATACACCTCTCTGTCGGACTTCGCCATTTAACACCTGCATGCCGTCTGGTTGAGCCTGAAGTGAGGGTTTAGGAGCATGACAGTTTTCATCAGAGATGAACACTGATGGGCAAATGACGAAATTATCCATCTGGTTTTGACGGGGCGTCCTGATAAGTGCTAGGTCACACTGCAAAGCTCTGGAGTACCCCTGGAGACGAATGCGGGTGAATTTGGTGGCGTTGTGGTTTCGGTACGGAATGGCAAGATACTCCCGAATCTCTTCAATATGAGAATCACAAACATGCGTGTCATTTAATAACCTTTCTCCTATGAGCTGGCGCTCGAGGAAAAAATTTGAACCCTGGGACAAGGACATATTCGGTGCCTGTGTTCCTGTCAGTCTGAGTTTGTATTATTGGATTGCTTCGTTGAACACCTACCGGATACGGCTGATAGACTTTGCTTGGTATGCCTGATTAGAAGAAATCTCCTATATTGGAATTACAAGACTAGATAATGATGTTAGTATTGTCTATGTATCAAAATGATGAGTTTGGAAGGTCACGTGAATAGAATACGTGGGATTAGAGTAACTTACTAGCCAACCTTCCGCCTCCTCTACCATTGCATTGCGGAGTACTATTGTTTAATTGAACGGACGACTGATGTTGATGTGGAAATATAATTTAATATGCTGTGCGAGGTTGTGGGCGCTGCGTATGGCACCTTGGGGCGAGGTCATGAATTTGGAAGTTGAGTGGGTCCCTTTCGTAATTAAGAAATGGAGGAATCCTCAATGACTGAATAGCCGCAGGATAGTAGGAAATAGCTGAACGCTTCTGAAGTTCTTTTGTGTTATACCAAGCACAAAGTACTTCTAGGTGGGGGGAATATGTTGGATAGGCACTCTCAAAACTAAAGCTCGGACTTGTGATAGAGGGTGATGCTCTTGGGAAGTCCACGTCGGGTATCTTTCTTCGCTATCGAGGGAAGCTGATGGACTCGTCGTATACCTACTACTCGGGGCCCGGGCTTCATGGCATGGGAAATATCAACGGTGTGAACGACACTTCTAAAAGACTTAGAATTTATGTTATGGGGCAAAATACCGGTATCAGCAACACGATTAGTCGTTTAGCCATCTCGTCACGACTCGATATCATCATCCGAGTTGCACTCCTTGACTTCATCATTGGCCGAGGATATTTCAAGAGAGAATATATTGGACATTTGCTGAGCTTCGAGCTGAGGCAGGTTGGGAGGTCTACTTAAGACTACCTAAGTGACCTGTAATCCAATGAGTAGGCACGCCGCAGAACTTAATATTCTTAGCAACTCAACTGTCACTGGCAGCCATGAAGATCTCGGCCGCATATAAAATCATGGTGCCACAACTGTGGCAAAAGCGAAAACAAACGCAATTATCTTTAGATTAGAAACTGGGGTGGACAAGGCATTTATTTGAACTTGGCTCTTATCAGGGGCGTCCCTGTTATAAACACAATGCGTCTTATGTCCTCAACTCCAGCAATGCCAGCCAGACAGGCGAGACTGGTTCCTAGCAGCAAATAGCACCACAGAACGCTTGCTATTGACTTCGGACTCGAAGATTGTGCTTTGGAAAAGAACAGAACAGGCATTATGATATGCCTCAATAGAGGAATTAGTTTAAGGAGTCGTGAGGAGTTGTAGCTTTTCAAAGGTGATTAATTATGCCAATGCAGCTGGTAATGCACAAAGTGCAGCATTTGTAAGGCGCAAAACTTGGATAACTACCAGATGCTATCCATTGTACTTGACTTAACCATGCTAGCATTGAATATTCAGGATAGTGGAAAAGACTACGAAGTAGACGTCAAGTTCGCCTCTTTATTAGTCGTTGTACGGACGCAGCGACAAACGCTAGCGCCTTTCGCTAGTCAGCCAATCATGGACGCGCTTTGCCTGCTCCAAACGCGACTCTCGTCTCTTGAAGCTCAGGCTCAGCTTTTGCCCCAAAGAAAAGAAACATTACAATACATTGACTTTAATCCGCCATCCCACTCCACTCCCACCTCTCTTCTTCAACTAGCTTCCCTTCAGACGCATATCTTGTCGATTCTTTGAGCGCATAGAAAGAAGAAGCCTTTCAGTAATATCACCCTACCCCTTCCTCGTCTCGATCTTTCTAAACCCGCCATGGCTGCTGTAAGTTGTTCCCGATCCATCACATCAACATACCCCCCATAGCCTTACCTCAATCGTCGCATCTCAAAGTCGAACCCCCGTTGCCTCAGCTGGCTCTCAATCGCCATGACACGAGAAGCTGTACGTTTATATTTGGACCTGGACGCTGACTATATCATCTTTGCAGCAACGCCCCCATTACAACAACCCAGGCTACCTTCCCAACGGAGCTGTCGGTGGCCATGCCGGCTTACCACCTGGAGCTGCTCCTCTACTTCCAAACAACGGCCGAGTCATTCAAACAGGGGGAGTTAGAGTGCTTTGTGTGGCAGATGTGCGAGGTGAGTTAGATCGGGCAAACATGACTTACTAGCGGAGCTGACATGGACCAGGAAACCTGAGATCTCTCAATGAGCTGGCGAAACAAGCACGCGCAGATCACATAATTCATACTGGAGATTTCGGCTTCTACGATGAAACGTCCCTAGACCGTATTGCAGAAAAGTGAGGAATTGCCCGTTTGCGACAATCGCCCCCTTAGCCACATGCTAATATTTATATTCAGAACTCTCAAGCACGTTGCCCAGTATTCGCCACTCATCTCAGAATCTGTGAAGAAGTCTATTGGCGCCCCAGGAGGTCCGGTCAAGCAACGATTCCAACCCAGCGAACTCCCCCTCTCCGAGCTTCCACAGTTCCTGAACGGCAGCCTAAAGTTGGATGTTCCAGTCTACACAGTTTGGGGAGCATGCGAGGATGTAAGGGTGTTGGAGAAGTTCCGATCAGGAGAGTACAAGGTCGACAAGCTACATATTATCGATGAGGCACGCTCGATGCTGTTGGAAGTTGGTGGCGTTAAGCTGCGTCTACTCGGTTTGGGTGGCGCGGTGGTAATGCACAAACTTTTCGATAATGGCGAGGGCCGAACGACAATTGCGGGAGGCCAAGGCACTATGTGGACAACGTTGTTACAAATGGGAGAATTAGTGGATACTGCAAACCGCGTTTACGACCCCACGGAAACCCGAATCTTCATCACGCATGCGTCTCCGGCTCGCGAAGGAATCCTGAATCAGCTTTCAGTAACTCTAAAAGCCGATTTCTCAATTTCCGCTGGCCTGCATTTCCGATACGGCAGCTCGTACAACGAATTCAGTGTGAACCCAACACTAGATCATTACCGCGGAAAGCTCGCTGCATCTAAGGCTTCATTCAACGATGTGTGGGAGACTGTGAAGGGAGAAGTCCAACCAGCCATCTCCCAAAACGAAGCTCAGCAGAACCTTCTTAACAATGCTCTTGGCATAGTGGAAAAGATGCCTAGCACTGCTCTTGGCGGCAATCCCTTTGGTGGGCCTGTTGGAGGAGCCAATGCTGCTGGAGCTGGCCAGGTTGATGAGAGTGCTTTCAAGAATATGTGGAATTTTAATTTGGCAGATGCGGCATTTGGCTGGCTGGTCTTGGAGGTTCAAGATGGTAGAATCGGCACTGAGATGAGAGCCCAAGGGTTCAACTTCGCCCACCGAGGAGCCAAACAGCACCCACCCCACATCAATCAGGCAAACCAGCAGCAACCTGCCCAAGCTCCATCAACTGGGACTGGGACTCCAGGCTCAAGCCACGCCCTTGTAGCTTCTGCCCCGACTGGTCCCGGCCAACGATCTCCTGCTGGACAAACTGGTTCGCAAACCTTTAATCAAGGCCAACAGCGTCCTCAACAAGCTCAACAGCAGCAGCCACGTGGCCCACCTTCGGCTGAGCGGGCTACTGGATCACCTGCTCCTAAGCCAGCTACCCCACAGCCTCAGTCGAATGTTGTTAATCTTCCAGGACAAAAGGAGAACGAGAAGGCGGCAGCTGCGGCAAATGGAACTTCGAATGGCGCAGCTGAAGCCACATCGCCTACGGCCAAGGCAGCTCCTGAGCCACCTATCATCGGTCTCTTTGTGATGAACGTCACTTCCGATGATGCTGTGAAGGAGATATTCAATGACGAAGACAAGGAAAAAATCGTCAGAATTGATAAATGGGGACAATCCAACAAAGTGGTTGTTTTCAAGAACGCGGAAGAGAGAGATGCGGTTCTGGCGAGACTACCAGACGATGTCAAGTCTCGATCTGGTGAGGACCGAAGCCGCCCATTGGTAAAGGTTTTCCAACCCAGAGAGAACAAATCGTTTGGCGCTAGCCGTGGCGGAGCTGGAAACTGGGGAAGCAGCAGAGGTGGAAATAACACAAATACCCCACAAGGCGGATATCGAAGCGGTGGCGGTGCTAGTGATAGCGAAGGGGGACGTGGTGGACGGGGAGGTCGTGGAGGCTCGAGAGGAGGACGGGGTGGTGAGCGTGGCAGAGGCCGAGGAGGACGAGGCGGGTTCAACAAGAACGAATCTTCGCCGGCACCAACTACCTCAGCCCCCGCTGCTGGCGACTCTTAATCTCCCGTTTTCTTCGGCCGGTATTCCTTTGCTTCGCCAAAAGTGCTCTCCAGTCCATCTTCCTATTAGTCGCTTTTTATGAGCCAAAGATCTCGATAGCCGACAAAACAATTTCGGCTTACTATTACAGGTGATTTGGGATGGAAAGGTGGAGTTTGCTAGCCTACGCTTTCACCGTGTGGATGCGATGATGGCTCTATTTCCTCTGTACTTTTGATCCTCATTATCACATCATTTGATTGCCCTCGGAGCAGCGTTGCGTGTATTCTAGTTATGCAGAAAACCAGAGCGCTGGCCGGTGGCTGTATGGAGCAGCTTAGACAATACTTAAAATCCTTTGTACATTTGCAGCTAAGTCCACGTCGAACCATGATTAGTGGTGTGGTTGATATGATACATATAATACATCGCCCACGTTAACGTCACACACTACGACTTCTCAACAGGCTTAATACCTTTATGAATCGCCGCAATCCCAGCTGTCAAATCTTCCCACCCCTTCCCAGGAACCACAAACCCCGCTGTCTGAATCATATTCCTAAACTCCTCCTGCTTAGGGAACTCCTCAATACTTTCCACCAGATACTGGTAACTCGCCCTATCCCCGGCAACTAGCTGTCCGATTAATGGAATCGCCCCAAAACTCCACCTCTTATACACGGCATCCAGCAGCGGATTCGTCACCCCGCTGAACTCCAAACACGCAAATAGTCCCCCTGGTTTCAAGACACGGTACGCTTCCCGTAACGCGGCGTCCTTGTTTGTAAAATTCCGGATGCCGAAGGCGACGGTGTAGAGGTCTATACTGTTGCTTGGAACGGTGTGTAGGTCCTCTGCATTGGCGAGGAGGAACGAGAGCCGGGGGGAGTGGGCGTAGGATGTCGAGAGGGAGCGTTTGCGCCCCTCAGCGAGCATGTCAGGGTTTATGTCCGAGATCGTTATGGTGGAGGAAGGGGAGTTATTGATATTTGTGCAGTGGTCGAGGAGCCTGAATGCTATGTCGCCGGTGCCGCCAGCAATATCCAGCATTTTCCAGCCCGATGATGGGGGAGAGGACGAGGAGGATCCCGGGTTGATGCTGCGGACGAAGTAGTCTCTGGGGGAAGCGGGTGGTTAGCATAATTTGATGCAGGTAGGACTTCTGCTTCCACTCAGGAAGTAGGCAGTCTAGTAATGAATAGATTGGTACAGGTACGCACTTCCATAATCGGTGGATTCCAAGAGACATGAAGTCGTTCATCGTATCATAAGAAGTCGCAACGTTACTGAAGACTCCAGCCACTAGGCAATCCGCATTAGCCCTGCCCCCTCTCATCCTCTACTCTATAGACCAATCAATACCTCTAGCCTCCTTCTCGGCCTCTGCAACAGTTTCGAATCCAAAATGCGTTGTTCGTTCATGGTTCGTGGGCTGCGCGTTGGGGCGGGACTCTGCACGGAAGGGCGTATGAGCAAAGTGTCGCGCGGTAACGGAAGCGTATGGACATGGGAATTTTGTCGACCTTAGAAAGGACCGTATAGCTGGTTTTGATGCCATTGCCATTGCCATTGGGGGGGGGGGGCTTGTGGGTTGCGGGATATGGGATATGGGATGTCCAATGGCTGGGCAGTAGCAGGAGCTTTTGCAACCGCTGTTGTTGATGCTAGAGCTTGAGGTGATTTTTCTCAGCCTCGTTTGAAGGCTGGGTTCCGAGGGACTGGACTTGCCTCTCGGAGCTTACATAAGGCGCCAGTGCATCCATTAATAATCACTCCTTCATGTTTTCATCTTTTTAGTTCGTGTCCCACTCTTCAACCTCAACAGCGCCCGCCACCGTTATTAGTTTCCAGGTATCATCCTTGGCTTCTTCCATGTAACATTGCTTGCTTGATGACTCACGTCGTTGGAAGGGCTTCCACCAGTTGCTCCCCACTATTGCATAAGGAATAAATGCCCAGGTAGAAGTAGATCGCTTTTCCTTCGTCATCCTTCCGTTCTCTGCTTTGGTTGATCAAATTCGCTCTTGTTGTCGCTTTCGCTCAGTATATTCAATACTCACTTTTTCGGTATCTGCTTCCATATCAAACCCCACCGATCTTCCATTCCACAAGCAGGAAATAAGAAACAGCCAGGCCAGCTCAACATGGCCAAAACCTACCTCCACCTCGTCCGCCACGCCCAGGGCTTCCATAACCTCAATGCCGCCAATCACTCCCTCCCGGATCCCGACCTAACACCCCTTGGCGAAAAGCAATGCGAAACGCTCTCCCAGATCTTCCCTTACCACTCCAAAATAACCCATTTAATAGCCTCCCCGCTCCGCCGGACACTTTATACCGCTCTCCTCAGCTTTCCGGCCGCCGTGAAAGCCGGCCACAAGCTACTCGCTGTCCCAGAGCTACAAGAGACATCCGATTTACCTTGTGATACGGGCTCCTCGCCAGCGGCGTTGAAAGCCGAATTTGAGGGAAACCCGAAATGGAATGTGGATTTAAGTCGTGTGCAAGAAGGGTGGAATGTTAAGACTGGGAAATACGCACCAACAGCCTCGGCAATCTCCTCAAGAGCTCTCGAAGCTCGTCTTTTCCTCCGCTCCCTCGCCTCCCAATCTTCTCAAGCCGCCTCAGGTGAAGATGTCCATATCGTCGTGGTGACACACGGCGGCTATCTCCACTACTTCACTGAGGACTGGGACGGGGAGTCGAAGTTCTGCGGAACGGGGTGGGCGAATACGGAATTTAGAAGCTACGAGTTTTCAGGTGGGGAAGAGGATGAGAATGCTGGTCTGAGAGAGTTGGAAGAGAGTAGAGAGAGGAGGAAAGCGATTCCGCTTACAGGGGACGAGAAAAGGGAGCTGAACAGTGTAGCGGAAGGGGAGCTAGGTGGTATTGGGAACCAGGTCAATGGGAACGGGAATGCCGAAGGAGAGAAGACAAAGTTGTGATTGAGAGCGGGCAGCTGTTTACTGACTGCTTGGTTTTGGGCTAGTCGGGCGGGAGGAGATACATAGATCGTGATGACATTCATACATCTAGACGATAGGCTACGTGCTTACGGATTAAAACCATGAAGATATATAGAGGATAATCTAGAAAAGAACCTTGAAATTAATAGACTGGAAATATGTTGCTACAAAATTGAATCTACAACTCTTAACTTGCCTAAATAGCATGTCCTTCCATCCCACGGCTTTCCCATGCTCCACTGCCTAGGTGTTCAAAGATATTAGAGCGCACAACAAACCCCCCCCCCATAATTGCGTAGTAGCAGAAGCCCCCACTATGTTACTCTACCCAGCTTATATATATACAAACAGCAAAACCGAGGAAGACTATGCATGTCTAACAGAGAGTAGGAACATGGAATACACTCGAAAGATATAGGGCAATGGTGTTGTACCGTCGGTCTAGGGACCTATATCTATATTAGTCAGGGAGTAGGAGAGTGACTGTAGGCCGTGCTCCATATATTGCTATTGATAGGTCTTTTTGAGGGCGCCAGAATTGCTCAGGTAATACACCTAGGTCTGGACTTTTCAGTGCACTAATTAATAAAGAGGAATACTACGCAAGATATATAAAATGGAACCCGACTTAGGTGGCGCAAAATCTAAAGGCATAAAGACACTACATATACCTAGGCAGATAGACTTTCGAATTCGGAGAAGTGAGACCGGAAGCGGAACGAATTTATCTAAATTTTAGGCTGTTGATCATATAAACAAAAATCCTATGTGGTGATGGTATGGATTCAAAGGGGTATAAAACTTTTTTTTCACGTGGATTTTGCTTTCTATCGTCTCTTCATCCTCCACCCAAGTCGCCTCACCAAACCACCTTATGCTTCTTGTCTTCGTTCTGAACTTGAGATATCCTATCAACACGACTTAGAGTTACACACGCCTTCCCTAGCCCGAAACTCCAACAACCCGTCCCAAAATACACAAAGATCGAACTTTTGTCCGATTCCCATCCCAAACGTATAGAGATAACGCCAATGCAATGTCAAGGCATCCTCTTTAAATGATCATGAACCCAGTCGTTCACGGAATTAGAAAGGCCCAGACGTTATGTACTCCTTCGTATATATATAATTATGCCGTTTCCCTGCGCTGGAATAGTCGTATGTAACCCTTTTTATATGTGAGAGAAGTGGAGCATTGTGTCGACTTCCGTGAAACTATTTACTAGAATGGATGGACGTGGTACATCTGGCGACTTCTGTTTTGTTGTGGCCCTGGTGGAGTACTAGTTCCTCCTATTGCGGGATAGAAGCCATGGATCCATATGGAGGATAGGCGGCTCAGCAGAAATGAGAGGCTCAATCAAGGGTATTCCCAACTGATTTCGTACTCGGCTATACTGGGTCCCTCCCATTTTTCGCCATACGGATTCAGGCGGCCGTGTGAGAAAAAGCCATCTTGAGCGCGTTGAGCAACGTTTAGCCAGGAAGACGGTTCAGGATTTTTCAGCCACTGTTAATTCTATGTTAGCATCTCATTCATACACGAAGGGTACAGCGGAACCAACCTGATTATGGACATGGTATGTCCATGCACCTCGGAAGAAGTGCTCCAATGTCCTATTCGTAGGCGGATAATTATCCATTTCAAGCTTGTACTCGGCTTTGCTCAACGCATCCTTATCGTATGTCAAAGTTTGAGTAGCCGAGTTGTCGCCGCGCTGAGTGATCTCTGCGATTTTCTCCACCATGTTGACAGACCTCTTCTTAATATCCCAGAAATGCCCGCGAGATTTCGTTTCGGCAGCCAGCTCCGATTGTGGTCCGTCGTAGGTCTTCCATTCATCGTTCAATGGGAAGGCATTCTTCCCTTTAAAGACCTGCCCGTAATCGTGAATGCAAGGCACCGTACACTTGCCTAATCGACCCCAATTAAATTCGGTCCAGATGGGATCAAATGCTGCCGTTTCTAGCATGTGGAACTCCTGGTTTCGGTGGTCTTTCACAGCCATAACCCCGATTACTCTGGGATGGAAATTCAACCCCATCCGCACGCCACCACGAACTAGGTAGGAGGAGAGCGAGGAGTTTGCGGAGAGCGACATGATCGCAGTGTTATAGTCTCCTGGTGACGGGTGGCCGCCCCATCGCTCAGCAAAGGAATGTTCATCCCCAATTAGGAGAGGGCGCATATCGCGGAGCATCACGACGTCCATATCGAAGTAGGCACCACCGTAAATGTGTAGTACAACAAATCGAACAGCATCTGATACGGCTACCGGTAGGAAGGTCATTTGCTTCTCTGTCAGCACTAACCATTCTTGACCGTTGACATCGCGAATCAATCCATCTGCCACCAGCGTCTCGTTCTTCGAATTTGGTTTTCCCGGGTTCTTGTAATATCCAACTCCATCAGTGTTGTCGCCATTTGGAAGGGGGATCCGCGATGGAAACCTCCATGTCTTCAGAACGATATCTCCGCGCTCAACGAACGGCACGAATTTTGCGAACAATGGGTCGTGCTTGAGCATCTTTTCAGCTGCTTTCGAATCCCGATCACCGTCGAGCCATATCCACAATCGAACGCAGGGGAGGTTTTGTGTATAGAAATAACTCTTGATGAAGAGCTCCACTCTCCACGTTGCCGCCCCAGTCCAGTATGTGTGATACGGTACGATAGGCCCGTTGCATTGGCCAACTGAGTCTTTCGTGGCAGGTTTGTACGATGGATATTCTGCCAGGGTGTTATCCGCGCCATCAGAGTTCAAGTATTCTGCGCGTTTGGGAGGTTGTTCGCTCGCTCGCTCGCCACGAGGGGGCATGTACAGGTACTCGTGCTCGCCGGTCTCCAAGTACTTTAGACAATCATACACATACGGCATCTTCTCGATATGCTCATATGAGCCTCGGCATTCTTCAACCAACTTTGTGAGGTTCGCAATGACATCGACATCTGGTCTCTTTCCTAAGTAGTCATCTCTAGGTAGGACCAAGCTCTCGGGCCGGTTGAACCAATTGGCGTTGGGATTGATCTTCTCCACCTTCAACTTGCTCGACGGCAGTCGTATTATGCTTGACCCAACACTATCCGACGAGGAGGACCCTGGGCGATAGTTCGTCGGGGGGTTTCTGTAGAGGTCTGCAGGCGATTTTGGCAACGCGCCCTTCTGGAAGACCAGCACGGCTAGGTAGATGAAGCCATAGAGAACCGACGCGACAAGGACGCTCTGTACGACGCCCCAGAAATTTCTCGCGTGGCTCTTCTTGGGCATCTTGGTCGTGTAGGCTCGGGGCTCGCAGCCGCGTCAAGCAACCCGCTCGCTCCCCTTTGACCGAGTCTGCGTCTGCGGATGCGAAAATAGCGAGGAACAGCCGTCAATTATCGTGATGTATTGTGTATTATGTTCGTCCAGACGCCATAAATCGAAGCTATATTCTCGTTCCAAAAGGTGCAAAGGGAGGGTGTCTTGTCTTGGATGGGGAGTTTGGAAGCTCGCGTCTTAAAGGATAGTGTGCCTTGCCTGGGAATCAGTTCGTGTTAGTGCTGAAGATCGACGGTGGATGGTGGAGAGGGCACAGCCTTCATGATGCACGGAGTAGGTCTACTTACGGCAAAGGACGAGTTCAGGCCAATGAAGGCAAGATCTCTATGAATTAAAGGGATTGATCATGAAGTCGAGTATGGGGAGACGGGGGGGGCGGATGAGGATGAGGAGAGGGAAAAAGATGGCGCCGAGAGGAGTTGAGAGATAGAGAGATAGAGAGATAAAGGAGTGACAGACGCCGTTTGGGCGAGGAAGAAGCTGGATGGGGGGGGGAAGTATTGGAAATCTGGAAAGGAGACTGGAAGTTGGAAAACGCCTCGTGGAAATTGGGGGTCGGGAAACCGGTGGAGAACGGGCGCCCCAGGTGCTTTCGCTTGGCTCTGGGGCTGTGGTCTCTGTCACTTTCTGCTACGAATAATATAGCTACGGCACAAGGGGCGATGGGCGATGGGCCAGGGGCAACAACCAAAACAATTACAGTTCTTATATTCGCACGGGGCGCGCGGTCGCAAAAGGCACAAGAGGCATTCCACGCACGCAAGGATTAGGGAGCCCAGGGCTCAGGACTCAGGAGGTGGTTGGCGGGAGGAGGCAGAGTTTGCCACCAGTTGAACTGACAAGAGGCACAGCAACTCTAGTTGTTGGATACATACTGCACTACGAAGGTACGTATGTACATCCTACCTACTACTACAACCTCCAACTTTCTTGCAAACTTCCAAGGACTTGCTTGCAATAATGAGGTCGAGGCGGCATCTAGTGGCCCTAGTGCAGTCCCCGGCTTTGTACTCTATCTACGGAGGTATAACGCGGTACTTGGCAGTACAAAGTATAATTGCGTGGGGCGACTAAGACCCTAAACAGTAGTAAACTGGTGCTTGGTAGCATGGGCCGGTGTGCAGCTAGACAATTGCAACTGCTGCTTATTGGAATATATGCTCTAAATTAGGTTCTTTGTATGGAGTACTCTGTACGAAGTACGGAGGAATGATAAGCACTCAGCCCCCCCACGACCGCCGCTACCTGTGATTAGCGGCTCCTCGGGGTTTCATCTTCCTTCAGCTTAGTCTTTTAGTTGGATTGATCCTTTCAGGTTGATCCTCAGTTACGAACTTCTACAAAGTACTTCACTGCAGTAAATTCATCGTTATGGTTATTATTATCATGGCCTTTCCGGTTGCCTCTCCTTGTCATATTTCATCCGGTTTGGCGGCGCGGGCAGTAAACCAACCAACAAAGCCAAACAAGTAAAGGGAGGTAATTACCTATCTACTCCGTATATTGCGTGCATAAGCCCTGCACAGCCCTAATTATTAGATGTACAGTTCGTACATCGAAGTGCTGTACGTACGGGGTAGTGCGTAGTAAGGTCTAATATTAATACCGTCTAGTAATACGGGCTCCTGGCACCACCACAGATCCGAGGCATGTGCTTGTTTCGGCCCGCCCATGCGCAGATAGATGGGTATTCCCGCGAGGTGTACGAAGTACTTTCTATATAGCTACAGGTAGCTCGATATCTAGCAGCAAGAGCTACTGTGTTATTTATTATGATACTGCGTACCCGCCTCCCAGCAATTGAACAGGATAAACAGTCTCGCGGTGCAGAATACGTACATGTACAATACTTCGTAGTGGTGTGTACATGTACATACCTAAGGTACACACATCATAATCCGCGCGGCCGTTGAAACCCAACCGCGCAAACCGACCAATACCAAGGACTGAAGAGGCACCATAAGCACAAGCACAGCACATGCACAAGCACAAGCACAACGTGTTGCTACCACTCCATAAACCACAGCCTGGTTACTTGATCTGTACGAAGTACATTATTGTCCCGACATGTACCTGCAGAACTGTACGCTACCTGCTGGGTTTATCCCATGTTTGAGCCTTTTCTTTTACTCCACTCCTCTACACGACTCGCACTACTCGCACTACTCGCACTACCATACGGAGTAGGGACCTTAGGGATCTTTGGGGGGTACGCGGCGGATCTGGGGAACGATAGCAACATCATTACGGAAAAGCTTTTCAGCAGGCCTGAGTAAGGCGCTCAAGTGCGAAGTACGTAGGTACTTGACATCGCCTTGTATTCGCATCATAGAGCTGGCCTGCGGTAAGTTTCCTTCACCATAGGCTGCCTATAGCATGAGGATAGGCTGTGCGAATCAGTTGGATCGACTTCGCTATCTTCCGAATGAGGCGCTGCGGATTCCACTTGGAACATTGGACGTTGCGTGCCTCTCGTCCGAGTTCTCCAATAATGCGGCTTGATCTGCCCCTTTGGAGTAGTCGAAGCCAGAGAACACAGCTGCGGCTCTTTGCTGTCTTCGGGCTGTCATCGTCCTGGCGAAGGCCATATTCAGATTCTTCCACATCACGTGAACGGCCAGCTCGGCCAGAACCACAGACTTTTAAGATTGCCTGTGGTTCAGCAGGCTCAATTACTGTAGAGTAGGTACCAACTTCATATTTATGCCACCTTCTCTTATTCCTAGGTGGTGTTTGGGGCATCCCTTCCAGGCCAAAACTCTTAGAGTTCACGTGATTCGCCCCCCTTTCCATCACCCCTTTACGTCTTTACTATACCTCTTTACTCCCTTTTCAAGTCCCTATGCTAATTTTTGTGAAGCCTCTACAACTCCCATCTCCTTGCAAATTCAACCTCTCCTTTGTATATATATCTCCCCCCAACCGGCTTACACCTTCGGGAAACACACCCGGCCATACCCTCGTTTTTGCTCTCTCCTACCAACGCCCTGGCTCGGATCAACTATCGATGGAACCAACCCCCTCCTTCCCCACGGCCTACATCTTCGTCTTCGACATCGAGCACTATACTTCCTTCTCCATCTCCCCCACTGCTCACCAGCCACCAATCCTACGCCAATCATCCATTCCCCACACCCCTCCATGACACACTCCACGCCTACAACTTCCTAACAACGTCCTTGCTTCCTTCATTTGCTCCTCAACTCGAGAGCACATCATCCCCTTATAAGTCTACATTCTCTCCGGATTCGGCGTACTACAAACCACCGCCAACTCCAAAAACTGCTCAGCGACCGCTCATAATATATGGTTCCTACTTAGGTGGGACACTGGCTACTTCCCTGGCGCTGACGGAATCATTATCCTCAAAACACCATGCATATTCAATAGCTGGTCTGATTGTGAAGAATGGCATTTTTGATTGGACTGGGATTGGGACTTCCCTCCCACCCGAATCGTCGTCTGAAGAGAGCGAGAAAAAACCACCGTCCTCCCCCGAACAGTCTCTGGCTATGAGAGCTGACTTCCACTGGGATACTAAAACCCTTCATGCCCTAAAAATGAGACTGTTCGCGAGTCCAGCAGGCACATTTGATGCCTTCGCCTCTCCTGTCTTGTTTTTCCGCACTTCTGGACTTGACGTACCGGCTACGTGGCCCTGCTTGGAACCGCCAACTACCACCTCAACGGCACATGAGGATACGACTATAATGTCTACATCCTTATCCTCACCTCCGCCACCCAGATCGTCCACTTCAACCCCAATTACAACCCACTTAGCCTCCACCACTCAAAAGGCACATCTAAAATTCCCACCCCGAGACTCAGGTCTCAAAATCCCCCGAACTCTGCTCTTAACTACTTCCCCTCCCGCCCCTCCAACACCATATCTTCGTCCCCAGTCTCCATCTTTGAAACGGAAACCAACTCCAAAATCCAGGTCCAAGGCCAAGGCCAAATCCGACTCAATAACACCAGAAACCCAAGCCTATGAGCTAGAATCGCTTATGCGGCGGAGCTTAACGCTCCACGAGTTCAAAGACCGGAGGGAATGGGATGAGGCGTTTGATGCGGAAACCGATGCTAGTGAGAGGGTGGAGGTTTACGAGCTTAAGCGTGGTACTGAAGTTAGAGGAGAGGGGGAAGTGTTCGCGGGTGTGGAGGGGAAGGGCAATGGGGAGACTGATGACGAAGAAGCGGTGGTGAGCACCTGGATTAAGGATTATCTGGGCTGATGTTACAATGTTTGTTAGTGTAACTGTATTGTAGAATATTAATCTCACCTGTACATAGGTATATACGAAGATAGGCAGCCCGGTTAACTCTAGCCACGAGGCATGGTTCACAAACTTCTCCGGGACTGAATTTATCATTATTTGATTGCATACTACCCTCTGCGGAAACGATAATACGAGCAGGTCCTTATTTGTGACTACTTGCAAAGTTAAACGTATCCGTTGCAAACTATTCAAATGGCAAAGCCTCGTCATCCTCCAGGCTCTAGGGGATTCTCCCTAGCGCAACTTAAAGCGCAAAACCATATGCACTCATGCAACGACGCGCTTGTCAAACTCCAGCTTTCCTACTCCAACGCCAAAGTAACCCGGATGTCTTCACCTACCACCCAAACTTGAGCCACCAAATAATCGCTCCTATATTCAAGGCGATGAGCCCAACTGTAAAGAAGACCATGGACGCCATAGTACCACGCGATCGAACCATAAGTCCCATCAAACAAACACCTTCGCGTCCCAAATAAGACCATCAATACCATAATACTTAGCCCGAAGCGCTGGAATGATCTGTTTCCAGATACTGGGCACACGCCTACCCGCATACGTTCGGATCCAAGCCTTGCGGACCATCTCCCATACTGCCTTTGTAAAGTGACTTTTCGAATAAACCTCATCCTCCTTGCTATCACCGACTACGATCCATAGCTCCTCTAAATTCTTGAAAAGCATAACTGTCTTGATGAAGTCCTCCTTGCTTCCGTGGACAAAGTCGCGCAGAGGGATGGCAATAGATCGGACGCGGCATCGATCTTGTGGGAGGATGGCCTGCGCGATATGTATCAGTTGCCACGCAGCAGTGCCATTGAAGAACAGGCGGTCATTGGCGAAATTAAAGAAGCAGTGGCGAACGCTCGAGGTTTTGGTGGGGAATTTGCGCTCCCAGCGCTTTAAAGCTAGCTCTCGCAGTTCGTGATTGACCTTCAGTATCTGGGGCGATGGGCCGCATCTTGTAATTCTGATTGTGGGATCTAGTCCGAGCCTGCTGTCATGTGTCTTGCGGCGTAAGCCAACACGGCAATCGAAATGTACGTGATCCAGGGCGTAGTTCCATATCTGCTCACGGAGCTCGAAGGGAAGGATGCCAAAGTTCCGGAACTTCGCCTTTCGGACTTTGGGGCGAGGTTTGCTGGGGTCGGCATGGAGAGCGGCCACGGGAATCACGCCCTGGTCGAGATATCCTCCGTAGGCCTTCAGGTATTGAGCCAGAACTTCAGGTCTAAGGTTGGCCTCCGCCCACTTCTTCAAGGTGATGGAATCCCAAGATGCCCCAATGCCCAAATTGGTGGTCATGACGTTGGGAAGCTCTGGTGGAGGAGCAATTTTCTGGGCGATGGGCTTCGCTGCCACTTCCATCTTCGATACATCACCCTGAGTCTTGTGAGCTATTGTGCTTGGAGGCGACACTACAGCCGAGTAACTTTTCCTGACTGGTAGATCCTTCTTGGGTACGGTGGTCTCCTCCGCAGCTGGAATATCCCTAGATGAATGATTGTTTCGAACGTTGTAATTTTGTGTGCCTGAGCGAAGTACTACAGTTGCGTAAGTCATCTTTGGTTGCTGATTCTTGAGGGATGCGATGGCCTGCTCGGCTGCCTGGATTTTCTTGAACGAAAGCTTCTTTGGGGCCTTCTGGTCGCTTTTGCCTGGATCGCCATGGTTCATGGGCAAAGCCTCCTTAACTATAGACTTCTTGGGCCAGGAATTCTGGTCGGTGGGCAAGATTTCTGTCTTTGGCTTGGTGGCCGGAATATCGTGGGAGTAGCGGCAGTCATTCCCTCTCGAGCAGTATCCTTTGGCAAAGTTGCGGCAGAGCCTCTTCTGGTTTTGTTGGGCGCTTGACGGGTGTTTCTTCTCAGGCGACGGGTCGGCACTGTTGAGCTTGTTGTTGTTAAAAGATGCGTTTTGAGACGAAGTTTGCTTAAATAGGTCATTCGCAGCCTTGGGGATATCCCGTGCGGTAGCATTGTGGATGAACGGGCACCTGTGACGCGTACAGTTGCCCTGGATAAACTTCCGACAAACTTCTTTGCTTTTAGTGCCATCGAGGTTCTTTTGGAGAGTAATGTCAGATGCTGGAGGGCTCTGCTTGTTGTGGCGCTTCTTGTTCGGAGTCGCTGCAATCGTCCGTTTCTCGATAGCCTTGTCCCTCACCGCATCGTCATGAATGTTGTGGCAGGATGCTTTAGTGCACGACAGGCCGTTGTTGTACTCCCAGCAAGCCTCCCGGCCTCGAGCAGGAGCTTGCTCGGGCGCTGGATCTTCCCAGTGATAATCCTTTGATAGACTTCGCCTGTAACACTTAGAGTCTTGCAATCGGATGTGGACGTGGGATGTTGTACTTACGTCCAAACGTCCCACTCAGGGATCTCGGTAGGAATAGACACATGCATCGCCCTTGCCGCCGTTATTTACCTACCCAGGTACCTAGGTATGCGCGGATGCGATCGCGGTGTGATGTGGTGGATAGAATCAGTATCTGAGACTCAAGATAAGGCAGATGTGGGAGGTATCTACACAACAGCGGTGATGAGAGCGAGGGAACGACGAGTGAGGATGGCAATAAGCGAATATCAGAACAATAGGGTCACAATAGGATGGACCCCTATTGTCGCGGTCGCGAAAGGGGAACTAGTCTAAAACCTAAACCAGTAACTTTTGAAAAAGCAAGCTAGAGACTGTGAATCGTCGGCTTGATACCTTAGTTCTACCGTCTATCGAGGATATAAAGGTGAATATCAACATATAATGACGATAGAATGACTCACCGAGTAAATAGGTACATTGGCCATCTCAGTTTTATGTCTCCGAGTTATTAGACCAGCGAACAACCTCAGCTTCCACACATGGCATAGTCATATGGACATCAGCTTCGGAGGAAGTGCCATGAACTACGCTAGATATTGGCCAAGGAATGCTGTGCTAGGAATGATTATGATTCTATAATGTCCCCTGATCTAGAACACAAACCTATAATACATTTGCCTTTTAAAATTCGTCCTCTCCATTCCCTGCTATAATGACATTGTTGATTTTCAAGACCATACGACACAACTGGGTTGCCAACATCAGTTGTTGCCTCTTCCCAATTAGTGGATCAATGACGAATGCATCTCTCATATCATTGCTTCCGGTCTGCATGCAGTCTACTCCTAATCTCGTGTTCTTCTCGGTAACTTGTCGGCTCTTGATGTCTGCAAGAGTCTGGATGGGCGACAAGCCGGAATTCTCAGCAAGAGCCATTGGCACCGCATCGAGCGCGTCCGCAAAGGCGCGCATGGCATATTGTTCGAGACCTGGTGACTTAACTGCGGCATCTTCGACAGCTAGGGAGCAAGCGATCTCAGCCGCTCCACCGCCGTAGACCACGCGGTTATCCCGAACCAAATTTCGCACAACGCAAAGAGCATCATGAAGAGAGCGCTTGGCTTCATCGATGATCTATAGTGGCATGTTAGGTACTGATTGTTGTACTAGAGAGGGATACTTACCATCTTGTTGCTTCCTCTAACGAAGACCGTCACAGCCCTTGTGTTTGCACATTCCTCAATGACCAACATCTTTTCTCTCGTTGTGCCGAAGCTCATCTCTCGTACAATCCCTGCATGACCAAGTTTCTCGGGCGATAAATCCTCAAACCTGGGCACAATCCGTCCGTTTGTTGCAATGGCGATCAACTCAATTTCAGGCCCTCCTACCCATCTAACAGCGGGAAGATGGTTTTGGAGCAGAAGATGGTTTGCTTCATCGTCAAAACCCCATTGACAAATGACAAGATTCGCCCCGGTATCCTTAATCTGCTTTATCATCTCCTCAAATTTTTCCTGCTCGTAAGTCTGTAGCTTCTTGAACTCCTCCACGCTTGTGATGTCGAGCTTGTGCTTGGTCTTTGGCTTCGGTGGCTCAAAGGCACACGTTAGAATTGCGATCTTGGCATCTCGAACCTCGTCAGGCATCTGGGGATGCGAGAAGTCTTTGTCAACAATAACACCCTGGATCAGGAGTGTGTCCTCCAGTGCGCCTCCCACCTTGCCGTCAACCTTAATCAGATCAAAGTCGACATCCTTGCGCTCAAGGTCGGCAACAGCAAGAACGGCATCCACAGCAATATTGGCAAACTGATCGTGAGCCATCGAGACGATTTTGCTACCCAGACTCGTCCGTGCTACCTTGACCAAATTCTCTTTTTGGGACTTTGTGAATTCGATAGTATCTGCGATGGCGTCCAGTTCGGCCACTGCGATATCACACGCCTGGTCATAACCGTCGGCTATCCGTATTGGGTGGATTCCCTTGTCGATGAGTTCCGCCGCCTGTTCCAATAACGCTCCAGCCAACACTACCACGCCCGTTGTGCCATCTCCTATTTCGTCGTCTTGGGATTTCGAGAGCTCAACCAGAAGCTTAGCAACGTGATTAGAGATCTCCATTTGGCTCAAGATAGTAGCTCCATCGTTCGTGACTGTGATGTCTCCGTCAGGGGATATGAGAATTTTGTCGAGGCCTCGTGGGCCTAATGAAGACTTGACAATGTTGGCTACAGTTCGCGCAGCAAGAATGTGTGATTTGACGGCCTCATTGCCATGCTGTCGTTTCTTTTTGCCTTGGCTAAAAGGGAGGAAAAGTCAGCCAAGGTCGTCATTTACAGGAGTAATATATCTTACTCTCGAACCACGATGAAAGGTCGGCCTTGCTCATCTTTTATGACCGAAGCTGTAGGTGGTTTTGGTTAGTTTCAAATAGCTGTGGTCGAAGCTGTAAATGGAAACGTACCCTGGGACATATCAATATCTAGAAGACCTTAGGTTAGCTGGAGCTTTGTTAGGGGATGGGGGCGGACGTACTCATCGCCATTCTGTAGGAAATCGAAATACAGTTGCTCTAAAACAAACGTATGAGCTTCCCGCAGCTGGATGAACGGTTCAGATGGAAGGCGAAGTGGGTTTCAATGTAGCTGCTATGACTTCAACGCGGTCAGGCAGATGGTCGCGTCAAAAAGCTATTTTCTTTCCGCTGTAGCATTAAGGCACCAAGGCATCCACAAGCCAGATCTAGTCACGTTACTCGATCCATTCCTGTCCAGCTGGAAGACCCTCTCTCCTCAAACGAGCACCCCTTTTTCGATAACAATAACGTGATCTTATCTATATTGATATATTTCAATATCGTAGCAGGCAGGTTATAACGTGTATAGCTCTTAGCTCTTGCCGCTACCTCAGGAACCTCTCGGGCAAGCTCGTTTCATACACGGTGAGTGTCGTCATATTATCTTCTCCTTGATGCCCTAGATACTCATGGTTCTAGAAACCCCGAGGAATAGCCTAGACCCACTAATTATAGGATGGGCAAGACTTGCGATTCGTGGTTGCCGTTTCAACTCATGTCTGTCCCTCTGATTTCTCCTATTGACGGAACTATTCCCGAATTAGGCTGTCCAAATATTCTAGTTGAATGAACGGAGGGGTACCTCAAAGGAGCCTTAAAGTTTGGGGTCCGTCCTAACTTTCGGAGAATATCCTTGCCTTTCATATTCTGCAAAACAGATTCAATCTCCCCGGCTATCGCTCCATCTTCTCCTACCTCATGATAAAGCATTCGTCCTGAAGTCTAGGAACGCCATGTTATGCATCTCTTATATGAGTTCTGCCCCATGTATAATATTTTCCCACATCTGCACGCACAATATTTGAAACGTGGAATTGGTTTATTATTTTCTGGGCCCGTCCGACCTGTAAACCCTAGGTATTCTCTGTTTTCCTTCCAGTACCATATATATTGCAAAGTCATCCAGTGCTGGAGGGTGTACGAAATACAGTACCAGTACTATGTTTCTTATGTATGGGGCGCTTACTTTCGCGTTCCTTGGAAGCTATGCCGATTGGCTATTCGCATCAATGTGAAGGGCCGACCAGGTTGAAGCGGCTATAGGTATGTGTACAGCCTCGTCATGTTTCTCCGTGCGGAGAATCCTTGAAATTATCAAGATTATGCTCGGTGAAGGAAACCCCGGCGGCAGCGGTGAGGATAAATAATCACGATTTCCCTATATTCATGCGTTTTATTTTTCGCATTTCGTTAGCATACCTTGATCTTCCTTGTTGTCTCGGGAAATCCCTGATATTTCAACAATGAAACTGAGTTCCTTCTCATATATTGCGGCGCTCCTGCTGCCATCATTAGTGGCTGCACAGTTATCAGGTCCTGTAGGCCCAACGACAACGAGAGACTCAAAAAGAAACAAGGTGTGCAATGTTCTAAACTATGGGGGGATTGCCAGCAAGACTTCAGATATTGGACCTGCGATCCAATCTGCCTATGCAGCCTGCAAATCTGGTGGCACCGGTACTTCTTTTATGGATGATGTCTGATGTATAAAATTAACTGTTGTCTGCAGTCTATGTACCACCTGGTGACTATGGAATGAGCACTTGGGTCAGTATGAGTGGAGGCACAGGGTGGGCTTTCCAGCTTGATGGTGTTATTTACAGAACAGGGTAAAAATACTTGCTTCATTCCCGTGGACATGATTTAACTTATGTATTAGAACGGCTGGAGGCAATATGATTGTTGTTGATAAAGCTACCGACTTCGAATTTTACAGCAGTACATCGAAAGGGGCTATCCAAGGCAACGGGTATATTTTCCACGCAGGTACGAACCCCTAATCTCGGCATGTGGTCCATGAAATTGACAATTAATAGACAACAAATATGGTCCTCGCATTATCCGATTTGTTCAGACGAAGAACTTTTCTATACATGATGTGATACTCGTAGATGGTTAGTACAAGGTCCTACCAGTACAACGCTTTTATTCTGACTTCAAACCAAAGCTCCCGCTTTCCACTTTGTCATGGATACTTGCAGCAATGGCGAAGTATACAACATGATTATCCGAGGTGGCAATCGAGGTGGCCTGGATGGAATAGACATCTGGGGGAGTAACATCCACGTGCACGATGTTGAAGTATCAAACAAGGACGAATGTGTCGACATCAAAAGCCCCTCAAGCAATATGCTCATCGAAAATATTAACTGCAACTGGAGCGGGGGTTGTGCGATAGGTTCACTTGGAGAGAATGCTGGTACGCTGTTCAATTCCTTCGTCTATTACTCTATAGATATTGTAACTAACACGTTGTACACAGCCATCTCCAACATTATCTACCGCAACATCTACACTTGGCAATCCAACCAGATGTTTATGCTCAAATCCAATGGTGGGAGTGGGTCAGTGACCAATTGCCAATTCCTCAACTTCATTGGCCACAGTAACGCTTATAGCCTCAATCTGAATGCGTACTGGTCCTCACAGTATGTGATTCAACATCCCTCTATCCTAAAAAATTGTCTTCAGTTTTTGGCCCCTGCTACACTTCCCACCCTCCCCACCTGCCACGTCTTCTCTTGTCATAACAACCCCTCTGTATCAGTGCTAGAACACAACACCAGCTAATCTATCTTCTCCTACAGAACAGTGGCAGCTGGCTCTGGCGTTGCCTATAAGAACCTCACATTTTCCAATTGGAAGGGGACCTGCGCCAACGGCGCCCAACGCGCTCCAATTCAAGTCCTCTGTCCCAGCGCCGTTCCGTGCACGGATATCACAATCAAAGACTTTGCAATGTGGACAGAGACTGGGAGCACGGCGCTATATAAATGCGAGAATGCATTTGGAAATGGAGCATGTCTGGGTACTGGAAAAGTGGGAGCGTATGCAAGTACAATAACGATTAAGAGTCAACCGTGAGTCAGAGCTCTTCCCTTTATTAACAATTTCTTTTGATTTTGGGAGAGATATGGACAAGTCTGATTACTTGGGCGTTGTAGGACCGGGTACTCGGCTCCACCGATGCCAAATCGTTTAAGCACACTGGCCATTACAGCTAGCGTTCCCATCCCAACGATTCCAACTACGTTTTTCCCGGCCGCCAAACCAGCAAGCACCCTACTCGGACGTTGATGGAGAGCCAGGAATTCGTGTCGTCACGAACCTCGAGCTCTATATCTGGGGGGAAAGGGCGTAGTGCCATTGGTATGTTTGGATGCATTCTCCTGTATATATTTGATTCAACCCATTGTAGATAACCGCCTCAAGAATCCTAGAAGATTTGAGATATGTTTTCAGTCCTACCCTATGTCATGACTGGGAATCTGGAGATGTTGGTTCTAGGTATTCGATATACTCGTATCAACAGACGAGCCTTACCCAGACAATGGATAGCGTAAATATCTTAATTTCGGTTAGATATTTACACAAATTCTAGTAAGATATTTATACGATGTCAGATTTATATCTAGGTAATAGCCGTTACACCTTATAATACTGGCGAAAAGAGTTTTACACAAAGTCGCCCAAGAATGCGCCATACGCACAGCCTCTAACGTCACCTGACCCGTGTTTTTAAGGGCACAACTTCGGCGACGTTTTTCAGTATCATATCATATTAGAAATATAGCAAATTTAACGATTTGTGAGAGGTGATATGGCATATGGTGTGCATTTGAGCTATTAGTTTGGAAGAGGGAAGAGTAGGTAGGTTTTGTCTGTCCAGGCACCTAGGCACCTAGCTTGCTTCGAATGATAGTACTACCCGATTCGGCTAGTATGTGTCCTGCGATTGCATGCATCTACAGGGATTATCATAAGCCCTCAGCCTCGCAGCCTTATACTCCGTACCCTGACATCTCACCATGAAGAACCACATTACAACAGAACAACTACCTATTTCATCACCGTTAGATCTCGCAAAGCCACAGTCAGCCAAACCCTCGCAGTCAGCCACTGTCGTATGCATAAGTGATCTCCATAATGCGACGATTCCGTCTCTCCCACCAGCGGACATCTTGATAGTTGCTGGTGATCTCAGCGAAGGCCGTCCTGAGCATCTACAGTAGCGCCTCGAAGAGCTCAGCACGCTTTCTACTCAATACTCACGCATAATCATTATCGGCGGCAATCATGACCGAGCTCTTGACCCAAGCTGTGATGAGAGGGATGCCACGCTCTACAATGATCTCGATGCCCGCATAGCCTATCGTGAGGCATTCGATAATACCCTTGGCGTCACATATCTCTGTAATAACAGCACAATAGTCAGAGCTGGGGACCGGATGCTACGGATCTGGGGCTCCCCGGGCTCGATCGCTACCTCTAGACAGACGGCATTCGGATACACAGCTGGGAGTATGGCGGAGGAGCTATGGGAACAAACCCCCAAGGATATTGATATTCTGATTACGCATGGTCCTCCACTAGGATACCTGGATGGTGATAACAATTTAGGTTGCTGTACTTTGCTTGCGGCATTATGGCAGATCCGGCCTTTGCTGCATGTCTTCGGACATGTGCATCAGAGTCGCGGTCGCTGCGTTCTAAAATACAACAGTAACCAAGCAGAATATGACACAATGATGCTAAGTAGGAAGAAGCGGGAAGAAATAGACGCAGAGGAGGTGAAATATACCCCGCCGCATCTGAGGGCAGCTGGGGAATCGTCAGGTGCGATATCGATGCCCGAACAGATGACCAAGTCGGGTGGGGAGGGACTATATTAGTCAATGGAGCAGTTATGGGCAGCAGTAAAGGAGACATAACAGTGGTGGACATATGATTTATGTCCAAAGAATATTTGCAGCCAAGTTAGACCATTTCCCAACGGTAAGATTCTTAATTTATTTGAAGAATGTATCTCGAACAGGTATGAGTCGGTACGACTCAAGCCTCGGAGGTTCGATATGTACTTTGTAGAGTAGTATAGGAGCCGAGCAGTATATAGGTGATCATCGATAAGATGAAGCTTGGTGCTTGTAGCATCGTGCTTTGAGATGGAGTGGTTGAGGCAACAAGACCTTCTTTAATTTAAATTAAAGAGAGTATGAATGAATTGGAGAGAGTGAACGAAGATATATCCGGAGTCTTCGTGGTCTTCGTAGTAGGTTACTTGTACAGAGGTAGGCAAGGTGGTGAAGTTATTAGTTTGTGAAGATGAACAGCCTCGTCACGTGGGCAACAACCCAGCCATTGATTTATCCGCAGCGGCGCATCTTCCCGTCGCGTCCCACGGAAGCCAGCGCCCGCAGCCTTTCCACCTTCTACTGTATCAGGCTTATCATAGTAAACAAACAAACCAAAGCCTCCTCCACCTAGATTCACTTCTGGAGTTCACTGTCTACCCAATTAACCTCGCCGCCCTATCTCAGATCTCGCGTAGGACCAATTGTCGCAATGCCTCCTCGTAAGTCCCATTCCCAGCTCGCGCGACTTTCAGCCAGCCGCATAGCATGGCCACAAAGCGCATACACCTCACCATAGTTACTGGCAGGCTTAGGATCGCGTATCATAAGCTAATCGCATATAGAGCTCTCTGACGACGAGATGTCCGACGATGGGTTCGGATTTCCCATCCACCGGAACAGAACCACCCACAGTGGAAGCGCGGAGCTAGAGAAGAACGGCAAAGAAGAGGCGTATGAATCCCTCATGGTGGAGTCGGAAGACGATGAGGAAGAGGACGAGATTGGCGAGGACGAGTTCGTACCCCTCAAGTTCATGCAAGATCTCGGCCCTAAAACAGCTATTGTACAGATTTGTTGTCGAAAGGATAACGAACCATATGGTCGATGATGAGGTCGGCATTCCTCTACCTCCGCATTTGGCATTATTCTCAACGTATTAACCTCATCTTAGACGGGCGAAATCAAATTCGAAGTCAAGTGGGAAGGTTACGAGAAGAAGAGCGATCGAACATGGGAGCCCGAAGAAAACCTGTAATGCCCAATATCTTTCCGGCCTATATATCTCTTGGCTAACTTAGTCTGGCAGTGAGACTGCTTCCAAAATCCTAAACGAGTACCTTGCGTCGGCCGGCGGAAAAGAGGCAATAATGGAGGCATACGAGGAGAAGAAGGCTGAATTACGACCGAAAAAGGGACGCAAGAGGGGTCGGGCCAGCTTAGAGGCAAATAATGGGACAGTTCCGAAGCGAGGTCGTAAGAGCCATCCTGAATCTTCTACCCCCCCACGCAGCGCTGGAGCACAGTTTTCGCCTCCGTCAGGGAGTTGGGAGGACGAGATTACGAAAATTGATGCGTGTGAAGGCCATGACGGAGAGGTTGTTGTTTACCTGACTTGGAGGGAGGGGCACAAAACCCAGCACCCCCTCGAGCAAGTATATAAGCGCTGCCCGCAGAAAGTAAGCATGAACTCCCAGGCCTGATATACGCGGGATGCTAACTATTATAGATGTTGCGGTTCTACCAAAGCCATTTGTTTGTTCCCCTTAATAAATCAGTGGATTGAATTAATAGTTTTCTAGGGTTTTTAAGAAGAGCGACACCGAAAACTACAAGAATGATTCCGACGACTATAAGACGGGCGGAGCACTCTGAGAGGAGTAATATCTTAACCCCTTCTCACCCGTAACCCTTCCTAATCCGCCTACGAAACTCCGCAAATACCCAACCTTATTCTGCACTGAATTCTCCTCAGGCATACGAACAATTCCTTCTCCTCGGTTTGCTCCATATCTCAGGTATCTTACTCTGATGGTTACTGGATCCATCATGGGGCGGTTGGCTTTATCGAATCTGTACAGTATGAAATAGAAATAATGAGCGGGATTTTGACGATTTGCCATAACACACACGGACGTGGCTCTAGATGGTGTCACTAAATGGTACTATCCTATTTTAATTGTCTTTCCAACTGCTGCTTGAACTCCTTTCCGCTCTTATCTCGTTCCAAATTGTTATGTCTCTAAAATATCTAGTAGGACTGAAGGAAGGAACTTCCTAGGAATGTCCTGATATCCCAGGGGGGTCTCGAAGCTTCTCAGCGTAGCCTTTGCTCAAGCTGACTTAGGCTCGGCTTAGGTATAGCTTAGGTACTACTGAGCTCTGCTCGCCCTGTTCATACATCTCGTCAGAAACCACCAACTTTTGACGAGGGGCCTGAAGTACGGAGTATACTTGCTCTCTTTATTCCTCTCTTCTCCTGAGACGCGTATGCTATTCTACATGTAAGTGCTTTCCCGCGATTACCGAATTCCCTATGCACGACAATGGCTGGTAAACGACCACTTGCACTACCTGCATTAAATGGGTGTATTCAGAACCCTCAGGTATATATCACGTACTACCTGAGACTGGACGCAAGGATTTCACTGCAAATGCAACTGTATTGTCCCCCGGCGCCTACTAGCTCCAATAGGCACGCTGTGCCAACCTCGCTCGGCAATTAAAATCCTACACCTACACCCACAAGACACAGACAAAGACCTGAGTCGCAGCTTTCGAGTCGCAGCATATATTTTAACGTCATGGAGGATGCGGTCCGTCCAAATGAGCAAGAATTTAAGGCTATGTACGAGAGAGGCTATTGCACTTGGTTCAGTCTTTACGAGATGACAATTGTAGATGCCAAAACCGGTCTTCCTTGGTGGGATTGTCTATTTCAGCTCGAGAATGAATTTCTCAACCACCCTTCTTTCCCAGGAAACGTTACAGTAGACGCGTCATTTTCGAATACTGTTATTGCAACGGAGAAGGGGGTTGGAATACTTCTATTAAAAGCGATAGAGGCCACATCCTCTACTCACCCTGGCATACAAAGCTTGTATCAGAACAAAGCTTTACTCTTTCACGCAGCACGGAATATCGCCCCCTTCCAGCTCAATATCGTGCGGCATCATTCGCTACTGCCTTGAGCTATCTTTCTAGCTACTGCGAATTCTACCAAGTGGCTGAGCAGAGCCATGCTGCTTTAGCTGCAACATTACTTCTCCCTGTAGCTAGATTCGACAACAGAACGGTTCAGTTACCGACCCCTCGAGTTCGCCGTAAAGGTCGATTCAACAAGGAGACGATCTACAAGATCCCGGTGTGGAGCGAGAATCTCAACCAACTAGACAGGCTCCTTACACTAAGCTGCAACGCAGTAGGAACCAAGGCACTTCTAACCAGCGTCTTCTTTGAACCTGGTGTAGGATGCAATATCTGCGGGGCATGGTTACAAGGGACCTTCGCATTTCTCGACTCGGATATTGTACAGGACCAGAATATCCTACTACGTGTCTTGATAAAGCGAGATCCTGGCCTGGGATTTCTCTGGCTGGGTGCCTTTATCATCGGAGCACAGAAACGTTCCTTGCAAGAGGCTCGTCAGGCCTGGTGGAAAATCGACCTTCATGTAGCAGCATGGACCGGAACGCTTATGTCTTTTATCCAAGAGCCTGTATCAACACTGCCCCGTGGGATAGAAGAAATTTCGCGTGCTGACGAATGTCGATTAATGTACTTGTCCCACGACCAATACTACACTGTTCCCCCGCTCTTTCCATTCGCTCCGTTCGGTTCTACAGCGATGACAGACACTAATATCGACGTTCGTCAACATGCTCGATGTGAGACAAGTCACGGCCTCGAATACGAAAGTGTAACCTGGCACTGTCGTGGTGGCCAGCGCTCGACTACCACCGTTCCTAGAATTCCCTTACGCGCCAAGAATGGGCAGGCAACAAAAGGCAATATCTCCATCAATTACGACAATTTCGATAACGAGGATGATGACTGTTCGGAAATGGTGACTAGGAACATTTTCACTTGGCTGCGCGATGACGACGGCTTTCCTGTCGCGGAGAGGGTGATTCGTGAACACGAGTGGATAGACAATTTGGACTCGGACGATGACTGCCCGATTACAGGCGACGCTCAATCTACAGTTGGAGGCAATCTGCATGGATGGCTGTTGAAGACAATGACCAGACGGTCCAATTCGCTCTAACGGGTAATGGAGGATTGCGAGGTGATGGTGGGCGAGCGATGAAATGGGGTGTTAAGGAATGACTGAAGAAGGGGAAGGTCGACAGACGACCATCTCGCTAAAGCCGAAATAGATTTGTTTGATGTGTGCCATTCAGAAAACGGAGAAAAATAAGGAGAACGAGGAGAACGACGGAGTTGAGTTCTGCAAAAATCTACATAAAAAGTCCAATTTAGAAGGTTGGCAAGAAAATGGGCTACTAGCCGGCTATTATGAAAGGGCCATAGGCGATTGGGTTGTAGGAAAATGAAGTAGAGGGTTATAAATGGTGTGGGTGGGAGGAAGCGGGAGGGTTGATTACGTTTGATGAGGGGGAGGGCTATTATATGGACGGAGGTTAAGAGCTCTTTGGGGGCATAGATGCGGAGGCCGTAGTTAAGGGAAGATAGAGATAGAATGAATTGAAAGGTGGTGATGGATTACTTGGAGGTCTACGCTCTGGGACAAGAGTTAGGAAGCCTAGTCGAGCATTGTTCTTGAAGTTGTGTTACGGGAAACGGGATATAATTACATGTTTAGGCTGAGATCTGTACACGCCAAAGACTGTATTCGTAGCAGAAACCATTATCCATGGGCTCACAGTCATATGGTACCTTGGTTTTGGTAGCAAAAAGTCAATCTTGATTCTGCACCTTGGAAGGCTACAACAGCCTACGGCGGCAAAGAGTGACGCTAAAAAGTAAAGGAAATGCCTATTGCACAATTGGCGGACGACCTCACCATCCTGCCTGGTCTTTTCTGATACAACTTTTGGGAAATGCAACAAAAACGGGCTAAGCTCTGCAGTTACTTCGGTTTACTCTCGAAAGAATTAAAACAATCGCAGCGCGCCTGCCTCATCGCAATCCAGATCTGCTGATATCCTCTCATATCATGATCGGTTGGCGCTGGAACCCTCCTTCACGGCATTCAGGATCAATTCCCGCGCTTTCTCGACGCCCTCTGCGCTTCCTACAATCTCGATCGGCTCATCCTTGGCTTGGTCTCGCGGAACAGTAATCTTGCAACCAGTAGCTTTCCGAATGCTGTTGACCTTGCTTCCAGCTTGGCCGATCACATATCTGTAGGTATGCGGGTCCGGCAGGGTCAGGTAGCCGATCGTAGAGTATTTGAGCGCCTGCTCAATAGCCGCAACGATAGAATCCCTGGCTTTGGCAATGCTTTCAGGTGAGCCGCGCAAAACCCAGGGAATTTCACCGTCGAGGCCAGTTTCAGAAACGTCGACTGTCTTAAAGTCATGTGCCCCGGCAGCTGCCTCGGTATCATCGGTGATCAATGGCATTGAACTGCCATTGGACCGTGTTGAAGTTGCTGCTGGCTTAGCGGGAACCTCGCTCTTGTTGACATCGACTACGACCTTGAGATCATTTCGAAGTCTCCGGAAGAATTGGCCGTTATCGGAAACCGCGTGGTGGACCTTTCGCGGTACTTGTATCGTCTCGCCTTCTTGCTCCTTGACAAGGTTCAGGATATAGGCTTTTGCACTCTCGACATCCTTCGGTAAGCCAGTAATCTTGACGCCGGTTTGGCCGCTACCTTGTCTTGGGATATCCAAGGTGACGCTGAATTTTGTTTCCAAGTCTCTCTTGATATCTCCTCCGCGGCCAATCAGTGAGCGATGCTTGTCGGTCGGCACATCAGCCACTTCGGTTTCTTGGCTTTCCCATTCAGCAACCATCTTTTCAATCGTTGCAATGATCTTATCGACAACGTCCACCGTGCCTGTGATTTTGATGATGTTCCCATCAGCATCGGCCTTGGGAAATTGCACAATTTGGCCAGAGGCATTCGATCCACCAGCCTTAACAACAATGTCATTAATAGTAGCGCCTGTCTTTGTTAGTAATTGTCAGGGGAGGGATTATTATTTGAACTAACCTTTGGCACCAATCAACCCTCTATGGTATGTCTTATCCACGTCCACAGTCTTGGTAACAGTGCGATCGAATATCTCCTTCTTCTCTTCGATCATCTTTTTGGCTTGTGTAACTGCCGACTTGGTTCCCTTGATTTGTATGTCAACTCGGGCAGATGGATCTTTGAGGTCTCTTGCATTTGGGATATCGATTTTCGCTCCAGTCTCCTGTCGAACTTTATCCATCTCAACTCCGCGCTGTCCAATGAGGGATGGGATCTGGCTTGGCTGGACGGACACAGTCGCTATGTGGGAAGTGTCCTTGATGTATTGAAGCAGTGATAAAATTTCGTCTCTCGCCCCGTCGGCTCCTTTCTTGGGCCCTTTGACAATAACCTCGTCAGGCTGCTGTTCTCGCCGTCCACCCCTTCGACCAGCGTCGCTCGCGGCGTCGGCATTTGACTGGTCATCCTTAACGGGTCGAGCTGAGCGAGGGAAGTGGATTTGGACATTGTTGTACCGATTCTCAAGCTTCTTAATCTGGCTACCCTTGGCACCGATAAGCTCACTGTGGTACTTGGGCTCAACTTTGAGGACATAAGTCGCTTCGTCCGCCCATTGTCTTCCAAGAGCTGAGATATGGGACTTAGCAGCCTCTGCTTTAGCCTTCGGGCCTTTCACCTCGACCTTTCCGTCATTGACCTGGATCTCGACGTCGAATCTTTCACGCAAATCATGGACATTACTGCCGTTCTTGCCAATGAGTTGATTAGCGTGTTTTTGCGGGAAGTCAAAAGACAATGAAAAGCCACGTTCTTTTTCATCTTCAATTGCCTGCTCAACAAAGGCTTTCACTTTTGCAGCCAAGGTCTCAACAGCAGGTGCGGGACCACGAAGAGTAACAAGTGTACGGTTGGCAGTAACTCTGATGGGGATCTGATCAGGGCTTCGATTTTGTTGTTCTTTCTTAATATATTTCCGCAACTTTTCATGGAAGCTAGACACATTAGTTTGAACCCGAGGATGGTTTTGAGGACCTTACATTGCAGGCACATCAATAGATGTGCTAGTGATCTTTTCTTGGGCATTTATAATATCCAAAATGTGCTTCTGGGCGTCGGCTAATCCTTGCTGGAAGGTTTTCACCTCCTCAGCGCTTGGTCGTCCCCGTGGGACCTCATAGCCTGGCTCGAGCCCACCTTCTCCTTCGAATACGAGAAGGACGGGAGCGTCAGTATCAGCAGCGTTGGGAACCACAACATGTACGCTAAAGTCATTCTTGACTCTAGGCATAATATCCTTTTGGAGGTGCTGGTGGAAGAATGGATCGATTGGGAGGGTAGCCATTCGCGATGGAGGATGGGCTTCTAAAATGCGGCCGATCTCAGACTGTGCCTTGATAGCATTCTTGCCATCCCGGGAATAAAGTTCCCACGGAGCCACTGCACCATTCGGGTCGAAAGGCGTCACGATATGGGCATGATGTAGTTTCTCAATACGCTCTATCTCCTTACGATTACGAAGATAATTCGTAAGGTTCCGAGCATGCTCGTGGGGAGATTTGACATTTCGTAGCTGACGAGTTAGATCGAGACTCGAGCTTTGCATTCCCATGGCTAAATCCATGGCCTTATCCATTGCTTGCTGAATCTGATTCGCAGGGCCGACAAAGGTAATTGTATCATCATCGCCCTCCCCTGGGAGTATAATGGCACATCCAGTATTGGCAAAGAATTCCTGTGCAGGCACTCCTCGATCGCCAATGATAAATTGATGCCGGCCTTTGTTGATGGGCAATTGCTCCAGAGATAACTGTTGCTGAAGCTCTCGAGCTAGCCGCTCAATCTCGGCTCGCGCCGCTTGGACCGCTGCTCGATCACCAGCGAGGGTAATGTGATTGTCACCTACTGCAGGGACAAACGCGGGAGCAGTACCCCGGGGTGGCACTGGAGGAGGCGGTTGCGAAGTCCAGGTATGGTGCGGGGGAACTCGGATTTGGATACCGTGTGCTTCCTCCAAAGCATTTGCCGCGGAATTGTAGGGGCCAGCAATAAAAGGGTATAACTCAGCCGGGATACTTCGAAGCTTCGTATTGAGAGTTGCGCCCCGCTCGCTGGCAATCTTACCAACGGCTTCCTCCGCCATCCGGATTGCTATGGGGTTACCCTCAACCACGACGTATATGGTGTCGTCGTCGTCGTCAACAGGCTCAGGCGTATCCTCCATTTTTGGCATCTGAATCCGTGCTCCTGACATCTCTTGCAGGGACTTGATCGTTGAGCCTTGCTTGCCGATGATGTGGGCTCGTGCGGATCGCGGAATTGGGACTCTTGTTGACGACTACATGTTGGTTAGGTACATTGTTGTCTAGAAGCAGAGTTGGTCTACATACCTTGGTAGTAATCTGGTCACCCAGTGCTTTGAAGGCCTGGCGCTTGACGGATTCTGGTATTTGTGTACCAGCAGCGCCGATTTTTATGACGCCCCCCTCTCCTGTCGTCTGGGCAAGGTTCACCCTGTACTTCTTATTGATATCCCTCAGAATGTCCGGCAATGGCTTTTTCGTTGCGGAACGAGGTAATTCTTTGGGCTGGAAGGTATACACCGGGCCGGTAAACTGACTTGCTGCAGCTGGCACACCAGTCTTCGTTGCTGCCTTAAGATTTGCAGGCGGCGTATTCAACTCGGACGTCGGCGTCGATGTGCCATTTGTTGCGACACCGTTCCCATTCGTGGCGGGAGTTGACTTTTTAGCACCCCAGATAGGGGCAGTCGATGCAGCTTGACTGGGCTTTGAGGGCCCTCCTAAGCCTGGAAACAACTCATCCGATTGAGTGTCCAACAACGGTGCGCGCGGCGTTCCCACCGATGGCTCTTCCTTCCGTTTTCCTGCTGCCTTGGCTGACATAGGAGCTGCCCATCCTGGAGCGGGTGCGGCTTCGTCGGCGGACTCGAGAACGCTGGAGGATAGCGGGTGCGGGCGCTGGGTCAAGTCGTCCTGATCCGGAACATCCTCAACTGTGGTCTGGTGCGCCTCGTCATGTTTCTGCATTAATCTTTGCGCTGCAGATAACCCGCCGTTTGCGCCAGAGGCACCTGCAGAGGCCATGTTGGAGAGCTGAAGCTACTCAATAGATAGGAGAGCGGATGGATATGTCGAGTATCGAGGGTGTAACCAAAATCAACGGTTAAACCGCACTACCGTTTATCATCAGCAAACCTGCAGGAGCCCGGAGCTAGTACGGTGTACAAGCCGGGGAGAACCTCAACTAACCTTGCTTAATTAGTGGTGGACAATTGCGGTTGGAGCCAGCTGGGCAATAAGAATAGGAGCGGGAGTGGAGGTCTTAAGGCCACGAAGACAATTGGAAAGCGTCTCAATTTCCCAGGAATTGCATAAGGGGCAATACGAGAATAAATTTGAAGGGAGATGGAAGAGAATAGAGCAGTGAGCAAGCTGCAGGGCCTATGCAAGAAGCCGATCAAGAGTGAAGTGGTGATCTGGAGGAGGTTACAAGAACGAGCATTAGCATTTTGTTGTAGATAGGTGGTGCTAGGTGGACTGGACTGGGACAAGCTGTGTTTCTTCCACAATTCGCTTATTATTCGGGGGGGGGGGGGGGGGGGCAAAGAAGCCGACCGCCGACAGTAGAATCAGAAGTTCTGGACTCAGGAGCAGGAGCTATTCCCAACGGTTTTTTATAAACTGAGTTTGCCAATGATGCCAATGGTGGTTTTTGTAATGAACGATTGGGTACGTAGTACCATTGAAATAGTACTGCCATACCAGCTATTAACCATTTCTGCTCAGCCTCCAGGGCTCTCTTGTTATTATGTCCAGCAGCAAGGGGGCAGCCGTATCTACACGTGACTGGGTGGGTGAAGTCTTTTAAGTGGCCTGATGTCGCCCTAAGGATCACCAAGTATGGGTGGGTATCGGGTGGAGAATATATATAGAGATAACTAATGTGAACGAGCTGCACAAGGATTCCTTTAATTAAAGCAAAATACCTAGGTATTCTTCGTTACTTTCTCCCAATTACCGAAGTACCTTTGTACCCCTAGGTACCCCTAGATATGTATGTCACCACAACAAACGCAAAGTAAACAAAGTACCAAGGTAAATAATATACTTCGAGGTGCAGTTTATACTTTGAACTAGACTTGGATCCCGCCGTTCCCCTGTCCTAACGTCAAATGCACTCTAGAAAAGCTATATTAGTAGCCGCTGTACCTAGGCATACTTGAGTGGGGTGACGCTGAGCCGTTCGGGCTTGAAAACATTGATATCTGAAGCTAGCTGGGTGGTTTCTATAGAAGTCCTGTAGCCGAACCTTGGAACCTTCCGGGTCGTCATGGAACTTTCTCCTATTCCGTTAGGTAGTAGGCATCAGCGATGAAGTCGAAAGCTTCGGGGCTAACTGTGGCACGAGTAATTAGGAGCTGGGATTATTCTGCTGCTGGGAAAAAGGTCAGCAAGGGGGTACTCGAGACTCGAATAGGGCCCGTACTCTGTAGGGGATATGGTGGATCGAAGGACCAGCTGCAGTGCTGGGTGGAACGCAAGCGCAAAGTATCTAGAAATAGTAGTTGCTGCAACGATTGAGAATTCCCTTACTTTGTTTGGCACGTAGCATTATTATAGGATGATCAGTGCAGGACGCAACTGTACAGTACAGTAAGTCTACCATTTGGCATGCGTGGGTACCTACCTTCCTTGTATTGTAATATCAAACCCTTAGCCGAACCGTGTTCTTGGATGACTTCGATCCTAGGTACCTACCTACCTTACTGCTCTGTAGATGCAGAGCAACAATAATAGCAGTGCATAATGCGCAGTACTCCTCTGTAAGGTACCTAGTTCTTGTTGAGGTGCCGTTGAGATGGTTGGCGATCTGATCTCTCTACAGCAGCCTCTAATTACCTCGCTCTATACGAGTACAGAGGGATTGAAGAAGAAGATGACGAAATGGGGGCGAACCGTGCCGTGGCTTGGGAGTCGGGACAACAACACCAGGCCACTCCAGAGAATGCGGTGCCCGCGGAGGTTCTCACGTTGATAGACGATCATCATATCCTGCGTGGGAGGAATGCGCGGGAAGCAATACGCAGTACTTGTTGGAATATCATTGGAGAGATGCAGGCGGCGTGCGTGTGCATGCCGTCACGTAATGCGGGACTGCTAACCTGTGCTTCACAAGCAATAGGGCACAGCGAGGTAATAGCGGTGGTTAAGGCATGATAGTTGATAGTTCGTAGTTTGTCGATCGTAGTAGATCGTACAGGACATGATTGTAGAGTATGACCTGGCACGGCCAACCATTCATTGCCTGGGGCCCTTGGAGCAGATGTTCTCTGGAAGCTGGGAGAGGCATTGGTGTGGTCTTCTCTTGTACGAGTATGTATTATTGTAAAGTATCTCTACCTACCTGTACCTACGTACCGAGTAGCGGCCGTTGGTTGCAAATGCGCCGGATACTAGTGCACGAATCGAACGCAACTCTGGGTGCGAGTTGACTGTAAATAGAGGATAGCCGGTGGCGCAAGAGAGCAAGAGAGCAAGAGAGCAAAAGATAGATTGCAGTATAGGCACCTCGTACCGTCGTCCTACTAATATAATCTCTATACGTTTTCTGTACCTTGCCTTGCCCAGTTACTACTTCCTGGAGGGAAGAGAAAAGTCGTTATTAGCCGCGGGCCAATCAGCGCGCGGCTGCGAGGACACCCCATTTGCCATTTGCGCCGTCGTCGTCTTTTGTCGCGGATTATTGCTGGTCCTGCTCGAGAATCCCCAAGTCCTGGCAGCGATCGAACAGGAACACCCAATTCTCACGCTCACCACGCTCACGATATCCGCCACTCCAACTCCAACTCTCCCGGCCCAATTCCTCAGTTCTAGTTCCACTTCCACGGCCAAAGCCCGTGAGCTCGACCTTGGGCTCTGGCGCTGGATCTTGCCGCCGCCGCCCACGTTTGTGGACCCGTGGACCCCGAGACATCCCCTCCGCCCCCCTCCGCCAGGCGCTCCCTCCTTGGTGCGAAGCAGACGGTACACGGTACACGGTACATCCTGTAGCACATACTTTATTACTTGGTCCCAGAGCCATATGCTGGGCACAGAACCGTCCCCTAGCCGCTCACTATCCTGATTGGCGAGCCCTGGTGGAAACATTGTTGCAGCGCCTTACACCTTACAAGTTGCAAGTTACAACTTTCCACCTTCCCAGCACTTCGAGCCAGTCTGGTGCATCAAACAGAGCCTGGAGGGCTGCTAACCCCCCCCTCCCTTCCGCCCCCCAAAGATCGACCCCGTCCGTCTATCAACACAACATGGAGGAGGTCAAAACAACGCGACGACTGACCAAGAAACCGCCCCCAGCATGCGATAAGTCCTCCCTCTCCATTCGCAGTCAGAAGAGCTCTGGCAGCCTGCAGAGAGCTCCCTCTGCCCCCAACCCCAACGGCCCATACTACAGATCCCATCCCTCCCAGCGCCACAGTCGAACTGCCTCCATCCCGAATCCCACTGCCTACGCCTCCTCCAATTCATCTCTCGACTATCAAATATCTGGCCCGTCACCCGCACTAGGGGTCTCAGAGTTCGGTGCGCCCACGGGCCGGGGCCCCTTCGATCATACATCGACGCCCCTCACGGAAAAAACATCGGAGGAGTTGATTGGGGCTCCCTTCGACGGGTCGAGTATCTTGAACCATATCGAATCATCGAAAATCACGGGCTATCAGAGCGCTCTGCGACGACCACCGCCGCCACCACTATCACATACGAGCCCCGATCCGCGGGGTCTAGGGCCGCCTCTACGACAATCAGCGAGCTTCACGGTGGGAGACAGGATGAATGAGAAGATACAGCCGCGCATTGGTGAGAGCCAGCTCATCAGTCCGAAGCGCTATTCGGACGAGAGTAAAGAGCCCAAGCTGGGTATGATACGGAAGAAGTCGGGTTTCTCAGGCTTCATGAACCAGATCGGCATCGGCTCTCCTCGAGGTGTCAAGATATCCGCCCCAGAGAACCCCGTTCACGTCACGCACGTTGGATACGACCAAGATACTGGACAATTCACTGTAAGTTGCTTGCTTCCCCCAATGACGATGCCATAGTTGTGTGTGTGTGCTGATTGGATTTGAATTAGGGCCTGCCGAAAGAGTGGCAACGAATGCTCAATGATAGTGGAATTACAAAGAAGGAACAACAGCAGCACCCGCAGACCATCGTAGACATCGTAGGATTTTATAAGGAAAATGCAGAGAAGGGATCAGACGAGGTATGGGACAAATTCGATCATGCCAATGTGCCAGAGATGCGAGTGGGGGTCTCAAATCCTGCTCTGGTATCACCAGGGCTCCTCAACACCCCAGGACCTTACGGATCGATGACAAGCCCGCCCGCAAGTCCGCGGTTTCCTTCGAACCATGAGACGAGCTTTGAAAACCCTAGATCTCCGCCCCCTGTGCCACGAGGGACAGCTTCAGGGCCGCCTCAAGGCGTAGGGCTAGCTCTGCAACCAAAGGATGCCAACGGCCTCGTACCGAGTCGTCCAGCACCGAGACCACCAGTTGCTCTCCAAGGGCCCACCAGAGCTACACCCCCACCTATTCTGGCCAAAGACTCGGGAATATCTATGCCTCGTCAGAGCGACGACCTCCCCGCAATTGCATATGTGCCACCGACACAAGCAGATGCCCCGCCTATGCTCCCCGAGGAACACAGATCACGATCGAACTCGCGCGTTAATGGTACTCCTCCATTTGCAACCCCGGTGCAAAGTCTATCCCCTCAAATCTCATATCAACAACAACTTGCAGAGCAACAGCAGACAGCTATGATGCAGGCACAACAGTCCCAACTAGGACGTGCTCCTAGCAAGCGCGTGCCCCCTCAGCAACCTACCCCGCCAACTCCTCAAGGCCAATTCCAGCGCCCTCCTGAGCTCAATGGTGTACCTCACCCTAGCCAGCAGGTAAGAGCGGGACCGGGGCCCCGTCCCAGACACCGCCCACGGCAGAGCACGGGTTTTGATATAGTTGCCCGCCTTAAACAAATTTGCACGGAAGGGGACCCGAGAGATATTTATAAGGACCTGACAAAAATTGGCCAAGGCGCTTCAGGTGGTGTGTTTACTGGTTATGAAAGGGGCACAAACCGGCTAGTGGCGATCAAGCAGATGAACCTAGAGCAGCAACCGAAGAAGGATCTCATTATCAACGAAATTCTTGTCATGAAAGACAGCTCACACCCAAACATCGTCAATTTTATCGACAGTTTTCTGGTTACTGGGGAACTCTGGGTCATAATGGAATTCATGGAGGGAGGGAGCTTAACCGATGTTGTTACATTCAACATCATGTCTGAAGGCCAGATTGCTTCGGTATGTCGCGAGACATTAAAGGGGCTGCAGCACCTACACTCGAAGGGCGTTATCCACCGAGACATCAAGTCTGATAATATCCTTCTTTCGTTAGATGGAAATATCAAACTAAGTAAGTGACCTTTTGGAAAGTTTGGTTTTGGTTATCTAACAAGCTGCACAGCGGATTTTGGCTTTTGCGCACAAATCAACGAAGCTCATAACAAGCGAACCACCATGGTCGGAACTCCTTATTGGATGGCACCGGAAGTTGTGACGCGGAAAGAGTATGGCCGCAAGGTCGATATCTGGTCCCTGGGTATTATGGCCATTGAGATGATTGAAGGAGAACCCCCATATCTTACCGAGTCGCCACTTCGCGCCCTCTATCTCATCGCCACAAACGGCACCCCCGCGATCAAGGATGAGCATGCCCTCAGTCCTGTATTTAAAGACTTCCTTTATTTTGCACTAAAGGTTGATCCCGAGAAGAGAGCCAGCGCGCATGATTTACTACGAGTAAGAATTTTGCCCCAAATGCCGTGCCAGGAGATCGCTACTAACATTATTTTCTAAAGCACGATTTTATGAGGCAATGCTCGGACCTTGGCCAACTAGCACCCCTTGTCCGCTCCGCGAGAAACGCAAGAGCCCAGGAGAAAGCCCAAAAGGCAGTTTCGTAAAATCCTTTTCTCGCCCTAATTATTTGCAAAGCAAACCACCGCCCGTCACCTACGATGTAGCTGGGGCCGCAAGATGCACAAAAGCAATCAAACAATCTACTATCGTTGCAATTTAGCAAATCGGCTAGCAACTTACTCAAACAAGCATCGGCGTTCCGGCGTAAGGTCTCATGGCATCCATCGTAAAAGCAATGCAAAACAAAACAAACGCAACCAGAGACTTGCGGGAATTGAACGAGACAGCTAGCAGGATTGGCGTGTTTCATGTTCACGTTCAATGTACACAACAGTGCCTTCGTACATTTAAGAAGATGAGACGAATTGGGACATAGCTTTCTTTTTTTTTTAATAGGATTTGATACCAATGATGGATGGCTGGGAGTGACACTGCCTATCCTTTTGCTTCCCTTTTATTAGCTTCTCGCCTTTGAGAACCTTGAAAGGGCTTTTTTTACACCCGTGACATGGGAAAATGGTTAAATGGATGGACGTGCATATGGATGGGATGGATGGATGTATAGATGGATTCGATCGATAGCAAGATAGCGAACGATATCTCACGGAATCGAGCGTGATCTTTTTTCCCATGGAAATCTTTGTTTGTGAAGCAAGCATGTTCGCTATACCATTTGATAAAAATCAGCATTTGTAGCGGATAGGGACCTCGGCGAGCATATATGCTTGTTGTCACCTGCGCTCTTCGGCGAGCCAGCGCCGCCAGTGATTTCGCTTTGTGGTTTTCTAACTCCTGGCTGCTGGCTGCTGTATTTGTCATCTCGAAGGGGGAGAAGAGGTTAGCTGGAGCGCCTTGATTCTGCGTGGCTTCTACGGTTGATAGATACATATGAATAAATGATGCAAGACCTTCCGCTGTGGCACCCAAGGAAGAAATTTGATGTAGCCTCATAACTCAACCCGTTTTACGCCCAATGATTTATATCTCTAAACAGCGAGCACCAGCTGGTCAAGGAGTCAGACTTTTTTTTCTGGATTCAATTCAACTGTCTACTTCTTCCTTGCCATATCGATTATGAACTCTATGTTGTAGGAGAGGAGTCATTCCAGGGTATCAAAGAACCACGCAAGCTTCCTAACTGTGGAGAATTTAACCAAGCCCATCTTGTACGCACACAATGCAACCAGCCCTCTAAAGTTGCGCCACCCATCCGACCAAAGAAACGTAAAAGCAGGGAAAATGCAGGGCAAAATGCAAAACCTCATCAACTATCAGAATACCCAGCCTAAGTAGGTATGCTGAAGTACACCGGCGGAGCGGCGTCCTCCCTGGTGTAATTCTGATTCATCGCTCCTAGTATCATTAATAGAGCGTGTAGCCTCCGTCGATAATCAGGTTGGAACCAGTCATGAAGGCAGAGGCATCTGATGCAAGGAAGACGGCAACACCATTAAGATCATCGACAGCACCAAGACGTCCCTGGGGGGTCATGCTCTTCCAGATTACCTTCTGCGCGTCAAGTGCTGGAACATTGTTGAGAGCGGTGTCCATGTAACCTGAAAGCGATACTATTAGTATGTCTAAAACAAGCCGTAGACACTTGAGAAACATACCTGGAGAGATGCAGTTCACACGGATATTATACTTGGCCCACTCCGCAGCGAGTGACTTGCCAAGCTGAATCACACCAGCCTTTGATGCATTGTAGCATGATTGTTCTTGGGGGTAGTTGACGATGCTGCCCGACATAGAAGCAACAAGGATGATAGAGCCCGGTTTGCCAGCAGCGATCATAGCCTTTCCAACGGTCTGGGCCACGAAGAATGAACCGCTCAAGTTGATGTCGATCAAGCGACGCCACATGTCATGGTCATAGGTTTCAGCAGGGATATTAGAACTATTAGATAGTTAGAAATATGAAAATCAGTGGGACCACCTGAACCATTTCCATCTTGATGGGTCTTGCCCCAAAGAAAAGATGATGGTGGATAAAGAATTGGGGACTTACTCAGCAATACCAGCAGAGTTTATCAGCACATCCGGAACTCCATGCTTCTGAATTACTGCAGCGAGCGCATTTTCGACGGCAGTAGCATTGCGAATATCGATACCAAAGAACTCAACGGGGATTTTGGAGCCTGTAGCCTCATGCAACTCGGCGGCAGACTGAACACCCAGCTCCGGATTGGCATCAAAGATGATCATGGCCTTCGCTCCTGCCTCGATACATGAACGAGCCATATGGTTTCCCAAACCACGAGCACCACTGTGAAAAGGGGAAAATCTTAGCGAGAAATCTCTTAAGGATGTAGCGAACTTAGAAACACATACCCAGTAATAATGACAACCTTGTCCATGATAGACATCCTTTGCAAGCTGGGGGTCATCTTGTTATAGACCTCGCGGCTCAGTGGTGTGACCTTGTCGGCGCCAACCTCGGTAGCTTCGATCTTCTCATCAATGGACAGGGTAGTTCGCTGAACCTCACCATCGGCATAGGAGACAGCTGGAACTTCGCTCTTCGAGACGAGACCGGCTTCACGTGGTCGTGTATCAGTGACCGAACCGGTGTTCGATGCGAACGGGCGTGCAAATCTGGTCGATCTGCCTACGGTGCTGACGGTGCGGGCACCGCGAAGGATGGAGCGGGCGAACATAGTTGACGAAGTAGTGGTAAGGGTGGTGAAGGAGGATAAACGGTAGAGAGTATAGTATGGCAAAGTAGTATGCCAAACTGATTGCAAAAACAACCTTGGTAAAGCGTTAAAGGTTAGAGAGAGAATTGTCGTGTTGGTGTCGTAGCAAGGAGAAGGCGAGATCGAAATTGACCTGGAGGAAAGCGCGTCTTAAGGTGACGTAGTGGATATCGATGTTGGATGGTTTTTTAGAATCAATATAAGATTCACTGTTGCTCGGCTGGAGGTGTAAAGATGCGTCCAACACTAAGTTTGCACCTTGCAGTCCGACTGTCTTGTGCTTCGACACAAAGGAAGGTATAAGATTTGCAAGGTCGTGGCTCTGCTAATAGATCAGAACAGTCTCTCCAATGGCAATAAACCGATTCAATGAACTTCTAACTAATGCAAGGCAGACATTCCGAAAATGGCCTAAACAGAAAGATAAAAACAGGTACACGGCAGAAATGTGTTGTAAAGTTCAGAGAGAGCTGCAGGCGGTAAGGTGCAAAGCCGACCTATAATCCAAAAACTAGATGGACCCATAAATTCTAGCGGAGGCAACCCAGGCCATACACTCATATAAAAAAAAAGGAATAATCCAGTGTCTGGCTTTTCTCTCTATCTTGCAAGTATATTTTGGACAGTTAAAACCAATTACTAAGCTCAAGTATTAACGAAGAAAGAAATCATGGTTACCAAGTTCGCCAACGGGCTCCTATTTAAAACTCGAAATGCCGATATAACAAGCACTCTAGTTCTCCGTGGCTGTCCGTGTGGAGGGTGAAGTGCAATGAAAATGGTCTCCAGAAACGAATAAGGACTATGAAGCTGCGACAATGCTTTCCGGATTAAAGAGGTCAACAAAAGGGGCGGATTAGGGAATACTTCAATGATATTTTTTTTTTACATCTACAGGAGGATGTACCACTTTTTCAATGAATTTCCTGGTGCCTACTACACCGCTACGAAGCTAAGATGCACTGGCAGGAACCCTTCTACTAGCTAGTCTGTGCTGATTTGCATAGTCCAGACCCACTCAAACTTAGATGCAATTCTCGAAAAAATCAACGCCAAATTTGTTCTTTGAAGCTGCTGGTCTAGGGTGCCGGTGCCGGGAAGCCTGTATCAACCCACTTAGGTCATAGCCCGGGACATATTCAGGGACCATTACATGTACACCAGTGGGCCGACTAAGAAGCGGCCGGGAAAGCCCCCATCGTACCTGACTGTAGCTCCTCTAATAGATGGGAACTAGAAGGAATTGGCAGTCTTGTCGGTCTTGGAATCAGAGGCAGCCTCCATACCCTTGAACTACATGTATGTATGGGCTCTGTACAGGCTTCTCCTTACAAAACCCCCCACCACCCAAAAACCATAGGAAACATATCGGGTTTGGGTTGGCGAATGCGGTGATCCGGGTCCGGATATCAAGATAGGTCCAAGTAGATAATCGGCTAAGGGATCCCTAAGAAACCTGACTATCCCACTGTTTCATTACTCGGTGACAGTGTTGCCTAATTGTGGGTTGACAAAGCACATTTTTCAGGGGCAAGGCGTTAGGGTAGTTTTGCGTCGAAGAAAATTTGAGCTTTCATGAATCAGCAGTCGGTAAGAGTTCTCCGTAGGGCAAATGACACCCTCTGGGTGTCTGTCTGTATGAGATAGCGCGAGTCGTAGCGCGAATTGCGAGATGCGCAATGTATGATCAAAAGACCCGGTTTTATTAAGTAGCTTTATGTTGTTGCAGGCATTATTGCGCTCGGAGGTATTTTTGCAGTCTTGACGGTTGATGCTGAGAAAGGGTTCTCGGGAATTAATTGGCGCTTTACTTAAATAGGCCCACTCATCATCACGTGTATTGTTAATTTGATCTCGAGATGCTTTTTTATAGTTAAATATATATTTCCATGTTCTAGTGCCGCTACGAAGTATTTGTATAGGGTTCGAGCTTCCCAGACAATTTGAAGAAGTATAACGAGGCATTTTATGGAGGCAAAACATCAACAGTTTGACTGATTCAGAAACCGAAGCTTGCATTGCGAGCTATTAAGGCGCTTCTTCCTATGCTAAACTCTACCCTCCATTTACCCAAGGCCTGCGGAATTAGAAAGGATAATTCGCGTACACCGGGAAGTGGACTTTTATCAACCAAATATACCATTTTAATTCATACCAAATCACGGGACAAAACTAGAAGCTAGAGCATCCAGACTATTCGCTGTAATTCAAATACACGTACTAGACTATGATTGAGAACTCCCGTGAGTCTCAGAAGCCCCTCCCGCATGGGATAAATATCAACATCGTACCGCAGAGTGTTCGAACGCCCGAGAAACAAGGCTGCTCCACCACATACACCAAGCCCGGTCTTTATCATTTTTGTGAATTGCAAAACAGGAGAACGGGAAGGACAAGTTCTCTATTGTATATTCAAATTGTATTGCTACTGCGCCGTACGCTGTGAAAAAAATACAAAGGAGTTGGCGGAAGAGGAGCGGTCGATTCGACAGCTAGAGGAATATATAGATCGCAGAGGGCGGGAGATCGACTGGAGTCGTAGTAGAGCGGAGAGGAGTGGAAAGAAGGGTGGAGACATCAGAATTCGATCCTGATATATCGATATGTAACATGTCGAATTGATGGGTCTATTTCCTCATCTCGACGTAATTGCTCGGGAATATGCCAGTCCGGCCTCCGATCCTACCCGTCCTGGAGCAAATCGTTAGTTATTTTGGCTACAAAAGAAAGAACAGGAAGCTTACCACCAGTCATTGGTACTATCGGTCTTCTTCGTTACCGTGATATACTCACCTTTCTTGAAGGCCAAGTCCCCAGGTTGGTCTGCATCAAACGTGAAGAGCGCTACCGCCTCATCCTCCTTCATTTCACTCTTGCTCTTAAACATCGGTTTCGGCGCCGCAGGTCTTCCTGGCCCAACTTTACGCCCCGTTGGGCTCGTAGGGGAATCTGAGTAGGTATAGTCGTCATTGAACCCACTCCCTGATCGCGCACGCCCGGCATCAAATGTGCTGCTCCGTGATGCGCCACCTGGAGGCCGGTCGTAAATATCATCAGTCCAGGTCGCTGCACGTTTAGGCTTGTCGCTATATGTGTAGTCGTCGGAGCCTCTACTATTCGTATTTCCTGTGCGGTCTCTACCAACGCCCTCGCCATATGCACTGCCCCTCCGGCCTTCCCAAACAACATCGTCATGTCTATCGTCGTAAACCGGGCTATCGTTGTATGTGGCATCTGCATTTGCCGGAATGCCGGCAAAGATTCTCGAGTTCAAAATGGCCATGAGAGGTTGTGCGGCAGGTGGTGGGCGTACCGCTCCCGACAGAAGTTGGGACGCTGTATATCGTTGCCCATACAGCTTCTCATTCGCATCTCTCCGCTCAATAATTGCACTTCCCTCAAGACTGACCCCGGCAAACAAACCCTTCGTCTTCGAATAGCTGAAAATCCCAGCCACACCCTTCAAACTTGCAGCTCCTGCAGCCTCGCCATTGCGGCCTACAGGACCTGCTGCGATAGAAACGTTGGCTCCTAGTGTGAGCGAACCGGCTTGTGAAAATGTCCGTACTGCTGATGCGTCATTCAAGATGAACACGAAATCCGTGAGCTCAAATCCGATTTGTCCACCAAAGCCTGCGCCACCGGTTCCGACGGCTGAAGGGGCGCTCCAAGTACCATCTGCGAGACGGGCGACAACAACACCGTTGCCATAACGTGCCGAGCCCAAAAAGCCTGCCTTGATAACCGTAAGGATCGCGAGTCCCTGTACGTCAAGTTAGTTTCCATGTTGCTCAGAACGTGGCATTAGGACGGAATGGCTAGGCGTTCGAACTTACCTTCGCATTCGCCAGAATATTAGGAGGAATAACCTTATCCGGCGAGAAGGCTTGTCGAGGGTCTACGAAGGATGATAGAATCTTGCTGCACTTCTTGCACTCGGCTGCGGCGGGTATAGTTAGTTCGGTGCCGCAGTAGGAGATAGTAGAGCGAGAAAGACATACATGCCATAGACGAGGGGAGTGGATTATTGATCCCCATCTTGCCTGCTGTTGCTCTGCCGCCTGGTTGTTGCGATGCGATTGAGGGGCTGGAAGCTATTACTTGGCTTCTGTACGCTGTGATATGGAGAGGAGTGGGGCGTCGAGGGTCCGACACGGCGTAATAGTAGTCGTATATAGTATATGGCACTCCTTGATATGTTGATACAAGCGTACATGCGCAGGATAGGTATTCAGACCGAGATATCTGGTGAAGTGTGTAATGGCGGTGGTTCCGCTGGGTGTAAATACTGTACTCTGTGGGGAATGATCGGCATGATGTCTTGGTGGCTTGGGAAGCATTACGTCCGCTTCGGTCCCTTATCGCCTCCGCATCGTCAAGCCACAATCGGGCAAGTAGGTGTGGCTGAGACCGAACGCCGCGCACGGGACATCCAGCCTCCAGCCTCATCTCCAGGGCTACGACTCCCGATACAATTCTCCTCTGTGAAGGTTTCTCTAGCACTCGAGAGCCATACAACAAGACCGCGTTGCCTTCGCACGACTCCAGGATCAATTACGAATAAAAGAAATCAAAAGATAGGGCCATTTCGCTGGGGCACTTCGTTCGCAGCTACCTTAACATCTCCGAGAAACACCCCGATTCCCCTCGGTCCGGCCGCTCTTCGTTCGCCTTCGATTGAAATCAGTCTCCCACAAACTCAGCCTCGTCTATACGTCACCTAGCAGCTGATCCTGCTCTCCAGTCCACGCATACACAGACGTACACCGAGGTCAGTCGGTGAGGAAAGAGCAGCGAGATCGCCATGTCGGACGCCTACGAACGTGAACGCCAGAATAACTCGCGGCTGTCGGAACTCTCGGCGAAGGTGTCCGCCTTGAGAGGCGTGACGGTGGATATATATGATAATGCGAGGTCGCAGGATGTCATCGATAACACTGTACGTTTGCTGTGGCGGCCCCTTCGTCACTAGTTTGGTCACCATATACTTTCTATGCTCTTTGTAGCTCGCTCCAGTGCGCAATAGAGGAGCCCGGATGGTGGATGGTGGATGAGCAAGCGTCGTTGGGATTCCACAAGAGAGATATTATTTCGTGCCGCATGCTGACTCTCCCTGTCTCTAGTCCGAAACGTTTTCCTCGATGAGCACGAGCCTGAAGGGCTCAGCAGGACGGCTCGGCCGTATGGCAGCAAGCGGGAATAAAGTGGCCATATTCAAGTTGGCGGGTATTATTATCGGATCGATCCTGGTTCTCTGGTTCATCTGGGGGCTATTTGTCTGAGTACCCACGTCCATGCCTGAAATTCGTATTTTGGGGGTTCTAAAGAGATTGCAAAGAGCGGAAATTGTATTATACCGGGTTACATATTATAGCATAGCAAAGGCGCTACGGATTGTTTCAAGCAGAGCAGGATGATGCGAATATGGGATTTATAACTACGCGGTTCATAACCAGGAATTGACTACTTTGCCGTATAGCCATTTTGGCTGCAAGGAATTACACGATTAATACTTAAAGTACAGGACTGTTGAAGCAGGAAGAGACACCCTGATAACCGCACCAGAACTCGATCCTTGCTCATGAAAGTGGAAAAAGAATAGAGCTATAAGCATGTATTATGGCGTAGTATTATATACCTTTCATTCCGTAAAGTGTAATTCAGGAATCCATATAAGCTGTCTAGTGTCTTCCCCTGCTTTCTGTAAACAATGGTTCCTGCTCCTACTATATGTACTATTTAGTTACCGCTTAAAGAACACAGACCAAACCCTCACTGCGCACTATTGTCGGACTTGTGGCATAAAGGAGGACGTAGGTACGCCGAAGATGGCTGAAGTATACCAGAGAAGAGAGGGGCATTGGGTATCATTAATTAAATATTTATATATACATCGCCTCAAATCAGCTAGGATTAACACCAAGTTTCTTCTATATAATCACCCCGCATTCGCCGTTCTCTTATATATCATCAACGCAGCAACCGCTGCACACACTGTCGCCCCGAGGGCAATATACATCCCCGTCCGATCTGGAGCTTCTTCCTCGCTCTTTGGGAATGCCAGGCTTGGGTTGGTGGCCGCCTCTGCTAGCGCCACGAAAAGCTCGCTGATGCTGTTCCATGTAACACTAACATGTAGTGGTGCATTCATATTTAGACTCATGGTGTACTGATCCGGTTGCATTTCTGACCTCTGCGTCGTCTTATCCTGATCCGCTTTCAAGGCGGTATATATAGCTGGGAGATCATCGAGGTGAGGATACTTCTCTCGTAACGACACAATGTGGGAAAAGGAGTCGGGATCGGAGGAGTCGTAAGTGTAGCATATTAAATCGCATGCATCTAGTTTTGCGCGATTCTCAAGAATGGCGGGCTCGAGTTCACCAAGCTCCTCCAAGATTAAGTAGCATTGCTTGCCGCCTTGTAGTTCAACACTATTTACAGCAGTGCGAGGCTTAATTGTTGGACGATAGAGTGAGTCAAAAGGTCGGTTGAGGAATGCGTCTAGAAGAGATGATTTCCCGGAGGATGGAGCTCCCAAAACATAGCAGAGAACTACGTTCCGCTCTACACGGCCAAGGCGCCGTCGCCGTTTGCGAGGCTTGGTGGTTTTAAGAGCCGATGTCGTCGATGCTCGGGGGCTTGAAGGCTCAAAGCCAAGATAAGCCAGATAGGCTAGAGTAGTGGTCGGTGAGACAAAGGTAGTCATTGACCACTGCGCAAGCCAACCTTGCAGGGTAATATATCCAGCTTCATTATGAACTGTGGAGGAAGGGAATGAGGTTTCTACCCAGAAAGGTGGTAGACTGGGAGTAGGCGCAAAAAGAGCATCAAGTTCCGAGTCGTTTAGACCTCCATCGTTATCTTTGTCAAACAGCAAGAAGAGGTCGACAAAGAACCTGTACCCAGCAGGGCTGAGTTCAGCAGAGGCAAATTCTGGAATCTCGAACTTAGGATGGAGGAAGCTATCTTTCAAGCTCAGACTATCCGTGTAATGATGTGTCCGCAGAATGATCCAGATGGTCTCATGCCTGCCCTTCTCCGCAAACATCTTATTGAGATGAATGAAGCCGTTCTGGTCAATACCTCTTTCCAGATCTGACATTGGGAAAGCTTTACTTATTGAAAGCTTGATGTTTTCGAGATCCTCGTCGGATAATTGTTTCTCGAAGCATTTTTCTTGAAATGCATGCATCTCTTGATCATTCAAATATCCGTCCTGGTCCTTGTCTGAGAGGTAGAATATGCGTTTCAAAGCAGCTACAGCTGCCGGCTTTAGATTCCCTTCCTTAGAATCAAAAAGAGGAGCGATTGGATGTGTAACCGCCTTCTGGCAGAGGAAGAAAACCTCGTTAACATTGTGATGTTCCCGGGCGCTCGTCCGAATGCAGGAATCTATCTCCTTAAATTCCGCCATGACGGGCATCATCTCATCCTCCATCACCTGCGTCGTGTTCCCCGTCGTAGTCAAATCCGACTTATTCGCGCATAACACAACGGGTACGTTGACTCCAAGGGAGCGGAAGTAGGGCATCCAGAACAATGCAACCCGCTCATAACTGTAGTGGTCCGAGTATACCAGTAGTATGACATTCGACTTCCGTAACTCCTTCCGCAAGGTATTCCGCTCCTGGGGGAGGGCAGAGGTATCGACAATCGTGGTCGTGACATTTTCTGGGGTCCCAATGCTCGGTGGTATAGTGATTTGAGGCAGGACTGATTGGATTTTGTTGGTTACGAAGACGTCCTTTACCAGCGAAGTGATCAAGCTGGATTTTCCGGTGCCCTCATCTCCGCAGACGCATATACGGACTGGAATACATATGTGTTAGCAACGCCATCGCCACGAGGGGACGGGAAAGCATCAAAATGGTACCTGTAGCCATGGCTGCTCTGCTCCGTTTCAGCCTTGCACCACGCGGCTGTTAAGAATCCATTCGCAATGAGCTGGAAGGTGTGCTGCGCTGTAGGATTCGACTGCTGTATGGGCTCACTGCTGCGGTTGATGCCGTAGACGCAACAAGAGTTAAGACTGCTATCAAGATCTAGCGACTAAGCCTCAACAGTTGTATAGGACCTAACCTAAACTTCGTATTCCCAGGTCTGTAACTGTTACGTCGGCATGTGTGGTGCAACAGGGGGAGGGAGCTCGGGGAGTTCAAAGCTGTCGGCTCTCCAGGCTAAAAGCCCCCAGCACAGGGCCTGTATCTACAGTACTGTGCTGAACAGTGCACGGCGTCTCCCCACATGGGGCAGCTCGATTACAACGGCATCCCATCCGCATCCTCCGCGTTCTGCTCGGGTTGCAAATCTATGTCCATATCCATATCCATCGCCACATACATGTACATGTACATACCGCCCTGTACGTAGTATCTTTGATGACCCGTAACGATTCCCCTCTCCGCAACGCTCCAGTTTCAGTCTATTATTACAAACGAACGGCGGTCTCTGTCCCTGTTATGTATTTCTAGCGCCAACTATACCCAAGAGACCCCAACTCGACCTCGACAGGCATCTCAACTACCCCACACATTGGCACGGTCGACATATATTGTTTGTACATTGTAGTGTACCTTGCAGGCTGTACATATAGCTAGGACCCTCCTCGGCGCTGGAGAGAGAAGCTGTTCCCAACCTAACAGCGAGCACCTTCACCATATTGTATCCTTCGCCCACCATCGGTTTATATCTCACCGCTTGACTGTCCGCTGGGTCTGCATTTGGCAGCCCGCCCCAATAACACCATGTTGTGAGTCTCCTCTCAAACTCCAGCCATTCAGCTGCGGATTGCTAATGCGGAAATACAATTGTAACAGCGTCTTACCACCACCTCCGAGATATCCTTCCCAAGCCGCATACAGCCTTGCTGTTGCGAATGGCCAAGTGACACCCATGATCGAGACAAACAACAATTTGTCGCATCCTACGGGGCCAGAATATCAGCTGGTTGTTGGTGAAGGTACAGAGCGGCGTGTCGGCGCATTGTCGCGTTAAAGATCGAATGCTGAATACCTGTAGGAACATACATTCTAAAGGATGACCTACATCTTTCAACACCCCCTCCGCATCCATCGGAAGCTCCTATTATCAATCCGAACCCTCTTGGAACAACTCCCCAGCCAGCCACCTCTGGAACCAAGCTCTCATTGTTATCATTGAGCTCTAGAGGTGCACCACCACTACCTTTGTATACAGATGAGGTGAACAGAAGTGGCACTACGGGGTTCCGGACTAGTATACAGGAGCACCCCAGCGAGGGTCGGCCATCTGGTGACTTGGTACCCCCGAGCAGCGATGGAGGCAGTATATCTATGACGGGGAGTGGTAGAGGACCAGTGTCAATCGGCTCAGCGCCAGCATTCGGCAAAGGGAACCAACTGCTTTCACCAAGTGGGAAAGATGCCGGTAAGCGACGCAAGCCAAAGAACAATATCGCAAAGAGCAATTCTTCGTTCATTTCACGGTGTATTGTACACGAAAACCTAAGCAAGAGACTGCAAGACCGTCCGTCAGATGGCTATTTTGCTTTTGCAAACATCAACCGCGCCTTCCAATGGCTAGACTTATCGTCACCTCAAAAGGTATTCACCACGTGGTATATATTATACCTGGTATTGACACATATTACAGGTGGATCATTTCACAAAGATTCTGTTTACCAAAGGACATTGCCTCTGTCACGACGTTAATCAAGTCACCAAGAGCCACAGCCATATAGATCTCATCATGGGTTTCTCTACGGGTGAGATCATATGGTTTGAGCCCATCTCCCAGAAGTACACACGGCTGAACAAAAACGTATGTGGCTTTCAAACAGTTTCAAGGTGTTGAACTAAACTGGCTGCCTAGGGAATTATTAATACAACGCCTGTCTCTGAGATCCGGTGGATTCCCGGCTCAGAAAACCTCTTTCTCGCAGCACATATGGATGGCTCTTTGGTAGTTTATGACAAAGAGAAGGATGATGCAGCCTACCTGCCAGAAGAACACAGTCAGAATGCCAATGACGCCTCGGAACGAAGCAGCGGACATGCTAACCACTCAGCAAAACTCCATATTGGCAAGTCGGTGGATTCTAAGAACCAGAAATTCAATCCTGTCTCATTCTGGAAGCTATCGAATCAACGGATAAATGCCTTTGCATTTTCCCCTGACAACAGACATATTGCCGTTGTATCCGAAGACGGTACTCTACGGATTATTGACTACCTGAAAGAACGGTATGTGGTATTCTAAAAGAGGGAGATCACTGATCTAACAAAATTAGGCTCTTGGACATCTACTCGAGCTATTACGGCGGGTTTATCTGTGTCTGTTGGTCGCCGGATGGAAAATACGTGCTTACAGGGGGACAAGATGATCTCGTCTCCATCTGGTCCGTAGCTGAAAGCACGATCGTTGCTCGATGTCAAGGCCACCAGTCTTGGGTGACAGCTGTCTGCTTCGATCCATGGCGCTGTGACGACCGGAATTACCGTTTTGGCAGTGTAGGGGAAGATTGTAGGCTTCTCTTGTGGGATTTCAACGTGGGCATGCTACATCGTCCCAAAGCTGTAAGCCATTTAAGTATCTCGATGTCTCCAGGCAGAGTACCATTGACAAGCAAACAGTCTTCTGTGAGACAACGGGGCAGTATATTATCACGGATCGCAAATAATCCACTGCAAAGAGCCGAAACACAGACCACCACAGGCAGCAGAGTCAGGCCGAACTCTGTAGTTTCTGTCGACCGGGATGAAGAAAGTACAATCGAACATCCTGTTGAGCCTAGAGCTACTACTGCGATGTTACCACCTGTCATGGTACTTTCCTGAACCCTTATACCTCCTCCTGACAGTGGATCATGCTAATACTCAATAGTCAAAAGTTATCGACCCAGACCCACTATATTGGCTAGCCTTTACGCAGGAATCAATAATTACGAGCTGCAAAACTGGTTCGTCTGTTTGCCTTTTTACATATCCAGAACTAAACAAATCGCAGGACATATTCGCACATGGGACCGGCCACAAGATGGCGCAGATAAGAGTGATGCCATCTAGGTCTGATTTGACGCTTGCTAAAGGTCGAAGCACCATCTAACAAGCAAGAGCTGATCTGGGAAGGTATCAAAGACCATTTTTGAAGCGCTTATACATACGCCGTCGGGTTGCTCACAGTGTGGAATCCTTGGCAATGGTATTATGGCTAGTGTCGATTGAACCCCTGAATATAATATTCTGCGATGGCGAATAGAAGAATTACTTCGCAGCCTGAATCGTCTATTTCGTGGTCCGCTATATTCCCGCATTTGACAGTTCTAATGTTAAATCTTGCTTGCCACCGCACAGTACCCGCACTCGACTCAAATCTGAAGTAGCCCGAAGATCTGATGGCGAGTAGTGCAGTTTCTGACCGTTTTGGATGGCATGGTAGTGCTGCATATATCAAGCCTGTATTGTGCCATATGCTCCACTACCAATTGTTTTGATGTGCTTATCGTTTACTGTGGTAGTAATGTCAATGTGGCATGCCCCCCCAAAAGTTTCCGCTTCTATTGTATGCACTACGCTGGTCGCATTTCTTCTATATCCCAGACACCAAGTAAGGCATGTCTCGATCACACCGGAGAGCCGATCTCTTGCCGTTTGCCACCCTGATCGACTGTCTTTATCCTTCTGACTTCATTGCCATGCAGTTTGAAGTCAGGCGACTAGTATAATGCAAAGCAAAATCTCACAAGGCAGAATATAGAACTCTAGGAGTAAGGCATAGTGCAGTCAATGGGAATTATGTTAGATGTAGCCAATACATGCGAAAACAATTCAGCGTCAATCAATAGCCCAGAGAGACCACCAACTCCTGTAACTACAGTTTGAGGTCTCTCCCGCCCAGCTCGCCTATCAACTTTCTATCAAGTCCTATTTGAGCCCCCAACCCTACTAACGCTAACTTACGAGATTGATACCGAGTCTCACGGCTTTATAGTTCCTTGTGAGTTTTCTCGATACTACAGTCCTGTGTTAGGTACTGGCTGACTTGTATTTGGACATCACGTGTGAGGGGTTTTGAATTTAGCCGGCGGAGATCGTGCGGTGTTCAGAATCTCCGGAACCCCTCACAACTCACACGACAAACTATTGGAATGCCAATGGTAACAGACGAGCCGCACGCCGTTCGAGTGCCACTATGCGGAAGGGTACGATCGTGTTTCCGAAGTCAGTAGCCCCACGAAACTCAAAGAGTGGGATTTTACAGTAAAACAACGAGTATATAAATCATCCATCGGTACCCACGCTTGTGTCATTTATTTTCCCCTGTTTGTTATTTCACTCCCCCCCCCCATATTCTTTGACACTATATCACTTATTCCATATTAAAATCTACCCCATATTTTACCAATCGCGAATCCAAAATGGGCAGTCTCGCATCAGAAGCTCCTTCAGACTGGGTGCTCTCAGAGGAACAGAAGGCTCACTTCCTCGAGCATGGCTATATAAAAGTGCCCGCCTGCTTTACTCGAGAAGAAGCCGCTACCTTCAGCAAAAACCTATGGCCTCGTCTCAGCATGTCCCCGACTGACAAATCCACCTGGACCGGTGGAGAACGCATTAATATGCCATGGCATAACCACATACCGGTTGAGGAGTTCGCACCCAAGGCATGGAGTGCAATGTGTCAGTTGCTTGGCGGAGATGAGCGTATCGCCGACGGCATGTGGAGGAGTTGGAGCGATGGATTCATTGTTAATTTCGGGAAGGAGGAGTATGCAGCCGATGCGGCGAAGCGGGAGAGTGGCAAGGATAGAGGAGAGGAGTTGAGGGAGCTGGATAACTGGCATAATGATGGGGATTTTTTTGTGCATTTTTGTAAGTGGTTAAAGGTTTTGAATTCAATTTCTAGTCTTGCACCCACCTTTTTCCCTCTCGTCAACGAGAATATTGGTCTTCCCTACCCCCCTTTTCTGTGTTGAAGGCGCTATTAACGGGGTTTTGGTGGTCCCCTTAATATCCCAATATGAGCACATGAATTGCCATCTTTGGGGATTTCTATGAGGCTCCTTTGATGTAATTGGTTTGGCTGTTAAAACACCTTCGTTATCATTATTGCTTTATAACATGCCTCGTGCTGTCACCCAAGCTGGACATGGTGGGAAATGGCTTCGAGTACTCAGACTTCTACCCTTCTACGACCCCTCATTCAAGGAGTCGAATATAAACTGACAGTCTCATAGTGGATAGTCAGGAGCAAGGATTATTAGTTATACCACTTTGGAGCGACATTGAGCCAAGAGGAGGCGGAACGGCTCTCGCATGTGATGGCATTAAATATATCGCACAGCACTTGGTATATATACCCTCTATTCCTTATCACTCTTCCCAATCTGCATCTTTTTAACACACGCCGTAGTACGAGCATCCCGAAGGCGTAACACCTTGGATGCGGTCGGTAGACGACCCTACACATGATAGCTACGAAGGCCGCGATTTCTGGCAATCTCTTGCTGCTGATAAGTCAAAAGTCCGCGGCTCGAGTATTGTCGAGGCCACCGGCCAAATCGGAGACGTATTTTTTCTGCACCCTCTCATGTTGCACTCGGCATCGAAGAATGAGCTACGCAACCTGCGCATTATCACGAATCCGCCTGTCTCGTTGAAGGAACCATTTTGCTTTGACCGTGAGGATCCTAGTCATTATAGTCTCGTGGAGCAGAAAACGCTGAGGGATTTGGGCAAGCCCGAGGGATTAAAGGGCTGGAAGATTTCAAAGGAGCGGAGGGAGTGGATTCCTGAGAGGGTAAAGAATATGGATGCTATGAAGAAGAAAGAGTTGGAGAGACTGAATAGTGGTTCGTGAGATAAATACTTGCGAAATGTTTATATTAGGTATGTATGCAATGTGAAATAGGTGTATTATACCTATAGGTACCGACTGTTCGGTCTCCGGGATTTCGGAACCTTAGATGTCGAGCATCTCAGATTTCAGCTGCCGCATCCGTTGCAACTCGCTGGCCAGTTCCAGACGTTCTTATATCTAGCAATCCTGTCCTACTTCAACCTCATCATCGTTCCTCTCGACTACGCTGGCCTCCATCACCCACCCCGATCCCCAGCTTTTCTTCTCTACCTACCAATAGCATACCAGCCGATTTTCCTAACTTGCCCGAATTATTTTACAGTACGAAGTACGAAGTACTAGTAGGACTACTACTATGTTAGGGTTCGCCTAGGCGCGCGCCTATGTTTAAATCTAGGGGGCTGGCCAGCCACTGTGTGCGTTTACAGAGTAGGTGCAAAGCTTGTATGGCCTATAGCCAGATCCTGTTTAGTCCTTGTTAGGGGCCATTCCAGCGGTCATACTGTACCAACTACGCTTTGACTTAATGGTTTACCCAACTTAAATCCACCGACCGCCGACACACCGACCTGGGGGCTCGTAGGGAGCTGCTATCCGGTACGAGCCCCGTCCAACCCACGGGGTATTAAATTGTTGCACGGATACTCTGAACCTAGACGTTACTTGTGCCAAGTAGGGAAGCTGAAGGATTCTCTCGTCCTATTACTCCGTATTACGAAGTCGGTCGTCCACGCTCTATGTCTCGGTGTGAATCGAATCAGTTCTGGCAGCAGCATGCTCGTGCACTGATACGACTATACGACTATGAAGAAGGCTTAGATGGACTGCCTAGGTACAGTAGCCCTTTCTATCTTTTAATGCTCGCTGCAACTAAGGTGAAAATACTCATCTTTAGGAAGCCCATTAGATGTGGCTCCCGAAAACTCGTTACGTTCCTGTAGTAGCAGGTCTAGGGACTTGGGAGATGGGAGATGGGAGATGGCAAAGCCTTTTGCTCTCAGACCTGAGCTATTCAGAATCGGGACGCGACCCCCAATGTCTTGAAAATCTATCCATCCAATTATATCCGTCGTTCTGCACCTTTCCATATTGTCCGCCAATACACCACACTCGTTTGAAACATTATCTTGGTCTCCGTGCTGAGCAACCTCTTTTAACACTGCTGCAGGCATCGTAGCAGAAGCCGTAGCTTTGCATGTCGAATGGAAGAGAAGCTTGAAGCCCTCTGGCTTCAGCACTCCTTCCTTTCTCCCTCCTTTCTCCTCCCTCACCAACCCACCACCCAATTCGCAGCAACTAGCCAGAGTGCGAGATTCCTAGCTGCACATATTAACGCTGCCATGAACCCCTAGCTTACATCTACCTTACATATCTGCTTGGTCATTGAGTACCACTTTTCCCCAGCAAAAACGGAACAAATACTTCAGAATGGGGGTGTTGACCCCACAACTCACCGATGTAGGTTTATGTCTGCCTACATTGTACATCCCTTGATTGCATACGCTTTTTGCTCCTGCTCTGAATTATCCTCATACTATCTGTGATTGCCTTATATTGATTATGTTATGTTGACACCTTGATAAGGATCCTACACTAGCTATTCTTGCCCCAGAGTCGCGAGTGTCTTCTATCGTTGCTGGCACAGTTACCCCATACGTGATTGGCACCGTTTTTGTGCTCACCAGGTTCTATACAAGAGGGGTTATCACAAAGAATTGGGGGTTGGATGATTCCTTGATTTTTGTATCATGGGTCTGCCATCCTATCAACTTTTTTATGGAATCTATTAACACCTCGTTAGATTTTTGGCCTTGGCCTTGCTGTCGCTAACCTGCTTTTCATAAAGTACGGTGTAGGGCGCCATGCCTTCCTGCAAAGTATGGAAGACGCTATTCATACACTCCAACTAGCCTACGCAACCCGGGTTCTCTATGTCCTTTCAATTACTACAGTTAAAGCCGGCATTGGGGTATTTTACCTCCGAATTTTTCCAGATCGCTTCTCTAGAATCTGGAATTACATCATTACTGGCCTTATTTGCGCAGGTGGCATCGTGATTCTGTTCGTAGTCTGCTTCCAGTGTACACCTATTGCCGGCGCTTGGAACCTCGATCCCACGGCAAAGTGCCTTGGGAATAGCTTGAGTGCAATTCTTACTGCGGCCATCAATATTGCTGGAGATCTAGGATTGATGATTTTTGTAATACCTCGCATCCGTGAGTAACAACTTCGTGATCTATGGCCTCCATCTTTGCTTCCTCGCCCTAACAGCTAAACAGTGCCCTTAAAAATGCCTTGGAGGCAAAAGATCTCCCTCCTCGTCGTTGTCTGTCTCGGTATATTAGTTATAATCTCAACGGGTGTTCGCCTTCAACAAAGCCTCTCATTCAATCTATCGTCAGACTTGTCGTGTAAGTTAAATATTTTCGAGCGTGTCCTATACATTTGCTGATTTATCATTCTAAATATATAGGGAATGCCTCCAGCATCACGACATGGACCTCTATTGAAATCAACGTTGCATTATTTTGCAGTTCGGTCACTGCCATCCGCCCGTTAATCCGCCAGCTTATGCCAGGCCTCATGGCCTCCATGTCGGGGACACACCGTTCAGGAAACCATACAAATGTTTATGCATCAGGCATGAGCGCGCAAAAATCTTACAGAGGACAGGGAAATGGGTTTGAACTACAAAGTGCCACAGATATTGAGCTGCCTGTACAAGGAAACACATCTATCTGGAGCAAGAACGAGCCCTTGGAAGATGATGACTCGGGAAAAGCAGTTTTGGGGGAAGGTGGAAGCATGGGAAGAGGTGAAATACGGAAGACAGTCAGTGTAACGATAACTGATAGCAAAGCGAAGGATAATGTGAGTGGGCACAACAACAACTCAAGGTTTGAACCTCTGTAGGTCATCACTTGCCAGTGGACGGCGAAGGCTACCAAGGATTGGAACATTTTAGGGAGTTGACACGCTTCATGGACTGGGCTTTTTTGCACGAGTTATGTACTTTTAGTCTGATGATAATGCAATCCAAGGCGGACTACAACAATATGACCTGAATTGCTGTTTCCCAAAATTCGGGTTTCAGCGTTAACCATACGCATAAGCATGTAATAGAGCAGCGTCGCAATTCAAGTAAAGGATACCCGTAATGTATCGTAATAACCCATTTTAAAATATTAATTAACGCCTCGAGATCTGTGGCTAACAATTGTGATATACATATTGTATGTAGCATTATGATGGCATTCCGAAAGGTACCGAAATGTTGCGGGTTCGCTTTCTAATCAATTTAGAACTTGTTTAGAGCCGGCTTATATATAAGTCAGCCATAACCAGTCCGACGGGTTTAAACTGCGAGGTGCAACAAAACCGGTGCTCTGTACTAATGGAGTTAGGGCCAGCATTTGGCGTTGTGTGAACCGAAGAGTTGACGAGTAGGATGAACTTAATTTAAATGTAGCTCAAAGTCAATGTTACAATACCCATGTGAAAGTGCTCCCGGTCAAAGTGCTCCAGCGCGACGTGCAACAACCTAACTCCTTATTGAATAATAATCGTATACTTCTATATTTATAGAAATACAAATATATAAAATACGTTCCTGGGGGGTAATATCTCTAATAATAAATTTACTTAAACTTATATATATATATATATATAAATATTTACTATAACTTAAGTATTTTAAAGAAAATATTATTAAAAGTATAACAGGCCGAATCCTTATATATACCACCTTTAATATACTATTAACTTGAAGCTACTTATTAGAGTTCCTTACTTTTAAGTTACTTGACTTTGACCGACTAGCTAGTAGCTAGATAATAAGTATGTATGTACTACTACTGACCTCCTCCTTTTCGATGCTTTAGTATCTAGTTCTAGTATTTACTAATACTATATATTATATATTTAGCTATTAACTAATAAACTTCAAGAGAACTAGTAATATCTATTATTTAAGAAATCTACCAGCCTTTGGAAGCTCGCCGAGTTTGAGCCATCGCCCTGCTAATTTTAGCGTAACCTATACTCCATTATAGGTTTTATTTCGTTGCAATATCTACTTTATTGTAATTTGCACTCTATTGAACGCGCACACCACTCAACCGCTCAAACTCCGATTTGACTATAGCAACACCACAATTTAGAGAAACTAACGCCATATCCGCATTATTCAAAGTATTCTTCATAGTCTGTGAAATTTTCGAATTTTCTAGGCACTTTGAAAAAACCCAAGGTGTTAGTATTCTGACAGGGGTATAAGTGGGCGGTTAGTGGTTTGGGCGTTTAGCTAGTGAACTTTTCTAATCTAAGGCTTAGAACAATTGTCTTATAGCCTGGAAAGGTCCTGGTATGCTAAGCGTGCTAGGTGAGCAGTCCTAACGGAGAATCTGTCCTGTGCCATTTGTCTGGGCCATCCGGGACAGACCATCCAAGTCAAATAGCCACCTAGGACAGTTTCTGTCGTAGGAGGTGTGCCTACATGTACTGTCCTATAACTTATGTCCTACGGCGGATTTCCTCCTGTAACTCAAAGAATCCTGAGACAGTCTGGAGGCCAGGTAGAAAGTCCCAGATGAGAATTCAAGCTAGGATATCTCAGTCAGGACCGATTTACATCTGGGGTGGGTTACCTAGCACTCCTAGAAATCTGGGATTCCGAGAGTCACAGGAAGGTTGCCCCAGCCGGAGTTCTGCGTTGGGACAACGCTCCTGGCTCACGAACTTAAGCAAGCGACCAGAGATCGGGCATTCCACCTTGCTTCTGAAGACGAAGCAATATTTCCTGCTCGAGCACTACAAATGCTATCCTTCTTAACGGCTCGCTCTGCCTCGCATCCGTACAAGCCAACCCGCAACCGTGGCGCCTCACATCGACAGGGCAGAACGCCCTGTCGGCTCGACAGACTCTTCTATTCCTGCCTCTTCGCTGGCGCCGATAACGTCGCTGAATCTGAAGTAAATAGGCCCCTTGAGAGAAGGATCAACAGCAATATATCGTCTTCATCTTATAATATATTGGGAGGCATAATAATAATATTATAAGGAGGCAAACCAAGGCATAAAGTACATAAAAGAATAGTATTTGAATGAACATTATATGCAGTATTTTGATTTTCATATTGCTTCTTTCGGCGCACCATTGATCTGTAACACCCAACCACCCACGAACGCTTTCACTGCTTCCCACCACTCACAGATCCATGCTCATGACATGACCCAGCAGCAGGCTGCAGCAAGCGTGGTGCAGAAGCTCAGAACGGAGCATCAGGAGGATTGTGCTGAGCAGGCTTGCATGCAACAAGGATGGGAATTCACCAAATCGCACCACTTACCAGCAGCGAATAATAATTTTGGCCCCGAGAGCCTCATATCTCGACTTCAGCTCAACACTTGGCACCTATCGTTCGCGTCTTCCCGCACACCCTGTCACTACGCACCTACATAAAAGCAACTTACAGCACACAATTTCACTTTGAAGCATATCATTTTCGGAGTACGGAAGCCAAACGTGCAGTATGGAGGCGCAATCAAGGCTGTGTGCGGGATTCGCGAAATTTGCCCATAAAGAAGATAAGGCCCTTCAAAGCAAAGAATGAAAGACTGATGGTTTCGAAAATTGGTGAAGATGAAGTTCTCCCTCTTTTTGAGTATCTTTGCCTCACCTTGGGGTAACGGTCCCCTCCTCGCTTCAAATCCTCATACTCACCACCTTCCAGTCTTACATGCGGCTACAATTAGCAATGGAGTCAACCTCAGAATCTTGCCTCTAGGCGATTCAATTACCTACGGCGTCGGAAGTTCCGATGGAAATGGATATCGTCTTGCTCTCCAGAATATGCTGTCAGGAAACAATGTTCAATACGTTGGGTCCCAGCACTCGGGGTCGATGGCGAACAATTCAAATGAAGGACACAGCGGAGCTGTGATCAGCCAGATTGCCCAATTCGCATATCTCAGCTTGAAACAGTTGCCGAATGTAATATTACTTATGGCTGGAACAAATGATATGAAAATACCCACAGATCCAAATACGGCATCTGATCGCCTCGGTAGCCTGATCGATGAGCTTGTAATCGCGGTTCCCGATGCAGTCGTACTTGTTGCTCGATTAATCCCTTCAGCGACTAAGAGCACGGAAACAAATATTGAAAATTTCAATGCTGCTGTTGAAGGGATTGTCACAGTGAGGGCGAATGCCAAAAAGAAAGTGCTTCTTGTCGACATGTCCAAGGCTGTCAGGACCGGTGACCTCGCAGATGGGCTACATCCGAACGATGAAGGCTATATCAAGATGGCTACCGCATGGTACGATGCCATTCAACAAGCTTCTTTGAATGACTGGATCTCTCCACCTCGAGCTGTCAGCACAATATCGAGTCGTACCACTTGCCCCGGACCTGTGCAATGGATCTCGAGGGGACTTGTAGCAGGAGGAGTGGGAGGTGGAGGTGCGTTAGAGCTCCTCTTTGCTGATATCAACGGTGATGGGAAATCCGATTACCTGGTATTAGATGCCAAGGGGGAGACAAAAGCATGGTTCAATGGAGGCCTGGACACTGACGGAAGTTCCATAAAAGTGAGCGCACACCTTTTGACTTTTTGTTGTACAATCTGCAAGTGCTTTTACTGACAAACTTTAGTGGAATTCTGTCGGAGAGATAGCGAGTGGCGTCGGTAAAGACCGCTCTACTATTCGTTTCGCGGACCTCAATGGTGACGGCCTAGATGACTACCTCACTGTCGATCCCACGACGGGAGCGGTCGCCATGTGGCAGAACGGCGGCGGCTTTGACTCAGCGGGTGTCTATAAGTGGACATCGATGGGTATCATTGCATCTGGAGTCGGAATGGGCGCTGGTGTCTTCTTCGCAGACATGGATGGTGATGGAAAAGACGACTATGTTTGGCTTGATGCCAATGGGGCGGCATATCTCTGGTTGAATGGCGGCATGGGCAAGGATGGAAAATGGATATGGACTTCAAAGGGCAAGATTGCCACGGGAGTTGGTGCTGTTAGGGAGGATATTCGGCTGGCTGATATTGATGGCGATAGGAAGGCGGACTATCTCTGGGTAGATAAAACGACCGGGGCAACGAAGATGTGGAGGAATGGCGGGGTGGGGAGTGATGGAAATTGGATCTGGACGCCCCAGGGAGAGATTGCTACCGGTGTTGGGGTGGTTGGGTCTCTTGTGAGGTTTGCGGATTTAGAGGGTACAGGCAGGGCAGATTATTTGACCATTGTTCCGAACTCGTTGGGAGTGAGGCAGTGGTTGAATGGCTGTGGGACCGGATCTGGAGTCGTCACCGTGACGTACGTAAGCGTCACGGTCAGTATCAGCACAGCAGCGGGTACTGCCAACAGCATGACCAGCGATCCGACCGCAACTATCACTCGCAACAACATAAGCATCAACCCTACGGCGACTCTAGCGGAGAACAACATGGCTGCTGCCCAGGGCATTGACTCGGGGACTTCGACCACTTCTGCAGCAAGCACTGCGTCTGGAACGGCAAAGAGTGGTGCGGAAGGTCTTCGAGGAATTCGAGTTGAGGATATAGTGTTGTTGGTTTTGATGGTGGCAGTTGCGACGTAGCAGATAGTATGAGGATAGAAAGTCTACTAAGAAGCTTGGTCATCGGAGATACGAACCTTAGAAGCTGGAAATGTGATTTTAATAGACCCTTGCGGGGAGTTCACACATGGTGAGGATATAGCTTGAGGAATTTGGAGAACTATCGTTTGACTAAATGACCACCCAAGACATGAACTCCTGGCAGAAGTATCAAGAGCATATGTCAATTAACAAATGGTAGTAATCCCCATCGCGGAGAATTTCTATTGCCAGACTAGCAAGAGCAAAAGCTACGTCGGGAAATAATACAATATACTCGTTTCCTTGGCTTTCAATCAGATATTGGTAAGGTTCTAGCCTTTGAGGGCGACTCTATCCACTACTACTAAGGTCACTTGTTACTACTTTTGAACCCAATAGTAAACTTCTTGTTCGCATTAAGGGCTTTTAAGTGTGAGAGAAGAGTACGGGCTTCCCCTTCTTTGAGGTCAAAGTATGCGCTGGCTATGATATTCTGTATCCAAAGCCGACTGTTAACGAAGGGAAAATAGATATGCTGTATATGGCCCTTACCTGCCGCCGTTGCTGGCTCGAAGAAACTCCTCCGTAGCCGGGCCTGTGAGCTCACTCGAATTACTAGCGGTCTGCTGAAGATGCCCGGCAGTAGATGGGCCCGTGGACTGATTCTGGGCACTCTCAGGTTGAGCCTCTTCAGACGACTTTGACTGCTCCGGCGTTGCATCGGTGATATGCTCGGATGATGACTGATTCGGGCTTGGTGATGTGCTTTGAGAGACGGTTGTCTCTGTTGGCGCCATCGTCAACGTGAAAGATTGCTAGATAGCTGTAATGGATAAGATAGACATGAAAGTGTGAATCTTTGAAAGATACTTCAAGGATTGGGAGATGAGAGGGATGTGGTGAAACTTTGAAGGGGAAATTCGTGCTATTGTACATTCATCGATTCTCATGTATACTTCGGTTACAGCAAGATGTATTAGCATCTTCATCGATCGATGTGACGTATTGATACATAGTACAGGAAACGTGGGGCTAAGCAACGCATTGAAGTTGGTGCGTTTGAGGAAGCCTTGGAAGGGCTACTCCCGATACTCAGCAACTAGTACCGCCTCTAACGCCGTAGACGGGCTCAGAGAAGTTCGCGAGGTATAGTAGTAGCTGTTATCGACGAAGGTCGACGGACATCCGTTATCACGCTAGGGCTACGCGTCGTCAATCTCAGGTGTGGCGGTCGACAGCACTTCAAGGGGGCCAGGGTATCCGAGGTAGAGCTCTAGGGTATGACTACGATAGGTGGTTGGAGTCGCGGCTGGCGTTACACGTCGCTTTCGTCTGGGGTAGACTTCAGACTGAGAGTGGCTCAAGGGATAAAGAGAAGGCACTATTTGAAATATATTCCGTTAGTAATTTATTCCTTAAACCTTCCAAAAATAGGGACGCTTGTAGTATAACTACTTAGTCTAGGTCTTTTATACTAACAATTAACTGGAGTTAAGAATATAAGAGGGTGAGATCTTTTAGTAATCTCTTAATCAAGATAAGGGTTTCTAATAAACTGTACTATTAGTCAGCGTACGGATTAGACTATCACAACCTAGCATCACCCCATTATAGCTCGATGATCCTCACTCACCGCAACTCACCCTACTCCACAATGTGTAACACACTATAATACTGCTTGTCATACACACTTCTGAGAAACTCTAATCTCCTCAGTTTATTAAGTGCGGCGTGCTTACTCGAGCCCGATGCCCTTCGGCCTACATTCACCCGAGAACTTAATGTGTGAAATATAAAACACATAAGCCTCGGAAAAGAGTGGCGGGATACAACGTGGCAGATGACGAGAGTGGCTCAAAGTTGCGAAATGCAACAAAAATATTGCCACTTGAACTATATTTGAATATACATCGACAAATGCATCATATTTGTGATTGACGCACCAGCTGTGGTTCTCGATGATGAAAGTTTGAACGGTGTGGCGCTAGCCGAATGGATTGGCCCTGCTAGGAAGGAGACTCGGCCATGAGGAGAATTATAAAAATATGACCGGAAGTCCAGTGGGACTCTTGACGAGCACAATATAAGATAAGTATTATGATTATGATTTCCTGTTCTAGTCTACAGCAGGAACATCCATAACACCTCTCCCGAAGAACTCACTAATAGTGCCAAATTTATCCCCGTCCCTCCCTAGTGCATCAAGAAACATATCATGCTTATCCGCCGTCTCATCCTGAGACCTGACGAATGCTCGAATCGTATCATTATCTTTCCTGCAAATACTACAGTCGCCCTCCACACTCCCGTCGTCTGCTACCTGGACGTTGATGCATGTCTGGTGAAAGCTGTGCTTGCACATGAAGTGCACAGCAGGTAGAGTGAGCTGTGAACCACAGAAGGAACAGCGGGTGTTGTTGAAGGTTTGGGGTTTGGTGGTGAGTTCAGTGATTTCGTCACGCTTCTCCTGTGTTTCTGTGCGATAGGAATTTATCAATCGGCGGTTGGAAGTAATCTCTTTACGTTCGCGATCGATTGTTTGTTGGAGATATGTTTTGATCATTCCCATCGTTGCAACGGCATTTGTGCTCAGAGTTTGAATGACTTGTAATGGGGCCATAAGGCCATCTTGATCTATTTTCTTGAGGACTGCATCAAGCTCATCACCAGCCTCTTCGAGGATCCGTGGATCGGATGTGAAGTACGCTAGAGCAGCAGGATACAGCTGTGGTTCGTCTGGGCCATATTTCCTGAGAGCTTTGATAGCACCACGGGTGTCCTTGGCTGAAGTGTATGAACGGAATATATCAAATCTAAGCCCAGCTTGCTCGCGAACGAGGATTGTCCCATCTCGAAAGTTGGATAGATGAGAAAGCAAAAGAACATTGGAAGTATCTATCGGGATATCCTTGCCTTCGATCAACTTCTTGGCCTTGGCTTCCCATTCTTCTCGGTTGTCGCCTTTTTTCTCATTTGACTTGTGCAGATACATTTCAAAGAGGGTTGTGTAGAGGTCGATTTTATCTGGTTCTTTTAGATCCTTTTCCTTGAGACAAGCCTCTAAGAAGACGATGAACTCATCGGGATGGTCCACGAAGGAAGAAAATGCAATTCTCGGTTGCGGAGGTGTACATCGTGGAGCAGATAACTGGTCCGGGCTCTCGACAACTTGGGTATCGCTGACTGTGGTGGCAACCTTGGCTTGAGTAGGTTGCGATGCTACGGCCGAGGTGCTCATGTATGGTAATGGGAGGAGATCCTTTAGGTTCTGCACTGCGGTGACAGCACCCTGGGCGTAGCCAGGTTGTTGGGACTGTTCTGGAACTACAATGGCATCGGTTCTTGGACGAAAGTGTCCCGTGAAGTATTCAACGAATAGCTGTGTCGCTTCTGCGGGGCAATGCTCCAGCAACACAGTGGCATATTTCATCAAATTCACATGCATCTTCTCGATATTAGCAAGTAACAAGAAGGGTAGATAGAGTTGACTTACTGCTTCAGGCTCCAAGCGCCATACGTATTGGAGCGCCTCCGCATATCGCATCGAATCCTCGATTAGTATGTCTACTACTAACTCGTGTTCGCCATGTTTAGTAGCGAGATAAGCTGCTTGTTCATAATAACCGCCTTGTCGGCACATGGAGATTGCCGTATCAAGGTCAAACTTGAGATCGCCCGGCGATTTGATAAATTTCTCGAGTTTATCGATATCCTTAAGCTTTGCGTAGCAGTTTAGAAGAAGAGTGGTATGATCTGCAGTAGCTTTGTGATGCTCATGCAGCTCTTCAAGGTATTCGATCAGGTTGTGTATCCTTTGGGTGTCAAGGAACTGGCTGAGTTAGTACCGATGACTTAAGCGTAGGCTTGTACCTTACTTTTCGAATGACTTGGGAAGGTTCAGTGTTGTCAATTGCTTTAAGATACTGCTGCATCGCGGCATCATAATCTCCCTTTTGGTACAGGTGATCACCATATTTTCGGAATATCACGTTCTGCTGAGCCGCATCCATACCGGCCTTCTGCGCCAAGTTGACAGCATATAAAAATAGGTTACGTTGGTACAAAATTTCGAGTCTTTGTTGCAATGATTTCTCATGGTAGCGGAATATCTAGCGCAACGATCAAAATAGGAACCCTTTCTAGAAAGGGGGCATCTTACCTTGCCATCTTGAGTTAGTGTAAAGAGATCACCCCAAATCATGAACAATGCCTTGACCTGGGAGACCAAAGATTCTGAGTGTGCAACAAATTTCAAATCAGTATCTAGCAAAGTAAATGTAGAGGTATTGAATATTTCGTCAGCTTGGGCGCCGCCAAATCGACGAAGGGCACTCGACTTGGTTGGTGTTGTAGCGGTTGAGGGGGGCGGCGAAACCAACGCAACATAATCTTCGTATATCGCCACAAGGCTTTTAGGGCCATCATAACCATAGCAAGGGCCACGCCCATCGATGCCATAGTAATAAATGGCATCTTCTCGCACCACAACAATATCCCCATTATGCTTGTCAACAGTCATGCATCCAACAGCACACCCGGACTCTTCCACATTCCGTGCCGGCTGTCCAGCGCCTTTCCCCGATATCACAAGTTTTAGGATACGCGCGGTGGTCGCAACATACAAGGTTATCAGCTTCGACTCCTGGCGAAATTCCACGCCGGTCACTGGGTCCTCTGATTCATAGACTGTCCGTTGTTTCGCCCCTCTATCATGGATAAGATCCCCTCGTATAACTGTTACGGATCCATTCGCAAACCCAACCGCGAGTTGTGAAAGGTCATCGAGCGCCGCAAAGGCTGAAATCTATTGGTGTCTGTCAGGGTCACGGCGGCAGTGGCATGATTTCCACAGAAACGGGAAGGGAGGCAAGACGTACCGGAAATGGTTTCCGGCCGTTCTGAATGCTCAGGGTAGACTGGCATGTCGGCAGACCAGTCTTCTTTACTGGCTTATCCAGCGCCCATACCTTGAGTATTGGTTCACTGGGTAGGTCTTCCTATAAGGCATGAGATATCATCCATTCATGTTACTGCAGGATGTACCAACGGATATAGTGACCAATAGGGACGTTCCCTCAACCTGCTTCATATGGGTGATAGACCCGGCATCATACGCCTGGAACGCCCGCAGGACCTTGAACGAGGGGGAGAGGATGCGGACCGCGCCGTCATGGCCACCCAGGAAGAGGCTCTCGGATCCGGAGCAAACGCAGCTGATCTCATTGCTGTCGAGGAAGGACTTGCTCTCGTCATCTGGCGGCTTCACCTGGGTAACCTCGAAGAAGTCGAACGTTTTCCACTAGATTGGTTTTAGGTTAGCAACAGGCGGGGGGTTGGGGGAAGCAATAGGTGGGAGCCGCGGTGCAGGCAGGGTAACTCACAGAGTTAAGGGCCATGATCCTCCTCTGTATGCCGTAGTCATTCTATGGCAAGTCAATTAGGATATTTGGAGAGGGGCCGTTGCCACGAGGGGGGAGCCCTAGCAGTAGGGGGCAATGTAGTTGAATTTGGTCGGCATACGCGGTTAATGATGGAGGTTTGACGTTCGTTGATATTGACATCGACACTGACGAGATTCGTGGGGACTCGGGAGCGGGAGCGGAAGGGCGTGTCTGGAAGCAGTCTAGTGCCAGCCTGATTGGAGTAATTAGTAAGGCAGGAGGGGTACAGAGGTACTTGGTACCTAGGTACATACGAGTTAGTACAAAGGCAGTGTTCGAAGTACATGTAAACAACCATAAAGGAGGCGCTCGACTACGACGACTTCGCATCTACTTCGCACTCAGGAGCTAGCTTATAGTGCTACTCTACCCACCTGCCTACCTCACTGCTACTCTACCATGGCTCGGTGGGCAGTAGCCCGGTGGAGACGGCGATGATAATGCATAGTTACTACTGCGCAGCACCTCCTGGACATTGGATGAAAGACCGCGGCGAAGGATCCACCACGGCTAATTTCTAATATCCTGATGTAAATCTGTCTGTTGGTAGCGGTACGAAGTACTTCAGGACGTCCTCCTACGCACTCCTATACCAATGCTGTCTCCAATCCTCATACTGCGGACCGCCAGCCTCCTAACCTCACTCTGTCCAGGCCCGCATATCCACCAACGCGCAAACAGCTTCAGCACCTGCGCCTCTCTGCATGGCGCGGGTACGAAGTATAACCTGGCCTGGCATGGCGAGAGGTAGTATGAGCCACGGAAGGTTATCCTCCCTCCATGAGAAACAAAAAATACAAAACACGTGGAAGTTCCAACCCTCAACTGTCGTGTTCCCATCCCCACTGACTTCCAAACGATCGCAATATGCTCGATGATCGAATTGACCGTCTGGGGCGGATGGGTGGACGCCCGCCATGAGGTGATTGGATCCCAGTTGGCAAATGCCCTTCGCGCCTCCACCGGCCCGCAGGACATTCGGCGCTGGCGCCCTGGGCGAGGTTGCTGTAGAAATATGCAGCAATACAGACGTGCAGATTTCTACAGCACCAGAGAACCAGAAACCAACAGTATCTCCCACCAGCCCTCCACTTCCTTCAGCACCCTCGGCCGCCAGCCCTGAAACCCCCACCGCCCCCGGAACCCTATTATCCCAGCAGGAATGCTTTGGAAGTCGGTGCCATCCAATTACTACTTGGGAACCCTATGAGAGGGGTACTGATACGACAACTTGATCCGTCGAGGTGTGCCGTCCGTTCCAACAACCATCTTACAGCTCCGGCAGTCGGGAGGCTGAGGCGCAGATGCAATGGCACCGAGGTTGTGCTACCATACTTATGTCAGAGTTGTGTGACTTGAGCCCATCGATGGGAGTGGAAGTATCGCTCCCAAGGCCCGGAATTCAAGATCAGAAGAGTAGTCTCTCCACCAAGTCAAGCCCGCCCCGCATTCCATAACCCATATGTCCCGGGGCAAGCTTCGCTGGAGTTCTACCCGGCGTCTTTTCGTTTGCTATTGGTCTGGACTAAGCGTTCCGGTGGTAGTACTTTACACATGCATGACAGCGAAGCCGGCTGCAAGTATTGTGGGTGCCATGCCAGTCTCGGGAACCGTTAGTCGTAGTCGACGATCTCCGCCAGGTAATCCCTTCGTGCCCTAAATGGCTTCTTCTTCAGGTTCGCTTGGGGAGGGGACTGCAGCCAGACAACCCTGGCGCCATTTTGGGTGTATACTCGATGCTTCCTAGAGTCCGGATATTGCCCGTTTGCAGTGACCGGGCACAGGGTCTAGTGGGGAATACATCTTCCTATCTCCGTCAATGTCACCTCGGGTTTCTCCTCGATAATCTAAGGGCAATCCTCTCACAAAGGTTTTAGCTCCACTACAGGGTCTGGTCAGAGTGTCAGCCTACTTCGTACTTCCCCATTGCTGGCGGACCAGCAGCGTTGGTCATTGTCCAACCATAGAAGATAGAGGTATGCAGTGGTCTTATCGATGATATCAGGGAGATTGCGTTATCCACAAGAGCAGAGCTTCATGATCCTGACATCTTCCGGCTTGAATCGATGGGAGGGCGACGTGGCAATGTAATGTGGTCTGGACGTGCCTGTGGTCTCCACCGTTTCCCTTCTCGGTTACCAAGTGCCCTGGAATGTAATGGACAAGGTAATGATGGATTGTCAGGATATATACCAAACTATGTCTGCAGAGAAGAATTGCCCACATGCTGTTGGCGTCCGGACCCTCGGGACCTTTCCAGCACGCCTGCATGGCCTCCCCCCTTTGTCTATTACTCCGTACTGTTTTCCGAGTCTTCGCTCTCCTAGGTAAGGTGTTGACTAACCTGTTACTTTTTGATTCACCATTCACTGCGGGGCTCTTTATTCGCCTTGATTTGACCTAATCACGCACCTTCCAGAGATTCACTGCTGCTATAACGTTCACTGAATCATCTTCATGTTCCTCAGCGGGGCATGGGACAACCCTGCCGACGCTAGTATCCAGGCAATCTATAAATACTAGGCCGCACCCTCCCTTCTCCACAAACAACCTTCCTCTCTCAACAACACCTGCCCATCAAGACCCTTAACTTTTGCTCATTATACCTCCCAATTTCTACCACCCCTTACTCAAGTGTCACTTCGGTCTCACAGTGCACCCTTCAGCATGGCTCCATCCGCTGTTGAAGTTTACCCAACCACCCGCATCCATGACTTGAAGGTCAAGGCCCAGGAGGTTGTCTCCCAGGCCACCGCTCCTGCCAAGCTCATCAAGCCGGCTATGCAACTTGCAGGTGCTCTTGACAAGTTTGAGTCCTTCGATATCACCCCAGTCATTGGCAAGGAGTTCCCTACTGCCAACCTTGCTGAATGGCTTGAGTCTCCTAACGCCGATGAGCTCATTCGCGATCTTGCCGTCACTGGTTAGTATAATGATATATATTTCCCGTCACCTCTACTCCAAACTTGACACCGTCTGCTGGTCTCAACTCTCTCTCAGCTCTGGTCTCTAACATCGTCCAGTCTCCCAGCGTGGTGTCGTCTTCTTCCGCAAGCAGGATGGCCTCACCAATGAGCTTCAGAAGAAGCTTTGCCAGAAGCTTGGTGAGTTGACTGGTAAGCCCGCCGACTCGTCGATGCACATTCACCCAATCTCCAACAAGTCGTTCCAATGCAACAAGGACGATGAGATTTCCGTGATCAGCAACGATCTTGCCACCAAGATCTTCTGTGACCGCAAGACTGAGCAGCACAAGAAGCAACAGTCTCTCAAGAAGGGCTGGCACTCTGATATCACTTTTGAGCCTGCCCCGTCCGACTATGCTATCTTGAAGCTCACCGACCTCCCTAGTCTCGGTGGTGGTAAGTGTTTATCTTCACAGCATCACCTGGAAATTGCTAATACGTCTTTAAGACACTCTCTGGGCTTCCGGTTACGAAGTTTATGATCGATTCTCCCCAGCCTACCAGAAGTTCCTGGATGGGCTCACGGCTACCTATGCCCAGCCCCTCTTCACCCAGGCTGCCAAAGACAAGAAGTTCAAGCTGTACGATGAGGCCCGTGGCAGCCCACTCAACGTCGGCACTGAGCTCAGCACCGAGCACCCAGTTATCCGCACCAACCCCGTCACCGGCTGGAAGACTGTTTTCGCTGTTGGCCACCACGTCCAGCACATCAACGGCTTGACTGACCGCGAAAGCTCCCACCTCCTTAACGAGTTTCTCCGCATGATCACTGAGAACCATGATCTGCAATGCCGCTTCAAGTGGAACAACCAGAACGACCTTGGTAAATTCCCACACCTTCACTTTTAGACTTTACAAAGGACTAACGCGTGGCACAGCTATCTGGGACAACCGCTCCACTTACCATGCTGCTACTTATGACTATGATGGTATGGGCCTTCGCACTGGTCAACGCTGCGTCGGCATTGGTGAGCGCCCATATTTCGACCCTGCCTCCAAGAGCAAGCGTGAGGCCGAGGGTGAGGAGTATCTGGAGCCGGGTGAGGGCTTCACCGTCTTCTAAACTCTTTCATGACCTGCGAACCAATTGCGGATCTGACTGCATTTGTGGCGTCGATCTCGTATGGGATAGCATATGAATGAAAGGCTAGGTGGAACTTGGGTTCATACTGGTTCCTTTAGTTCCTTTGGCGTTACAGTGAATGGTGCTTTCTTTATTTTATTAAGCTAAATGGGTTTTACCTTGGGATGCTTGCGGGACTTTAACTACTTGATTGCGTTTGGGAGGGAGCGTGCCTTATCAAACTGAGCCCATTACAACTACATACATACCTAGAGGAGAATCAATGACTTTCCCACCAATAGTTCGCTGCCATTCATGTGATTCACTTGGCTGCAATTTTATCGCTGTGGCTTGCCGGTCAATAAAACAACGCACGGGATATTCCAACCTCTAAGGGGGACTTTGCCCCCTACCCAAGTGCTACTAGTACTAAGCCATACCAATGAGCAGACTTAATTATCAATTGAGAAGCACTGTCACATGTAATCAGCCCAAACCCTCTGTCTACCCCTCTCCTTACAGGCACCTGCATTCCCAGGTATGCGAGGGCGGGCTGTTGAGCTCTTGGCCTCTTTGTGTAAAGTGGCATATATGACGTCCACTTCAGACAAAATGGTAAGAGCATTTCTAATCCAAAAGGTAGGAGCCACTCAGATAAGATAATAAATGTGGCTCATTCTTAAGATTTGGCCGATGTAACAGCGGCAGGTCAATATATTATAGAAGGGTTAGTTGGGTTAGTTGAGGGTTGACGTGGTGGTCATGGTATAAGCCACTTTAGACAAAGGAGCTAGGAGCTCAATGGCCCCTCCCGCATGCCGGGCGGCACAGGTGCCGGCAAGGAGATGTGTGGCAGACGGGGAGGAATATATCACATATCTGAAGTAATCTAGATGGGGTATATAATAACGAGCCTTCAATTTACCCAGAGAATCGCACTACTGCAGCTCGCAAGCTCGCGGGCCGTAACTGTGCGATTCTACCTGGGGAAGGCTCGCCCTGCGGGGCCTGTAGAATACTGGGTGGCGGGTGACCAAGCGTAGTATAGCTAATTACTATGATTATAATAAGAGCTATACTTATAATAGCTATACATATTAACTACTACGTACGACCAGCCAGGGGCTTTGAGAGTTATAGTCTAGCGTAGGCTTACCTACCTATACACCGGAACAGCCTCTTCTACTGTACTTTGCAAGGGCTTACTTACCTTAGTAATATAGTTGAAGTACGGGTCTATACGACGTGTAGGGCTAGCCGGCCAGCGAGCCAGCCTACCTGCCAGCTTGCGAGCCTCAATTACCTATACTCCGATGTACCAGAGAAGACTCTGCCCCTATAATTTATATAGCAGTAGCTTGCCTTGGTTATATAGTTAAAATGCAACGCGTATAGCTTGCTTGCTGCCGTACAGCTTGCCTGCCACCGTGGAGCCTGCCTGACTGCCTACCTGCCAGCTTGCGCACCTCAATTGCCTGTATTCTTGTGTGCTAGATCAGCCTCTGCTACTATAATTTATATAGGAGGAGCCTGCCTTGGTTATATAGTTGAAATATAGCGTATATAGCTAACCTACGAGCGTATAGAAGCACCGGCTTGCTTGCCTGCCTACCTATATACCGGGGCAGTTGCTACTACAGTAATGCATAAGGGAGCTACTTGCCTCTATTATACACCCAAAATCATACGCTATATAGTAAGCCAGCCTGCGCATAGTAATTACTACCTACCTATATATATATATATATAGTCTGTATAAGGGCTGTAGAGAGGAAGATAACAAAGCTCCTGAATAGGGGGCACGGGCTATAGTGTATTATTAGGCGACTTTAGTCCAAAACTCTTTTCGCTAAGAAATATTAGGCGCCTACCTACAGCTATTACCTACCGTATATATATCTCCGATATTGAGCTTCTATACTATTTCTATACAAGCTAGATAGTATAAATATCTCAATTCGGCTAGATATTCATATAACGTAAATATCCTAATTTCGGTGAGATATTTATATAACTTGAATAGCTGAATTTCAGTGAAATATTTACACAACCTGAATAGCTTTAACCAGGCCTGTGGAGATGATATTCATATCTGATCCTTGATCAGTTTGTGAGACCTATAGCGGGATTTCTACTGGGACCTCTATTCTATCCCTAGTAGATTTGACTGTGGCCGGGACTCGGAATGATTTCTGATCCGAGCTCACGATTGGCATCATCTTGCTCATTACAGCTTGCTCCTGTCTCTTGAATCTGGTAGCTATCTCCTTTGCCTTTGACTGCAGTTTGAGTCTGCTATTTTGGACTGGGATATTGACGAATCTGCAGTGACCTTTTTCTTTCCTTTCTCCTTATTATTCACCCTAGTATAGAAAACGCTCTGAATGCCTTTGATAGACTCGGGCTGATCTGGAACAGGCCAAAAAGATTCATCGGGACCTGGAGCCTCTTCGCAAGCTCGTTGTACTCAATTGGACCATGCCCTTCACAGCTAACGATCTCGCGAAGCTGGTGAATAGCTTTGACTAATTGTGGCCTTGGCAGATGTCTCCGGGGCATCGATATTCAATACTTCAATTTATTTATATAGCTTGAATATCCCAATTTCGGTAAGTAACTGATTTCGAGTCGAATTTGATTGATCTGATGGATTTATTGAGTTGTACTCGATGCGGAAGCAAAAGGAGGGCCTATAACCTGGTGGAAGTAGCCAGGTATGGGGAGAGCTTGTATTGAGAGTGCTCTGGAGAGGTAAACTCTCCAGGGATTGAAAGGGCTAAATACAGTGTGGGGAGCTAAGCTCGAAGAGCAAGACAGTGAATCTCTGACAATGATAATTCTGATTGTAGGAAAGTAAAACAATGCAGCAAGGTATCACATACTAAAGCGCCCGAAGTCAAACCCATAGCGTAACGTACAATTTGGCCCCGTCTCCGCCAAACAACTCGGATGAGCAACAAAGGAAAAAAGGATGCTTGTTGGACGGCCGACTTCATTTACTTCTGAGCGCTTGTCCCGTTCGAACCCATTCCCTGAATCGGCTTTCCACTAACCTCCCTCTCAGAAATATCTCCGGCCAACTTTCCGAACTGCCACTCCGGGAGCGTGATTCCAGTCTGTTCATTAATCGTACTCATCAATGGGGGAAGCATCTGGTACATATTCCTGATCTGGTCTACGCCGCCCATCGACGATCCCTCGCCCGGCTTGCCACCTTCGCTCCCAGCCTGAGCTCCGGTATTCCAAATCGTCATCTTGGGATTGAGGCCACGGATAGCGTCAGCATTGGCATGTGCAAGTTGGGTGTAGACGCCCTTCTCGATCATGAGATATTGGATCAGGCCTGCAGGACCGCCGAAAGCGAGAGAGAGATCGGAATATGCGCCTGCCATGGCGGATATACCAGCTGCTTCCTTTTGCTGCTGGACAAGATGGGCCTCTGCCTCCTTGGTCGTGGCATAGAATTTTGCCTCGGCTTCCTTGTGGAGCTTGTAGGCTGCGGCGTCAGCAGCTTGCTGCTCACTGAAGAAGCTGGCTTTGGCCTGGGCTTGCTCCTCGTAGGCTTTTGCGTCGGCAGCTTGTTGTTTAGATTCTCGGGCGATAGTAGCCTTAACAACGTCGCTAGCTCGGAGTCTTTCAAGTTCGGTGAAGGCACGCTTGACCTCGACCTCTTTTCTGAGCTCCTCGTCACGGGATTCGGTGGCACGAGTGGCTTCGATTTGGGCGATGTTTACGTCGCGATTGAAGACGGTCTTGCGAGTTGCAAGGGTTGCTTCTGCCTGGGCACGCTCAGAGTCTCGCTCGGTCTTTTGAACAGCGGTTTCGGCTAGAGAGGGATATCAGCAGCTATTCTAGAAAGATAGTCTTTGAGTGGAAGGATATGGCTATGTGTTCAGAAGTCGAGAGACCCTTTCCCGAAGCCATGTATCCAGAAAGACCATAAAGGAGAGACCTCCTCTATTTACTTACCGTTAATCTTAGCAATTTCACGGTTTTGCTCTCCCTGTCGTTGAGCTTCTCCCACGTTACCGCGTCTTTGAGCCTCGGCAACATCAATACGAGCTTGATTGATAGCACCTTCATGAGCTTTCCTTGACAAAGACTCAAAATAACTCGATTGTGGGGCATCCCTCAACTCCTTCACATTGGCGTTATAGATCTTCAGCCCAAACTGGCCCAGTTCGCTCTGAATATTCCGGAAAATGCGCTTCTTGAATTCCTCGCGGGCTGTAAAGATTTCCTCGATTGTAAGAGAGCTGACAAGCACACGGGTCTCTCCCTCAATGATACCCTTGACGATATTCTCGATATGCTGGCCTGGGCTGACGCCCTTGGTGGCCTCGCCTTCAGCAAGCAACATGGCGTATTTCAGCAAGGCATCTCCACGATCATCTGGATCAGGCGCGTGTTCATCTCCAGATGCATCTCGGGTTGCATGTCCGTCAATGACGCCTTTTTGGTTCACGTAGGGGCCCACGGTGAAGACAACTGGAAGAAGGAATTGCAACTTCTCCCTGGTCATCGTCTGGAGGTTTAAATTGTAATCACGGGGCTGAATGCTAAACCGTTGACACTGCTTTATTGTCAGACCTGAAATATTAGATAAGGGAGCGGGGAGGGAGACGGACTCTTTGAAATGGCCAAACCCAGGCGCTCTTGGTAATCTTCACTGTTCGAACACCTGCACCGGTAATTGCCAGATACTCATCTGGGCTGGCGATTGTGTAAACCATTTTGAGAGATTAATTTGGTAGTGTATTTGTTTTGTGTTGGGTATTGGCACGGTTGATATATCAAGGTGCTTGATATCAGGATGTTTGATATCAGGATGTTTGATATCAGGATGTTTGATATCAGGATGTTTGATATCAGGATGTTTGATATCAGGATGTTTGATATCANTATCAGGATGTTTGATATCAGGATGTTTGATATCAGGATGTTTGATATCAGGATGTTTGATATCAGGATGTTTGATATCAGGATGTTTGATATCAAGCTATCTATTAATATCCAGGTGATTCAAGAGCGACGAAACTAATAGAATGAGTCACGACACGTCGATTGGTGTGAATGTTGTGGTTGTGGTTGGCGAGCTGACTTTATAGGTGTGCCGAGAGCGAAATGTGGCAGTGCTGTTTTAAAGTCAAAGGGCTTGGGGAAGCGGCGTCCCACGATCTGCACCTCTTGGATTGGGATCGGCCTGGATCATAGGGTTAGCTTAGAGGGCTCAAAGGCGCATATAATCTTGCGATTCCAGAATGAAATCATAATCCAGGGCATATACCTACTTGTGCGTCTAACTGGCGTTGAAGGCAAGGAGTTGCCTATGTAGCTCAAATCTCAAATTCCCTCAGCTTGGGGGTTCTTAGTGACCGAGAAAATGGATGGACGGAGACTCCAATGTGAAGTCAAATTGTTTAGTGGATTGGTTTTGAGCATTGTCCGAGGCGGGCTGATAACTGGTTCTTATATCATTCAGGTAAGGCTGCAGTGCCGCAGGGAGGCGGCAGGACAAGTAATCACGGGGCGAAATTCAACCTTACCTGTCCTCCTACATCGCCATTATTGGCAGTATTGGCAGTATTGGCATTAGGTCAAACATCCTAGGCAGCAAAAAGGTTACATGTACCACGGAGTAGTGCGGGAGGTTAATATGGGGTATCGGGCGTTGGAGCATCAATCAAGCATGAAAGGAAGCGGTGCCGAACTCCAGAGTCCGGACAATGAGGCATTATCAGCCCTCATGACAGCATGCCAATCTCTTACTCGTCTGCACAGCCCTTCTCGCCGAATCTCTGGATGCCACGCCTTACCCATTACCCAGCCAGGTGGGATTGGTTAGGCCCTACAACTGAAGGCCACGGGCAATAACAATAGGGCATTGCAACGATTTTTGCGACCATTGGCACCTTGTGAACTGGTGAACTGGTGAGCTTGGACGCCTGCGTTTGTTTGTTCAGGCTTCAGCCACGCTTCTAGCGTGCTTCGAGAAGCCAAAGCGTAGCAAACCTAATACTCCGTAAAGCTAATAAAGCTAATAACGCTAATAATGACCTACTTGGTACATAGCGCGTTATACTACGTACATGTATCTCCACCGCTCTCCCAAGCTGCGATATACTTCCTTCCAGGCATACAGTAATACGGTATCAAGTGCTTGATATCGGCTTTGTGGAGAGGAGTTTCCTGGCTGTGCTAATTAGGATCGTCTCGGCTTTCCCCCCTTCAGTGCGAGGAGTTCATTCTAGCGACTTTCGCAGTTATTAGGCAACGACCACCGCGACCATTCGCACATCTACACAGCCCCCTACAGTGCCGTCACTGCCGACACTATTATGTCTAGCAGGAGTCCCACAGGCCAAATCAACAACGGTACTTCACGCCGAGTGTACCTAGGTACGTACGGAGTATAGTACCGTACAGCTTCTAACAGATGTGACTTTTATTACACACGTTGACCTCGAGATCTACGCCCAGCGCTAGCTATTTGCACTATCGCAACAACGCTTGAGCTTCTCGACATCGTCCCCAGACTCCGTGCTTCGTAAAACGCCGCCTCTTATCAGCCGCAAAGCCTCACGACCTCATCCTTACATCGTGCGTCAGATTTGGTCCCTGACACGACCTGTATCTCGCCCGGCTTGAGCGGGAGTGGACTCAGGACTCAGGACCGCCCAGTATTGAGGCATATTTCATGAACGTCAGAGCTGTCGCCTAGGCCGTGGGATTGGGTTTCGGAGTGCTGAGTCTGTTGACATTGCCACACTGACCCAGCATTCCGATCCCATTATTGTCGAGACGAGGTGAGGTGATCAACGATCCTGGATCCCTCATCCTGCTGTATCTCCGTCTTTCAAACCTCGTCATAAGGTATTCTCGGTCATCGCACCTATCAGGCGACCCCATTTCTATCTCCTTGGCCGCCGTCATCATCTCCTCTATGAACCACGAAACAGCGTTCTCAATTACCTTTTGCTTGATCCGTCAAGCTTACACCTCAGCAACGCACGCAGTTGCGCCTGGCCCTCTCCAACATCTCCCAACATCTCCATCCAAACCCGTATCCTAAATCCCCTTCTCAGCCATGGACGCCAAGAATCCTTTCCCTCCCCCATCTTCAGAACCTGATGCTCCACCACCCTCCTACAGCGAAATTGGCTCTCCCAGCAGCGGCAGTTCGAGCTATTACTCGTCCCAGATCAACTCCCAGCTCGCTAGCCTAACAACCCAAATATCCACCCAACAAACCCAAGCCACCCTCCTTTCGCACGCCCACAGCGAACACGTGCTCTCCCTTCTCACTTATGAAATCCAGGATTACCTATCCACATTCGCTCGCTCCGGCCGTCGAAGAGGGACATTAATCCTAATCCCCGCAGCTGGGGTAACAGATGAGAAAGCCGTACCGGCCGCTTTTGATTGTAGTAATCCGGATGAGGGGACGTGTGATGTTGTTGTGAGGGTAAAGGGGAAGGGAGATGCGGACGAGATGTGGTATTGGAGGGACGAGGAAATGGCGGAGAGACTTGCCGCCTGTCTAAGACCTCCACCACCGCCGCCATCTGAGAGGGGTTTGCCGCCGAGGAAGGAACAAGTTGCCCAGCAGCAGCAGCCACAGCAGTCGACGAGGGGATTATGGGGCCGTGCCAAGTCCGCTGTGAAAACAGCAGCGATGAACGAAATGGGGAATTATGAGGTTGGTCGGGATGTTAAAACGGCGCCCCCTGGTCCGAGGGAGGATAAAGTTATCATGGACGTGAAGGCAGAGGAGGTTTTATTTCGAACAGAGAATGATTTTGGAATTTTTGGGAGCGAGACCGGTTGGGGGATTGTAGTAAGACTTAAGGTTATCCGGGGCGGGCCCTAACAAGATGGAGGTAGGACACGATAGATGCGGCTGGAGATGGGGGATGGTTATTCCTGGCGACGGGGGTTTCAATCGTGATGCGCCACATAATAATGGAAGGCTCGCCATAACATGATGAGCACGCCGGAAAATTTAACAAGTTCATCAAGGAACTAATAGCAAGTCATTCACATGTTGTTCTGCGGCAGCCCTTGGACGACCAGGCTATAGAATACGAGGTTAAACCCTTAAAAGCTCATCAGGATTCCCCCAGGGAGCCGAGGAATTTACGGTGAAGTTCGAAAAACTACCGAGAAAGCTGCCGACGAAGATGTGGAAGGGCTTACACCGAGATGCTACAGACGTTCTAGGTGAGCTTATACAACGCTACGTTTGCGGAAGCTTACATACCTAGATGGAGACATTTAGATAGATAGAAGATGTCAGTCAAGTAATTCCAGTTTGTTAAACCAATTCTATCTGTCAACCTTGAGCTCGTGCACCAAATCAAGCTCCTTTAAAAGTCTCGCGGCAGGACCCCTTCGAAGATATCTCCGTCCTTCAAATTCTTCACAGCTGTGCCCCGTTGTGGATACTATAAGGTGCTAGCTCACCGATGTCGGCAGTCTTCCCATCTTCAGAGTCAGAGGCAGTGTTTGCTTAAACTCAGCAAAGGCACTGGGCAGGTTATCTTGACTTGGTTAGGAGAGCTCGTCGGCGTCAGGTAGGTGATCTTCGGATTCGCTCATCCTCGAGGTGTTGTAAGGTGATGTTGAGTAACTCGTCTACAATGATCTTGCTCTTTACTCAAGAGTAACATAACAGGATCTCAGATCAGAAGGCGAAGGTGAAATTGTTAACAAAGCTAAGTACGCAGAGATCGATTTATGTTACAGGGTGAATTGAGGAAAGTTAAAGCCTTCTCCACGACTCCCGACGCCTCCCGATCCGTACGGTATATGATTGTCCTCTTCGAACCCCTAACTTCGAAGCTCTTAAAGGTTCTTTTCAAAACAAGTCTCTATAAATGTAAGAAAACAGTTTTCTTCTTACGGTCTCCAACAGCAGTTGCTTAAGGATTTAGATACTTTAGGTATACATCTAATCCCGTGCGTGATTTCGACATATATTCTATCATTGCCTTACTATGTCTTATGTTTTGCAGTGGTAGTTCCTCCAGTGTGATTTCCTGGGATCCAACCCAAGCAAGGTAGACTTCCTACTTACCAGTATTTTGCTTCAGCTAAAGGAAACTCGTTTGCTAGGAGCTTGTTAGAAGTTTTTCTATCGTCTGAAACTCCACAAGTGATGAGCTCGTTCTACAATAGGGGTTAGAAATAAGTGACATTCCGAATCTTCATGTAAGGAGTGAATAACTTCCCAAAATTTCCAGGTGGAAGGTGATTGCATTCGCGACCGCTCCTGTATTTTCGCAGGCAATTCTCTCATTCTCACAACCACCCCACTTCCTTACCCTTCCACCAAGCCGAATCTCAAAGTCGAATCTCAAAGCAGAATCTCGAAATGGATCACATCCTATCAAGAGTGGTTTTATTCGCCTTCGATAGACACCACTACGAAGATCAAGACTATCACGGACACAAGGACAAATTCATGGAACTCAGGTCCCAACTTGAATCCAAAGCGCTCGTCGTTCAAGTACTGTGCAACGCGGACGCCGCCGATTTCATGTCTTCGGAATTTCAGCTCGAGGGCGTCAAAGCAATCATCCTCACTGATCCCAGAATGACGAAGTATCCCGCTATCGCTCCTATCATCGTCAAACTAGTGGCTTGGGTACGCGCTGGCGGCACGCTCATCATGAGCTCTCTCTTCAGCACCATGGTCGAGCCTATCAATTTCGAAAAGTTCATCAGAAACGCGTGGGGTTTACCGTGGAAATATGTGGATTATAGCGAGCACCTTTGCATTCCTAATCTAGGCCATCCGGAGAGATATTGGGAGGGTCCGTATGCCATTAAGCCTTACAAAATGATGGCTGCTTTCCTCGAGGATGTTGATATGGAGGATCGTGTGTTTGTGAGGGAGGATGATGAGACTGATGATAAGGCTGCGGCGGTCATCCTTAAGCCGTTTGGAGAGGGTCGCTTGGGATGGATCGGTGATGTTAATAACGAAGTGGGCTCAATGCAGGTCCTGCTTGCAATGTGCAGGCTGTGAAGGGTAGAGGCTCGAGATACTAGAATGCTGGGTGAGCAGGGTCAATTCCCTCAGGTCTAAAGATGACAATATTAACTGAATTTGAGGGCGTTTGTTGGAAACCTCTTTGCCAGTCTTCTCATTCTTCCTTCCTCCGAGGAGTCGGCTGAACTCTTTTGCTTCTGGGGTATGTGAAATGTGATAATCAATCTTTTTGCTATTTTTTCTGAATCCTGCCTTTATGAGTGATGCTGAGATTTTTTAATTCACCTACTGTGGGTCGTGAGTAGGCGAGAGAGTTTTGCGCGCTCGAATTGCCTCTCTTAGACTGGAGCAATTGGAATTATAGCAGCTCATTTACTATCACCACCACATTCTCCGACATATTTTCTCTTATTTTAGACCAATTCCTTTTTCTTTCTTATAAAGTCAGGATATCAATTTTGCTTTTATAATGATGTCCGATCTCTTGCTTCGTAGAGGCTGCGGAGACCAACTTTTAGGGAGACGGGTTCGGCTACTTGAGGAACGAAATAGGGGGGATGGAGGCCCACTTTCTAAGGCCACAAGTCCTTGCGCCCCAAATTCAAGGCCACAACAAAAATATATCCTAGCTCATCCTCCGGAGATCACCAACCTCACTCCACGCATCCCGCTTTAACATCCTCCGATTCATTCGCCTTCTCTACAGTGCCATCATGGCGAAAAAACGTACGCCTCTCAATTCCCTTTTCGCTCCCCTATATCTCGACCCTAAAGCTAACATCGCAACCTCTAGCCAAGTCCCGTACCATCGCGGTGCGCCTCGTCTCGATGGCTCTCACAGGCTACTATAAGACCTTGATGCGACCGCGTACCCATCGACCACTCAGCATGCTAAAATACGATCCTGTCGGTATGTTCAGATCTCGATATCTTACTTTACACTGTGCAATTGGGATGGCTCGAGGGTCGATACGGGTGGTTGGATAATGGGCGAAAGAATTTGGATGCCGAGATGGAGGAATAGAGAGAAAGCCTAAAAGGAGCGGAGATGGCCGAGAGATGTACAGCGCTTGCGGATTGTGATTTGTGGGCGTGTTGTGTGGAAGAACATACACAGGATTGATCTGGAGGCTGTTTTCATATATCAAAGACGACGGACAGCCTCGCTCGATGGCTAAACTACAGACCTGCTGTGGGAATCAATCGCTAACTGATCCCTCTATAGTCCGGAAGAAAGTTTTATTTCTCGAACAAAAGCGCGGCGGCAAATAAATTGGGCAATTCTACGCGCCCACCCTGAGACTGCAACACAGGGGCACAGGCTAGAGAGCGGCCACACGGGTGAAGGATCGAGAAAACCACCTCATTCTAGGTGGCGGTCTGGTCTCTTGGTATTGTGTATGAGTAGGCCGGATGACGATACATGGATCGGCGTTTAGGTTTGGGAAGTCATTGTACAGTACAAAGCTTTGGTGTTGAGATATTGAGCTTTTTATAGAGCGGGCACCGGGTTCTATAGTTGGAATGATGTAGATAATCTGCATCAGTAGTTGTGGGCCAATACAATACACGCACCTTCAATCCGCGTGCATTATATCCTGTCAAAATCCTCTGATTGCTAGAAGTTAGATGCAAAAGCACAGGTAAATACATTTTCGCAACTACCTCAGGCTAGTACAGAAATAATTAGTGCGGCATTCATAGAGCGTGTGAGCTAAGCTAAGCAAATACAAAGTACATCAAAGCAAGATATCAATATTAGCACTTTGATATTTGCATGCAAGACTTCGGAAAATCTCCCGTGGCCTGTAAGTTATAGAACAACTACCCTTTAACTATAGCGCCATAGTTAGAGGGATAACAAACGCAATTTATCGACAGAATTTAACGTATCCCCCAACCGCTCACACTCAGAATAGGAAAATGATTGGAATGAATTGGTTCAATTCCAGGGAATTAGGACTGATGCACAAGACCGCCAATGGGTAGCGAAATCCTTGGAACCTTGGATGGTCTGTCGGAAGCATCTGTCTCTGATTGTCTTTTGGCTCTATTACTCCTGTTGCGACGAGGTACTCCAGCCATGGGAGACTGCTGAGGTATGGCAGGGTGATGGGTGTAGATTGAGGTGGAGGTGCTGGATTTGCCATGGTTGCCTTCCACAACGCGCTTGTACGAACGGCCTTTGTTGATGTTTTGTCCAACAACCTTGTTCTGTGATGTGGGATTTGGTAGTAGAGGCTGGAGCTTGGGGATCTCATAAGGATCTTTAACGGCACTAGCACTCGATTCATTAATGGTAGGACCCCAGGGGTTCGACTTCAAAGCGCTCTTCAGATTTAATTTCTGGCGATGGTTCGGCTCGCTGCGTTTGGCTTGTTTCCCCTGAGCTTGGGTAGCCTTTCCAGGTGTTATGAGTGCCTGAGATGTAGAAGAATTTACTCTTTGACTTTCTGGATTTGGATTTGTAGCTGTGGTCCAGGTATGCGATCTAGGGGTTCCCTTGTTGTGCCCCCAATCAGACGCATGCCCATCCGCTCGTTCCAAATCATGCATCCTATCTTCAAGATCTGACAAAGGGCTCATAGTTGAAATAGTAGATCCCGCTGCTGAGGGTGGTCTCATTATTGGCATTGTCTGAGTTGACGAAGGCAATGTTTGATCGAGAGCCGGTCGCTGTACCCGTTCTTGTGTTGCTAGTCGGCTAAAAGGCCCAACATCTACATCATTATATGACGTGGTAATTTCTCTCTCCTTGGTCGACGGATCATGGAAACTGGTACTCTGGCGCCCATTTCCCAGAATTAACGTAGTGCCTCGCTGCTGAAACTGAGATTGGCTGTCTTGTACCTCCCGAGTAGTTACCTTAGACTCTTTAGGTTGGCATGTCAATCGGCTACTGATGCTTTTTCTATTAGATGCCTTCCTCGTAGATGGCTTAGATGTGAGCTCTTGCGGCCGCTGGAAGTTGGTTTCCGGCCATAGGGATAGCTCAGTATCTTGCGAGAGTTGAGTTTCAGGGATTTCATTGAGCGGACTAGATTGCTGAGTTTCAGGAATTTCATTAGGCTGGCAGGATTGTTCTAAATTTCCCCAGCTAGAAGGGTGCTGTGGCGGTGAAGTTGGGTGAGGAGATCCTTGGTGGGATTTTAAGTCTGACTGAAGCTTCCTGTTTACAGCAGTGCGAAGAGCACGCTTCGGACACCCAAGATTCGGGTTGAGAATTGCATCATCTTCCGCATGAGCCTGAGATCGCGGAGACAAGGAGTCTGTTGGCGATGATGGTAGATTGACAGCAGCCTTTTGATTTGGAATCATAGGTGGTAAGATGCTCTGGAGCGCCTTCCGTTGGGATCGCGACTGGATAGAGCCGACCTGGCTATTATACCTGGCAGGCGGGGGAATCTTGGTATTGCCATATGGCATGTGGATTTGGTTGCTTTGGACTTGTAGTTCAGCGATCTGTTTCCAGAGCGAAGCATTGTCGTCCTCTGATTTCCGAATGTCGTCGCCAAGTTTTAAATGGGCAGTCGACAGAGTTTCGATGTCTTTATCAGTACTATCTCTTATTTCAATAACTCGAGTAGCGAGCTTCCGAACGTCGTCGCCAACCGATCCAAGTTCGATTATCCGTTTCTGAGTGTCAGAGTCTACGCATAGAGTCTCCAATCTTTCTTGGGATTCTACGATTTTGAGCACCTGCGCCTCGAGCAACGCCCTCTCGGATTGGTGCGCGTCGGTATTATTAGCTAAAAGTTCGTTCTCGACTCTAAGCTTTTGTAGCTCTTCCCTGATAGACTTCAACTGTGTATCCTTATCCGCGCACATATCTCTTAGATTTTTTGTAGTTGAACTGAGCTTGAGCAGCTTTTCATCGTCTACCGTTTTGGCTCTCTTAGCATGTCCCACTTCCGCTGTTAGAGCTGCCTGAAGTTCTTTCTTCTCCTTTTCGAGATGTTGCATCTGGTTTCCTGCTTCCTTGAGTTCTTCTCGAATCCACCTCAGTTCCTCCTCAATTTTAAATACATCTTCAGTTCTAGAGTTTAACTGATCATGGAGGCCGGAGTTCGCACTTTCCAGCTCCTGAATTTTAGTGACATGTCGCGGGTCTTCTTTTGGGAGAGCAAGGTGGACCGCAAGATCGTGCGATTTTACCGATAATTGATCACGACAATTGCTAAAGTCTTGCCGCATCTCGTCTAACTGCCGGGCCAAACTTTGGAGATCCCGTTCATAGCCACTATTATCAGCTTCTAGGGCCGCATTGGACTCGCGTAGCTTGGAAATCTGGGCGTTGAAGGCATTTTGAGCCTGAGTGTCGCCTTGTAATTGGTGGACCAGCACCTTCAAATCCTCAAATTCTTTGAGGATACACTCTTGTCGAGCACCTTTATTATTATCCGAAGCTTGTAGTTCACTTAAAAGTCTGCATAGAAGTACAACTGTTAGCAACTAGAGAGCATGCTTTGTGACATAATGGGAAATGCTTTCCTATCGAATAAATCATGGATTAAGGCTATCAATGACGACGGTGGCTCTGGCTCATGATCATTCAGGTCTTCGATAACAGTAGTGAGCTCATCAAGCCTTGAGTAAATTAGCATCTATAACAAATTGGCCGTTACTCAAATTACTGGACTGGACTTACTTAACATGTGTTATGTTTGTTAAAGCCAAAACCTGCCCCAAAACAGTTTCATTTCCTGTTAATTGATGGGCAACATCTACTGGAATCTTCCGTAAAAGCTCAGCAAGTTCCCTGTGCGCTTTCAACTGGCCTGAGAGTTGTAGGTGAAGCTGTTCGGAATGGTGTTGCTCCCGGGACAGTTCTATAAGATTTTTCTGGAGGTCTTCTTTTAGGAGGTCATTTGTCCTCAAAGCTGTTCAAAGTTAGAGTGACAGTAGTTAGCAAGCTATAGGTGGCGTACCATCTACTAATTTAACCGAAAGCTGCTCTTTCTCGGTTGAAACTGTATATGTCAGAATTTGAAATTTTTCTAATCAGCGAAGTGACTTGCCTAATACAAGCTTCTTTGCTATCTCTTCTGTCCTTTTTTGCGTGCTAAGCAGCAAAGATTTCTCGTCAGCTACCGATTTGTCCACTTCTAGCCGCGTTTCTTTAATGGCCTTGAGTGCATCCGTGATCTTCGTGGTGGCAGCTTCATTTATAGAATAGGCAGTCTGATGTGCAGCATAGGTAGCAATGGCCTGCGATGAAACTTTTCGCATGTCCTTTGCCTGAGTTACTAGCATTTCCTGGCACTGTACGACTTTGTTCATGTGTTCCTTATACTTCGAGCCGAGTTCCGTGCATTTTCGAGCCCTCTCCTCCAGGGCAAGATTCGCTGCTTCTAGTGATTCGGATCTTTTTCTAAGTTCATCTTCTGAGCGCTTGAGCTTCTCAATGTCTTTCTCTTGCGACTCGATATACGCATCCTTGGCTTGGTAGTCCTCCGCTATTGTCTTGTATTTCATTACTTCTTCTAAGAAGGAAGGGTATCGAGCAATCATTTCGGCTCGTTCCTGATTCCAAAGGGTAGATTTTCCGCCGGTTGAATTAGAAAGTAGCGTGCGAGTCGCATGGTGCTTGTCTGTCGGCCTTCCGACTTTGGCTGCATGATGGGAATGACGAGTGGGGGAGTCAATAGTACTTTGTGGTAAAAGGTCTCTAGGATTTAGAGGCCTGGTTATAGCAACTCGAATATTACTGGCTGACTGTGGACGAGACTGCGTCCCACATGAAATCTGCGATGGAAGTTGGGATTCTGGGTGCAGATACGGAGGATGAGTGAAGTCCGGGCAATGATCTCTCGTGGAGTTTCGCGATAATGGCCTACTATTCATGGGGAGCTCATCTTGATGCAAAATAATATCGCGGGACTTGTTTGATTGGTGATTGGTCTCTAACGCTTTCGGGACATGATCGGGAAAGGAGTTTCGAGTCGAGCTGCGACCAGTCTCTAGCAGACCTGGGTGATGTCTAGCGACGTTATGGGGTTGGCTAGATAGACCGGCGCCAAAGTGCACATCTAATGAAGGGTTTAGATGCGCAGACACATCTGAAGTGTGGTTGTCCGAGTTCACTAGCTGATCTGGATGCCTTGTGGGCGTTTCAATGGACTGATCAAACTGACTAATGTTTGCCACCTCTGGAAATGGATGCCTTCGAGTTTTAGATCTCTGAGTGTTTGCATCTTCCGAAAAGGAATGTTGCCTAAGTTTAGGTCTCCGAGACACGACTGACGCCCCTTTCTTCTTCTGGTTGAAGCCAATATCTTCAACTCTTGTCCCTGGATCTAGATCTACCGCTGAGTTTGACTTGGTGAGTGGCTCTGGCCGTACGGTTTGTGCTAAAGACTTCTCAACAGCAGCTACTGATCGGGAATCCGGGCGTGGACGAGGAGCTTCGGCACGGATGATGTTGATCGGCTGATGGACAGGCACCGAATCAGCGACCCTGTCAATATGATGCCGATCAAGTGTTTCTTTCTGTGGTCTGCCGTAGCTAAAACGACCGATTGCGGGTTTGGCTGGTAGGCCAAACCTGAAGCCCTGAGATATGTCGTCGGTGGTACCTGGTTCGGGCCGCATGATGGGACGATAGAAGCTGCTCTCCTGGACTTGAGATTCAAGCTCTATGGCGACGAACTGAGTCTCGTCCACCCGGTATCTTAGACTATTATGTTCCTCGTCAAGGTCATTCGGGCTAGGCGCAGTATCATCCCCATCAAGCTCCGTGTCATCTGACGGTGGGTTGTGGAGCCGAGCCACGATTTGACTCTCTTGCTCTTCCGGGTCTAGCATCTTGAATCGTAACTAGCGGCACAAGCTTGTCAGAAATTCAATACGTTGTATCATTTTGTAGGATTTCATCACCTACCCGCCTTGTCAGTTATTCAGAAGCGGATACCTAGCTCGGCCCCCGTTGCAGGCATACGACACAAGTACACCTAGATAGTTTGCAAATGGTCGCCAAGGGATGGGGACTGATAATACTTTTCGGGCGCCTGCCTCTATCTCCAGGAACTGGGAGTCTTGGGAATGCCGGAGTCTACCTTACTCGATGCGGCTGTGATTATCGACAACATATGAGAAAAAGGAAGATGAAGATAGTGAAGAACCCCGAAGAGATAAAGTCTGACGGTTTGAAAATAGAGAAGAGAGAGAAGTGAGAAGAGACGAGTCGGCAAACCTCGTACACAGTTACCCATCACCATTCATCGTGCCCAATTCGGAAGGAAGCTATTCCCCTCCCACCACCACGGCCACATGAGATGTCACGTGCACGGTTGGACCCCAAACCACTCATTCTGGAGATGGCAAAGGATATCGAAACTCGCGCAAGAGAAGGTCAAGAGGGAGTCCATCTGGCTTCCACAAAGCCCTGGGTGGCATTGTCTCTCTGGTATCTGGAATACATTGCTTGAAGAAAACGGGATATCCCCCGCATGTTTATAGATAGATAAGTTAATTTTGAGACGGAAGTTGAGAGATCCGAAGCTGAAAACGTGGGTGTTGGGTTGAGTTTGCGCTTTGACTCTCCGGATAATTGTCCTTTGCTATTGCTGGAAAACAAATTCTTTTATCCCAAATCATCAACTTGATCGGAATCATGGAATCATTTCAGCGCTCGCCATACTATTGGCATTGCTTGGGTTGTATTGCAGACGAAACCGGGAGCAGACCGCGATAGATGAAAGGCGCACGATAGAAACCAAGATGCGACTCCATGGAGGCTATACTAGGTAGAATATAAACGGGTTCTACTTGTACGGAGTAATGATTCAAGAATAGATCTGTTATGGAATGTTACTGTTTTAGAGAATTATAATTTATACCGGTATATTTCGACGGGAACAGCCCAGCCTAGCTGGAGGGACATCTGGGGGAAATGATGGATTCCGCTGGTTTTCCCGCCTCCTGACTGTGAAATGGCAGCAAAAACCCTACTAAGTCCAGGAGTCATTTCCATGATTGCTAATATTATGGCCTGTACTTCGTACTTCGAAGGATACTCTCCACCGCTGCCTGCATTGGTTGCACGAAGCATTGTTTGGATACGGAGAAGGACGGACAGAACCCGAGAAACGACTTCCCCGATGGCGCTGACGATACTTCGTGATGCCGCTCCAGTTGACATCTGAGAACATAAGTGGAGCGGAGGAAAACCAATACCAAACCAAGTCCCAATTGGCAGATTGCGATATTGCGATATTGCCATGTCGATCCTACGTCCTCCTCGTGATTAGGACTCGAGACAGGCTGCCAGCAGATCGTCATTATTATCGTGAAGCCAAGTCCTCCACGCGCGTTAACTACCTAGGTACGTTAACTACCGGCTGGAGAGGCGACCTGAGCGACTTATCTGGATTGATAATAAGAACCTTCGAACAGGCATCCCAGCGCCAGACAAGACGTCCCATCACGCGCAGAGTGCATCGGGATCGTCGCCACCGAGATCCCCCACGCCACAGGATATATACGCTCAAGACCTCACCGGCCTTGGGCGAGGCTGGAAATAGCACTCCCAAGAGCCCATCCCATGTCGGCGGTCGCGACCGCGGCGGGTTTGTGGCAGGTTCTGGCGGTAAGTAACCAGCGTGGTCATCGACTCGTCGTTGATTATTGCATCAATTGCCTGTCGCTGAAAGGATCCTATTGCCGCGCTGCCACCATTGGCCCGGCAGCGACCGAAATAGAGTTGGCGACGTCGTAGCCGCTGACCACCAGCGCCGCCCAGTGTTGCCCAGTGTTGCGCTGCCCAATGGCGGCCAGAAGCACTGGTGAGCAGTCAGACTTACAGTCTCTCACTGGCAACGCTCGGATGCCCTTGGCCGCTGCTTTCACTTTGTGCTGGGTTTCAAACATCTTAGGGCGCGAGGTATTCTGGCCATGGGCCCAATAATAGGCTTGGATGCAGCCGCTGCGATTTGATAAATCAACAGGCACTTCCACATCGAGGAGTGCAATCACACTCTCGTCAACTGCAGAGAACCAGTCTCGCATTGTTGCTGAGTTTTGATCACTGTCACATCGAGCGCCGGCGGCTGGGTCATTTTCATTCCGCCTTTCATATAGTGCCTGCAAGACTATCTACCAACATGAGAACCATACTCCTCCTCAGCGTGTTGCTGAACCTGTTCTTCCTCAGAGTCGCCGCACAAAATACAAATTCCATAACTTCCTCCCAACCTACTCCAACATCATCCGTTTCTCTGACGCCCGAGATGTCTGCAAGCGCTGCTTCATCGTTATTTTCCACCCTGGCCACTTCGGTGCCTCAGCAACCGGGAGAAGGTGAGTCGGATGTCCCAAAACTTAAATATATAGCCGATTGGAAGTGCTGACTTTTTTTTTATAGGTCCGGCACCAGGAGATGCAGGATCATCCGCTGGGAACGGGGATAGCACTGCTGGAGCAGCGGGTCCAGATTCGGGTTCAATTACTCTGTCAAAAGGTGGAATAATTGCAATCATAGTGATTGCGGTCTCCGTATGCGTCTTCGGAGGTAGGTTCCAAAATCGCTAGGCATTGCCATGTCACTTCATGCTTGACATTTTATTAACATCTGCCCAGTTGTCACGTCAGTGCTATGGTATTATGCCAAAAAGAGATCATGGGAAGTCCGTAAGACTATCCGAAAATCGGCAAGGAGAGTGGCAACTGCTCTGACCCCTAGGAGGACGGCGTTCCCAAAAGATGCACTGAATCCACGTCGGGGATCGACTCGGGGGTTGACCAGGATAAACGAGGTTCCGGATACGCCTAGAGCGCCAGTCGACGTCGAGAAGGGGAAGCCCAAGCTCTCATCATTTGAGATGAGTGAGCCACCGCAACAGTCCAAATGGGGTAGAAAATTCGGTGGATGACCGTTGCAGGCAAACCCTTGATGTTTTATGTTTTGATGTTTGGGTCGGTTCAGCGTTGGCGCCTGGTTGTTGATATCCACTTCTTCGAGTAAATATTAGGTGGCTGTAAAGCTTGCACATATCCTTGGAAATTGAAAAATATTATAACCTCCTAAATACGTTGCCGCTTGCACTTCGTCTGCCCTCATCACGTCTGCCCTTCCGCTCAACTGGCTTCGCCTTCTCAATCTCCTTCTTTCCTGAGCTTGGTGCAAATGTAATTGACCGTTCGCCAACCACTTCGTTTTGATTTCGGCCGGTCCGACCCGTACCAACTTGGCGCGATCCTAGAGCTCGGTCTTGCCTCTGGTGTCCCGATTTCTTGTAAGATGAAGAAGAAATACGCATCTCCGGCTTGGGTTTGGCCGCTGGCTTCGAGATAATTGCGTCTTCGTCGCTATCTTCACTTTCGCTTGGCTCGTCGGAGTCGTTTGCGACCTTCGAGGGGCCGGCATCTCCAACCTTGGTACTAGGGTTTAGAGCCCGGAATTCTCTACTCCTTTCATCCACAGCAAACTCCTCGTCTTCAAATAGCTTGCCAAATCGCTCGTCACCCAGCACACCCATTTCCTTGTCAACTGTCTGCCTCCGTTCTTGCCGCTTGAGCATTTTGTCGACCAAGTTCTGGTTAACATTGACCTTCTTGCCGCCTCTGATCCTGCTAGCTCTTTCTTTCTCCACCTTTTCTTTAACTCTCTTCGTCCGCTCGTCATCCCATATGTATGGATTTGCAATGAGACGGGCCTCCTCGTAAAGTTTCGAGGCAACAAAGTATCCATGCATGTATGGCCGCAGTAGATTGGTTGTCCCAATAAGATGGCCTAGATTGAGCGCCTTGAGTTCGGGTAGTGTCAAGAATTTGTAGTTGTCATAGGTCTCGGCTGGAGCTTCCTCTGCCATTTCCTCAACCATATTGTCTAGGAAAGAGCACCACTTTGGTGCTGGGCCAAGCTGGGGAATGAAGAAGGCATGTTGTTGCTGTCCTTCGTTTGCCGTTAATATCATGCCACTCTGCTTGCACCATGCCACGGAGTTGATGTCAACCGCTGGTTCGACTGATGTCCAAGCCTTACCATCAGCTTCATCCCACAACTTGATGATCCGTTTGTCGGCTGAAAGAATCTTCTTTTCCTGAGAGGACGTCGTCATATGCATCAACGTTTTAATGGGATAGCCATATCCTTGATCTTTGCGCAGCATTGCCACAGGCCGCCGGAGATCGAAAAGTTGCACCAGCCCTTCAGAGGAGCCGGTCGCAAGGGAAAGGCCTGACCGGTCGAAGTCTAAAGCCGTGATTTCCCCATCTTGCGTCGGAAGAATGCCAACTCTCGCTTTTGATCTCGGATCCCAAAACTCGACAGTTCCAATGGACGTTCCAAAGGCGAGCAGATTATGGCTATCTTCTGCGATCGCTGCCGTATTAACACTCCCAGTATTTATTCCCCCTTGCAGCGCACCACCTCCTGCGGTCGTTAAATCGTCACCTCCCACATCTACTTGGTATGGCTTCATGTATCTCCCAACCTCAAGGTTTAGCCGGTATACTTCGCCACTGCCGTCTGCATTGACGCCAACCGAAGGAACCAGAGCTTCAGCCGATTGCCTATCGTATATAAGGTCTCTGCCATATCTTGGAAGACGAGTCTCATAATGACAACCCATAGGAGTGTGAAATTGGAGTCTTCGGTCGGTTTGTAGATGCAAAGACTTGGAGTAGTCGGACGAGAGGAGGATGAATGAGTGGTTAAGGGACGCGGTATGTCGAGCGAACGAGAGGGAGAGATGCGGAAGGTAGTGAGTATGAATCTGCGGCTTGTAGGTGCCAGTGCTCATCACCCACTCCCCATCTTCACTGACCCGGATGCAGTTACTGGCTTCTTCGAATTCGAAATCTTGGAGTAGCTCGACTCGATTGGCATACTCTGGGTCGTTCTTTAAGCTGCGCTTCCGTTGCCGGGCGAGCCAGTCGGGGAGCGGCCGCGCAGTAGAGGCGCCCGATATGGTATACACCGGCACATCATTGGGATTTGTGAGCTTCATAATGTTCGCTGAGTGTTGGCGTCAGCGATGTCAGCGCTGGTGAACTGGCGGAGCAAGCTTGAACGTGAAATCCTGGTGGTCGAAATTTATTTATTTTTCGCCGATAAGGGAGCCGAGGGAGATAAAATTAGCGTGCGGGACCAACCTTGACCACTGGCGCAGCACCTTGCAGAAGCACAGGCGAGCGCGAGCGCGACGGCGTACGAAGTATAATACAAGAACAGTGTAGTACCACCAGACTACGCTTCTTCGGACGAACAGCTCCACGAACGACCTTCACGGCCTACAAACACCACCTACTAAGCATTGAGCCATAACCAGATGAAGCTATCCCAGCTCGCCAGTTAGCAGCGTTGGTCGCCTGCTGAGATGGAGCCCCGCGAATCTCACATCCGCTACGCCATTCAGAAGTCCAACATCCTCCTGCCACACAGCATTAGCTTCGTACAAGCCTCAACCCGGGTTCGAGACGGCCCCGAATGACCTGCTCTTGGTGTGCAATTAATCAATTAATCATCCGGCATTGATGCCAGTTTGGGCGTCGTGATACACCCCATTTATGAGTTGCGACTCCTTGCGATATGGATCCTGGCGAGTATCGGACGAATGTATTGTCATTTGTGAGGGTTGCCTGCTCCCAGATATAATATAATGAATACGCTAACTCTATTTCCAGAATAATTTTGCTTCGATAAAGTACGAATATCTTGAACCGGACGCCTGCTACCCAGGTCCTGCCAGGAAGCCTCTTCAGAGAGCCGAAGCAGCTTGGAGACAAGCTGGGAAATTAGTTCACCACGACACCCTTAGAGATGGAATATGGGTGTTCCAAAATACCAATGCGTCCAACAGTTCGGCCGATCGCCCGGGGGATAATGGTATTGTTACGGAAAACGGGATTGGAGAGGCGCAAGGGGTCCAGCTCGTTGTTAAGGCGAAGGGCATTTTTGAACCAGCGAGCCTTATAAGGAGCAAGCAAGCCACTCCAGCTTTATATTCCGCAAGCAGTAATTCATCCCCTTCATCATCCCTCGAGAATCCGGTGCGAAATGCTCAAGCTCTCAATGCAAGATCTGTATCGGCCAACGCGTTGCTCAATCCTTCTCTTGAGCCATCAGCAACTTCCCCCGGACTCAAATCGCCGAACAAGACAGAGGATATGTGGCCCTTAATGAAAGATGTCCATGAGAACTTCATATCGGCAGCGCTTGGGTCGCTCGTCTATCTCCTCTGCCGTGACGAGGGGTTCATTCCGTTAAATCCCCGGACTCTAATATCCGGTTATCCTAAATCTCCAGACAAAACTTGGCCGCAGGGAGCAAACGCCACCACCCTAGCAACGTTGGATATTAGTTTGACGTCATTAGGAACACTTGTTATCAAGGCTCATTCTGATGCCGCTTCTGGCTTGCAAGGTCTTGTTAACGATTCCGCAGCAGCAGATAAGCTAGCCCCAGGCGCGGCCCTATGGCTGGCACCTGGCGGAAACGCAGCCAAGTACTATAGCCAACAAGATGACAAGGCAAAGTTGTTGACAGCCCCAGCCTCATCAGTCACTTCGGATTCTCGGCCGATCACTCTCGACGGTGCTACCTTCAAAACCTGGCAATCGAATTGCCTTGAATGGTTGTCTGCAAAGGGAATACATACAGCTCCAATTGAGAGTGGTGGATGGATCTTGGTACAGATTCTCGTTGGTCACTCTCCATATCTGAATGCTGAATATCAAGGCATCCCCATACTCGAGGGCCGAACGGTCGTTCCTTGGCCAGCTGCTCTCTGTTTCCAAACTGCGAGTTCTGGGACTCTACCAGCTAGTGAAAAGCCCATTTCTGGTAACCGGGATCCTCTTGCTTTTTCTGAAGAATGGTATTCTGGCAAGGATGATCGAGCGGCTCTTATTCTCAAACGTCAAAAGGAACGGCAAGTTGCGGAAGCGCTGTCGATCGAGCAAGCTGAAGTGGAAGCTCGTGCGCTACAATCTGGCACCTTTTCACCTGCCGTGTTACGGAGGGGAAGCAATGCTGGCGCCATGTATCCCACTCCTCCGGACGCCATCCATCATACCGTCGGGGTCACCCCGTCATTTGATGGTGCAGGATCAACACCCGGAAATGTTAACCCGTTCAATATTCATGATGGTACAATGACTGCACCTACGAACTCGGGCATGTCAGAAAATGACGTAGATATGTGGGCATCTGCTGAAAAGAAAGAGCGAACAAGTTTGAATCCGCATTTTAACGACAATGATAACGATGCCGACAACCTTTTTGGGGACTTGGGCGGTGATCTTTTTGGCACTGCTGATATTACCGAGGCGGATTTCAACTTTTTCGATGAGCCAGACGATGTGCAACCGACACAAATGACTGGTACACCTGGGCCTTCAAATGTCATAACTGCTCAGGAAACATTAGCCTTTGAAGATCCTTTTAGCCTTAATAGCGCAAAGGAAAATGGAATGGGGCCGCCGAATGCAATCGTGCGCAACCAAAATAATCAGGATACTACAGATCCCAGTAGCGAACAGCTCGAAGCATCCCGAATGCAGGTCGCGCAAATCGGAACCAAAAATTTCATGTTAGAGAACACCGAGACCAGCTCCTCTTGCAAACAAGGAAAGCCTTCCTCAGCCCCCGTCAAACCAAACTTCAACCAAGAATACATATATCAGCAGCTTGTCAAGGAACTCGACACAGGAGCGCCTAAAACACCTGCTAGAAAAGCTAGTCTGTTTAATAAGATAAACTTTGAGAACACCTTATCCTCGGTTGATAAAAAATACGGTGCCCATGGCCAGTACACGTTCACTGGTGATAAGAAACACTTGAAACCTTTAGACGCACTCGGAATCCCTCAAACAGAATACCTCAATGCTCGAAGAAGGGTACCAATCAACGAACAAGAATCGGCCAATCTTGCACGCGTTCTGGTAGAGGAGAATGTGGCTGGACCACCAGAATCCACTGATCCAATGGATTTCTTGATGGACTCCGATTGCATGAGCCAAGTATCAGAGCAGGATGATTCCAGCCTCACCGCAGAGGACACCGTTTCCAAGAATATAGTTGAACGGAACTGGCTGGGAGATAACGGTTCAGGAGATAGTATATCCGCCTCATTTGACGCCATGGCTATGGATTTTGAGCAGTCTGCAAGTACGCCACAGTCAGTTCCCGGCTCGCAAATGCTGCTCTTCGACGCAGACCCCGCAGATTGGTCATTGACAACCTATTTCACCACTCCAGAGCCCGAAGTACAATCAGATACGCTCTCTGATCTTGAACGCATTGCTACCGCTCAAATTCTCGCCGACCAAGCTGTATCTGGTACTCTTCAGCTGCCCAGAATTTCTGGCAGCGAGTCGCCCACGCCTGTAAACAAAACAACCATTACCCGAGGGCTTGTCCGAACTCTAGCAAAAGTTGCGAAGGTACTTTTTGAAGATATAACGCCATGCACAATGCGCTCCTTTCTGGAAATCCAAGGCATACCGGTGCTAAACCAGGGGCTCCGGCTACCACCACGACCTATGAATCCACGGGCCCCGAACACCCCCGACCCAGCGAGATCCAACAATCCTTTCTCGCTCCCCCCGCCCCAGCTTGAATTACGGAGATCGGATTCGAAGCTTTCAATCCTCCCAGCTGCGGTGAGATTTTGGGACAATCTTGGACTTGCTCCATCCATGGGCGGAAAGGACGTCAATGCGGTCTGCATCTTCCCGGATATTGCAGGTGTTTCTACAAATGCAAACACCTTCCTCGAACAAATGAAAAGTAGCTATGAGTCGTATAGGCTAGGCAACCATGATAGGGCTACATCAAAGGATATCGTTGATGGCCTCATACCATTCTCTGTTGAGTCAGATCACCAGGACGGCCCCCGCTATTTGGCAACCCTCCAGGAGACTGTTGCGCGCTTGAGCCGAGCGCTCTGCTCTCTGACAGTAGAGGAAAAGAATTTCGTAGTCTACTTTGTATATCCAGTCGACAGCCCTACGCTTCTCGTTCACATATGCTCCGCCTTCCAACATCTCTTCAACCTATATAGGAAAGCGTTAGCTGATAAGAAAATGAGGGCTTCCAATGAGCTGGTGCTGCAACTAATTCCGGGGGATTTCGTTGCGTCCCCGACATCGATTGTTGTCCCGTTACCATCGGAGTATGCTCGTCTTGCCTTGGAGGTCTATGACCGTTGCGTCGACTTCACATCATCAACCTCGAGTCCGGCTATCATGTTGGAGCAGCCGCTGCCTAAAAGCATCGATTTCAAACTAAGCCCATACCCGTCACCATCACTCCTCCAAGAGAACACATGTCTCCATATTGCGTATGCGCAGAGCATTGATGATCGGTGGGTTGCGGCGGTATGGACGGACAATAGAGGCACGCAGCAAATGACTGCTTCGTACTGCCTTGGGCGGAAGAGCGAACCACTCTCAATGCACTTCTCGGAGGTCGCTCATGAGATTTGGGAAACAACTCTGGACTTCATTTCTAGCAAGAAAATCCACTGGCGAATCATGATTGCCAGGGTGGGAGTTATGGATCCTTCCGAGGTAGATTTTTGGACTGGCCTTGCGGCTACCGAATCTGATGCTCATATCAACTTGACGTTGATTGCGGTGCAAACAGATCCTTCCTTACGATTGTTACCCCCGTCCGTCACTCTAACAATTAGCGGCAACGGGCCCCAAGCAGTCACCCCTGTGTCGACTCCACAATCTGTGCCGTCAATTATGTCCCCTGACAATTCAACCACACCTGCTCGTGAGACTGCTAATGCCGCTACACCCGGCGACGCACCGGTGGAACCGGATAGAGATGCACGCCTGATAGACTATACGGACCAGAGCTGGGGTGCAGTTCTCTCGCACCGATTAAACAACTCCAATTCCCTCCTGGAGCTCAACCCCGCGCTTATTAGCGGATATCTGATCAAACGAGGCGGGACATATAGCGACGATACACCTATTGTTATCGAAGTTAATATTGTACATAGCGAGGTCGTTGGAAATCCTAGGACCTTCCATGAATCTCTCCTGCGAGAGATTTTGGGATATTATAGGGGGCTTGCGACTCTGGCCAGGGTCAGGGGAATGGTAGATCCGGTTAAGGATGGGAGACCTTGGCACATTGCTGCGGCTGAGAAGGCCGTAAAGACGCTGTATATGCTAATGTGATATGCTAACAACCCGGTTTTGGGTCTGGAGGCTCTTGATATATATACCCAATAAATAAAAGCAGATTTTGGAACTTATGAGCTCTCTTAATGCAATGCATGCCTCATCGGAGATGTAAATGTAAACCAGACTCATCGTAGTGGAATTGGCCAGATCTAACACTCAAAGCTTTATATTCTAGGTATAATGTGTCCGGTTTATATTAGGAGGGGAGAAGTCTCCGAACAGGGGAAATATACGGAATCTCGCTTAAAAGTTCGTAATATGGCGGGGTCGGCGTGGAGGGGTCGAAGTCGCCATACGAAGTAAGTAAGCAGCTCCAGAAAAATGTAAAGCTTCACCACGTGGGTCTCGATCTCTTTCACATATACAAATATATCCCTCTATCGTTCCTCCTCCACCACCCACTCGCAGATATCATACACAAAACCAGAAGCCCAAATCCCATTTCTCATCATGACGGACGGCCTACCAACCACATACTCAGGTAAGTTCACACTCCCAATAAAATACGATCATTTCCCCTTCCAAGCTCCGCGGATAACCAACCCGACTAACAACCCTCTGTTGTTCCATAGACCCAGTCCACATCGCTGTAATCGGCGGCACAGGGCTGCAACAACTCCCCGGCTATGTGCCAGTTGCAGTTCTCAACCCTCTCACGCCATGGGGCCACGCCTCCGCCCCAATCCACATCCTCAAGCACAACAACACTCCCATAGCCTTCCTATCGCGACACGGAGAACACCACCAATTCGCACCACATGAGGTGCCGAACAGAGCCAATATCGCAGCGCTGAGAAGTATTGGTGTGAGATGTGTAATTGCTTTTAGCGCTGTTGGGAGTTTGAGGGAGGAGATTAAGCCGAGGGATTTTGTGGTGCCAGATCAGATTATTGATCGGACCAAAGGTTGGTTGAATTCTAGGGAGAATAATTGGGACGTGGAATATAGCTGACGGCTATGATCTTGGATAGGTGTACGGCCTTTTACTTTCTTCGAGAAGGGTGTTGTAGGGCATGTGGGTTTTGCGGATCCGTTTGATGACAAGCTTGCAAAGGTACGTTAATTCGTATTGATATCCGACTTCCTAGGGCAAGGCATTTTATGTTTCAATACTGATTATATCTCAATATTTTAGGTAGTAAGAGAGTGCGGCCACGCCCTAGCTGGTGATGGTGTCGTCTTGCACGACCAGGGAACTGTAATCTGTATGGAGGGCCCTCAGTTCTCCACTCGCGCTGAATCAAACATGTACCGTGCCTGGGGCGGTTCCATCATCAACATGTCTGCTCTCCCCGAATCCAAACTTGCCCGCGAAGCTGAGATATCTTATCAAATGATTTGCATGGCAACTGATTACGACTGTTGGCACTCGTCAGAGGACGTCGACGTCGAGATGGTTATGGCCAATATGGGTGCCAATGGCGACAATGCGAAGAGGCTAGTTGGCGCCGTGTTGGATGAGTTGAGCAAGGAGGGGCACGAGGCATTAGTTGGTGGCAAGCATTGGGAGGGTAGTGTGGCTGGGATGTTGAAATTTATGACAAAAGAGAAAGGGAGGGGTGAGGAGGGTGCTAAGAACGCGGAGTTTTTGTTCCCACAGGTGTGGCAATAGAGGATTGATGGGGCACCTGAGTTGTTCTCGTGCTGGAGTTTTAAGGGGGATATAGATGACGAATGGTGACTGCGGTGGTGATAGATAGCTATGATAACACTGTTAGACGATAAACTGGATGTTCAAGCAGCAGAGGATCAACTGCTTTTTGCTTATCCGGAGTGCTATTCTATGAAATCCACCACTGCAGATAGTGTGTAGGGCCTGGCGGTCTGGTAGTTAAGAAATACTAGCCGCAACTTGCCTCATGCAATTATAGCCTGTCGAGCCTTTTCATGCTTGTAAAAGCCAATCCTATTCAAATTATCAATAGCTCTCGGTATTCCTCATCGTCAAACACGCTCTCATGCTCAAAATCCAAATTGAAAAGGCCAACCCGCTGAAACACACCCTCCTCAACCATTTCTAAGATTAAGCCCGCCGGTACACCATAATCGTCTGTGTTTTCCACCTCTCTGTTCATGACTTTAAGCAGCCATACATCCTCGCCTATCAGCGAGGGATGCCGGCAATCTAGTGAGCAGTTACCGACCTCCTTGCTGTTAATCTTCACGCGATTATCCCATGACCCTCCAGTTTCCCCAATGAGCTTAAGCCTAACTTGAGGCCCCCTACATTCTCCTGTCCGAAAAATAGTCCCCTGTTTTAGGAGCCCGGAGACCTTGAGTTTTGCGGGGGTATCTGTTGGCGGTGGAGTAAAGCCAGACGTCCGCGGATCGACGTCTATAATACGAAGGCTTTGCCCCTGTCTATCCTTCACAAGTGCCGTGTAGCAATAAGAAACACCGCCCGTGTAAGCGGCCCATGACCAAGATGGAGCTTGACTTAACACCCCCTTTGAGACTCTTGGATAGCCTTGTGAGAAATTAATCATATTGGGCTGCCACATTAGGCCATTGCAGAGATCTTTCCGCCAAAGGCCAAATAAATAGTCATCGTCATTGAGTAAGGCCCCTATTCTAGTCGAAAGCCCAGCAAGCGCTGGAAATTTGTCGGACTCGAAGGTGAGCTGGCGCCCTGTGTACATCGCAACTAGTGTGTACCAGAGAATATACGCCTTATAAGCAGCGGTTTCATAGCCATCTCTTTCTTTGATTGTCCATAGTTGCTGGGTGAGCCCAAGGAGATGTTTCAGTTCGAGGGAAGCCATGTACATGTACTGTTCCGATGGCACTTCCCGTGTTATATCACCTTCTTCAGAAGCATCAATACTATAACACTCAAAGTATATCTTTTCCGTCGTGAAATGAATGATCCGCCTTGCAAGCAGGCGTTCCTGGAGCGTCCAGGCACGGATGTTCCAGGGTGACATTCCAACGTCCTGAAACCACGCACCACTTCCAGCCTTTGCTTGTGGGCGAATGGAGTAATGCCCAATTTGAGAACCATCTGGGCAGCGGAGGGCCATCTGAACTGAGGGTTTAAGTTCACGTTCGAGAAACCCGGAGCCGCTGTGGGATGATGATGTGGCGGCAATAACGAAATATGCAGCACCGTAGACAGTATCCATCTGCTTACTCTCCAATCCCCAGTCTTCTTCGCTATCTTGAATAATGCACATCGAATCAATCCACAGATACCTTAACCCGAATGCTCGGGTGACAGTTATTGCATCTTGGAAATTCCGGGGCAGGCTAGACATCGGTATCCCTTGTAACCCCTGCCCAATGTTTGATAGAAGTGTCCGGTATTGAACCTTTGATGGTGGCCCCCAACAATGGCTAAGTGCTACGTAATCTCCTGAGATGCCAACTGTAATGAGCAACCGTGGATTATGCGATCCATCTGGCGGGCCAACGTCAATGACACGTGTAGGCAAGTGGGGCACTTGCTGTTGTTGGCATTTCCCATGCGAGCCTTTGCATTCTTCAATCCAGTTCTTCATTCGTTCCAGATTTTGAGGATCAAGGGGCGTGGGCAGCGGCGCGGGTTGCTTGATCTGACTTCCAGCCGGCGTATCTAAACGGCAAGGTTGGCCAGATTACCATTAAAAATGCATAATCAATCATACCTTCGCATGAATAAAAATTGAAGTATATCGGAACATAGTCTAAAGAATCAGCAGTATCTATTGGGCGGATGTTGAATGCTAGGGTTGTTATTCCTCTCTCTGGCGCACTCGTGCTCAACGCAGCTCCATGGATCTGGACTCTTCCTTCATATGGATTCTTGCCATTAAATGCATCGTCCCCTGGGCAGTATAATCGACATGAGGACCGCAGGAGCCCACAAAAGACACAGCCATCTTTAGCAGAAGCCTCAAGCTCGGGGAGCTCAGGGAAGATGTCAACCCTTTCGTAGTCAAGCTCAAGGCTACAATATGATGCGGTGAAGGCTTCAGAGTGGTCAGATGTGAAAACGGCACAGTGTTTGCATGGGTTGTTTGGTTCAGCAGAATGTGCCATTATGGAAATGACATTTGGGGAATCTCCACAGACGATAAAATGAGTAGAACCTTTGGTAGGCTGAGAGCAATGCAAATCCACAATTTCAAGGGGGAGGAACCACAGTGGCGATCTCACGATATTTAGAAAACATGACGTCCTTATAAGAAAACATGAAGTGCGTATGAGCTGAAACTATTCGCTAATTTGGCCAATTGTATATGGCTCTGCAGGTATTTCAGCCAAGACATGCTATAAATCCATCACGGTTTTTAAGAAAGCATTGAACTTTGAGAGGGAGCTTTGATGGCGCTTGCCAAATAAGGAGGGGGCCAAAGACTTGGTTATCACGGCGCTAGGTGAGGCATCACGGCAGGAGCAATCTCCTTTCGATTATATGTTACTCCTATAGTCCTTGGAGCAATATAAAAGTGTTCACTCATGGAAAAATCCACCACCGCCCTCATCAGACAGGAAGCCTCCCTCACTCTCATCATCATCACCACGGTCAACATAACCCTTGTCATCTTCCTCATCAACATCATCATCGATATCTTCGGACGGTTGAGCCTCTTCATCATCCCCTGCATAAGCATCAACACGCTTCTTGATCCTTAATCCGAAGAGAAACCGCTTCCACATTCTAAATATAGCAAGAATGCGCATGCGCTCTTGCTCACGAGCTCGCTCATCCCTAAATCCCTCTATCACAGCCTCAACGGCCTCATGGTACTCAGCGGCGACCACTACGCCTTTCAATACAGCTGTTCCATGGCGACCGCGGAATTCGAACCCCGTGAGAGCGTCAGCATAATCGACACCCAAAAGTCGAGCTGCGCGAGCTGCTTCTTCGACTATGATATGTCAGTAGGGATAGAGGTTGATACCAGTCGCGTGAGACTTACGAGGTATGTGGACACCTCCCTTGGGGACCATGCTTGGGACATATACATCGATATTCCCAAATGAATTTTTTGGTACTCGACCGTTGACTACAGGCGGTGCCGCGTATATCTCTGTTTGATCCTCAGTGAAGAGGTTTGTGCCAGGGCGTTCCTCGACATCACCACCCATATCATCTTCGTCTGGTCTTCGTTTTGCAGCAACAACTTTCACAGGCTGTTCCCCCATCTTGATGTCCCTTCCAAGACGGTACCAGGCATCTGCACTACGAGCTATCTTAACATCGCGCCTTCTGTATACATTTTCCAGTTTTCGTCTTCCAGGTGTGCCCGAGTCCCGCCCGGCAGCCACTTTTCCACTCTCACGTGTGGCTACTAGGATCTCATTCTTTTTGAGATGTCGCTCCAAAGCATACACCGGGTGATCCTTGAAATCCGCGATATTCTTAGGCATTGGTTCTCTCGTCTCGATTGCTGTCAATTCAATGTCCTCTATTTGATCTAGGTCACTTGTCCAGTCTCGAGAATAGGCTCTCATAGTTTTACTCCACCACTTTTTGCCCGCAGGGGTTGGTTCGATACGATTCTTCCTTGTTTTGGCGTTGAAAGCTTTGGCGTATCGTCTCGTAACATCTCGAGCGTTGCCTGCCTCTTCGAACGCTATCACATAAGACATCATATTTTCACGATCTGCTGCCGGAGGTTCCAAAGAACGAGGTTTGGCAATGGCTTCCGTGACTAGAGGATCGACCGGAAACCACTTTTGATGCGCTTCGTCCAGAACCTCTACCCAAAATACTGGGTATGGTGATTCTTGAATGGTTTGGGGTTTTGGCTTGGGCGGAAGTCGAACTGGAGCACTTATATCAGGCATATTATAATCTGCAGCATTTGGATGGCCAAGCCGGCGTCGTGGTGAAAATGGCAAGCCTAGAGCACTGGGCCCATTCTTGCCGAACGGCGAATCCTCGTCTTGGATGTCTACGACATCACCTTCATCGCTGATTTCGGGGCTAGCAGGTTTGGTTGGTGGTACGGAACTTGGAGGCATTGGAGGGCCTCCCGAATTAAAGGACAGTGGTTGAAGTGAGCATATGAGTCGAACATCAAGACCTGCGCTGCGAAGTAATGCACAATATAGCTGAGCTCCTAAATCTCTGGAGCCTTTAAATGTCTTAGCAGCAGCCCGGAAGTCCAATTTCTCTAGGACGAGATCCGCAGGGCCAGCTAATTTATACTATATAGCTGTGAGAACTTATGATTCATAGGAGATGCTGTAGTGCATATCAAAAGTACTTACATTTTGGAGATCCTTCTCATCATCTGCCCAGAGTGCTCTTCGCATGCCTCTGGCTGTAATAGAAAATTTGGACTTCCATATCTTCACAGTTTGCTCCAGGCCCCTCTTCAGCGATTCTGTTCTTCCGAATTGCGACAGATCAGATTTAGGTCTAAGCAACGACAATACTTTCTTATTCAATAGGGGTCTGAGCAAGCTCTGAACTTCAGAGTCATTGCACCAATCATTTCTCGTGGAAACGTGCGACAATAAACAAAGAATATGCATTCTATGGATCTCTAGCCGCGTAACCTTCTCAGCCTTCGAAACTAGCCTCCGCCGGGGGGCACTTCTTGATGGTTGAGGGGTCATTATAGTATTGAGCGTCAATTCAAGATCACCGCTAGGTTGATCTTGGGGTAGATTTTCGAAATCCACTCCATCCCAATCAAAATCATTGTCGTCCGATTCTTCATCCAGATCCCTATATGCGGTCTGCTGTTCCTTCGCAGGAGTGTTCGCCTCGCCGATATCAAACCCTTCGAGATCGCCTGTGTCCAGAACATCCTCGAACTGGATATCATCATCATCCTCGTCGGAAACTTGCTTGTCAGGTAGCTTCGAGCTACTTGCTATTCCAGGAGCGCCTCGAGGACCGACCCTTCTCTTTTTCAACGGCCTCTCTGGCACTTCAAACTGCGCTGGGAGTGCCTCGTCTAGCATGTCTCGATACACTTCAGGAACTGCGTTGTTTGCAGGGGCTTTCCCCTTTCCCTTTCCCCTCCCCCCAGTTGTAGCTTTCCTAGCTGTCATGGCTGCTGAAGAGTCACCGGCGCGCCCAACACCGCCTCCTATCTCCTCAATATCATTATGCGACTCGTTTACTATCTTCGGCGGTCGTCCTCTTCGTTTTGGCAGCATGATGGTGTGTCATTGTTGCCTGGTGGACGATTCAAGCTCGACGAAGGTGTAGGAGTAGGGTGTGGTTGAGCGAATTGTTATCTCACATGGCTGGGGGTTAAGTATGATTGCATGCCTATAAATGGGTTGGTCCTGGCTCCGTCCGCTCGTGGGGGTTCAGTTCAGTTCACAGAGTGCAATGGGGAGAGTTGAACATGTCTCAGGAACAAGCACCAGTGACACATCTTGCTTAGCTAATAGTGGCGCTGTTGAGCTTCACTACTCGAGCACCTAGCAGCAACTCCAACCAGTTACAGCGCTTCATCTACCTCTAGAGCGTTCGCTCTAGAGAACTACCTCTGGATATAGGCAACATATCTAGTGTGGCGGTGCTATTTCCTGGTACTTTTTCATCTTTTTGCCAGCGGATACTACGTATTAAAAGAGTATTTGGCAAGCTAGGTACCTAGGTTGCACTGGTCTAAACACAGACAGGGTACTTCCAAAGTACTGGATACCTACTTTATCCATGCATACAGTACAACTCTTCCACCTCCAACTACTTCGTATACCCATATATCCACCCCTGTCTCGACATCTACATCTCCCGTGACAACAAAGATGTTTGGCAGAGGCCTTCGGCGCATCTCGCCAGGCTTGTCTGCCTGTTATAAAGGCCCTCGAACTATTGCTGGGTCGCGCCAGAGGTTTTCGATTGCACCCGTTCACTCCAGTTTCCCGGCATCCTTGCTCCGATTGAACTAGGGAAAGCGCTCTAGCCTCTACGACCCCATCAGACAGCCAGAGAAAGACGATGATGTCTATGGCGATGGCCTTAACGTTGCTAAGGATGGCTTGATCTATTGTCCCCCCTCGGAGCCCGTTGATTGTTTGTGGCGATCTTTCCGTTACTCTAGGAAGTATAGGAAGTCGGACGGCTAATTATCTGTGCGCAGATCCGAATGGCGCTTGTTTTATGCCAAATACGTTCACGATGCAGGAGCATATTAGGGAGTTTGTAGACCAGGTCCAAGATTGTAATGAAGCCGCCGATGGCGCCTCAGGTCTTCGAGTTCCCTACATCATTCGTGTGCGGAGAGGTCTGCGATCCACGGTGCACTACTCGAGATTCTGCGCTAATATCATTTAGGCACGACTATTCCAAGCGGGCTTAAACTCCAGTATCAGCCCCAATATTTTGCTCCCTTCCACCTCGGACCTGCTTATCCAATGTCATTAGATTGTATGGTCCTTACTCGAAAGGTGAGCAGCTTGAGACTGACTGTTTTACTGTAGATCTCAATCAGATTCTCGATCGCTTTTACACTTCACATGGGGAAATGGTGGCAGCCACGGAGTGGTTAGCGAGCAATGAATATCATAATGCATTTGTCGAGGGCGACGCTGAAAAATGGATGGCCGAGTAGGTGGGACAAGGTTCGTTGATATTTAGAATTTGAAAGGGTAGGGTACACCTGAGACGTTTCTCAGAAACTACTTACTGTCCTCCAGAAACCCTGCGGTTCTCCAATACCTCTGTAATCATAAATTCATAATTCAAATGTAACTGGTCCAACTTTAAGTCTTCCGATGACGACGCCTACCAAAGTTACGAAATGTATTCCGTGATTAAATTCAAACTATCGAAAAGTTTCACCACGGCTAATCTTACCTAGTTGTTGCATGTTTCGTGTGGGGAGCTACTCGCAGGGCGTACAACACGATGTAAGAGCAAGCTGGCACTGTAAACGGAGAAAGCCCTGGGCGCCTGAGGCGTAGAAGTGCTGCACGAACCCGATGGGATGGTTCACGAGTTACATAAGTGTATCCCCGTTGGATAACTGAAAAATCAAAGTCACTTACTAATGTACCTAGGTACCTTAGGTAGGTTCGACCAAAGACTTACGAGAAGACCGTAGCTGGAAGAGCAACAACATTTCTTCACCTCCAAGCCACCACAACCACAATCCTCGTTTGTCTCGGGGTTCTTCATCCTCGGTCGCTACTTCTAATGTCACTCGCCCTATTTTAAATCCATCCATCGATCAATCGTTCCTCAGTGATTGGGCAGTCTCAAATATATATGTCAACCATGATCAACACATTCAGGACCATTCCAAAAGCCCTGTTCCGCTTGAGCTATGGTCGCGAGATCAACCTTCGTCCGTGGTCACTACAAAGACAGACCAGTTTTGACGTTCGACCTGATAGCCAGGGTTTGGTTCGACCCAAGGCCTTGACCCAGCGACGTACGACGGTAAGAAATTAGCTGAGTTCCGTGGCCATATCAAAATACTAAAGTCTAACGTCAATACCAGCGCCGAATGGAGCCTCAATGCGCCCGAATACCACCATCCAACAAAACCTGCTGAAAAGGATGAAAGGCCAAAATGTAGTTGTGTACTCTGTTGCTGAAGGTATATTCCACAACTCTCCACTAGAATGGGCAATGCTAATTCTGGTTAGGTGTTGTTTTACCTAATGACCTCATTATTGTACATGAGAGAGGCGATCACTATTCCTTACAAGCAACCGTGCCTATGTCCGTTGAACGTATGATGATCCTACCTGCAGTCCTAACTTCTACTAATATGTTGTCAGAATTGAGTGCCAAGATCACTACCTTTCTCCAAAGGAGTTCTACTGTTTTGACCAAGGAGCAATTTATACACTACTATCCTCAGGCCACGGACACTTCTGATAAGGGAAAGGTCTAAATCCACCGCAACAGCCCCCCCTAAGTAAGTGGGTTTAGGACACCAAATACTGGTGCGTGTAAGGTTACTAGCCATCTTAGTAGTACCGAAGATGACGTTGTGACGCTGAGGGGGTATTAGGGTAAATGTCTTAGCAGAGCTGAAGCATTGCAAAGAATCGTCCTACAAGCAATGGGATAGCAAGGCCTATATCTAGGCCTGATGAAGGTCCATTGGCTCGTTATCGTGTGTCTTCCTATTTGTACTTGCCTTATTTCGGATTTTGGGTTTACGTTGTGAACTGCTTTGATTTCACGAGTTGAAATTTTGGGCCTTTTGGCTTACTGGTGCGCAGGGTATTGATTGGATTGTTTGGACTACTTGGCCCGATAAACTCATGTACCGTTTTCCTACCAGAAAAGCCTCCCTGGTGCGTTTCAATCCGTTTTCTCTTATTAATTCCACTCATCTCACTAGATTATGACTTAGCCTTGAATATATAATCTCAGCTTTCAAGGGAACGAATCCCCGTTGTTGTTTGCGACGCGACCTGCACCACTGACGTCACCAGCTCCCAGATACATTTCAAGCTCATAACCCTTGCGAGCATATACCATACGAAGGATACTACTGTATGTGCAGGATTGTATAAGTATCCACATAGCGCTAGTATGGGGCTCCCTACGGAGTATTGTGCACCATGTCTTATGAATCTAGGGGTCCCCTTGCTAGTACTACCTCTATACAATATTTCATCATGATACCTCTATACCGATCCTCAGAAATCTTTTAATCAAAACAACTTGATTTCCACCCAAAATAGGAATATGTGCAAATACTTTCTAAAGCATGATTGAATCTATCGACCGCTTGGTACCCCTGAAACCCAAAGACCAGCCCAAGTAATAGTCGGTTAATGCTGAAGCTTAAACGGAGTCAAGCTCAGCGTGACGATAGTCTAGGTGCTCCTTTCTAGCCTTGGGATTGAGCCAAAAGCCCTTCGCAATGAACGACCCGGGACTCGATGGGCCAATTTCTAAGGAAGCAGAAGACCTCGAGGATCGACAGCACAATGAACAAGATTCCGCTGAGGAGGAGGAGGCATATCTTACTCCAAGGTATGGTTTTGCGCGACATCCCAAAGCCTTTTCTTGCTAGCTTGATCTGCAACAAGCACGGTCGAACTTGTACTAGTTATCAGCCATAGTTGTAACTTACGAGAACCTTAGTTTCTAGGAACTTTGGCTAACAGTGCATTTGTTATAGCCGATGGTGGTTTGCAAGCACCGCGTTCCCATTGATCGCAGGCACTTTTGGACCAATGGCCTCCACCTTCTCAATATGTTCCCTGGTGGTACATTGGCGAGCCTATATTCCACCCGGTGCAACAGAGGATGATGGCATAGACATAAATGATCCGAAATGGTACGTTTGTTCTCATTAATTCTCTACGTTTTAACCTGTTAAACTAAGCTGCAGCTCAGGTTAACTGGCATCAATGCAGCGCAGCTCGTGATAGCTCTCATATCCAACCTTTGCCTTCTGTTAAATATGGCGAGGAGAATATCATTCTCCGTCGCTCAGCCAATTACAATCATAGGATGGTAGGCCTCCATCTTCCATTGTAAGCATGTGCCGTTCTGATAATAGCTTAGGTATCTCTCATCAGCTGCCTTAATTGGCCTATGTGCTACCGCTAGTGGCCCTCTAATCCCTGAGCCTCGAGGAGAAGTCGTTTTTACTCAAGCATTCTATTATGCTATAATTGCCGCGATTCTCTACTTTTTGGTTGCAAGTTTGATGGTTGCCAATGTATGGGGTGCCTACCGTGGCCATTTTGAGAGGGACTTCCAGTTAACTATAAGCCAACGGACATTGATGCTGCAAACTATCAGTTTCTTTGTCTATCTCCTCACCGGTTCTGCTGTATTCTCGCATGTAGAAGGATGGAGATATCTCGATACAGTATATTGGTCCGATTACACGTTACTCACAATTGGGATAGGCAATATTGCTCCGTCCACTCACATCGGAAGGTGTCTCTTGTTTCCATATGGAATTGGTGGGGTTATTATCCTTGGTCTGGTGATTGGGTCTATCCGCTCACTTGTACTTGAACGAGGAAAGGTCAAACTAGGCGCCCGCATGGTCGAAAAAGAACGAAGACGCTTCCTCGAAATAATAGAAAAGAAGGGCAAACCTGTCCTACAGCCCATAACGGATGAGAAACCCTCAATGTCTCAAGTCTCTACCAACCAACAGAATCATCAATCGAAAGAGCTCACGGAGCGCGAGCGTCGGCAACAAGAATTTGAACTCATGCGCAAAATCCAGGACACTGCCCACTGGAAGCGCCGTTGGACATCCCTCGTTATCTCGTTAACAACCTGGTTGATCCTCTGGTTCGCAGGTGCCGCGGTCTTTCAAGCCTCCGAAAAAGATCAAGATTGGACCTACTTCAAGTCACTTTACTTCTCCTACGTGTCTCTGTTGACCATCGGCTACGGCGACATATACTTAGAATCTAACTCCGGCAAAGCCTTCTTTGTTTTCTGGTCTTTACTTGCAATCCCCTCCCTCACGATCCTCATTAGTAACATGGGCGACACAATCGTCAAAGGGATCCGGGACCTGACGCTCTGGATTGGAAATTTTACCGTCCTACCAGGCGAAGAAGGCGTCATAACTACGCTCAAGAGATCTGCCAACAACGTCACTGGAGGACGTATATTCGACGAAGCAAACGGCCCCAAAGAGACGCCTCCCGGTATTCTAGGTGAAACCAGACGAGGTAGCGATGCCAACTCTGAAGAGAACCACCGCAGGAAAAACGCTCCCGAGTCTGCAGCGCAACGGGCTGAGGCGGGAAACGCCCGACAAGAAACAGCTCGAGCGCAAAGGAGGGGAGAAAAGCAGGACAAATTGCCAGATAATAAACATGAGTACCATTGTCTACTAATCTCGGAAATTTCGCAGGTTATGAAACATATGAATAGCAGCCCGCCAAGGAAATATACGTTTGATGAGTGGGCGTGGTATTTGAAAGTGCTGGGCGAGGATGAGGAGAGCGCTGAGACGCATCGGAGGGCCATGGTGACACCAGGGCCGCCTAGTGAAGGTCCGAAAAATGCGACGCAGGGGAAAATGGGCGTGGGTATGGAAGCTATAAAAGCGCAGGATGGCGAGGAGGGAAAGGTAGAGTGGAGCTGGGTTGGGTATAGGAGTCCGCTGATGGGGCATAAAGAGGAGCCGGAATGGGTTCTAGAGAGGTTGACTAGGAGGTTGGAGAGGGAGCTGGAAAGTGTAAAGAGGGATGAGTTGGAAAGGAAGGGAAGGGAACGTGAGAATGAAGATAACAACTGATCATGATATAGTTAGATAGGTACAGCTCGTCATAGGAGCAAAATTGGTAGCGATATCCAGCATGGGCATAGCTTCATTCAAATTTCAAACCCAAAACCCCTTCATATCTAGTTCCCGAGTACTAGACAGGAATGTACCATGGCGCCAAACCCATGCACCTTATCTCTTTTCCTTCCCAATTACGCAAATCGCTTAAAAATTCGACGTACTCAAAACTCTTCGTCTTCGTCCTCAGCTTCAGAATCTAGCACAAACCCCGGCGGAGCCGGCACACTCTCGGACAACAAACTCTCAGGCAACATCTGACTCTTGGTCAAAAGCTGGCTAGAATTCATCGAGAAAGGCACTAGTGATTCAGGGCCTTCATAGTCCCTCACGTCTGACTCCCGTTTTGGGGCAGGGAGTTTGCTGGAGGGCACGGGGCGAGTTGGGGATTCCCATATTATTTCTGTGACGGAGTGCTGCCTTGGCGTTGGGGGCTGAGTTAAGTCAACGGTTGTTGCTTGGGAGGGCCGTAGTACATTAGACTGATTAGAGTGAGGCTGGGGATGGTTGGGGGGACTGGAGGGCGCTGTCTCTGGAATGTGCGGTGAGCCCTCAGGTGAGGCAGGATATGATGGTTGGTGGGATGACGGTACTGATTCTAGCACTGCTGGGTGTTGTGTATACTGCCGTATGGTACTGAGCAGTTGTTCCTCAGCCTCCTGCGTATCAGTCAACGATGACGATGGCCCTTCTTGTTGAGGTGGTTCGTTTTCCTCCGATGCTGGACTGAATAGAGGCGGCTTAAGGTTCGCCATCAATTGCCCAAGAACGGCAGGCCGAACGTGTTTGAATTTGGCGGGTGCGGCTTGAAGCCATTCATTTTCCACAAGCTTCGCCAGCGGAAGTGGGTCTGCTAGCTCATACAGTTTAAGTATTTCATATGCGTACCATTGCCCACGGGTTTTTGCGTTGAATTGGACGTTTCCTTTACCAGTTTCACTGCCAATCTCGCCAGGACGTTTGGCAGCACCGATGGAAGCCATGTATTTTAGAGCTGATATTGGTGCGGTTTCGTAGATCCATATTCGTGAAACTGGGGCTGGGATTTGCCAGTTTCGTGTTATATGGTCTTTGGTCCTGCTGAGGATGTCTGCAACTTGTTGAGGGGGGACTGAGATAAATATATCTGATTCTATCGTCCTAGGGGCCATAGAATGTACATATTGGGTTGAAAGGCGTTGGCTTTCCATTTGGGTCCGGTATTCTGTTATGTCACTTGCTGGTTCTTCATCTCTTCCTTCGTTCAACTCCACGCGTTGGCTTCGTAATTGTTGGGTCCGGTCTTCAGTTTTGGAACTTGTGGGCCCCTCATCCACTCCAGTAGACTCCAGGCACCCATTCTCTATTATGTGGTTGCGACCCTCCGGTATGTCATTTGCCGGCTCCTCATATTCTTGTATGGCCTCCAAATTGAGAAAGTTTGGTGTCCGGTCAAGCAATCCTTCAGCTTGGAGCTGTGTATCTAAGCCAATCTCACCATATTGTGTTTCTGGTTCAATCTTCGTGATATTTAAATCAGGATTACCGAACCCATCTCCCGCAGGCTGCGTCTCCTGTTCTCCCACACACGAGTTCCCCTGCTCTTCATCACTTTCAGCATCTGAATCAGGAATTTCTATTGGCATTGCCTGCCACAATAATTTCCGGGACGGCGAAACTCGATTATATTCCTTCTTAACGGACGGCGAAGTCACGACCACCTCCTCATCATCTTCGGGTATAGCAAATCTAACGCTCTTCGCAGGGCTCGATCTTTTCGGAGATGAAAACGCACGGGGGTGCTCGCTGACATCTGGTGAGGTTTCAAAGGTATCTTGGATTTCAAGTGTGGGCAGTTTCCGAGGACTGGGTTGGCGTTTTCTGGTCGCATTGAAAGGTATTGGGATGTTGGGAGACTTTTCTGCCAGCGGAAAGCGCCTTACAGAGGCTCGCAAATGTGTAGATGTTGGTGTGGCTGGAGATTGAGAAGCGGGAATTTCGCGGTATATATTCCGACTAGGGGTCTGAGGACGAAGCATGTCACCACTAGTACTTTGATTCTTCTTGGTGGGGGAGGCTCCTTTGGTGGATTTGGAGATCTTAGGTGGTTTTCTCGCTGGTTTGGGGGATTGTGAAGAGTATGGGCCGCTATAAATTCCCACATCTAGATCCTCTTCTGGCTGTTCTTCTGGAGCGGAACAACTCCAGTCGACGATTTGGGTTATGGTTTGCGTATGATATTGGGGAATGGCGTTGGGTATTCCACCCGTAGACTTTCGACTCTTCTTCTTCGGTTTTCTTGACGCGGAAGGTTCATCACCCATAGTTCTCCTCCTTTTCCTCCTTGATTCCGCTTCGGCGAGGGGTTCGTCACCAATGGTTTTCGTCCGGTGCTTCCTGGCTTTCTCTAACACTACCTCATCCACATCCAATCCCACGCTCTCCTCCTCCTCCTCCTCCTCGAATGAGGGTGTCATTTGAACGAAATCCATTTGTGTGAGCGTATTATCTGCTTTCGGAATCCGAGGGCCTATAGTTTTGCCATACGACCTGACGCGCTTCTTCTGAACTGGAAGCTTGCTCTGCTGAAGAGGGGTGCTAGATTTGTAGACACGGTTTGCCGGCGCGCTTGCTCTAGTTTTTGGCGGCATTCTGGCAATTCAGATTGTTTAAGTCCCGCCTGGGAACTGTTCAATGTGCTACTTACAGATTGCTCCCGTCGCGTCTTGATGTGGAAGACGCGTCCAAGCTGCCTCGGCTATTGTAAGATGGAACAAAGTTGTTCCACCCCACCCCCTTTTCTAGAAACGACTCTATTTTCTTCATCAACTGACGATAGGTCCCATTAGGGTACGCATCATCACTTCTCGTTAGATTTAGTAATAAGGTATTCTAAGTGCATCCTTAAAACCCACCGACTGGTCTTTTGCCAAGGGATCCACTTGAAGCCTAACGATAAAACACATTCAAGGCACACAACTTCCCTATTATATCAAAATCCAAAGTGTAGTTATGCCAAGTATAAATGTGCATATTCGTCATCAAGAATATCATTTATCTTATATCACCTTACGAATCCATACCAATCCCATCAACCTTCCCTAGGAAATCCCCCTTTGCTCCCTTCAACAGCTCATTGACATCCACCGTCCCCGCCGTCAAATACCTCTCACTAACTCCAACATTGACTCGTTGCGCCAAAAGACTCTTCAATTCACCTCTCAAAGCTCCCACCTCGCCCTTTGTAAGTCCTCTCGCCTCCTTTTCCTTCAACTTCCTTCCAGTCCCCCGACCCTTACGGCCCCCACCAGCAGCCGCAAATTCTTCGCTGTCATAATCGACACCCAGCTCTTCGGCAGCAGTCTTGATCCAATCATCGTCATGCCCCTTCCTCTCCTTGGCCAGAGCACTATCTGCAATTTTCTTAGCCAGGGTAACCCTCGGCTTTAACCTTTCAACGACTTTGCGATCGGGGTCCAAAGATCTCATATAGTACTTCGACTTGTTCCCAGTCCCAGCAATCGCGTTCTGAGCATGAACCTTCGCAACAAGTCTACGTGTTCCAACAACTTCCTCAGGCGCGCAAAGCAGAATACTTGATCCCGAAGCGGCCGCACGAGCTGTTCGCCCTGAGCGATGCACGTACATATCAGCAGAGCGTGGTAGATGGTAATGAATTACTAGTTGTACGCCTCCAATATCGAGACCTCGGGCAGCAACATCGGTGGCGACGAGTATTGACCCCGGAGACTTTGGAGAGGAGAAGCGTTCAATTGACCGTAGTCGGGCCTTCTGTATCATCTGAGAATGTAAAGCGTAGACTGGGAGATTGAGGTTTTGTAGCAGAGGAGTGAGACGCCTAACTGAATGGATTGAGTTGGTGAAGATCAAAGTACGTTGGTTTGGGTGATATAGAAGCAGCGAATAGAGATACAGATCCTGTAATATATTAGATATTGGGCGGCGACGTAATGATTGATTTCACATACCTTTTCGGTGCCAGCACATTCAACCATTCCCTCTGTCAAACGCTCTGCCATCTGAGAAACAGGGTTGACATCCACGAACTTCGGTTTATCTTCTCGGAAATTAAGCTTCTTCAGAAGATATTCCATTGAATCTTTCTCATCCATAAGTCCATGCTTTCCCTTCCCAGCCAGCTTTTGCTGCAAGCCCTGATGAAAGGTTGCGGAGAACACCAAAGTTTGCCGAGTCGGGGGGACCGCTTCATCACCCTCAGCTGCGCCCTGTTGCCTGTCCAAGGCACCGAGAATTTCTTCCGCTTCCTTGAAATGGCCTTCAGTTAAGAGCCGATCAGCTTCGTCAACGACCAAGAACTTGATCTTTTTGAGCGATTCCGATAACGCAATATCTGCGCTCATCACCTCCCACAGGCGCCCCGGCGTGCCAATTATAATATCGGCCTTCGCAAGTTGACGTTGCTGCTTTTGAAGGGACAGGCCTCCAGTAACGGTAGCCACGTAAGGATAATTCGAGAGCCCGCTGGATAGAACCTTGATATGTTCAGATAGCTGATGCGCCAGTTCTCGGGTCGGGGATAGGATCAGTGCAGTGGGAGGACGGGGGTCCTTTTCGTGCTCTTCCTCCAGCTCGCCGTAGGTCTCAAGCCAGCTTTCCAATATGGGTATCCCAAAAGCCAATGTCTTTCCAGACCCAGTCGCTGCTTTTCCAACTACATCATGCCCTGCAAGGATCTCTGCTATTGCTGCTGATTGAATAGGCGTTGGCTTTGCGAAGCCCAGCTTTGACAGTGAGGCGAGCGTTGCGGAGGAGATATCCAATTCAGACCATGCTGACATATCTATCCCCTCTTCTTCATCTTGTTCCAGCAACTTGAACGCATTCATCTGGAGCGGATTCGGTCCTTCCTTGTCCTCTACTTCGGACTCCACCTCCTCTAAGTCTTCTTTCTTGGCTTTCTTGCCCTTCTTCTCCTTCTTCTCCTTCTTTTCCTTTGCCTTCTTTTTCTCGTTCTTCTCTTTACCCGATTTCTTCAAACCATTCGACTCCTTATCCGCAGCCAATGGCTCAACAGGATCATCGCCAAACCCTTCAAAAACATCGTCATGATCGACCGTTTGTGTATTCGCAGATACCTAGAAATGGTAAGCTAGGCTGTATAAATAAAAATCAACAGCTACTTACAAATTTGAGCTGAGTTCCTTCACGAATAACCTCCACACCTTCTACCTCTTCAAGCCCATAAAACCCCTCTGCATCATCAAACATATCCGGCAATTTAACTTCGTTCCACGGCAGCGAATCGACGACGACCGGTTTCTTCTCCACGGCTGGAACATCTTTCTTCGCAAGCTCGATCTTCTGCCGTTTCTGGGGTTTTTGATATCCCTTCACCGTCGCTATCGGGGCGCAACGTTTGGCCGCTGATGAAGCCATTTCGAATATCCGCAGATGTCCCTGGAAAAATTCTACAATATCGAGGTGTATATAAAAACCAAGGTGTTTGTTTTGGGTCCCTGGAACTTTTTTCTCGAGTTGTATCTCTTAGCGTCCAATCAGCCCCGCACTAGCGAACGCCCACATTTCAGCCTTGCAATAATTTTACCACCACCACTTTTCACGACACCGCATATTTCGAATGGGCGGCGCAGGAGCACTTTTAAGGGTTTATTAACAAATTATGGGCAAATCCTCAAAGGATAAGCGGGATGCTTATTACAGGCTTGCTAAAGAGCAAGGTTGGAGGGCGCGCAGCGCATTCAAGCTTCTTCAATTGGATGAAGGTAACGTACACCCCATTCCCAACCACTCTCGCTCTCAATGGACCTATACTGACGATATAATTCCAGAATTCGACCTTTTCAAAGACGTCACCCGCGTGGTCGATCTCTGCGCAGCGCCGGGAAGCTGGAGCCAGGTTCTATCCCGGGTGCTGATCAAGGGCGAAAAATTCGGTCGGAGGGCATGGGAAGATAAAGATGCGAAAATACTGCAGATGCTACGCGGGATAATAAAACCGCAATCTGCAGCGGAGAGCGAAGAATTTAGTGGAGGGGAGGAATTGAGGCCGAGGAAAGACGTCAAGATCGTCGCTATCGATCTCCAGCCCATGAGTCCCCTTGAGGGAATCATAACCCTCAAAGCCGATATCACGCACCCTGCAACCGTTCCTCTGCTCCTCCGCGCCCTCGACCCGACGTACGACTCGTTGTCCGATTCCCAGCATGCCTCCCATCCCGTTGACCTGGTGCTTTCGGACGGCGCGCCGGACGTTACGGGTTTGCACGATCTAGACATCTACGTGCAATCGCAACTCCTCTTCGCAGCGCTAAACCTCGCCCTCTGCGTTCTCCGCCCCGGCGGGAAATTCGTCGCGAAGATATTCCGCGGTCGGAATGTAGACTTGCTATATGCACAGCTGAGCATCTTCTTCGAAGAGGTCGTGGTTGCGAAACCGAGGTCTAGTAGGGCGAGTAGTGTCGAGGCATTTATCGTCTGCTTGAATTTCCAGCCTCCAGAGGGCTTTAGGCCTAGTCTCCAGGACCCGATGGGGGTTGGTGATAAGCTGGAGAAGATGGTTATGACAAAGGTCGAGCAAGAGCCTATTGTTGCGTCGACGGTGTTGCAGGATCCGGTAACAGGGACTTGGTCAACTACGCAGACGAGACCTGCGCTAAGGGGTAAAGGTGGCATTGTGGAGCTCACGCTTCCAGATGATGATGCAGATATGAGGAAGGATACCAAATGGATTGCTCCGTTTTTGGCGTGTGGTGATCTTTCGGCGTTCGATGCGGATGCTTCATATCACCTACCCAAGGATCGGATAACTCTTGATCCCGTGCAGCCTCCCACTGCGCCCCCATACAAGCGGGCTTTGGAGATGAGGAAAGCTGCGGGGGGAGGCTATGGAAAGACTAGCCTTGCTTGAGGTAATGGCATAAATGCTTTATTTGATCATAGCGATGGAGTTGGCACGCATAGACATTGGGGCAAGGCAGACGATTCGAGGAAATTTCTCTCGGTGCAGCTCAACGATCATATTTATGAGAAGCAAGAAAGCGCTATGGCGCTCGAGTGAACTACAACGGGGATTAATCACGGAATGCCAATCGACTGTGCATGACTGTGTACCCGCTCTCAAATACATGCAAAAAAAAGGGAATGGTCTTTCGACTATGCCTCAAAACTCCTACTCCTTTCCCGATTGTTATGTGGATCCATTCTCGATTGGTCTAAAGACATGAGATATAATCCCTCCTCGATCGAGCTCGGAATCTATATATCACTTCGTAACGAAGCCAAGGTAGTCCGCAACGATTAACGTTACCATCCTATACCGGCTTTATTAGGATTGCATTTTCCAATGGCTCTTGAATGAGGGTGTACTTACGCATGTGGAGCGATTCTCACATAGTATGTGCCAAATCCCCTATAAAACCTCAACAAACCCTCCTGTTTTGCAACCTTCTTAAAACAGTCGACCATGCTCTTATAAGGCAAAGTGCCGTCCGGCGCCCGCTGCTGCTTCTGCAGCCTCGTCTTCACAAAATCAAATGGCAAACTGAAGAAACTCGCAAAGAACCCAGCAACAGCGCTGGCAGCTAGGGTCCGCGACCTAGGAGTCAATGGTGTGTCTTTTAACCTCTGCTTCGCCTCTGAGAAGAAGGCCAGTTGCCCGAAGTTCAGCGCCATTGCTCGCACGACCGTGGGCGCCGCACCAGCCCAAAGAGCTGTTATGCCTTCAGATTTCGCAATGCTCCTCAGGGCGTGGATAACGGATGTGTAATTCTTCCTTTCGGCGATGGGTTTCAGGCCGTCGGATTGCATGCGGATGAGCGCCAGATCCGCGGGGTTGCCAATCATGGCTGCGAGGCCACCGGCTGATAAGCCTGCACCTGCTCGCTCTGCAAAGCCAATCTGGTTACCGTTCCCCTTTGCTCGGGTGGTAAGTGTATTCATGAAGGTGTCAAAGAACCCGAGTCGGGCCGTTGTGTATACCGCTTGCCGTAGTAGGCCCGCTGAAAGGCCGGTATATAAATCCATGACTTTGCCTGCAGCTATGATCTCTCTAGCTACGGATAAAGGCGTCGGTTTTGGGCCTGTCCTGGCGCCCTCGCCGGCAAGTTGCAATCGCACTTTGATCATGTCGATTGGTTGGATCACTGTCGTTGCCACCATGCCCCCTGCGCCGCCGTTTATGAATGGGAGAGCGGCACGCATGAAGGGCGTGTGAAGGAAGTCTTGTTTGGCCGCCATTGTGTCTAGTTCTGCTAGAGCTTTCGTTGCTTCGGAGGTTTTATTGCGCGCGGCTTCGGCAGCTTGTTTAATAGAATTGGTAGTGGACATAGTACAGAGCGGAGGGGTTCAATGAGATGAGGTGCGTGGTGGTAGATGATGGTAAGATCGAGCACCTTGAAGGCTAGAGATCGGGGAAAGAACGGACGTTCGTTAGCCTTGCTCTTCTCAGCACGCAAAATGGTGGTCGAGGAAGCATAGGACCAAGACAAGACAAGATGGAGAATGGAGATATGGAAGGAATACGAAATGACGGATTCTCTTGACTTTTTGATGAAGCCAAATAAAATGCGGGGCCCATCGGAGCCCAATTGAGGCCGATACAATGCGCCCTGGAAGACCCGAGCGGCATGGAGCGGGCGCTATTGTTGGATAACGACGATAGTGAGACCGAGAACTACCACGGCTGTCTTGTTCCTTTTTCCGCCATCGGACAGACGCGATCGTTGAAAATCGGAAATTTCGGAAAATCGAGGGAGGCAGAGCAGAGCAGAGCACACAAAAGAAATTGCGATTGCGATTGCGATTGCGATTGAAATTGAAATTGACACGGATGTGATCGCGCATGGGGGATGATGACGCACGACGAGCTCAGAGCCGCGCTACCAAAGACAAAGGATTAGGTCGGTCGAGCACTCACCTTGCAGGTATTGGTACTGGTATTCGGACTTGTACTAGCACTCGCAGTCGCAGTCGCCGGTTCGTAGCTGCCGAGGAACCCGCCGATGGAAGAAATCAAATTGTGTTTGGTGAAGAACAAATGGCAAGCTGCCTCTTACTCTGTAACTGGAGTTGTTGAAGCTGGAGCTGGCGTTAGAGCTGGCGTTCGGTTGTTTGAGCGCGACGAATGCGGGCGGGGCGGGTGCTTCGGCGAATCACGATGCGTACAAGTAAGCAGTCACCTGTGTCTTCTCACTTCAGTACGTATCGATGGGGCAGCGTGTCTCATACAGTAAGGCTGGAGTCGCGGTGGATGAAGATGATGGGATGAGATGAGGAGGATGAAGAAGATGAAGATGGTGAAGGGAGGTTGAGGAAGGAAAAAGAGGTGGAAAATAAATAAGGGACGGGGATGGAGGGGGCGCGAGAGAGACGGAGAGGGGAAAGGAGCAGCAGCAGCAGCTGGAAGAGGGATATGTGTGTGTGCGGTTATGTGGTTCATGTGCTTCCTGTGGTTGCACTGTGGTTGTGTCGCAGACCCTCATATAACCCGGATGCCTTATGTGATGATGGTGCCCGGCTCGGGGCTCCTGTTGGCTGCGGGAGCGTGGGAGGGCGTGGAGATTTGTGTATCTGTTGTGGTGGTGGTTTGTGTTGTGTTGTGGTGGTGTGGTGATGCGGGGTTGTGCCTGCTGGATTGGATTGGGTTGGGTTTGATTGCTTCCAGGCACGCGACAAGGAACGGCAATTGATGCGCTGGAGATGTACTGGAGATGTACTGTCTTGTATCGTCTTGTATGGAGATGGACATGGACATGGAAATAGACATGGGCCTCGAGATGGATGGGAGCAGCTGGTTATGGCTTCGATGATGGATATCTCCGTCATAGCTACATCGTACATCGATGCATTCATCAATCATCATCACCATCACCAGCCCTCGAGGTGAAACAAGAGACCCCTCCTCGTATAAGCAAGTATATGGGTACCTATGTACCTTACGTAGTACCGTCACCCCGTCGTTTTCCCAACAACAATCCAATCTATCTCTATCCATAGGTACTTACCTATATATATATGCCTGTGCCCACCGTGACATTCATTACGGAGTATTATTGAAGCCGTCCAGGAACAGGCCCAGGCACAGGAACAGGAATCTTGAGTATGCTCCTCCATAAGAATACCTCCCCCCGACGTCATCTCTAGAGGTTCTCCGTAAGTCCCTCTGGGTACTTGTACCTAGTACCCAGCACCTAGTACCAGTGCAAGTACCAGCGTCGGTACCCAGTACCAGTCCCAGTACCAAGCCTTATCGTGGTGCTGCGCCAATGCGGGGTACTGTACACACTACCGATTACAGACTAAGCGATAAGAAGGTTGCACTGATAAAGTACGTAGTGTGTACGTAGTATGTACGGAGTGCGTGGTATGCCATGATGCGAAGCAGTACTTCCTACAGTACTGAGTATTGAGTAACAGTACTGAGTATTGAGTACCTTACGTTATATCGCTGTACTTTCATCCTTCTGCCTTCCTTCTCCCATCTCCCATCTCCCATCTCCACAATGAAACCTCTTGGGCATCCTTCCTGCTTTGGTATTGCCACCCAGCCAACCCAGATCCGGGGCATCGACGTCATCATCTATGATCACCACCACAAAAGCAATCTTTCCACGAGAGCCTCTGATATAATCCTAGGCCTTCTTTTTCACAGCTTCCGGATCTTGCGCGACTACTACTTCAAGCACGAGGAATAGATTATTCGGCTCGAATGCTAACGATGAATCAAGTTCGAATTCAAGTGTTCTCCCGTCGTAGGCTAAAGATAAAGCTGTGTTCGTAACCACCAGTCAGCCCTTTATCAAGAGAAGTAAATATAGCGCGACTGACTTGACGATCCCGTCTCAAGAACTCGATCCTTTTGCCACGAAGGACTGTCGTTCCTTTATTAGTGCGCAATTCTAACTCCGAACTAGTTTAGCTATTCTTATTCTGGAAGTTGGAGACGTACGAAGAGAGCGCATCGCACCGCAGAGCCCTTAGAAGAGTATCTGGCCGAGGAGCGACTGTGGTTCTGGGATAGCTATCGCCGATAGCTACTCTTAGACGTTTCGATGATAGCGGCCGGCGCGCGTATATAGATTCGTTGTCAACAATGCCTAATAGCGGCCTAAACTCGCGTTTCCGCTTGCGATTGTCGTACAGGCCAATCTTACAATTGATATTATTACAAGAATTGTTGCTGTTGATATCGTCAACTTTCTGTCGCGTCGATATGCCTCAAAGCTACAAGAAGCTGTTGTGCTGTGTTATATGATGAAGAGAAGCGTGTCGTGTCGCCCTAGTAAAGATCATAGTTCACTTAAATTACTATTTTGGTTTGGCAAAAAGTATACGACTCATCACTAGCTTGATCATCGGAATATCGTAAGCTTGAAGGAATAGATGGAGCTTATAACTGCTGCGTATTTACTCGACCAAGCACAGGCCTTTTCAGCTATTACATACGCAATGATGATAGAGCACACTAGTTCATACCTTTCGTTTGTACAAGACTATATCGATTTCGGCGTGCCTTGGGAACTCTTTTGTAAGTAATATAGAATTCATACAGAAATTTTCTGTTAATACAAATAAAAGTTTTACTCGAAGCAAAACGCGACTCAATACACAAGCAACTGAGCTCCATTCTATCAGTAAAGTATGAATTCGAACATTACACGTACAGTTTTCAAAGTAGATCTGCCTACAGTTATATGGGTCAGCTTAGTAGGAAAGGATTACTCTCGTCTCAATACCTTGGTCATAAGACAGCTCTAAATTATATCAAGAAAGCTGAACAATTAGGCCCCTCAAGTGTAGTTGAAGACAGCACAACATGCGAAAACGATCGTTAGTATAAGCTAACATACTCTCGGGAGTCGATATTGAAGAACTTACAAGGATTAAAAGATAGCAAAGGCCTTTGCTTCCACTATATATCTGGAGGAAGCCGAGTTTATAGTGAAAAGCCATGTAGTACTGAGCATTAGCTATTGAGCTTCTCCTTATTCACTAATATCACCGTTAGTAGTTTCTCTAATATCATATCGTGGAATGTAGTATAGGATTCGGAGTAGTCATCACGTTCTTGATCAAGTTTCTTTTCGGTGATGAAGGAAAATATATCAAAGATGCTCAACTTGTCGAAGGGTAAGCTGAAGAACTCCGCCAGCTCTCGCAATACAAGCAAGATTTTGCAGTCCTCTACAATATTGGCAGTTAGAATATTGTAGACTTGATACTAGGGCAGCTGTGTCAATGCTACGATAATGCCGCCCTGAACTACTAGCCCCGCGAGATAGTAAGCAAATTCGATCTCGTTTTCCAATATCGCCTATCCGCGAGATCGCATAGATTGAGAAAGCTGTCGAATTCTTTCGCTGTAGTTGGACGGACGAAGAGTTCGAATTGCTAGGATCTTCGTTGATGTCCCTTAATCTGTGGTCAACCAGTATCCCAAGAACAAACATCTTTGATTCACTCTATGTCAGAGAAGTTAGTTCAATAAGCTTTATCAAGTAGGAGTACGTTTTTCCGATGGGTAAGTATAAGCTGTACTAATAGGGCGTTGACAGCTTTGGTTTTACGCGCAGCGGTTGTGCACAACGACGCCACCATCCTCGCATAGCTGTCGTTCACTGGAGTCGATGTAATTATCAGCCGTGATTCAACCTCCATTCTTAGTGATAGCACCACCGCAGTGCTTTAGAGACTATAAAGATGTTTCTTAGTTGAAAGGAAATATGCGGCTCAATTACGTTCCGGCCTCAAGCAGAGGCCACCTGTTCGTTTGACGATACAGTTCCAGCGTCCACGAAATGCCTTGCTCGAAAGCAACTTCCTTGACAGTAACGCCTCCCCACAATAGCGCGGCATATGTTCTAGCAATTTGTTACCTATCGAGGTACGACCGACCCGCTTCCACGAGAAGCACATCTTTCGTTGCCCTATACCACACAAGCTTGCTGAAGCCAAGTACCCTGGCACAGTGGATGAAAAGTTGAGCTCTGAGGTAGGAACGTATACGTGGATACAACACCAATGCCTCGTATTCGCATTCCACACTTGCACGGCTTCGGCTTCTCTGACTACCGCCAAGTATACTACTATACTTACCGCTTGATGGCTTCCGTGCTAACTATACTGCTGGTGTATAGTTTGCCTATGAGCAACAAAAACCTTTCTACATCCGCCTTTGGCGCATATTCTAACGCCGTCTCCCCAATCTCCTTCGCCTTATACCGCCTACCCAACGAGCCAACAACTTTCTACTACATATATAATACTTGAGTATATCAGTCCTAATATAGGCCAGATACTCTCCAGCACGTGGGAGAGGCACAAGAATGACCCATTCTGCAGGCAGAAGCTCTTCCGAGGTATAGCTCGCTAGATGCTTTCCTTGACCAATATCCCTCAGCCTCGAATTGGCTCATTCTAATTCTATATTGACGGAACGATAATATTGACAAACTAACCGCTGCCTTGCTTCATTATCATCTTAGAAAATGACGGTACGATGAGAACGATAGAGAGGAATGAAACGTATACTTATACTGAGCTGTCTATATATAGGACTTTAGCGACGACACCTACTATACTCCGTGCGATCGAGAAAAGTTGGCGGGTTACTACCGATCTGTGTCTACTACCTCGGGCGGCCCTTGGTTTTAGTTCCCGGAAATATCCTAACAAGCAAGTCTAGGACTACAGCTCTAAAAGATGATAATAGCAAAGTAATGAAGGGCAGGGGCACACTGAAGCAAATGGAACTGTATAAAGCGCCACGATGCCTGCAAGTAGAACGAATACTAGACGCGACATCGGCTCCGACTATCTTACATATAACTTAGGTTAGTACTCCAAGACTCTGCTTTACGTGTAGATCCAACAAAGCTTAGCTCAAATCCTAGGATACTTTAAAGTATTTAGCAATAGTAAGGACATGTATATATCGTATCCAACTATCTTAGTATACTACAACCAAATTAAATATCGAACTACCAACGTCTTATAGTTAGCTATAAAGAGAGCAGAAAAGCACTTGTCTTAATTTTGACTTTCAAGGTTTTGAAACAGATTATCAAAGATATATATATTCTGGACTTTATTCTACTCCCGCTTATTTCTAGATCGATTATCGACAATCCTAAATAACAGTAGACGATATTATTATTAATAAAATCTACTCGCTAGGATATTATCTTGAGAGCGCTGATTTATCGAGTCTCGAAAACTTTCGCTCTACTAAGTTTAACTATAGACTTAATTAGATCGACTATATTAAAGCAAATAGTATTAGAGACTATTTATTTTTGCTATAGCTAGTATTCTGCGGAAATTAGTCTACGGGGAAGAGTTCTATTCTAGAAGGAATTACTAAAATTCTATTTCTATACTAAGATAACGTCTATACGAAGTTTGCGACCGAGATTATTCTACGTTATAACCTAGAAGTTAGTCGAATCACTATAACTGTGATACTTCATATGTCTCGCAGTGAAACCGGCAAAGAATACTTCCGCGTTTATCGCCGAGAGCTCTAAGGTTTTCTCAAACTACCGGATATTATATCAGAAGTTACTTCGTTAATATATATACGTGGACATGATAGTATAGTCGATGGACTTGTTTTCGTAGCCGATGTCCTTCGAATCGAGGTTGTTGGCGATATAGGATTATACTTTACAGTCGTTGACTTACTAGGCATAATCGCCGTTCTAAGCGACGAACAGACCGAGGAGGACTTGCAACTAGTGGTAACTCTAGTTGATAATTATCTCGAAAGCTCTCGGACGATTATTCTCGCTGTTATACAGGCAAACAATGATATTGCTAATCAAGGGATCATCTAGCGGGCACGGAAATTCGATCGACTTAGTCGAAGAACTGTCGGAATTATTACTAAAGTAGATCTTATCAACAAAGGTGCCAAAGGTCAGATTACTTTCTTAGCTAAGAATCAAGATACTACTAAATTGAAACTTAGTTACTTTCTTCTCAAGAATCCAACTCTTATATAGCTTGATTTGGGGATCTCCTTGAGCGAGAGATATCAATCGTAAACATGCTCTAGCTTGATTAGCTGTATCAAATGGCAAGAGACTAGGGTTTAATTTACAGGGACTATAGAATTATGAACTAGACGTGACTTGAGGGGGGTAAGCTGTAACCTTAGCGCCCCCTATTATGAAAGTCGTAGGACTTTCTTCCGAGGTAGCACCGTCTGTCAGATTGTGTCAACGGCTACTATCACGGTCACTGTGCCTTGAAACCGAAGTAAAGGCAAAGGAAGGAAAGTGTATATATATAACTGCTACTTCTCTGCACATTCTCTTTTTCTACAACACAAACATCACATCCTATTTTTCAATAACACAAATATCACATTCTCTTTATCTACTATATTTACAAACAAACTTCAACCTCTAAAATGAAGTCTTTTGCGACTATAGTGCTACTCGGTATGTTGAGTATCGTTTATGCAGTACCACTAAATGCGCCACGGGTTGCGTGTTGTTCCCGGGAGAACCCTATTTTTTGCCAAGCCCCCGGAACCAAAGGTTGCCCACCACCATCATCACGTACGTACTTGACCTCCCCTTGAGGCAGCTGATAGCAGTCCTACTAATAGTTTAACAGCACCCGCTTGCCCACGTACGCATTAAGCTTAACTCCACTTAAGGCGGCTAATGGTAGTCCCTACTAACAGTGTACTAGTTAATTGCGGTCGTGATGTCGAACCAAGTACAGAATAGGATCAAGGGTCTGGACGTTAAACCATATGTTGCTTCCGTATGTTTTCGAATACGCAATGATGGATTTGACATAGTCTCGATAAGGTTTTATCCACGTAGTGGTTTCCCTTGTCCTTGAACAAATGTTGAGATTAGTACTTCGTATAGCAGGAAATATAATCTGTTTGTTCTATATTTTTACTATAACGTGGTTTATTAGTACCTCGTCAATATCAGTACCTCGTGAATTTCTCCACTTTTTGGCTGGAATTATTCTAATTTGATAAATACCCACCTAATTTCAGGGAAAGCCCTTGCTAGTATAACAATATCTCTGTACAATCGAGGTGTCAATTTATTAAGCGAGCTTATCGATATATTAATTGACGAGGTACTGATAAACCACGTTAAAGCTTTATAGGCTTACTTACTTTCGGGCTGCTTTCGAGTTTCGAAAGAAGTATAATCCCGCGTGCTGACATGCCGCGATCCGTCGAGGACCGATTATATCTTGTATATGTCTCTCTCATACCAGCTTACTATGAGGGGCCGAACACAATTCCTCCAACTTGTAAACTGCATTAATTCTCAAAATCAGGTGTCACTTTAAATGAATCAGGTACCCCTTTTCCGGATAAACCCGGCAAGCAGGTTTTTATGCGAAACTCGCGACGGGTCCCGGATCGGACACTATATCGGCCGGCTCCCCAACGGCTCCACACGGGAATGTCCGTTAGAGTTACCGGAACTGAGCGGGTTCCCGACGTCACCCCCAGATAGACTTTCCCGCCTTCCTATGTGTGCCTTGGATTAGACAGTGGTAATAAATAAATAGAGCTGCTTTTAGTTACTAGTACTTGGGCAGTACAAGTAGCTCCGGGTTCTTGGGCGCATGGTGAGCCAGCGTTGTGTGGAGAGTTTTGTGAGTGGGTACGAGTATGGCCTTCATATCTGAGCGAAATTGAGATATTCGCCAGGCTTGACTTACTCTACCTCAATTTCGGTTAGACACGGGGGCCTAGTTCTAGGAATAGTCTGGCTTTGCGACCGGCCAGATATTTGAATAGTAATTATAGTGCTGTACGCCGACTGTCTCAATTGTATAGGAACGGAGCGCGATATCGGAGTTAGGCACGTTTCCACAGGTGTCCGGACAGGCGCCGGTTACAACACCCGTGCTCTCCCGATGAGGCTTCTCGAAGCGGATCAATCGTCTCCCTATTATAAGTAGGATCCCTTGCCGACGAATAGCGGGTTTGCAGAATGGACTCAGCATCGTCCTAAGCTTATTATGCAATAAAAATATGCTACCTCTGTAATATAGTAATTGTAGTACTCGAGTATTAGTCGTGGTATTGCTCGCCCTCGCGGTTTGGCGCCTAAGTAATCAGGGTGGCCGTCAATCCTCGTATCTTTCTCGAGCACAACTTGGGACGGCTTTCAACTTGGTCAAGATAACCCGATGTGCATCTCCACCCATCTCAGGAGGGTACTTGGACCTCCATTATTACGCCTTACCCGTCGGTCTACAATGAGCACCCAAGCCAAATTGGAGGAAGAGAACCTGCCAGACTACGATGCCGCCGACTATTTCCCAGTTGGCATTGGTCAAATTTTCAATTCTAGATACCAGGTTCTAGGAAAGCTTGGATTTGGTAACAACTCGACTGTGGCTGTCGCGAGATTTACGGCAAGTATGTTGTTCCAAGTAGGGAACCCACTAACCTCTCCAGACAAAACTCATACTCTGCTCTAAAGGTCTATTCACGCAGTATGGAACAGGACGAAAATCGTGAGATAAGAATTTACAAGAAATTTGAGCAGCTTGATAGTGACCACCCTGGTCGTAAATATGTTCGAACAATGCTGGACTCGTTTGAAATTCAAGGTCCTGGGGGATGCCACCAATGCCTTGTGCATCGGCCCCTGTGACAGAGTATGTTCAGCCTTCAGCATCGAAACCCACAACACAGGTTTACGGAGCCGTTACTTCGCGCCATGTTACTACATCTTTTTGTAGCTTTGGACTATGTTCATAGTTCTTGCCATTTGATTCACACAGGTGCGTCGCTTTTCAGCCAGGCCGTGCTACATGCCTCAACTATGGATGATTAACAGACGCTCAGATATCAAGGCAAGCAACATCTTGTCAGAGATTGAGGATGAATCTATACTCGCAGCCTTTGAGGCCTTTGAGGCCGAGTCTCCAAGCCCCAAGGTCATTAGACCTGACCGCACCATCTACACCTCCCGAAAGCTTGGTCTTCCAAAGACATTCGTGCCCCCAGTTCTATGCGACTTTGGAGTGGCGCGTTTTGGGGACGAAGTGAACAATGAGGATATACAGCCCGAGGTATACCGTTCAGCCGAGGTCATCTTGGAGATGAATTGGAACTATCCGGTAGATATCTGGAATGTTGGGGTGATGGTATATCCCCAAACTCGATCCACATGGGGACAGGCTACTGACCTATAAGATTGGGATCTGTTCCAGGACAAACACAGGTTCGATGGCCGCGACCCGACCGGCAAATACTCGAATCGATATCAGCTCGCGGAGATGATAGCATACATGGGACCGCCACCACTAAAAATTCCTGCAGCGCAGCGAAGAAAGCCGGAACTATTTCGACAGGCAAGGTTCGTACTTTGTCAGCCCAGGTACGACATGTAGCAGAGATGCACGTACAGCTGACATGTCTACACAGGACGCCTACTCGACCCCACTAATATTCCCGCCTCGTTGTCCCTCGGAAGCAGCGAGGAGAACCTCGAGGGCCGTAGAAAAGAGCTCTTCCTCCAATTCATGCGGACGATGCTGCAGTAGGCGCCAGAGGACAGGCAGAGCGTCGCAGAACTCCTGCATGGCCCCTGGCTGAATGACGAGGTCTTAAATTCGTCACCGAGCCACCAGCGGCAGCAGCTAGAGGGATAGCGATACGATCAAGTCTTCATAACATAGCCTCAGCATGTTCGCCGAGAGAAAAAGCTTTAAAACTGGCCAAGTATGAGGTGCATCTATAGTAACGTTGAAAACGGACACGGGCGATAACGGCACAGGTTCGTTTCAATATGCATACGCTAATGCGGGCGAGTGTTGTACCATTTGGAATAGGACGCTCCCACCAAACAAACTTATAAAAAAACACAACTCTACCAAACTTCTACTCACTCGATTGCCCCGTACTAATATCAACAGCAGCTTATCCGCAATGTCGGACTTCCAAGCTCCTACGTATGTAACCGCTGGCCTGCGTCAACGATCCTGCAAACGAGTTACGTGCAATGCCACTTCACGAGGTGCATCAGGCAACTGCTGTGACGGTGAGGGCTGTTCCTTGAATTTTGCCCGTTATATAGGGATGAAATATTCTCAATACTAACTTCAATTCCTAATATAGACAGTTGTCTGGTCGAAGTTGCACGCCGCGAGTGCAACAACGAATGCGGCCATGATCCAGTTGAACTCGAAAAGTCCTCGCAGCCCCGCGATTCGGTCGCCGACAGCGATGTTGCTCTCAAGGCCAAATCTGGCAACCAGCCCTGCGCACGTCACTATAAGAAGACTAGAGATCAGTATGGCGCAATGTTGAACAATCTCGGATGCATTTGCAAGGTGCTGTTATCGTTGAACATGGAGACATGCTGTGTTATTCCCTCTCATGCATCTATCCGGTCGAAACGGTCAACAACGTCTGCCAAGTCCACCGCTTCAAACACGCATCATTCACCCGAGTCGATGCCATCAGTGGAAACCAAGAAGGCTAGTGATTGCTCTGAAAAGAGTAGCTGCTGTGGCGATTCTTCCAAGACACTCGCGAAGACGGTTGCTGAAGTCGCTGTTTCCAAAATGGACGACTGTTCCAAGGAGGGCTGCTGTAGTAGTAAGAGCTCTGCTAAAGAAGCCTCCGAAGCCACTACATCTGCAGTCGATACCCGTCTCACGAGAAGCTGCTGCAGCGGTTCTGCCAAGGCGGTTTCTGCGGTTTCTACGGTCTCTTCACCCAAGATTAATAACTGCCCCAAGACGGGCTGTTGTACCAGTAATCTTTCGAAGGCGGCCTCCGAAGATATAGTTGCCGTGGTAGATGACTATTCCAAGACAAGTTGCTGCAGCAAAAGTGCTTTGAATCCCGTCTCTCCAGCCAACGTTTCGCAAGCGGACGACTGCTCCAAGAAAGCTTGTTGCATTAGCGAATTATCGGCCAGCTCATCATCTTCCAAGAGCAACACAGAGGCAAAACTAGCATTGGCCGCTTCGGACTGCATCAAAGATGTCGTTTTAGCACCGGCTACTGCCCAAGTCGCCGGAACCGATGATATTGACATGGAGAAGGGTCTGCTCCAAGTTGAGCATCTGGTCTTAAATGTTCAAGGTATGACTTGCACTGGTTGCGAGAAAAAGCTCTACAAATCTCTCAATTCACTTCCGACAATTTCAAACGTGAAAACCAGTCTTGTTCTAGCGCAAGCCGAGTTTGACCTGAGGAGATCCGACACTAGTGATAACGTTGATATTATCAAGATCATCGAGAGAATGACAGGGTTCACCTGCACCAAGATGATTCAATCTGGACAGGAGCTGGATATGATTGTGGGTGACCATGCACAGGGCTTCGCTGGCAAACAAGACTTGCCGCTTGGGATCACCGATCTAAGCGTGCTGAACAAGAATACCATCCGCGTCACCTACCATCCCAAGATCGTTGGTGCCAGAGAGTTGCTAGCCGATCCATTCTTTCGATCCGCAAAACTTGCTCCTCCTGCAGTTCGTCTCCAGATCGCTTCGGGCAGAGCTCATGTCCGCATGACGTTCTTCATGACGATTTTATCTGCTCTGTTGACTATACCAGTCCTCATCTTAGCCTGGGCTCCACTCCCACCACATAAAATACTTTATGGCGCTATTTCGCTGGCGCTTGCTACAACTGTTCAGATTGCCATTGCTGGGCCCTTCTATACCGGCGCTCTCAAGGCCCTCGTCTTCTCGCGCATGATAGAGATGGATTTGCTTATTGTCCTTAGTACTACCACTGCATACATCTATTCGGTTATTGCATACGCCTATCTAGCAGCAGGAAAGCCTTTATCGACCGGGGAATTCTTCGAAACTAGTACATTACTAGTTACCCTCATAATGGTTGGCCGCGCTGTGAGCGCTTTTGCCCGGCAAAGAGCTGTCGAGTCGATCTCCATTGAGTCGTTGCAGACGCCTACAGCACTTCTTATAGATCCCGAGACACACCAAGAGCAGGTAATCGATGCACGTCTGCTCCAATATCAGGACACCTTCAAAGTTTTGCCGGATACAGCTATTGTAACGGATGGCATGGTAATTGCCGGGGAAACAGAGGTTGACGAGTCCATGATCACTGGCGAGGCTACACTAGTTGTTAAAATGCCTGGATTATTTGTGGTTGCTGGTTCAATCAATCATTCTGGCACCCTCATCGTCCGACTCACACGTCTACCTGGCGAGAATACCATCAAGACCATTGGGAGCATGGTTGATGAGGCCAAATCATCTAAGCCGAGGATTCAGGAGATTGCCGACCGCGTTGCCGGCTACTTTGTGCCAGTTATCCTTGTTATCACTGTGCTGGTATTTGCGATTTGGGTGGCGATTGGACAAGCTGTACGACATCAGAGTGTGACAACTACCTGCATCGTTGCCATGACATACGCTATCTCTGCTCTTATTGTCTCCTGCCCCTGTGCCATTGGCCTGGCGGTGCCACTGGTGGTTGTCATCGCCGGAGGTGTCGCGGCAAAGCACGGCCTCATCTTTAAATCTGCAGAGACAATTGAGATTGCACGAAATGTGTCCCACGTCATTTTCGATAAAACGGGCACCCTTACGCAAGGAAAACTATCTGTTGAAGCTGAAGAATATCCGACGGGAAAAGTCGATTCGCTGGCTCCAATGCTTCTAGGATTAACGACAAATAACAATCATCCTGTGTCTACCGCTATCTCTGCTCATATGAAAGCTTTGGGATTCCAGCCTTCAAAGGTCGAGAATGTTGTGTCTGTGGCTGGCAATGGCATTGAAGCAATGTGGAACGGAAGTACTATTCGTGCTGGTAATCCACACTGGTTAGGCTTTGAAGACTCACCAGTTGTCCACAAAATCCTTTCACTTGGACTCACCATGTTCTGTATCTCTATGGATGGAGAACTTGTCGCGGCATTTGGACTCAAGGATCTTCTTCGTCCTGATGCCATCGAAACCATCAACCAGCTCCAAAAGCGATCGGTCGAAGTCTCAATCGTCAGTGGCGATAACAAAGGGGCTGTCCAGTCCATTGCCAGACTGCTCGGTATTCCAAGAAGCCACGTTCGCTATAGATGTAGCCCAGGCGATAAGCAAGTCTATGTTAAAGAAATGCTCGTTCCCGAGAAAAGCGTTGTCATGTTTTGTGGGGATGGCACTAATGACGCAGTGGCTCTTGCTCAGGCAAGCATTGGTATGCACATGAATGAAGGCACGGATATTGCTCAAAGTGCCGCAGATGCTGTTCTCATGCGCCCTTCTCTAAGTGGTATCCTTACCTTAATGGACCTTTCGAGAGCTTTCTATCGACGAGTCGTCTTTAATTTTACATGGGCCTTTGTCTACAACCTATTTGCGATCTTGCTAGCTGCTGGCGCGTTTCCTTACACTCGAATTCCGCCGCGATATGCGGGGTTGGGGGAAATTGTCAGTGTTCTGCCGGTCATTGCTATTGCAATGCAGTTGAAATGGGCAAGGTTTCAGGGGCGGGAGTAGGGGTACTAGGGTATGATGTGGTGTCTACTTGGTGTGACGGTTCAGGCCTACTTCGCATCATATAATTTGCTTAGGTGTGACCTGTCCCTTGAAAAGAGGTTGTACAGTCCTCTAGCTAGAGGCTGCACTTGAGTCCCCGTCCTTTCTCTTCTTCCCGCCTTAGTTTGGGACAGTACACTAACTGCTAGAAATACGGGTGCTAGTATAGACTCCTAGGAAGTTAGTTCTTAGCAGCTTCATGCTTTCTGCCGGGTTTCTAACTTTCTCCTACTTTCCAGGAGTTTTACATCTAAGCCCCTTTTATCTTAAAAGGAAATTAAAAATAGCATTGACTTCGTAGTAAAAGATATGTCCGTAGTATATACTAGAGCGGTTTCTTTATCAGAGTCTTCTTCCCTCTTAGATTTAGAGGGCCAGATATTAGTTTTAGTTGCAATACAAGTACTTTGTTACGAATCGTGACTCCCTACTATTAGGCTCTTATATTTATAACCTATTAAGAGCTATATAAAAAATATATAGGAGAATTTAGTAGGCCGTGTGGTTACAATAATTACTACTAACAAATACTTACGCAATTATGCCGAGGCCATTCTACAAACACCCGATTCGAGCGCAAGGTATTCAGCTGCACCTTTACCGCCAACAGCATAAAGCAGTCTGCCTGTTTAAACGGTCTTGAACCCTGCCGTCTGTTGAATTTCCACTCATGTGCTAGCTAGCTCGCGAGCGCTGTTAACCTTCGATCATCGGCAACTTTCAATCCTTCGTCTTCTCTACTCCTTTTCATCCTTACACCCATCTATAAACTAGAAAGATCCCAACGTTTCCTCGCATTACATGGCAACTTTCGGGAAACTTTCTCGCCATCTATTGAAAATGTAGCAGTGGGCACGTGCTGATATGTTGTAATATGGCTATCGTTGACCTCGAACTCGGGGCCGAAAGGCAAATCATGCCCGCATAACCGTGGCCTGGGGTAATAGCTTGTAATGTTCTGCATCTCCCAAGCTACTAAGGGAGTAGCCGGGGCTAGTCAAGCCACGGATATTATGGGACCTGGAATATCTCATGTGATAGCACGTGTTAGGCCATGGAACGACCGTTGTGTGGATCATAATTTAAGATGACTTGGTCGATCTTGTTCCAAGGATATCGACATGGGAATAGCGCTTTATTAAAGCAATCTTAACTTGGCAACGGTATCTCAAGAGAATAAATATCGTCCCGCAAAATCAAGCTTTATGGTTGCCAGTTCTAAGCGCGGGAGTAACGCTTCGCACTTAAGTGGCACTTAAAACGGTATTGTATATATTATCGTTCCGGCTGTATTAAATAAATTGGACATTGTGGACGTGAGGGTATCGTTAGAACATCGAATAGGGAGTCCATTGACATAGAATGATGCGTGTAACGTTTTGGGTAGGGGAAGTGTTTGAGGTGTATTTAAAGAGTTTTGAGCTATCCATCCAGCCACGAAGCTTGTTAGCACCTAGGTAGGTAATACGTGGACCCTGACTTCAAGATCTTTAGGCCCGTTAATTTCTCATCCCAGGTTGCCCGCCACCCAAGTCTTAGATTTGAAAAAAAAAGAGGTGCTACATTTATAACACTTCTTTTCAATTATTCATAGAAGACATAGCTATATACCACAAGACAGTTGGGATGACCAAGGTGATAAGGCCTCTTTCAAATCACTGCCAGAGGGCTTAGCGGGGTATCACAAGACTGAGGGGACTTCTTTTGAATATGCCATTCTGAGTGGGGAATCAGGTTACAGGGGAATTGTAATTCGCGACCACAACACTGGATATCCAAAACTTCAAACTTCCAAACTTACATACAACCTATCGACATTTAACCGTCCATTTCCTGAGGCGCTTAAGCTGTCTTCTTCCACTGGCTATACACTCCAATCAAACTGCTAACTGTCCCTGCCAATCCGACGAATCCGTCATCAAAGTTTGTCAGTCCAATTGCCGATGTAGGAGCTGCAAGATCACAAATGTCGGAGACGAGCTGGAGGTTAAGTGCGGCACGCTCCCTACTACGTGTCAGTAAACAAACACCAAGTTCATCTGAGGATACTCCATACTTCTCAATCCTCTTGCTCGCAACAACGCCCTCGCCATCCTTCTTATCAATGGTCGCCTGCTGTTGTCTCAGATTATACAGCGAATACACTCCGCTCGCTGCACTGAAGATCAACCCAACCATCCAGCACCTATAAGCCTCCTTCTGAAGCCTCTTCGCACCCTCGAACTTCCGAATGCCGGAAGCATCCAAGTACGTCACCGCATCAAAGGATAGATATCCAGCATATCCCAATTGCCTCCCCACGGCGCAGTACTTCACAACAGGGCTCAAGGTCTTGGAATCGGCGGCAACAGCGGCGGCCTTGAGGTGCTCGATGTTCTTGCCAACACGCATCAGTTTCCTCGCGAGGCCGAATTGCTTCTTGATCGCATTGAAAGGGGCGATTTCCCCGGGACTGGCATTTGTGCGGAAGAGGTACCACGCGTAGAAGCGGGAGAAGTATTGGAGGGTTCGCAGGAGCTTGTCGCGACCGGCGGTGGTTGCGACGAATCTGAGGTAGTGAGCGACGGAGGGGTGGTAGACTAGGGAGTCGGCGACCATTTTGATTGTGATTTTGCCAGAAGGCTGGTGACGGATGGAGATTTAAAGAGCGATTATCTGCTCGGCGAGAAGTATAAGATGGGATTTGAAAGAAAAGCTTTTGTTTGTTTGAGGTATCACCGGGAAGTTATCTCGAGGAATGGGACGGGGGGGACGGGGCCGAGGTTGGCTGCCGCATGAATGTGAATGCCGAGCGGGGCCGCTGAGTCAGCACCTGCAATGTGGGTCCATTCAGTCACGTTACTACGCGTCAAGTTCATCCGCGCTTACGGGGTGTTTGTCGCGACCTCCCTCACGGCAACGAGAACAACTGAGTTACGTGAGAACCTCTCCAACCCAACATTGCTCAACTTTCTGTCTAGAATAAATTTTGAAAATGCCTGAAATCGCAGAAGGTAAAGCTCCCTCAACACTTCTCCTTACGAAACAAAATGGCCCTTGGCGTTAACATCTTGCCAAAACAGTTGCGCGTATCGTCCATTTCCTCCGAAAGACCCTCGTGGGAAAGACCCTCTCCGTCGTCAAAGCTCAAGATGACCCGATCGTCTTTGGGAAAGTCGGCACAAGTGCTGCTGAATTCCAGAAAGCCCTCACAGGCAAGAAGGTAGTGGATGCGAACCAGCAAGGGAAATACTTCTGGTAAGTCTGGCCTAGCGTAACTTTCTGTACAGATAGTATCGACTAATGCTGGCAGGCTTATAATGTCTTCGCCTCCTCATCCAGTCTTTCATTTTGGAATGACAGGTTAGTGTGGCATCCGCCTGTCTTATAGTGGATGCTAAAGCTCTTAGGGTGGTTCCATATCCGCGGGGAAAAGACAGTGCATTATCGCCAAAAGGAAGCAGACGGCGAACAAGAATGGCCTCCAAAGTACTGGAAGTTCTCCATGGAGACCGCTGGAGACCCTAAAGTGGAAGCTGCATTCACAGATTCTCGAAGGCTAGGTCGCGTACGATTAGTCGACTGCCCTGGGAAGGATATCAGAAAGACTACGCCCCTGAAGGAGAATGGTCCTGATCCAGTTATCGATAAGGATATTTTCACGGAAGAATGGCTGGAGAAGAAGCTGAAGAGCAAACGGGTCCCGATCAAAGCTCTGCTTTTGGATCAGGCAAATATTAGTGGTATTGGCAATTGGGTTGGGTAAGTGCCTCTTTTTCCTTCTGATTTTTGCAAATACTCAAGGTCGTTATATAGGGATGAAATTCTGTATAATGCGAAAATACACCCAGAGCAATACAGCAACACTTTCAGCTCGGCACAGATCAAGCAACTCCATAAATCCATCCGCTACGTTTGCCAAACCTCGGTGGATTTGTTAGGGGACTCTGAGAAGTTCCCTGACGATTGGCTCTTTAACCATCGATGGGGCAAGGGGAAGAAAAACGCTGTTACTACGATGCCGAACGGTGCCAAGATTACGCATCTTACGGTTGGAGGGCGAACAAGTTGTGTGGTGCCCAGCGTGCAGAAAAAGACTGGCGATGTTGCTGGAGATCTGAAAAATGAAGATGAGGAAGAGACTGGCGTCAAAGCGGGGACGAAGAAAGGGGGCAAAGCAAAGGTGGCCCCTTCAAAGAAGCGAAAAGCTGACCCCGAAGATGATGAAGACGATGTTGTTTTCAAGGACGAGGATTCTGCAGAAGAGCTCCAAAATGGAAACAAAAGCGGCGCGAAGAAGGCTAAGTCGACTCCAAAATCTAAAACTAGCCAGCCAAAGGGTGATGCGGCGGTACCGGAGGGAAGGCGACGCTCTGGACGAAGTGCTAAATGAAGCAGTTAAAGGGAGGATATGTGCAAAATTCAATAAGCGATGTCATGAGGGATGTTCGAATTCAAGGTGTTATGGCGTAGGTATGAACTGGATTCTAAGCAGTGCTTATGCAAAAGAATTACATAATATTGCAGATAAACTGAACAGAAACATACACAATTTGCCAAAAGCTATTTGCAGGATCCGAGATCTATGTGTCCTAGTACGAGTGGTGGCAAGTCTGGGTTGCATTCCAAGTGGAGAAGCAGTTGTGGGAATAATACCTACCCACGTTTGACGCCGACTTCTCTCCGAAAATATGTAATGAAAGACAGACCACGCGTCCTGCGCTAAAGGGCGGTTGATAAACCTACGCAGTACCATCGGAGACATAACGAGCGACGGATCTCCCACCTTCCGCCGAATGAAAGGCGTCAAACATATCGTCGGAGGCATGAGATGTCCGAACTGCCGAATTGCATCTTAAGTCAACATCCGCGTTTAACGGTTATGTCATAGAACCACTTTTGTACCTTATTACCTATGTAGTACATGCTGGCACTCAAGTAATGATGGGCCTCACATCTACGAGCAGCTTAATGGTCTTGATCAAGATTACCAAGCCGCTGATGGCCTAAATTGGTGTCGAAGCCCTGGTCAAGCAACTCAAGTTGCGACTCTGATTCCACGTCGAACTTCAGCAGCCTCCCAACATGTCCAAAGGGCTCGCTTTGGCAACCCAGGGCACAGAACGTCACAAACTCCATCTTTACGCTCCCTCTACTTATTTTTATTATGCTTATAGGCGTATTAGGACCTCTTTCCTTTCGCCGTTTACTAGGAATGTGAACTATGGTCCATCAACATGGAGCAGAGGTTGAAGGGGAGAACCTGTAAAATTTGGAGAAGCGGCGCGAGAGCGGTATTCCCAGATGGGATACATTTCTGGTTGGTGAGGCAAAGGCGTCTGTCAACGGAGAAATAGCTGTCATGAAAGAGTGCTCCGTCACTCGAGGACTTGTTTGTCATTTTCAGAAACAACTAACACACTGTGTACTCTGTACAACCTCGAGCAGTTCTCTGTTTGGGGTGTAATGCGTATCTACAAGGGCATCGGGCACCTCGGCGGCTCAAATCTGATCTAGATGGTTCTGCCATTGGTAAGATCCATTCTTTCTGTCGAGGAGTGGTAGGATGGTGATGCCTGGCTGCTCCGACACAGGATATGCGCTTAATAGATAGTAGCCAGTAGTAGTTTATGCCAGCAAAGTAGAAGCGACTACGTGGAGGACAGCCACCACCATCACCTTGACTTAGACAAAGAGCGCGCCTCGTATGCACGATGAGGATACTCTTCAGCTGGATAGTAGCTTGGAACCACAAGGCTAGGTATAGTTTCAAGGCCAGCTCCCTGGTGCATCTTGTCCCGAAATTTCCGTGAATAGACCGCCGTCCGAATCTTTCTTCTCGTTCAATCTGCCGCCACTCGATCAGGCTTGATTTGGTAGTTGAGGGCAAGACATGCCGTCGAAGTACATGGGCCTGGTCCCCCGCCGTCCTCGGGCAGCGTGTCATCGTCGTTCATAAAGTCTAAAACCCGAAGCAGTCCCTGAGACTTTGTACATTCCGGAGCGGGAGGCTCTCCCTTATGCATTCGGGATCCTCTTCTATCCACCTACGCTGTGCTACTCTACTCGTACTGGATCCGACTCGGCAATCCCATCCCCGCCGGCAATCTTCAACTTTCCCCTGAGTGAATAATAATAACTAACTTAGGGCATATAATAATGAATGGCGTTACCAAGCTTGGACCTTTTGTTTGAAAAGATAGTATGAGAACTACAACAGAGTACCTTCGTAGACTCCTCCGTATTCGTAGTCTCAGCCTCAGCCGGCCCACCCCGGTCTCCTAGATTCCTGAGTCCCTGACCGGAATAGTGGGGGCGGGTGAGGAATTATGAGTAATAATGAATGCTTTGTATAAGGCCGCTGAGTCAGGCCGCCCCTTGGCCCGTGGCAGCCTGGCCGGAACGCAAACAGAAGGTTTCCCTAGCGCTGCGGAGTACGCGAGCACTGTACTGTACCTATTTCCTATTATTATTCTAGGCTCCATCATCAAATCATGGACCCGATCTGTTTGATTGCCATGTGGACCCCGTTGGTTTCAATCGCACTGCAGTAGTGTTGGGGCAATCTTCAAGCGAGATAAACAATACACGTACGGAGTATGCACTGTATGTACTTCGTACTGTAACAATAATAGGGGCGAATACCCCCAGACAGAGCTCCCCCACAGCAGCTTGGCATCACTACCGGAGCACGAGCGAGAGCGAGAGCGACTGGTTATGTCCGACCGTCCGACCGTCCGACATCCAACTCAGTCTCTCAAAAGGGTCGCCTTTTGAGCAACATCAATCACACTGGAGTCTGCACGATGACACCGTCTGACGTACGTATTCTTACTGTACGCAGTTCATTGCCGACATTGGCACCCGGCAGTTGCAGCCCGCTGACGCCCTTGATACCCTGCCCTATATGCCAATGGATGGTCCAGCACAGCACAGTACAAGATTTCAGCTCGATGGAGAACAAGATTGTCGTCGCGGGATTCTGGACTTATGAAAAGTCCGCAGAAAGGGGGGGATGGGGGGAATGGGGGGAAAGGGGCTGACTGTGCCTTAGGTAGGCAATAAGTGGAAGGGCGGTTTTGGCGTCTTCGTATATCGTCTTCGCACTTTGTTCGCATTGTACGTCGGATAGAACTCTTGGCAGCCTCGCACTCGTACTCGAATTCGAATTCGGGGGGCAAAAACAGGGGAAGAACCTTCATCTTTATTTTCACGGGTCATTTTCGCGGGGCGGCGATTGGCGGTGATTGGCAGAAATCGAGTCAGGATGAACGAGTTATGCAGAGAACGTCGGGCTCGTGCGATCCCGGGCTTGGCCGATGATTATATAAACAGGGATCCCGGGTATCCGAGTACGTACTCGAGTACGAAGTCCACAGGAAATAAGAGCAAAAGTACTGGGGACGGTACGGGATACACAAAGTCTGTAAGCTACTTGCATAGCGGCAGGTGGTATGTACGGCACCGTACGGAGAATGTACTATTTAGTGGTTTATGTTTATGTATGTTTATTATTATTATTATTATTATTATTATTATGATGATGATGATGATGATGGTGGTGATGGTGATACTACTACTGTACCTGTACCTGTACGGAAGAAGAAGAGTACGAACGGGTACGAAGTACGCAACTGCCAAGAACGGGTCCCCAACTTTTCCCCCTTGCTCCCCTGCTCCCCTGCCCCCCTGCCCCATCGCTTAGCCCGATTGTTTACATCGACGGCCCAGATCTCTCCCGGTGAGAGAGATTATTAGCAGTCCTTGACATGTCCAGGTGCTGTACGATACCAGGTACGTTAGCCTATTATTTTGTAACAAGACTTATTATTATTTATACGTGTTGTGTAAAAGCTACTACTGTAGATACTAGTATCCTAGCCCTCCCAACCTGGTACTCGTAATGTGCTGTACTGTACTGTACCTCGTTTATCACCACCAACATCTAGCACATCCTTTAGCCAGCCCTAGCCACGTTTAGCCACGTTTTAGCTCTCAATATCAAAATAGAGGGGCCTCGCATTCACCAACATCGGCCAATCGCGTCACCGGCCAAGCACCGATCGTATTCGGGTGCTTGGGAACTGATACTCTGTTCCTCCGTCCACGGCGGGGCGTGGGCGTCGCGGGCGGGTTTGGCGTTGCGCTGCGTTGTGGAACTATAACATTTCTTGTCAGGATCCGTACCTTATTATTAGCCTTCGTCCTCACCTCAATAGCTGCCCTCTCACCTGCTCGTTCACCTTCTTCTAATTTGCGCGCACTTGTCGCCTTTGATGTCGTGAAGACCTATTCTACCGCTCCTTCGTCCCTATATATTTTCTAATTCTATTCGGAGCCATCTTTGCTTCGTGCAGAAGTTAAGACATGGCGTCCGCCACGCCGTGGGGGGGTTTGGCACAGGCGCAAGGCGCGGCCGGAGCTGTCGACAACTACCCGAAACACCAGGACGAGAAGTATTCCGATCGCGAGAATACGCCGGTGAATTCGGTCGAGCGTTCTTCTGAGGATGTGGGGGAGAAGGTACACGACCTTGCGCGGACTCTTACACAGCGTTCCGTAAGACACCCGTCTGGAGACCACATCAATCCTTTCGATGGAACCGATAATCCTTTACTGGACCCTCTTTCGGGGAAGTTCAGCCAGAAGGCGTGGGCTAAGAACCTGATCGGCATCGAATCGCGCGATCCAGAAAGATACCCAAAGCGAGTCGCCGGTGTTGCTTATAAGAACCTTGGCGCACATGGATTTGGGGAGGCCACCGATTATCAGAAGACCTTTGGCAATTACCCTCTGGAGGCCGCCAGTTTGTTCAAAAGGGCGATTGGTCGGAGACAGCAAACAAAAATTCAGATTCTAAAAGATTTCGATGGCTTGGTGCGAAGCGGAGAAATGCTGGTGGTGCTGGGGAGACCTGGAAGGTAATGTCCCCCTCTCTTATACACATCTAGATGTGTATAAGAGACAGGTCCAACCCTGCTCAAAACCATCTCGGGAGAGACCAATGGATTTAATGTGGATAGAGAGACAGAGATTAACTACCAGGGCATTTCGATGGAGACGATGCACAAGGACTTCCGAGGCGAATGCATCTATCAAGCTGAAGTCGACGTACACTTTCCTCAGTTGACAGTTGGACAAACGTTGGAGTTCGCAGCACGAGCGCGGGGTAAGCCTTCTATACCAACACCATGGTAAAACTTATGCTGAATGTTACCTTAGCACCCAGGAACCGAATTCCTGGTGTCACCCGGGAGCAATACGCGAAGCACATGAGAGATGTTATAATGGCCGTGTTTGGGCTTACCCATACCCTTAATACGAAGGTTGGCAACGACTTCGTCCGGGGTGTTAGTGGTGGTGAGCGAAAGCGTGTCAGTATTGCAGAAGCGTAAGTTAGAGCACCCACGCCAACTATTTCCAATGGCTATAGTAATGTGCTAATGTGTGTCCTATATTTAGTGCTCTCGGTGGTAGCCCTCTCCAGTGCTGGGATAACAGCACCCGTGGTTTGGACAGCGCCACTGCGTTGGAGTTTGTAAAAACACTACGGCTTTCAACGGAAATGGGAGGCTCCGCAGCTGTGGTTGCCATCTACCAAGCCTCGCAATCCATCTACGACGTACGTATATCCACCCCAAATCCACCCCTGCCCAGTCACTAACTGGTGTAGGTTTTTGACAAGGTTGCACTTCTGTACGAGGGACGACAAATATACTTCGGCAACATCCATAGAGCAAAGGACTTTTTCATCAACCTCGGTTTTGAATGCCCAAACCGACAAACCACGGCCGATTTCCTCACCTCCATCACCAGTCCAGCCGAGCGTATCGTGAGGGAAGGTTTCGAAGGCAGGACGCCGTTTACCCCTGATGAGTTCGCAGCCGTTTGGCAAAAGAGTCCGGATAGGCAAGAACTCTTGAGAGAAATCGACGAGTTCGAAGAGCAATATCCTATTGGGGGCGAGCATCTTGAGAAATTCAAGGAGTCCCGTAGAGCCACTCAAGCCAAAGCACAGTCAGTCCGGCCCTCAAATCAAGCACAAGGCACTACTAACATGTACCATTAGGCGTGTAAAATCCCCCTACACCCTCTCCGTATCTATGCAGGTCAAGCTATGTACCGATCGTGCGTTCCAAAGGTTACGTGGTGACGCCACGCTCTTCTTCACCAGTCTCTTCGGTCAAGCTGCGTTATCCTTGATCATCAGTTCCGTGTTCTACAATCTCCAAAATACCACCGCAACTGTTTACAGTCGAGGTGCCCTGCTGTTCTTTTCCATTCTTATGGCGGCTTTTCAAAGTTCGCTAGAGGTTGGTCCATTGCTCCCTTGGATATGGAGATGGATGCTAACCGTGCTGGCAGATTCTAACCCAGTATGCTCAACGGCCAATTGTGGAAAAGCAAGCAAAATATGCCTTCTACCACCCGTTTTCCGAAGCCATCGGTAAGTATCTACACCCCTACCTTTTCGCGAAACTCCCTATATTAACGTTATTACAGCCTCCATGATATGCGATATGCCTAGCAAAATCGGAACCACCATTATTTTTGACCTTGTGGTATACTTCATGACCAATCTTCGGAGAACACCAGAGCACTTCTTTATATTCTTCCTGTTTACCTTTGTGTGTACGGTCACCATGTCGATGTTCTTCCGCTCCATTGCTGCTCTATCTAGGACCCTATCTCAGGTAAGCCGCCTACATAGAAATTATGCTCAATCTTCGTCTAACATCGCGTTTCTAGGCCATGGCTCCAGCTGCCGTCTTCATTCTCGCTTTGGTCATCTACACCGGCTTTGCTATTCCTGTCACGGATATGAGACCTTGGTTCAGATGGATAAATTACCTGGACCCTGTGTCATACGCATTTGAGGCCCTCATGATCAATGAGTTCAGTAATCGCAAGATACCCTGTGCTTTGTTTGTACCAACTGGACCGCCGTACATGAACCTATCGCCAAACGAGCGTGTCTGCGCAACAACTGGAGCTGCACCTGGTGCAGATTATGTCGATGGAGATGTTTATCTTAGGGTCAATTATCAATATGAACGAGCCCATCTGTGGAGGTTAGTGAAGCATCACCCCGACTCGTTACGATTTCCTTTCATGCTAAAATATTTTTTTAGAAACCTCGGGTGCATGTTTGCTCTTATGGCCTTTGGCTGCGCTGTTTACCTACTGGCCGTCGAGTTTATCTCTGCCAAGAAATCCAAGGGCGAAGTATTGCTTTTCAGACGAGGAAAGATCCCAGATCTCCCGAAACAAGACATGGAATCAAACCTTGACGACCGGCCCAATGCCGAAATGGTTCTTTCGAGGACTCAAACCGTCCCCGACGCCCCAGCACATATCCAAAAGCAAACCGCGATCTTCCACTGGGACGGGGTCAATTACGATATCAAGATCAAGAAAGAACCTCGAAGACTTCTAGATGACGTTGATGGATGGGTGAAGCCAGGAACTTTAACAGCTCTCATGGGTGTGTCAGGTGCCGGCAAGACAACATTACTCGATGTCCTCGCTTCGCGCACGACTATGGGAGTGGTCTCCGGTGAAATGCTCGTTGACGGCCGCTTAAGAGACACTGGATTTCAGAGAAAAACTGGTTATGTACAGCAACAGGATCTTCACTTGGCAACATCAACCGTCAGGGAAGCGTTGGCCTTCAGTGCAGTTCTACGACAACCGAAAACTACGCCACATGCTGAAAAGATTGCCTATGTTGACGAAGTTATCAAGGTGCTGGAGATGGAAGCTTATGCTGATGCGGTAGTCGGTGTTCCGGGTGAAGGTATGTCGGTTGATTAAACATGCCGCGCCATCTGTTCATAATGTAACTAACAATATCTAGGTCTCAACGTTGAGCAGAGGAAGCGACTTACAATCGGCGTTGAACTTGCAGCCAAGCCAGCGCTCCTTCTCTTCCTTGACGAACCGACATCTGGTCTAGACAGTCAAACCGCATGGTCTATCTGCGCCCTCCTCCGTAAACTTGCCGACAACGGACAGGCTATTCTCTGCACAATCCATCAACCTTCCGCTATCCTTTTCCAGGAATTTGACCGCCTACTCTTCCTTGCCAAAGGTGGGAAAACCGTGTATTTCGGTGGCATCGGAGAGAACTCGAAGATCTTGACAGATTATTTCGAGCGGAATGGATCCAGGACCTTTGGAGCCGATGAGAATCCAGCTGAAGTCATGCTTGAGGTCATCGGTGCCGCACCCGGCTCGGAAACAACTGTCGACTGGCCACAAGTCTGGAATAACTCTCCGGAACGTGCACAGGTTAAGACTACTCTCGCCGAACTAAAAGCAACCTTATCCCAAAAGGAAGTCATCCAAGATGATACTGCTCTTGAGCCTTACGCCGCTACTATGCCTGTTCAGCTATGGGCCGTTCTTCAGCGTGTCTTCGAGCAGTACTGGCGCACTCCTTCATATCTGTACTCCAAGACATTGCTTTGTGTGGCTGTGGGTCTCTTTATTGGCTTTTCATTCTGGCGCTCTCCAACCTCCCTCCAAGGAATGCAGAACCAGCTTTTCTCAATCTTCATGCTTCTAACAGTCTTCGGTAATCTGGTCCAACAAATCATGCCCCACTTCGTCATCCAACGCGCACTGTACGAAGCGCGCGAACGGCCTTCGAAAACATACTCTTGGCAGGTCTTCATCGTCTCCAATATTTTGGTGGAGATCCCATGGAATGCGTTGATGGGTGCATTGATATTCTTCTGCTGGTATTATCCCATTGGTCTTTATCGAAATGCGGAGCCTTCGGATACCGTCCATGAGCGCGGGATATTGATGTTCCTTTTCATCCTCATGTTCTTGCTCTTTACATCAACGTTCACCAATCTCGTCATCGCCGGTATCGAATCTGCAGAAGGAGGCGGTAATCTCGCCCAGCTCCTCTTCTCACTGACCTTGATTTTCAACGGGTAAGCACATCTGAATCTCCTCTCCTCGCTCAGGCATAAACAATTTTTCTAACGTGCATTTGAATCTAGTGTCCTAGCGTCTCCCTCGCAATTCCCCCGCTTCTGGATCTTCATGTATCGCGTCAGTCCGTTCACATACCTGGTCTCAGGAGTGATGTCCACTGGTATAGCCAAAACCGCCGTCGTCTGTGCGGAACGAGAATACCTAAACTTTGACCCGCCCTTCGGCCAGACATGTAAAGAATTCCTCGACCCCTATATGAGCTACGCAGGCGGCTACGTCACCAACGGGAACGCCACCTCAGCCTGCAGGTTCTGCACCATGAGCGACACGGATGCGTTCTTGGCGCAAGTAAATGTATTTTACAGCGATCGATGGAGGAATTTCGGATTGATGTGGGTGTATGTTATTTTTAATATTTGCGGTGCTATCTTCTTGTATTGGCTTGCAAGAGTGCCGAAAGTTAAGAAGGAGAAGAAAGAGAAGAAGGAATAGTTGCACGCCCTCACGGGGATTAGGACATTCATTTTAGTGTGTTTTCCTTTTTGTTTTAGTTATGGGTGGAAACGGGAATTTTGCATAACGCATTTTTCTTTGTATCTGGTGGGATTGGGATAGATAATCGCATAAAACAAGTACATAGACACGCCATAGAACCTTTTTTTTACCTTATTAGGATTGTTAATAGAGAGATAGAGAGTCGCAGATTCCATTCAATTCCATTTCGGCGATGCTGTTGCTTAGGTGCTTACGGTAGAGTGAGTTCCCCTAACCCCTTCGTTGGCGATTTTTCATATGATTCGACACTTTTTAGGATGGTATTGCTATGCATAGTAATTACTGGCGTAAGTACTTCATACATAGGTAAGCTAAGCAATTGGATTTCTCCTAGTGGGGCGGATTCATCCTGGCTACTTATACAAATACTCTTTCGATAATTCAGCGGGTTCTCCCGCTATCATGTTCCAGGTCCTCTGATTCTAGTTCCATGGCGCTCCCATCGATTGTGGTTCTTATCGATGTCCTGCATCAACTCCAACCGGGATGTCGAACGAAGTGTACATGTACCTACGCTAGATACTGTGGGTAAGAAGTCAACCTACCCTTCAGTCCTCTTCAGCGTCCTCATCCTCCACTAGTTAACATCCCCAGACAATGCTTCCACCGCGTCGCCCTCCCAAATGACGCCCAACCACCAGGACCGCAGAAACCCCAACCTCAGGGGCCCACCAAGATACACCCATTTGGCCCCCCACCTTTCTTCCCACCTCAGGCTCAGCGAATACTTGAAAAGAGGAGGTGTCGCCACACTTGTCACTACCGTTACAATGGATTCCGACCTTGAGGGCGCGCTGGATCGGATACAAAATATTCCGCCGAAGGTTATTACGGTTGGCAGTGAGCATATGAGGGAAGTAGTTGATATTGTGCGAAGCGAAGTGTCGGAGGGAAATAGGAGAAGTAAGAGGGTACATAAGGAAGTCGCCGCGAGCACTAGGGGTTCTTGAATATGCTGTACCTGCGAGCTAATAATCTGTGATGAACTAGTTAACATGGGGAATGCTAAGTGATAGGAGATGGAGTAGCGGGCCTAAGTGAGTCATATTATTATTATTATTATTGGTTTATTTGTTGTCATAAATACTTAGCCAACAATGGCGGCAAGACATGCATTCATTTTCGTATGGTTGGACAAACCACTGCCTAAGATACCTAGGTACCTTACCTAGCGTGGTAGTAGAGTCCATGTATGTACTTCGTATTGCACGCTTAGTAAAGCATGAACAATAAATCAACAATCACTCCTCGTGCCTTCAGACTCATTCTTCCGCTGCAAATGACATGAGTTCTATGATCATAATAGGGTTTTGTTACACTGACATCACTCATTCCTCATTCCTCCCGATATCCGTGTTTCCCCGTCTTACTCTCAGGGCTTCTGATAACTAAGCCGCGGGGTTACGATGCGCTGCATATGTCGCATGCTGAATAATCCTCGTCGGCGAGATCACTGGTGAATACGAAGTGGATGCGATGCCGATTAACCTTCTTGCCAAGTAAATAATAATGTAAGCTAGAGTCTGGACTCTACAGCTCTGCTAGACGTTATAACGGACTCGGTGAGTGACTCGAAAGATGACCTTGGCATGCATGCGCGGATTGCTGCTGTGGCAATTCAACTCTAATCGGGCCCCTTTGTTCTAAGGTTGCTATTGCAATACGGGTAGAACGGAAGCGTGTGTTCACTACAAATTCCGCGGAATGAGGTCAAGCTACTGGAGGTTGGGTGGTACATAAGAGCTCATGGTGGACGATAAATCCGCCCTTTCTTTTCACATCGTCACCATCAATAACCACTCGGTCAAGCTACAATCAAACCAACTCAAAATACATCTAATCGGCCAGTCACACCAAAAATAACAATCCTCTTAAAAATGGCACTCCCCGCAACAATGAAAGCCATAAACCTCAACAAACCCGCTGGCCCAGCTGGCACCGTAACCTTCACTAACGGCTCAACCAAGGATCTAACCTTCAATCCCTCCCAGCCAATGCCCTCACCCTCGCCCACACAAGCTTTAATCCGCGTGCACGCCGTCGCCGTCACGCCCTATGAACTCACCTGGGGATTTCCCCCTCAATCGGAACCGCGGGTTCCCTGCCATGATATTGCCGGAACAATCGTCTCAGCCCCGGCGAATTCGGGGTTTGCACCGGGGGATAGAGTATTTGGGCTCCTTGACTATATGGGCCAGGGCGGCATGGCCGAGTATACGGTTGGGGAGCCCGAATACCTTGTTAAGATTCCGGAGGGCTTGGATTTTGTGGAGGCGGCAAGTGTGTCGAGATCGGCTTTGACGGTCTGGCAGGCTATGAGAGTCCAGGGCGGTGGGCTTTTGAAGGAGGGCATGAAGGTACTTGTCACAGGTGCTACCGGTGCCGTCGGACGCTACGCTATCCAGATGATTAAACACTTCGTTGGGAAGGAGGGCAAAGTGATTGCCCTTGGAGGGAAGGGCAGTGAGGGCTTGAAGGCGTTGGGTGCGGATGTTGTGGTGAACTATCGAGAGACCAAGGAGTGGGACGAGGCTGTGAAAAAGGAGGGGCCTGTTGATTTGATTTTCGACTGTGTGGGCAAGAAGACGTTGGAGAAGGCTCTGGCGCTGGTGAAGGATGGGGGCGCGATCGTGACGATTGGATCCCCGCCACCAGATGTTGTTCATGTAGAAGGCTGGAACGAGTTGAAGGAGCGGAACGTGAACGGTATATTCTTTATTGTGGGCCCTCAGGGTGAGCAACTTGCCCAGATCGCAGCCCTGATTTCGAAGGGTGTTGTGAAGCCTTCCGTCGCCCTTGTGGTGGATTTGAGCGAGAAGAGTGTGCGAGATGGCTGGGATACAGCTTTGAACGGAGGATTTGGAGGCACACTTGTGGTGAAGGTTTTGTAAAATGCTGCTGCATAACGACTAGGATATAATTACTGATATATGATGGTAAATGTTGTACGAATAATGAAATAAAATCCCCCCTACTAATTTCCATCGGATGGTCTCTTGAACATGATATGTTGGGGAAATATAATTCTCATCCCATGCCTTCCTCAAAACGCACATTGTTTTCATCCTGTCTAGACCGTCGGTCTCGTCGCTTATCGGTCTTCTTGCTTTTCCTACACTTTTTCCAGACATCCCTATGTTCGACTTGTACTTCCCATCCAGGCCATGGCATGTTGGCGAGGGCCTCTGCCATAGCTACACTCCTATGTCTTCCTATCAAACAGTTGATCCCAACTCGTAGCCCAGGCTCGGAGGGGCGAAATGACGATGTTGATTCGGGCAACTCGTGACTCAAGGCGTACCCATCTCCACCCTTATCAGTATCAGGGGTTGTTTCTTTATCATCTGTTCTTGGAGTAGCTTCTCCCATAAAGGCTCGTTGGCAAAGTGTGTCCTTGTCTACACCAGCAGATTTTGAGTAAGGCTTCAAGACGTTCTTCTTATAACCATCCAAAGTAACCTTGGCCGCCAACTGAATCTCTAACCTGATCGCATCGCGACAAGAGATAAACCCAGGATCAGCATTAGCCCAATCTTGAAGGCATTTTGACATGCCATTGTGCGTGTCGCAAATATGCCTCGGCGGAGTCTTCAAGGAGCGAATATCAAACTGCAACTGAGGCGGAGGATTGAGAGGCGGTTTTTCGCCATGAGAGGTTATCAAAAGCAGAGGGAGCTGTGAGTTCGGGGCGGTTTTCGCGAGACCTGAAAGAACGGCTCCCATTTTCGAAGAAGACTTTGGGAGCGGTAAGTTCTTTTAGCACCCTTTGAGGAGATGCTATCAAACAGGGCTGAAAGGTAGGGGCACCTTGTGCTTTGAATGTAGGCATCTTAACATTTATGCGGCATTCCGTACTTGGCTCTATCTAACTGGCTCGCTAGCCTTCCCGATATATTTAGGGGGAGCGGGACACTTGGAACACTTGGTACTTTTGCTCTCAAACAAATGCTGAAATAATTTGCATGGTCAGGCATAGGACAGGAGCAAATATTCCTATTGGTAAATAGGGCTCCTTTAAGCACATGCTTACCAACTTAGCACCAAGCCATTCTAGTTTAGGGGCGCCTCAACTTGCACGCGCCCCAGGTAGAATCAGTATCCATGATTTCAACAGTGTAATCAGTGAATCACACGGTTTTCAGAATTAGAATCCCGACTCTTAAATACGATAGTCCTTATATCCCACAACATATTCAGTCTTTGTTGGAAAACGAATGCTAACCATCGATATCGATGCCGTCATCATCACTACCGGCTTCCTCTGCTCTGCTGCGATGGGTCCCGTCGTACTCGTCTACATCCTCATCACCAGCAGCTTCAAGTCTTTTAGCGCGCTCGACTTGTCGTTTGACTAATTGATCGGCATAGAAATCACTCGGCTCCAGCATCTATCATTCATTAGAATCGGATCCTTTCTATAGGGAGTTGAACATACAGCTTCACAGCCACTCTGCGGACATTTAACTTTCTTCGGTCCCGCCATTCGTCCTCTCGCACGTTGACTGGAAGGCCCGAACGCCGCACCCTCGGAAGCGTGATATCTCAAAAACTCAGCCTCCTCAAACGTATGGTTACAGACGTTCGAGGTGACCGGGTCCTTGAAGTATTGTAGGGTGAAGATGTCCTTGAGTGAGGTGGTGGCTCGTTGGATGACAACGTCGTCATCATCATCGTCTTCGTTATTTATGTTATCTGTGGTGTTGTTTCGGCGGCGCCTGCGAGAGCCGGGAGTCGCACTGGCATTGTTGTCTTCTGGGAACCATGTGCTTGCGTGAGGGACGGGTTGTGCGTCGGGGCCGGGATGTTGTGCATCGTGGACAGTACGTTTGAAGTTTCTGTAATCGTTCACGTCGTACCTTGTATCTCATCAGTATGCCACGCATAACTAATGGCCATAAATGTAACATACCTTAATTTCATACTCTTCGACCTATAATTCGCCTCGTACGCGTCTCTCGCCTGTTTCAGGAGCTCAACGGGACTGAGTACATCAGCTTCCGCAGCGGGCGTATTGGCATCTTCCTCCTCATCAGCACCATCCCCAAGCCCTCGTCTTCGTGGAGCAGGAGCCCTCTCAATCCTCTCCCCAACCTCCCTCATAAGTGTGCCTTGCATGGCAAGTTCATCACCATAATCTATCAGCTCTCTCAGCGCCTTTTCCGCCATGGTCGTCACATCATCAACCCTCTTATCCAAGCTTTGCACGTATTGCGCGGCTTCGATCTCGTCCTCCGTTTTCTTTTCATCCTCTAAGCCCGCTTGTTTCCTCTTCTCCTCCTGCTTGCGCGCTTGTTCTTTCCGGGCGGCAAGTCGGTCGTTGCTTGATACCGCCGCATCGGTTACAAGATTAATGGAGATTTGCAGATGTTTTTTGTATTTGGAGTAATCGTGATTCAAGGCGACCTCCTCTAGCGCACGCTTTGCTGAGGGTGTGAGGGCACAACTTGGTGGCTGGTAGGGGGGGAGGACCATGGATTGACGAGTACCGGCTTCAGAGTGGCGTTGACGGGAGCGAGCAGGCGACGATTCTTGATTGAGCCGAGATCGAGCGACTAATTTTCTCGAGGCCATTATTGAGTCTTGATGGTTCTTGATTTGGGGCGTGGAAAAGTTGTAAGTTCGAAGATTGCCAGTCGTGTTTGGCAGACGCGTTTCTTTGTGGAGGGGCGCGTCGGTGGCCTAAGCGCCAACCGTAATTGCATTGGCAGCGTGTTATTAGAGAGGCAGTTCGGAGGTACTGTACGGAGTAAGAGAGGCCTATGAAGCACGGGCGACCACGCTTCACAGTACTACGCACCCGCCAAACATATAGGTACCTAGGTACTCTGTCTATACCTCGGGAACAAGTCAATTAGACGCTAGAGTACTAAAAGTGTGGTACTCGAGTATGGTCTACCTACCGCTCTCCGTGAATGTGTCCAAGGTGTAAGAAACTAATGGGATCGTTACGCATACTAATTGGGATCTTGAGCTACAGCTAGCTAAGGTATATGGCCGTCTGACAACAAGCTCATCCCACCAACCTTGGCTATAAGGCACTAGAGTATCTTATATTTGTCGCGACGGGAATCACCTGTGATGACCTGAGAAAGCCTTGGGGGTTGGAATCCGGGTCCGCCTCTATCTCAATTGGTAGGGCAGGATTGCGGATTGAAGATGAACCGCCTGACAACGGCCTGAGGAGGTGCAAAGGCACGCTTTACCATTTTGAATTGCGCTGACAGTAGCTAAATAACATTCATCTGGCGCCAAGGTTCCGAACCGTAACAAGCACAGCTGTGATAGACGTGACCTGCGGAGAGGGTACTTCGCAGACGAATTGGATAGCTTTTATAGATGGGGGGCCTGAGACACCAAGCCAAGTTAACAAGCTCCCGGTTCCGAAGTCCTTCGTACTTCGTCGCTAACCGTGCAATTGCTTTCGCCAAGAGCTCGTATTGGCACAAACAACACATTATTGTTGAGTCCAAGAAAGAGGTGCGCAAGTCGCAAGCCAGCCGTGAAGCCTCTGCGGGACCAAGAGGTCTTGATCATGTGAAGCTTTTCTAGGCATCGAGCTTCGCTCCAAAGCCTCCGTCTCGGCAACGCCGAACAGCGCCCCTAGAATCCGCGTTGCACTGGCGAGTGGACGGGTGGCTGGGCGTGCGTTCTTCAGCACTTGTGAGTGGCCAAAGGCGACGTTGAGGCCTTGAATGACGGCGCTGGCGTTGGGGGGGTGATGGAACTTGGCCATTAGCAGGAGACTCGTTGGGAACGGATGGATGGGCTTGCAAGGAGCACGTGGGAAAATAAGCTTCTTCAAACCAAGGGATTCTTCATTGCGAAGAGTTGCCATGGGCAAAACCACCGCAAGCAAAAGGACACTACTGGATGACTACATAGTACAGTACGGAGTACCTTCGAAGGTATTGAATTGGCCCTGGGATACAGTATGGGGCTCGTGGAGTCTGAAGATAAGCCTACCAAGTACCTTGTACCTCGCCACTACGTATCTCAACCTCGGCCAGGGTTCGTCAATCCTTCGGATCAACTGCAGGACGATGGCAGCTTTGACCATAGTCAAAAACAGGAAAAAGGGGACTCGTCTTGCTCCACGAGGGGCTACAACCAAGCGCAATCAAGTGATGGTTTCGCCGAAGGATTGATGTGCTCTTTCTGGGCCGCGGCCACACCCAGACTTTGGATCTGCAGCATATGCAAGCTGGCAAGATATTTTATGCAGCCCGGAGAGGAGCTTCTCGGGAACTTTTAAGCTGGCCTCCTGCTGGTTTGAGCGACGGCCACCCTGGTAGCAGGTGCTGACCAGCCCCGTGGACCCTGTTTTGTTTGTTATGTTATGTTTTGCAAGCATGGATCCTTCCTATCTACTGCGTTAAGGGCCCATGGATATGGATCAAGATCGTAGCGCTAGTGCAGAAGCTACCCTTTTTCCTGTTCATCATTGGAAACCACGACCAGAGGCTCCGAGTTAGTTGCAGGCGCGCCATGCGGTAGCCGGATGCTACGTATTGACCACATGGGTTAACTGCGTAGTAGCAGTAATATAGTGTAATATAGTACGCGCTGCGAATGCGCCCTTGTCGGTGCCTCTTTTTTTGTCTCCAGAACTCCAGACCCCCAGATATAAAGGGCCTCTCCCCCTGCCCCGCGTTTTTGCGCTCTCTTTACTCTCTCTTCCTCGTTATTGCTCCGTGCTCCAGTTGTACAGGTACAAGTGTATGCACTAAGTCTTTGCTTTGCGCCGTGTCCCTCTCATCGCATCCACGATGCTGGGCAGAAACAAGACTGCTCCCGCAGCCGAGACTGAGTCCAATGGCTCAGACAACTACATCCAAAACGTCGATGTCGACCCGTTGGCCGTAATCCCCAAGACTAGATGGGAGCGCATCTGGCCCGCATTGGCTTGCGGCTCAGGCCTTTTCTCCGACGGCTACATAAACAATGTAAGAGGACCCTTAAAGTCTCCGAGCTCGGCTTGTGCTAATTCAGAACTCGAAGGTCATCGGCCAAGTGTCCACCATCCTGAAGAAACTGTACGGAGACGCCTATTCAAAATCCGCCGCCCAAAAGAACGTCTCTTCGCTAACCTTTGCGGGAACCGTCTTGGGCATGCTCATCTTCGGCTACACCAGCGATAAATGGTCGCGCTCTAATTCCCTGCTCGTGTCCACCATCATCCTGATCATCTTTGCCGCTCTCGGTGCCGGCGCGTACGGATACCATGGCAGCACCCAGGGCCTCTTCGCCGCTCTTACCGCTTATCGATTCCTGGTCGGAATTGGAATTGGGGGAGAATACCCTGCGGGGTCAGTCGCTTGCTCTGAGGCAACGGGCGAACTCAAAACCGGCACTCGAAATCGTTGGTTCATCTTGTTCACGAATGTAATGATTGATTGGGGGTTTGTGGTTGGCGCTTTCGTTCCGTACCTCCTGGTGGTCATTTGCACGGAAGACCATTTGCGGGCTGCATGGAGGATTTCTTTGGGTTTGGGCGTTGTTCCTCCATTGCTTCTGCTTTGGCTCCGAATCAAGCTGAAGGAGCCTGAGGAATTCAAGAGGTAATCAAGCCATTGCGCATATACCATGTATCACAAAGGACTAACAGGGGATAGGGAGAGCATGAAGTATGTCAAGATCCCATATATGCTTGTATTCCGCTACTACGGCTGGAGGCTTTTTATTGTCAGCTTGATTTGGTTTATCTACGATGTACGTCCACTTTCTTGCTCCGGGAATTCTGAAAAATTACTTATCGTTCCTGACAGTTTTCTACCTACTCCTTCGGCATCTACGGCTCCGCTATCCTTACCAACGTCCTCCCTGAATCCGCTCCTCTCTCCCAAGCATTCGGCTGGAACGTCGTTCTAAACCTCTTCTACATCCCGGGCGCCATGCTCGGCTCACTCTTCTCCGACTACGCCGGTCCACGATACGCACTTGCCACAGGCGTAGGGATCCAGGGCATAGTAGGGTTCATCATGGCTGGGCTCTATGGAACCCTCTCCAAGGCCTCCAACGTTGCCGGGTTTACCGTTGTTTACGGCATCTTCCTCTCCCTAGGCGAATTTGGTCCAGGTGACAACATCGGACTCGTTGCCTCCAAGACCTGCGCAACTGGTGTCCGGGGACAATACTACGCCATAGCCGCTGCGATAGGGAAAATTGGCGCCTTCGTAGGCACATACATCTTCCCTTATATTCAAGCAGCAGGTGGCGATAATGAAGTGAGTAGTGCGCAGTATCCTTTCTATGTTAGCAGCGCTCTGTGCATATTTAGCGCTGTTTTGGCGATTTTCTGCCTCCCGCACATTGGACAGGATACGATTACTACGGAGGATATTAAGTTTAGACGGTATTTGGAGAGTCATGGGTGGGATACTAATCAAATGGGACTCTTGAAGGGAGAGAGTGTTGAGGCTAGAGCAGCTGGTCGTGATGCCGTTACAAACCCCGTGGAGGAGAAGTTGGGGGAGAAGGCGATGTAGGTGGAAGTGGATGTGGGATAGGCGGAGGTATTAATTCTGTTGGCTTAGCGAATGATCTTTGATACCTGCTTAGAGATAGGGTATGGCGCATTCTTGCGCGACTTTGGTGCAAAACTCTTTTCGCCAGTATTATAAGGCCCAACGGCTATTACCTAGATATAAATCTAATATCGTATAATATCTTACTAGAATTGAGGCATTCAAGCTATATGAATAGCTCACTAGAATTAAGGTATTCAAGTTATATAAATATCTAACCGAAATTAAGATATTTATACTATCTAGATTAGTATATAGAAATAGTATAGAAGCTCGATATAGGAGATATGTATAGGTAGTAGGTAGTAGCTGTAAGTGCCTGATATTTCTAGCGAAAAGAGTTTTACACCAAATTCGCTCAAGAATGCGCCATAATAGGGGTCGTTATAACATGCTCGAGTAATAAATAATACTAGAATACGTGCCATTACCTAACACTGTCACCTCATAAACTCGAACTAATAATCTTTCCATATTTCCTTCGAAATGGGAGATTTAATTCTACCGGGTAGCAGGAACAGAATAAAACATACTATCTAACCGACCTAATATATCCGGAATGGCTAGGAACAGCAACCGCGCTAAAAGGTGTAAGTAGAGTGTGAATAGATATACATAAAACCATGCCACGGAATCGTAAAAGCGTATCACGGAAAAAGGCGAATGGTATTTAAATGGAGATATTTATCTATATTATACTCATTGATGGGAATGATAAAATAGCAGCACGCCTTTTCCTTTCTTCTTAGGAACAATCGTGCAAAAACGCCAGCAGACCAGTAACTCCGGTGGATGCTATATACCCCAAACCCCATTGATCCGCTAGATCTAATGTATACCAACGCCGAAGCACTTCTAAAGCAGTAATATCAGACGCGCACAGAGGGTGCTATTTCCGTCATACTCCTAAATTCCGTTGCATCTTTTCTGCTTTCCTCTCCTCCTTTGCCGCCTTCTTCTCCTCCTTCTTTGCTAGCTTCTCCTCCTTCTTGATGCGCTTCAGCTCCTTCTTCTCCTTTCTCGTTGGGCCCTTGGGGAACTCGCTTCCCTCTCCCTTTAGGATGCGTCCGGGATGCACGACGTTCATTATGGAAATCGCAAGTAGCATGGGCAGTGCGTCCAGGCAGAACTGGTATGCCTCGGTGTAGGGGATGGGGTTGTCTCCTGGCTCGATACCGGCAGAGAATTCGACGAGGCGGAAGATGATACGCACGGTAATCATCATCAAGGAGGCATATAGTGCGAATAGCAAAGGTCTCCAGTTGTGGGGGCGGCCGTCGAGGATTTGATTGCTCGTGCCGGCCATTGAAGCCTCAGCTTTCTTCATTGTGAGGAAGAATTTAATTCCGATCGCCGTGAAGAACAGGATGAAGAGTTCTTGGAGCCCGATACCACCCATGTACACGTGAATACCAGCCATCAATGTTTTTGGGTCTTGACCGGGCTGGATTAAAGCACCACCTCCAAGCTGGGTAAGGAAAGATCTTTGGCACCTGTTAGTCATTGCAAGAGAGAAGAGAATCTAGGTATTGAACAACTTACAGAACATCCAGCCACACAAAGATCTTCGCAATTTTGATCCCTCTAATGCCCCAAATCTTTTGCTCGGGCACAAAGAAGTATATCATCCGACCCACGACCATGTAGTCAAAAGCATTGACCCACATCGGCGCCAGCAGGAACAGAATCTGCGAAACGAAAGCTAGAGGTAGGGATTGCTGGTTTCTGGTGCCTGCTGCGCGCGTGGCAAAGCTGGCAAATTCCCATGCGCTGCCCATGACGATAACCCAGCAGAGGCGCCATTTTTTGTAATAGAATGCTTGGTAGATGTGGAGGAAGGTGGTGATGCCGAAGGCCACGGCGAAGAAAAGCGCTCCGCCAAAGGATGGGTAATAGCTGTAGTTGGCATCACACGCCCATTCGGGGACGTAGCCGTTCTTGTCGGGGACGACGCTGATACATGATGGTGTTGCGGTCGAGGTAGATGTGGCAGTTGGGTTGAGGGTAGTAGAAGACATTATTATGGTACACACTTCCCCAGGAGTCACGATATGGAAAAGGAATAGAATGAAATTTCAACGATGAGAAAACGGCGCCAGTCGGACTATAACAAGTGTTGCGATGATAAAAGATAGGCTTGGTATGTATGGAGAAGTAAGCTTAATATATCAATCACCATAGAAATGTCGTCTTCATACAAGCCCATGCTCCGCCTCGGGAACTACGCGCGGCGGTTGGCATGTCGCAGACGACGCGTAAGAGGTTTTAACAAGCATTCAGTTGGGAATAGACACGAATAGTCCACTCAGCGGTGCTCATGTCTCGCCATAGTGTTGGTACCGCGTAATAACGGACGAATCCTTCAATAAAGACCACGACGTAAGCAAAGCCTCAGCAAGGGCGGTGATGTGGCCCAGCGCTGGAGTCTCTGCTGCTCAGCCAATCCCCCTGCACCAGGGTAATAGCCAAACCTTGCGCAAAGCTTAAACAAGGAGAGCTTTGAGTGATCAACGGTACGGAACTACGTAAGGGCAATGAGGAAAGGAGAACTGTACGGACGTAGTACGCAGCCCCATAAGGCGCAGCGTTGTGCTGTGCATAGAACAGAGTTTCGCATGCAGATATGGTTTAAATTTGGATCACCGAGGGGTTTACCCGACTCGTCCCGCCGCCAGCCCAGCCACGCACTGTTGCAATTACCTATGAACCTGGCAATACGATTGGTACATACCTTACTTACCTGGTAATACGATTGGTGCTGTAACCTGGTAATACGATTGGTACGTACCATTACCTGGTAATACGATTTGGTACCTTCTGTATTTGACGGAAACCTCATATTGCGGTTACAGAGTCTACGCCCACGGACGCCCACGTGCAACTTCAAGGTTACAGTTCAGACTTATTGGCGCAGATCGATACCTGGATACGTGGGTATCGGCCGTAAGGTAAAAGTTGCTTGCTTTTGACTGTGACTTGGATTGCTTCAAGGCCTTTGAAACTCCAAGCCCCTTTCTAATATTGTAGACAATCACGTGACACGTCACATGATAACTGTACTGAGCGCTGATAAAAATAAATCCCTGAAGTGCAATGCAGTACTGTTCTCTGTATACCTAGCTACAGTAGAGTGCATGGTCGATAACAGGATTCCGCTGACTGTTGATCAGTTATCTAATGTGGCCTAAACAACTAAGCAACACCGCTGTGACATTTGCCTGTCTCACCACGCCTGATCGACATTCCATCAGGAATCAGGAATCAGAAGTGTCTTGAGTGCTGCACCGTCAGCAAGTCGAGCAGCAGGTCAGCTTACGGTACATGCCATCGGACAGGGGGCTGTGAGCCCACCGAGGGTCCGCTGACAAGGACGCTAGAATTCAGCGAAAAAGGTTGAATTGCCTTTAGCCAGGAACCAAGCATTCGCTTATTGGCCAAGCTTTTGGGGGCCGAGGAGAAGAACAACGGACCAACATTGGGGATCTCAGATCGCTTCTCCCTCCCCGCATGCGGATGGGCAATACCCGTCTCTGTCGCGGTGGACTTGTGAAGATCTCTTCACCTCAAGACATGGCTTCGTACGCGAACCGAACGACCAAGGCTGATTGACTCGCTACTCGCTCCGAGGGAGAGCAGCTTGCCGCCCTTGCATCGGCCATCAAACGAAACGAAACGAAACGAAACGAAATGAAATGAAATGAAATGAATGAACTGAAATCGCGGCATTGCGACTCGCGCTATACGCTGTACGGGAGGGAGTACTCGTATATCCCTCATGTCCATTTCCATTCATATGGCCCGTTTAACGAGCAGCTGAGGCCTAGACCGGCCCCTGCCACCAGTCGATCAACCGCATACTGGCAAGCCCGTGAGGATTTACCCAGATCAAGTGGCCTGGGAATGCGCCGTGCTGAACCCACATCGCGACTTTTTGACTTTTTACAGGTGATTTGTGCCTGTGGTGGGCCAACACGACTAGGCAACGACTAGCCTACAAGGTGTTATCGTTGGCGCCGTGGGGCAGTCTGGGGCAGTGATGTTGCTCTTGGTGTTGGTGTTGGGTCGAGGGCCGGCTAACAATACTTGAGCACTGCCATCCGCTACATGTACTTGAGTACTCTAGGCAGTTCAATAGTCTGCCCTAACAGTCCCGGGCTACTCAGCTACCCCGTATGGCCAATGTTAGCCATTCCATCGTTTTACGAGCATGGAGGGTTGGTTGGTTTCTCGCGCACCGCCGGGATCACTACTAAATCTGCGTCAGTCAGCCCCGTTGTTACTGTACTGTACCAGTCCTAAACTCCAGTACGAAGCACTCGTGCCCTATTCGGTGCTTACCTTACTCTGGCACGTTGTGCTGTGCTAGACCATTTCCGATCCGGGGCCTTCCTCCATATATTACCGTGCAACATCCTCGGAGACGCTCTAGAAACTTTTCGCCCTACCCTCACCCTCACCCTCCCCCCCTCAATTCCTCCCAATTCGAAAACACGAATCTGTGCCGGGAGGCCGGGACACTATCACGCCCCGCAGCTCCTATATCTAAGGTATCTGCCACAGTGAATCATGTCCATTGATTCATCTGTCATTGTTCCTTCCTCCTTCGTCCCGCTTGCCTCGTCTTCCGGTTTCGGTTTTCCCCCTAGACCTTTGTAGACACCAACTCCTGTTTCCTCTAGTCGCGATCCTAGCTTGCAGCTACGCCCTCTCTCCATTCCCGCCTCAGGGGGAAATAGCATTTCCAGAGTCCCCGACAGTATCCCTCGTTGATTGCAGATTTATGCCACCATGGAGATCCAGCTCGATACCCGCAGCATCATGAACACCACCGACCACAGTTATTTCGGTGGGAGAGGCCCTCATATTACCCATATACCGCTGGAGTCAATCTCGAAACTGGCCCCGTTCAGCGCCCTAATCATCAGCATCATATTCGTCATCTACTTCGTCATCCGACTCTACATCCTCGAAGGGTACCTTTTGCGGAGAGTCTACGGCGATATATACACGAGAATGGACGAAACAACGAGAAGGGGATTTGTAAATCACCATATCGCCGGCGCGACAAAGCTTACGATCCTTGTCGTAGCAGCGTATCCGTTCATTGATGTTGCTTTTGGAAATTCCACGCTCCATTCGAGCTTCGCCGGGTCCAAGATCGTCACTCAGGGGGATATATTGGTCGTCGCAGCGCAAGCCCTCATAGCTATGTATGTGTTCGAGTTGTTCTACCGGCCGAAGATATCACCTGTCAGTGCCGGGCATCACATTGGAACCATCATGATTGGGCAATCTGCGATAGCCATTTCCTTAAATCTTGTGCGCGAGAAGGATGCCACCATTGAGTTCATCCTTTGCACGGTGTGGGGTAAGTTTGCACTGAACTCGAACCCCTTCTGCTACAATGACTAACTGTACATTGTTGGCAGGTGCCTTTGACATCGTCTCCGAATTCCTTCCACACGTCTCCATCATCCTATACCGCGTCTACCCCACATCCCACAGATTCCTCCGCAATATCTTCTGCATGTCCTGTATCACCACTTTAACAGGAACGGTGGCTGAGACGATACTTACAATGTACCTATTCGGGAGTCTTTGGGACCGGTGGACTATCGCCTTCAAAGTGGCCACCCCAATGCTACATGTCCTTTTTGCGTCCTGCCAGATGTGGGGGAGTTGGAACTTCTACAAGATGTACCAAAAGCAAAAGAGGACCATAGAGATGAAGGAGAGTGGACTTAACGATGTGGAACTCGCGCCACAAAAGGACGAGTTGAAGGCCTCGGAGCCGCTGAAAATTTATCATGCAACCGAGAGGACTTCCGCTGAAGTCTTGATCAGGATTCCAGAGCAATCACACCGACCTGCACAATAGTTTTGAAGCTTACAGCTGCATGGTTTTCCATTTTCGTGATCAGCATTTGAATTTAGCCCACGGCAATTGCGTTAGACGGCACAGGGTCTGCAGGCATAGACGGAGTTAATCAGGGGTGGATGGATTTGACTTCAAGTTTTTTTATTTTTATTTGTATACAAATGGTTTTGTAGAAGATTAGGCATAACTGTACATTATCCTACAATGCGAAAAAAACGCTGCCGGCATTAACAAGTCGAATTATTCAACCCACTACACGGGGTAATCTTACCTTGCACCCAAAAGATTAACACAATGCCCCAGACGTTTTCATCATCCCTAGTTGTTGAACAACAGATGCGACAGCCGCACGCCATCTACACACGCGATAGGCTTTGGTGAGACAACACCATGAGGTTGTTTTCCCTTCCCTACGTGGAATTCTGTCCGTAAGTATCGTTTTGCCCAGCCCTTCCAGAAAAGGAATTTTCGATATTTCGAACAGTCTAGACCTTTAGGTACCGTGCGCTACAGCTCTTGGCAAATGCATCACGGAATTCCATGGTGGGATACGCCTTGTGAGACATTTTCCGCAATAATGGCAGAGTAGGTGGGTAAAGGCGATGGCTTTGCTTTTTGCAGTTGTGTATCTGTTAGGGCAATGGAATTTGTAATGGAATATTGTATTGAATGGCGTGTATTGCGTAATAATAGGGCTGTTGGAGATTTGAGTTGCGGCGGTGATGTGATGCCGGGTTCTTCTGAGGATGGTGGGGGAAGGCTCTTGGCACACCGGGATGTCATGGGCTTGATTATTCAGGTTTTCGCGGGGGAGCAACGAGATATTAATGTTTTCGATAAATCGGCTCTAGGCCTACTTGGCATCTTAAAACCTTTAGCAGAAACTAGTTTTCTAAGTCCTGATATTATTTCTTGGATATCGCTTGAGACCTATTCTACTTTTGAGTCACTTCCGAGATCTAAGCCTTCGCCCTTGAAATTAACCCTATGCTTGGCTTGGTTAGAACACTTGAGTATTGGGTCGACATTAGCTGGCGTCGAAGGTATTCGCTGATTTGAATGTGCCCATGGAGTATGTAGCCCCTAGGTACTTAACGGGGACCTTTTGATTCTGCCCTACTTTGCAAGCACGACGAGGTAGAGCAGGCAAGTCATGTGACCGGCCCCCCTTTATGACAGCTCGGGGACATATACAAGAATATGTCTCGTCTGTGGTTAATGGAAATGAACTATTTAGCAACCATAAACAAATATCCGTCTGTAGGAAAGTATCAGCATACCCAGGATTTTAAGATTTTAGTTAGAGTTTAATGCCTACCTATAGTAATATAATATGGGTCTGGTGCGATATTATGAGAATGAGCAATCTGCGCTATAACAAGCTTGGGAAATGAAGTAATTTCATTCAGCTAACTACAAAATTCCTAGCCCTTTCTAAATGATCGGTTAAGGATTTTGTTCCTAATACTCTTTCCACCACTATCGCCTAACATGCCTAGAACCCTACTCTTAAATTGCCTCCCTATAGAACTATAATCCTGACCCCAAACACCCCCAAAGTTAGGAAAAGGCCCACTGCCTCCCCCCTCCTCGGCAGTCACTCCCACTCTACTTCCCACCCCACTGAAGTTCATTGTATCGTACGACTTCTGTGGTGTATCTCGACCATGGATATCCAGCCGACCTTTGGGTCCAGGACGCATCTCACTTCTCACCACAGCAAAACAGGCATGGGCAACAGTAGCCGAGCATGGAAGCCAAGTCTCTGATTTATGCATGTCGGAAAATACGCCTTCTGGCAGGGATGCAAAACCAGGACCACGAGAAGTCTCGCTCTTGCAAAGCTCGTCGGCGCTGTGTTGCTCAAGAGTGTTCTTGATCAAACACCAGCCATGAATGGAGTTGTGCTTCCGGTGTTGCTTTCTTCAGTGGCGTTTCTCTTGGTCACGCTAACCGGCTTCCTATTCATACCTCTCTTTTTGTCGACAAATTTGCCTGGATTGCTGGTCACTAAGGCAAGGTCTGCCTCACAGTTGTCCGAATTGTACTTGAGCCTTGGCCAGAGGATCATTACCAGCATTTTAGTAATCACTCTGTGTAAAATTTGATTATAGGGGTACTAGAACACAAGGTTTTAGGATTGTGCTGATATTGCCTGGCTATCCATGCTGTAGTACCATGTCCGTCATCGATCAAATCCCTATGCCCTCTCCTTTCATTCTCGACACTAGGTTCTAGATTGAAAATATAATACTATTGAGATGACAGACAGTCTATAAAGCGATTATATATTGGTAAATGAGGCGCACTTTGTTATTTCCTTGATCACCAATTTATCATATAACTCTTGCACAGTTATTCCAACGCACCTCTCACATACGCCCCTCTCTAGTATCTCATTTCTTGTTCCCCGAGAAATTCGCAATGAGTTTCAACTTAAAGACGCTAGTAGCGACGATAGTTACTCTGCTTGCACCATCCAATGTGGACTCCTGTGCTATAGATGGGCCGAATAGTCTGAATGGAACTCGTATAGGTCTCCCATTTAACCATGGAAATGCGAATTCTAACGATATCTCATAGACGAACTTCAAAGTGGAATACTGTTTCTGGCACTGATATCAGAATCCGAGAGACGGCCAGCGACGGGCACCAGTTGTAGCACTGTCAAAACCACGGTCGAAACCAAAGTTCAAGCCAACACTCAAGCCCAAGGCCATGCCAAAGCCAAAGACAAAGGGACCAGATGCCAACAAAGATATACCAGATAATCCAGCCATCCGTTCTAAAACGCCATCAGGGCTCACTGTGCAGGGAAGAGTGCCTGGATGAGGAATATGCATCAGATTCAGATTCAGAATTGACATACGAGCAATGTCTCACAACTGGAAGGGCAAATATGCAAAAATTGAACACGAAGCTGAAGGCAATCAAAGAACACCCTGATAATCTTCCTAATAAGGCGAACTCCAAATCGATGGACAACGGATACAAGATGACTGCCGGAATGGAGGCTGGTGTGAAATTCGCTGAATTTGAGAGTGTCGAACGGATTTTCAATGACCTCAAACTGGACATGAAGACAACTTTCACGGGTAGAAAGGTCTATGCCGTTAACGGCACCCAAGTCAAAATTGTGCAAGATAACTTCTTTTAGACGTGTGGGAAAGATGGGGTTATCATCGCGAAGTGGAATAACATGAGATCGAGCAACATCGCCCCAGAAGCGCAGAAGATCACAACCTGGAGCGAGCTTCTCTATCAGACAATGAGGAAAAATTACGGGGACAAGGTTCCAGATATCAAATACATTATACGGGATGCCATTAACAATAAGGGTACGAAGGGCGTTATCCAAGAGGCTCACACCACGCTTCCTAGATGCGTCGTGAATCAGAAAGGAACATTCGATCCATTTTCAAATGTGGGTGATCACGCAGAAGCAAACGCTGCCAAAGCTCTGATCGGAACTAGGAATGGAAGGGGGGTGGCATACCTGCTGGACGACTATCCAAACACATTTGGCCAAAAAACAATAACAAAGGTCCATACTTGGTACGAACCAGGTTTTATTTGGGCTATGGCGTTCGAGCTGGGGCCTCTCCCTCTAAGGCCTAGGTGATTTGGATAAAAAGCATCGAGGGTCGATTCTGTTTGTGTTGGGTTAAGACGGTCGACGGCCTGAGGGGCGGAATTTGCTGGCGGTGAATACGAGTATCCTTCCAGAAAGGACACCTGTATATTCTCATGGACTTGTCTCTGTGTGGGGAGAGCGGAGGCATAGTTTGATGTGTTTCAAGCATAACAAATACTCGTCTCTGGCAATTTCAACCATTTCGCTGCCCGCTATTTGACATTGAAAAGGGGAAATTTGTGATTGAGGTGAAATACGGTTCGAGTGTCCTAGTCACGAGATTAAGCTCCAAAGGCTAAATGGCCATATGCCCATAATTCCATTTAGCCCAGACCAAAAAACCTACCCTAGGTAGAATTTAATACTTCGTACTCAGCGTGGTGGAGGAGATACGGTTGCTTCATTTTCCCGTACCGAGTGCTACGTGGGGATTTACCGCGAACCAAACTAGATCGTCCGGTTTTTGCCCCTACCACGAACAACCAAAGCCACGCATGCTGTCCGGGAATATTAAAGATTTATTGTAGCTTCGCCGAGTGGCCCGAGTAAATAGTAAGACCCTTCATCTTTGACGCACTGAGGCTCGAATAACGCAATAGCTTGCTAGGCTTCTTTGAACGCGAGGTTACGAAATATCTGGTTCGACTTCGGATTGTCGATATGCATCACATTTTACGCGAGATAATGATGGATATAAAATCCATGAGTCCTTCGAACTTCGCATAGCTGTTGAGGAAGTCTTATATGAGTATCGGGTACCGCACAGCCTCACAACACCCATCCACGCAGTCACTCCCGATTTACTGACCCGACTGGCCTAGTTTACGAAGCCGGCCTGAAGTGTTGAAGTCCGTTTGCGCCATGGTACTCTCTCATCATCAGTCAATGAGGTGTATATTTTATTATCTACTAAGCTTAAGGCGACCCCGAGACATGTTCAACTAATCTGTCACCGATTCCCAGTGCCTTGCGAACCGGAGCCATAGAGGTTACAGGGCTTCTTCTCGAACTAAGCGCACAACCGGTCAATACATAAGACCCGACGATACAAGAATTTCTCGATCTAGGGCCCATGACTATAGCAAAACGGGAAGCTTTCAGATTGAACCGTCGTTGGTATGTCAGGGCGAGAGTAGAAGCCGGTGCCAGGGGATAATAGGCCCCTTGAACGCAAACTGTCCCTCTCAGAAACTACCCGGTGTTAGAAAACAACCTCTAGCTGTAGGCTATTGTGCAGGATTTGAGAAAACCTTGGGTGTGCTTTTTCGGACGTTTTTGAGGAGTAACTGCAATATTTGCGGAAAATATTTTCATTTGAGTCATTGGCTATTGGCTTTTGCCTCTGGGAAGTATGGACCTAAGTTTGATTATGATATGTAAATCAAGGTTTGGGAAATTTCTAGTTAACCACGAACTCAACGAAATCAAATCACTATGAAGTACTTCAAATCTTTACACCGACTAAGACAAGATTGGAGGCAGAGCTACTGACAGGTCGTAATGATTCCCTACCACCAAGGCTTCAGAGCCACATTGATCCTGCCCCACTGAATATTGGATGCAAACTCAAGAGCGACCGTCTGTCAAACCCCTCGTCGTTCGAAGCCTCCCCCTTAGACTTCTAATGTATAGTTTTCTTGACCCTCCTTCAAGAAACGACAAGCGTCCAAAGTATAAAATCAAAGAAGAAATTGGCGAAACTTCGACAAGTTGGAGAGGCGCAAGAGAAGCAGACAGGACTCTCAAGGTGCCAAGGAAATACGAGACTGGAAGAACGAGAAGAAAACAACTCAAAGTTGATGGAACTGAGATGACTGTCACCGGAGTCCAAAGGGCGGCCCCTTAAATTGCCCCTTCTAGTTATAAAAAACTATGTGGTCACCTCAATGTTATCATTAGCTAATAGTGTATCTAAACTAGTTGTCGTGCCATCTCTCTTCCATGTGACGAAATCGTAATTATAACAAGAATTCGATAGCTAAACGGGCTATGAAACTACTCAAGGCCGTGGCCATGAGGAATATCTATCATCCCAAATCCCAAACATCAGTACAGCCAATAATTTCATGACCTACAGGGCCCATGCTGTATCCTTGTGTGCGATGGTAAATAACGCTTAGCTAAAAATATTAAATCTCACCACCACTTCTCCTCTGAATTAACCTATTTCAGAAACTGTGGGGTGGTAATTCTGCTGAATGGGCCCGGCCTGATAGGATATTGGTGTAGGACGATGTGCACTGGGCGAAGACAGCTCGCTCACCGGCGGCTGGTGTATTGTTGGTGGAGTGTGAGGAACTGTCATCTCGCTCACTGGTCGCTGGTGTGCATTGGAGGTCCCCATTTCACCCAGGGTGGGTACAGGGGATCGGGAATCACCAAGCCTTTGATCATGGAACGCATGATGGGATGCTGAATCATTGGGAGCAATCGATGAATGTGGGCTCATCGGGGAGATGCCACCAATTGGGGGGGAATCGGCCGAGGGAGGTTGATGTGGGCTAGGTGCCCATTGAGGAGGCGGGCCGCCGTCGCCCTTATAATCGGCGGAGGCTGGGTTGGGGTACGCCTGTCCTTGTGGGGGCATGTATTGTTGCTGCTGCATGGGCGGCATCGCTCCCATTCCCGGCTGGCCTGGTGGCATATATTGCTGCTGACCTGGTGGCATGTATTGCTGCTGGCCTGGTGGCATGTATTGCTGCTGCGCGGGCGGTGCTCCTGCTCCTCCTGATCCTCCTGCTGCTAGTGTTCGCGCGCGCTTCCTCTTCTTGCTGATGATAATAAATATTATTATTGCACAAATGACAAGGAGTGCAATGATGCCGACAACAACCCCTGCTATCCAGGCCAGATTCCTTTTCACTCGCGATACTGTTGGTGTTGATGTCGATTTGGGAGCTGGCACCGTTACCGTTGGGGCCGTTGTTTTAGCTCCTGAATTTGACGCCGAACTTGCGGCGGGATCTAGAGAATGTGAGTGAGCTCTAGTGCCTTTGCCCGAGACATGATTTATAGCTTACTAGTAGCACTAGTAACAGTTGCTGGCAAGGCACGGTAGAAGTTTGTTTGTGGCCCGATATAATTACACCCGATCCATAACGTTGGGCTTGCAACATTAGTACTTTGATAGATGTAGTCGGTATTACAGGTATTCGAGCTATACAAACAAGTCAGTAAAACTAACAGAAATGCATGGTGGAACATACCAAGAATATGGACCGTCAGGATACATCGCATAGTCTCCAGAGCATCTTGTTGCAAAGTCATTTTGTCCGCATCCGCGAGACGTGCTGCAACATTTGCCATATGAGTTTGAAGTCGTCCAGGTCATGCCAACAACACATCGTCCCGTTTGCCCTAATTTATATAGTTAGTCGACTCTGGCGGGGTAATATGAAGGAAACTGGAAATGCTTACAACTCAGATCGCCAGACTCCGAATAATACCCAATAAGGCGAGTGTCTGTAGAACCTTGCCTCGCGACGATGGGACCCGGCGTGATCATGGGCTCGCGTTGCTCAACAGCATGAGTGTATACGCCCGTAGCGCATGCTGAAAGCGCGACAATAAGATGCGAGATAGCCATCTTGACGCCTCAAATTGCCTACGACAACACCAAGGAATGGGACAAGAGGAAGCAAAGACGAGACCGAGAGGTTCCCCGGAACTTATCTTGACCTGCCATGGTTTTATTAACAGCGTCCATTTTCAGCTCAGCCTCGTGTAACCAATCGTGCACGGCTTGGCTGGCCCCATTCAATATTAAACTCAGGGTCTATAATAGTGCGGTTGGCTGGCAAGATTCCAAGGTCTTGAATGCGGCGATCTGCTTCGCTGGAAATACAACTGCGGCTTGAGGAGGCTGAATATGGCTTGAAAGAAACAAAACTAATGATGCCACCAGCAACTTCCACTTCTGATAAGTTAAGCTACCATCAGGCGGGGCGACATACGAGCAAGGCTTTCTCGTCCAAAATCAGCCTGGATCGGTCCATCCTCAGAGAGGTAACTTGGGTGCGCAATTCATCGAGCAACAAGTACGAAGTACTCCGTACGAAAGTCGAAACGGCAACGAGAGCTTTCCGGATGCCATTCCACGGCCGCAAACGCAGTCCATTATTGCAAGTGATAATCGCTCGCTCAAGAGTCAAGAGTCAAGAGTCAAGAGTCAAGAGTCAAGAGTGGAATGAATCCACGTGGGGAGGAGCTGAAGGCGAAACATTTATTGCCAAGCAACGGAGCTGAACCTCATCGTCCGTGCTGCAACAGGGCGGCTCAAAGCAGCCAGCGCATAGTACGGCTTCGCACGGAGTAATACGGAGGTGGGTATACTTGTACTTTGTTCTCTTCATATTGACAAGGTTGATCTAACAAGCTTGTGCACGAGTAAATTGTTCTGTTGTCCGTACAGAAGTAAGTGATATATATCTACCTACCTAGGTATGTATATAGCAAACAGAGCAATAAACAAGAATACCTGCCGAGCGAAGTTGTCGTCCCGGGGATATTTGAAATGGTGGCCTAATAGCCTGAGGCAGCAATGCTTAATTTGCACCTCCCAGGGGCTCATCGTGGGGCGGCTTGGGAAATCGATGGATCAATGGCATCTGCCGAACCGTATCCTTATTCCTTTATTATTTCGCGCATCATATGGGAGATTCGATAGATTTCATGGGGTGTGTATCATGGGACTGACCACACAAGCACGATGGTCTATTCGCTGCGATATCGTACAATGGCAAGCTATGTATATCTTCCCATCTTCCCTAATATTCTATGCTCTCTCGCTCCCTCTCAATCTCACCGCCTGACCATACTTCTGTAACTTGGTGATGAGTTGATCGCCTTGCTTCACCACATCGTTATATTGCTTGTTCTTGGAATCTGGTCTGTTGGTTTCGATAATTCCTTTGCCAGTGACACGGTCAATTGTGCAAGGGATTCTATCCGCCGCGATGAACTTGGCAAGATCGCTAGAGCACCATTAGCAGGTTGGTCATGTGTTGGGATATATGACATACCGGTCTAGGAAATCTACGGAAACGCCGAAGTCGTTGGCCATGCTCTCAAGGCCCACAACACGGTAACTTTGGAGCAATTGTTGATAAGCACGGAGACGCATCTCTCGGACGAACCATCCTCGGTGCTCATAAAGATACCTATCCTGGGTCAAAAAGTTGACCTCCACAGCTGCTAGAGCACCGAAGAAGGAACGATAACTCCCAGTATAGAGACTACCAACCAGTTGCGCAAGTGGGGAGAAATCGATGGCAATTTCAGAATCGGATTGCTCGCTTCCAAGGGTGGTGAGGTTAACTGCTGTTTTGGCACCGGCCGGTGTCGCGGTAGACACATCTTTCATCTCCTCATCGGCTCCTGGACCGGCTGATATGGCACCTGAAATGGCCAAAAGCTTATCCTCACCATCGCCCAGGATTGCCTTGATCTCTGGCGCATCAACGACTTTGGATTTAAAATCCACGCGCTTGAGCGAAACAGATCCGGCCAGGACAGCATATACGACAAGTGATGAATAGCTACAAAGCTCGTAACTGGTGAAGGTCGAGAGACTGTCAAGAAGCAGGGGAGCGGCAAGGTTGTATGATCGTGTGGTGAGTAAGTAGAGTCCGTGGTACGCCTTTAATCGGTTTCTTCGGTCCCAGTCTCCTCCGCTCTCTACTAAAGCCTTCGCACGATCGACTTGTTTCTTAACTAGCAATTTGTCCCCGTAGAATAGCCCTATCCGGATAATAGCGAGCACAAGGTCAATCTTCGTCCCCAAGATGCCGGTCTTTTCGAATACTTCTTCGTATGCCGCAATCGCACGGTCCTAAACGGCAAACGTATTAGCATATGCGGCCATATTCGTACTTAGTAAAGGTTTTACCTTGTCCCCGACCCGAGCCCAAAACTCTGCTCGCTTTCCTCTTGCAGCTTGTACTTCTGTATCCCCAGCCTTTTCCGCCGCCTCCTCTTCCTCCTTGCTAAAACTCTCAAGCTCCTCATCATTCTCCTTCTTGAGCTGTTCATACACAGCCTCGTCCCAGGGCATGTTAACCTTTGGTATCGAGTTCCTACTTGCCACAATACCAGCCGCACTTGGTTTCCTTCCAATCGGTTGCGCAGACTGTGAAGTACTCTCCCCGGTGCCGTTCAGGATACCTTCTATAGGGTGCGCCAAATACCGATAGAACGATGCCATCTTATGCTCGGTGATTGCATCTTGGAGGCTTTTTAAGGATGTCTGTTGGCTTGTTTTGGAGGATGACGGATTGGTGAGGGTAAAGACATGCTGAGCTAAAGGCAGCAGAGGCCATTTCGCATATTGGGGATCGGAACCCATCTCAAGTTGCCGTAGAGGATATTAGTGAAAGGGGGAGTTCGGTAATGGAGGTTGATGGGAGAATCGTGATATGTGTTCGTTGGATTATTGACGTTATTGTTGAAGGCCGGCTGAAGCTCGAGCTCCCTCCACGCTGCTGCTCCAGGCATTAGCGCGACACGAATTCCACTCGGCAAACGTGACTTCGTCTGGAGCCGACCTCCCAGCAGCCTTCGCGAAAACAAAGAACATAAGCATTGAGCACCAAGTCAACTTTAATTTCATTATTTAATCTTCAAAGTTGGAATTTTCAGTAACGACTCTTATTCCAATTGACCTCAGAATGGCAGACGCCGATGCCCCAAATACTTCCTCTGTGGAAGAGCAACCTCAGCCTTTCAATGCAACCAAACTTGAACCTGCTAAGAAACGCAAGAGATCAAGGTCGCCTTCTAATCCTGCCCCAAAGCGTGTCGACTCTCGTACAGAATCCGGAGGACATGCCTCGCCTTCGAACTCTCTAAAGCGCCAGCGTACGCCGTCGCCTCAGCCTCAGCCTCGAAAGCAGAAGCGACCTGGTCAGCGAGCTCGAATTACAGATGCGGAGCGCGAACACATTAAGCAAAGGCAGTTGGAACGCGAGAAGGAGTTAGAAACTGCGGTTGTCAAGCAAGGAACAATTCACGATGCTGTTAAGCAGCATTATAATGCGGTTCCAGAGCGAGGCCGAGACTGGCGCAAAACGGACAGTCGTATCAAGGGCCTTCGGAGTTTTAATAATTGGGTGAAGAGTACGATCATTCAGAAATTCTCTCCAAACGAAGACTATACTCCCGGAGCACAAGAACGCGGCGGTATGGTTTTTGCAGAGGGTCCCCCACCTAAAGGCCTTCTGGTTCTTGACATTGGATGTGGGAAGGGCGGAGATTTAGGAAAGTGGCAGCAAGCACCTCAAAACGTAGAACTTTATGTTGGCCTTGACCCAGCTGATGTCTCCATCGACCAGGCCAAGGAAAGGCATCGCCAGATGGCAAGTCGTGGTAGGGGTGGCAGAGGTGGGAGAGGCCGGGGAGGATATGACAATAGAGCGCCGCCCCGATTGTTCCAGGGAGAATTTTATACGCAGGATTGCTTCGGAGAATCTATTGAAAAGGTACCACTTGTTAGGGATGTTGGCTTTGACCCCTCTGGCGGACCTTCAAGATTTGGTGGTGGTGGATTTGATGTGGTCAGCATGATGTTCTGCATGCATTATGCGTTCGAGAGCGAAGAAAAGGCGCGATGCATGCTTAAGAATGTTGCGGGCGCACTGAAGAAAGGAGGCCGATTCCTTGGATGCATACCCAATTCAGATGTCATTAGTGAGAAAGTCCGGGAATTCAACGCTCGCATAGCTCCGAAGCCCGATGAGGAGAAACCTGGGGAGAATGGCGACGATGCAGAGAGCAAGGCACTAGTAGAGCGGGAGGAAGGCGAGGCTGATGACACTGCTGAATGGGGAAATGATATCTATCGCGTTCGCTTTCCTGGCAAGACGCCAGCGGATGGCATCTTTCGACCACCTTTCGGACAAAAGTACAACTATTTCCTCCATGAGGCGGTCGAAGAGGTCCCTGAGTACGTTGTTCCTTGGGGGGTCTTCCGTTCGCTTGCCGAAGACTACAATCTGGAAATGCAATACCACAAGTCTTTCGACGAGGTCTGGAAGACGGAGAAGGATGACGAGATATTGGGTCCACTGAGTGAGCGTATGGGCGTCAGGGAAAGGGGCCGCGGCCCACTTCTCGTTAGTGATGAGGAGATGGAAGCTGCTAGCTTTTATGTGGCCTTCTGTTTCTACAAGGTGTGAAATGCTCCATGGGTTATTTGCAATATGAATGGGTATTGGAGGCGACGGGGAACCGAAAATATACCTGCACAATTATGACATGTTACAAACTTTTTGAGGATCCTATAAACTATGAACATCAGCCGCCACACCACTCAAAATATATTTGAAGTCTACATGAGCATGACACATACGTGTACTAGTCACTCCCGCCTCTACTGTTGCATGAGTGTGAGCTGGCTTCAAAAATTGGCATCGGTCATGAGCAAGCAATCGACCATCGAACTGCTGGGTCAAAACTCAGCCAACATTTGTAATCCATACATGAATCAGCTTCGTCCTTAGCTTTACCTCCCTTTCTCTAATTTATGTGGACACTCCCCGTTCACAGCTCCGATACTTCGGTGTCTAGTGATATAGTGCAATTTAAAGTAGTCTTCGAAATAATATGCGCCAACATCTCCCACACGTGCGCTTTACTGCTGAAGGTACCACTGCGGCTAAGTTCGGATTAGCTAGCTTCTCAGCTTCTAGATACTTACTCGAGTCTACGTTTGCCAGTAGTTAGGGTGCCCTCTGATACGTCGTACTACTATTATTAAACAATGGTTGTATGTATCTACCTATCTATCATCCATCTGTTTCTAAATTATACTCTTCTTCTCCAACACCTCTGTTTGTGGGGCCTCGGTACTTCGTATTGGGACTTGTATCTCCAGATTCTCCACGTCTGCCACATCCTCGGCGTGGGGATGTTCCACAGGGTCAGCGATGGCCCGCTAAGTAAGATACGGCCAAGTCGGTACGACAAATCTTCTTATCGGCTATGGAATTTCCTCCCCGACCAACAAGAGCCAAAGAATAACGCGGAGGACGGGGAGATCCCTGGAACCACAAACTTAGAAGAGATATGGCTCATCTCCAGACTCTTGAATCAATATCAGCGTTATTGTCGTCGCCATTATCTAGGGGAGCCACAAGGCTACGGCTACCCTCAAGTATCCCGCAGATTTGTCGGAGATCGCTCTCCTCCTACTCCACGCCTCTCCACGATTCCCCGCCATGGACAATAGGATCGTCAGGTACGTGGGAGTTTTCTCAGATTGGCCGAAATCGTTCACCGTTTGCGCTTCACCGATATTCCGGTGTCGGGCATTTGCGGTGCATTTCCCATGCAGATATTCAATGGTGGGGGAGCCAATATGCGGTCCCTCTGTGACAACAAAACTTTCTTTCGCCGTCCAAGCATTTATATCCCGCATTTTGAAGTGCATCGATTATATGTGGAAGTCGCTCTGACCTTACCCTTTTTCTTTACCAGATAATCCGCAATACTCTTATCGATCTCGACCCCCCTTTGATTACGTGCGAATACCACAACGACACCGTACCATGTCGACCACTACTTCCCTCCGCAGCTTGAATATAGATAACATCAACCCCCGTGTCAAAGAAGCCGAGTATGCCGTAAGAGGAGAGCTTGCCGTGATATCAGAGGAGTACAGAGCTAGACTATTAAATGGGGACACCAATCTCCCTTTCGACCAGGTCATCTCAGCCAACATTGGGAACCCCCAACAACTAGACCAGAAGCCGATCACATTTTTTAGACAGGTCCTGAGTTTACTGGAGTATCCACCGCTGTTGGAGAAAGAGGACGTGCTGCTAAACCAGCTGGGATACAAACCTGATGTTATCGCAAGAGCGAAATGGCTTCTGAAAACCGTGGGCTCTGTTGGTGCGTATAGCGCCAGTGCAGGCGCCCCTGGAATCAAACAGAGCATTGCAACTTTTATTGAGGGTAAGTGCCACACCCTTAACGAATACTAGCTATTCTAACAATCAATTTAAGGCCGAGATGGCTTCCCAGCAGACCCCAAAGACATCTATCTCTCCGCAGGTGCTTCTTCCGGTGTTAATACCCTTTTACACATCATTTGCGCTTCGCCCCAAACTGGAGTCTTGGTCCCTATCCCACAATACCCTCTCTATACCGCATCGCTCTCCGTCCTCGACGCAAAATGCGTTCCCTACTACCTCGACGAGTCCAAAAACTGGGGCACAGACCTTGAGGCTATAAAGTCTGCATATAAACAAGCAGTGGCAGAAGACATAGACGTTCGCGCAATTGTCATCATCAATCCGGGGAACCCAACTGGTGCGAGTCTCTCGGAGGAAGATGTGGAGGCTGTTATCAAATTTGCCGCACAAGAGAAACTCGTGGTCATAGCAGATGAAGTCTACCAGACCAACGTCTTCAAGGGAAAATTTCACAGCTTCAAAGGCGCCTTGAGGAGTTTGCAGAAGACTGAGCCAGAGAAATACGCGAACGTGGAGTTGGCTTCTCTGCATAGCGTCTCCAAGGGAATGGTTGGTGAGTGTGGACACCGTGGTGGATATTTCGAGTTGGCTGGTTTCGATCCACTGGTTCAGGAGCAAATATATAAGTTTGTGTCCATCACCTTGTGCGCGCCAGTCATAGGGCAGTGCCTCGTGGAGTTGATGGTGAACCCGCCGAAACCAGGGGAACCAAGCTATGAACTCTACAGACAAGAATGGGACAATATTTTCAATGGGCTACAAGAAAGGGCCCATGCTATGTGGGAAGCGTTCAAGGATATGGAGGGTGTTAGTTGTGGTAAACCACAAGTATGTTATTTCTCCTATCCGCGTGTTCTTATTCTAATTATTATAGGGCTCCATGTATCTCTTTCCAACAATCACCGTCCCTCCAAAGGCAGTCGAAGCCGCCCACAAGGAAGGCCGATCAGCTGATGAGTTTTATGCCCACCGCATGCTGAAAGCAACGGGCGTCTGCGTCGTCCCTGGTGCTGGATTCGGCCAGAAGGAGGACACTCTGCACATCAGAACCACGTTCTTAGCACCAGGTACCGAGTGGATTGGTCGGATCAAGAAGTTTCATAATGAGTTTTTTGAAGAGTTTAGATGAGAGCACATAGTTGCGGATATAGGCCGGGGCGGTTTTGGAGTTTGATAGATGGATATTTTCGAAGCGTTGTCTATACGGCTGGATGAGTATTACGACTAGGTATCAAAAAGATTCCCCTCTAAATGCGATACCCATTGTTCTTTTGATGATGCTGTAGTAAGTAGAGGAACCTAGTGACCCTAATCCCCAGTGAACAGCTGGGCGGCTATGAGGCAAGTTCGACGTACCCTCCGAGTTCCGTCAATGAAGGACTGCCGCTATGTATGCTAACTGGTGAGATCCTTTCTAGAAGCAAGTGGAGGCAGCTGATGGGTTGTTAGGAGCGTGGGAGGAGAGCATGCGAACTATGGCGGTGAGTAATGGCCGGTGAAGCGCCGGATGATAAAGTTGCCTTAGTCTTGGGTCAAGTACTAAAGTTGTATATAGCATGAGCCACCTATGCATTCCTCTAGATTAGCTACATTAAAAACGTACGGTTCAGGAGGCGCCTGCCAGAACAGCGTGAACCTACTCATCTACGAACCTATTTTTATTGTGTTATTACCTATGTATAGCTGACAAAATTATGTTTTACTTTGTCTCGTAACCACTCTCTCGGCTTTAAGCATAAGGAATTGTCTACCATCTAAAAATACAATACTCTAAAGCATCAGTTAAGGGTACATATAAGCCTGCCACCAATTATTACGTCTGTAAAGTACCACGTACCGTAGTCATAAATATGGGTTCTCTTCTCCCCCCCTCCCTTTTCCCGTGTATCCTGTCTAGCCTTACCTTCCTATAACTAGGATTGTAGCAATACCAACCCGGCATTCTCCGTACTCCTCGTTGGCGTCACCGCTCCTGATAGATCGCGCTTCAGCCAGCAATCTCCATAATTGGGCTCCAAAAATGCGACAAATCGGAATGGTACTCCGCGCCCTTGCAAGTTTTCGCCCCAGCATACTTATTATACATCGCACATGCTCTCGCGCAGTCGTACAATTAGTAGGCTATGACAACTATAATATCATGTGGCGGCTTGCCGGCGAGACCCACGAAATCCTGCCCGCATGTGATGGCGAAACTGTAAGACGTGGAGCCCAAACTGACCAGCTGCTCGGTGTTGTTGGCGACTGTACAATTGATCACGAGGCTACTAGGGAAGCAGCCCGTTGTGGAGGAGCAGGTGTCTGTGGTCGTGGTCGTGGTGTTTACGGGTGAGGGTGTGAAAAGGGATGAAGTTGGGCACGCTTCTTGATTTATATTACTATGTTGACAGATTGTTAGCTGGCCTATCTTACGTACGTTGAGAAATATGTTCTATTAGGGTCGGATTAGGTTATCTATACCGGTTCCTAGCGTTGTTTACAACCATCGTTCCGCCTACACCTCCACCAATTCCGGCAGCGAGAACCACAAATATCAACACCAACGTGAAGAAAACTGTTGCAGGCCGCCAACTACAATAGGTTCTCTCCTTGAAAATAGGATGAGGGGACTCCGCAGTATAACCTTCTTGATCGTGTTTGACCAGCCGAAATTGATCCCCATACTCGGGTTGGGGTTTCTGGACTTCGAGACCTGGCTGAACCACTTCAGGGCCTGTACTGTCCATAGCAACGTTGGGAGGCAATTGCCAGCAATGCACGGGAGAAATTAAATGAAAATAGAAAGGTACTGACAACGCAAGAGGTAAGAAATATGTAATTGCTAACCTTAAGTCTATCTTCTATGAATCCTTTAGTACAGGGCGGCACTGTATGCCTGGAGGATGGATGTGCTAGTCAGGCCAAGAAGAATGCGCCGCAGGACGAGCGAGACTCCCAGCTCATATAGCGGACAAGAAAGAGGGCAGGAGCAGGATCTGAAACCTCCGTAGGCTCCGTGAGAGAACTAAGTGCAAACAACGGATACGTATGCGCGCGCTCGAGTACGATGCAATCAGAGTTAAACAAATTCATGTGTTCATTAACACTCTGAGAACTTGGCATACCTACTACTTTGAAACATGCTGACGGGTTCATGTGCGTACTGGGAGAGCAGGAAATATTATCCTGATACAAACATAAAAAGCGGCTCACTAAATGTTAGCGTACGGCAGTAGTTGAATAAACTTACATATCTCGATCCGTTGGTACAATTTGAAGCGGAGATTTGTGGTGTTGTAGCATTTTGGTTAACCTGTTTGACAAGAGGGGTGGGTACGCAGCAATAAATACTTCATAACCGGCCAAACGCATTAAAAAGAACTTTCCAAAATTTGCTCGACTCATGATAATGGGCTAGAGCAACTGCGTAAGTTGACTCAATCCACTGTTTATTTTAAGCGGCTAGGCCATGGTGCACTTTGGACGTTCTTTAACTTGATCATTCGATTTCCACCTTTGGGGAACTTCCTCGCCCAGCAGCATAAAGTCGAATTTGCGAGAATAGAGCTGGAAAGGAGCTGACTTCTACCCTGAGAATTCGCATTCCCGGTGCTTGGTGGATAACTGCATCAAGGCAATAGACTGGGACGCGCTTCGCGACTAGGCTTCGACCTCAGCAATTGCATCAAGTGCACCGTACTTCCAAAGACCACCAATGGGCAGTACCACCTCGTGTGCGTGCTTGAATTCGAGAGCAAGACTCGATGGATTGGACGGATTTAAATGCACAAGTTTACCGGAAAGCTGACCAAGAAGCTACAGAGCGAGGTAGACATTATCATAGAAAACCCCTCGCCCCAGGTATTCGGATACGCGATTGATAGCAACAACCTAGCTGGGGTTGCCTTTATACTGAAGGAGGTCTTGCCTGGGGACGTCGCCATCGACGCTAATGGTGGCTATGAGGCTCACCGCCGCAGGATTCCTCCCCAGCGTAGACTACTTGTACGATCCAGTAGCTCAGATCCAGGCAAGTCCCTTTGCTTTAGCCTTATCAATATCGCTTATCTAACAAGCTCCTCGCAGGCCGGATGATTTCAGTACGTTTGCTAAAGATTGGGATGATCGTTAGGGGCAAAGATAGTAACTAGGATATTAGGCCATTCCCAGAGCTAGGCGGACCATTTGAGACAGCAACTACCTTCTTCGAAGCGTCGACTACTCATGCAAGATTTCTGAAATCCGCAACCAAATGCAAGGTGGTATTACTCAAATTCTCTGAAAAAGTCAAGGGGTAGCCAATAAACTTTCTACCCGGTCCACTTGGGTGGGCATTGCGGCCACGATGTGTGAGATTGTGTTCTGCCTTCTTAGAGAACCTGCCGAAGTATTCAGGAGGGCCCACGATAGATCTCTTGTAGATGGAACCACCTATAAGTTGAGATACTATACACTAGACGACAAAGTGTGCGCGGGCCCCCGAGATTGTACAGCACAGTTAAATGAGGGCCTGAAGCGTGGTGGGAAAATCCAAAGACCCGGATAGGCACCTTGTAGTAATTTGTAGCTCGTCCTATCTGCATGAGCGTTTACACACCGGCCTACTTCTTGATACCGATGATCCATGTCATATATCCTGTCGGCCAAGTATGCTGCTCATGGCCACTCTTAACAACCCAGCCGTCGCTTGGTGCCCCACAGGCTTTCATCAACGCTTGGACTTCCTCAGCGCTTCTTGTTCGCAGAGATGAAACATATCCATCAAACACCAAAACAAAAGGTATTACGGGAATAATATATGTAAAGAAGAGATGACCTGGTGATCTCCAGAAGTAAAACGGCGTGATGAGAAACATAAGGAGGCCCATGGCAAAGATTGTGAGCAGGGAGGATACTGTTCGTTCTTGAAGTTCGAAGACCCTAGATGGTTATTAGCTGGCGTATTCTACCGGCAAAGGATTTCAGTAACGTGCCCAAATCCATCCGCTGTCTCAATGGTATTTCGTAGAATGTCCGAGCCAAGCTTATCATCGAAATGATGGAATGCGAGGTTATATAATCTGAATATTTTCTGTCCATCATGGCCATTGAGGTTCGCTGGCGCATTCGCAGCATCAACAGGTTCAGATACGAAGCTCAGATGCTCACTTCGCTTTGCAGCGATTGTCCAATCAGGGATGTGTGGATGGATATCGGTCAAGACGAACTTGACTGCCCCGTTATTCGTAGGCTGGCTTAGATTTCGAGGAGAACGGGGTGTGAGGCCATTGGGCTTTGTCTTTAGGCCAGCGTTGGATATAGGTGTGGCAGAGGAGAGTTGTGTATTTAGATCCTTTTCAATGGATGGGGTTGGGCCACCTGCGCCGGCGCAGAAGTCCACGTACGTGTATTCCGTTACATTCTCGGAGAGTGTTCGGTGCAGCGTGCTTGCGACAAGCTGTGCCGGCGATGCTTTCTGCAGAACAGGTACTCTAAAAGTCCAGCAGAGTGTCAGGCAGGATTGGACCTTTTCGCGGAGATATTGCGGAAACCTAGACAGGCGTCAGTCAAGAGAACCATAATTGGGGGAGGGGAGATGAGCGTGCATGGCCCGCCATCTACCTACCAAGCCTGGTCGTTGATCTCGTAAAAGTGTATGCGCCGGCATATCAGAACCATCTTGGGTTCTATTTCGAATATCTCGACACTGGGTTGGGGAGGAATATGGAAATCAGAAATGATTGACACGGTTGGAGGTTGTCCGGGAAGCTCATACGTCAGGGGCTGGGCACACTGCGCCTACTAGTAACACGGTAGTACCTAGGTACGAAGGCACTTAGGCGACGAGGCCAAAGCCCAGGGGACCTCTTCATCCGTTTTACATCACAAACCGCAAGGGACGATGCAGGCCACTACACTGGGCTTGATTGTGGTTTTTACATCATCTATTATATATTGTCTATTCAATAACTCAGCAATCAAGAGGCACGGAAAACCGCTCAAGTAGGTATTGTACCCAATATTATCAGGTGGTCTTCCCGCACTCTCTTTACAACAGGGCTCAATGCAGAACCGAACGCTCTCAAGGAAAGCATCTGGTAAGAGCACGAGTGTAAAGCCTATCTTTCCTTCTAAACCATAAATTTAGAGAGTTGTGTCTAATTTGAAGACCAACAATTACTAATTTTATTTCCTAAGACGGCCCCCGAACACTCTTCCTTTAGCAGGAAATGGCCTCCTGTTTTTACAAGCGCGCCATAAACTGTTCTCGTGGTTTGTGAAATGCGAGCGACTATTTGGATTTGAGACATTTCAAATATCGGTGCCTTCATTGCCGCCTGGTGTGGTAATCAATGACCCGAAGAATCTCGAATATGTCCTCAAGAATGAACGAATTTTCGCCAAAGGAGACTTCTTCAAGAGGAGATCATGGGATTTATTTGGTAGGTGTATTGCAGGAGAGCTATAGATTCCTCTGGGGCTTACGAACCTTTAGGAAATGGCATAATTAATGCAGATGGCCAGTTGTGGAGAGTCCAGCGGAAAGCGGGCTTGCACTTCCTTAGCAATGCCAATTTGAAGGCCCTGGTAGAGATAGGTCTCCCCAAATACCTTAAAAAGACCATCCAGAACCTTCAGCAGCTCAAAGATGAGTCGATTATAGATTTGCAGCCTATATTCCATGAATTGACGACCCAGTTGATGGGACGTATGGCTTATAATGTTAGTTAAACCGATGGTCCATAATCGTTGAACAAGCTGCCATGCTGAATAAATAGCTGATAGTTGATCTAGGTGGAAATGCATCACTCGGATCCCTTTACAGCGGCTTTTGATTTTGCATCTGGGGCAACGGGAGAAAGGTTCCAAAATCCTTTGTGGCAGATAACCGAAATATTCTTCGGGCGACGATTCAGGCAATCAGTTGCCACTGTCAAGGCTTTTGGTTCGGAATTGGTTTCCAAGGCTGTTACCGCTAGACAAAACGCGAGAATACTCGGGGAAGTAGTTGCTAGGCCTGACCCCCCCGATTCCCTTGAAAGCGTTTCTGGTAGTTTGATTAACTCCCTCCTTGATTCCGTTGATGATCACCAGATGGTTGCCGATGCGGCTCTGAATTATCTCACTGCAGGTATGTATAAACCAGCATCTGCCTCCCTTCAGTGGCTCATTGACTCACAGGGAGGGATACTACTGCTCAAGCGCTCACATGGACATTTTATCTGATGATGCGGCATCCAAATGTCCTCGAGCTTGTACGTGCCGAAGCTATCAAACTGGCTACGAGCGCCGATCTCCTGCTATCCGATTTCTCTGGTATCGACACATGTATATTTCGGCCTGCTTCCCTTCCATACGCAATGGCCGTTTTCTACGAAACGCTGCGACTATATCCTCCAGTACCTTTTGAGTTTAAACAATGCGAACATGCCACTACGCTTCCGGATGGAACCTTTCTCCCGCAAAATGCTGTACTTGTCTGGTGCACTTGGGCAATGAATAGATCACGATTTACCTGGGGCGAGGATGCTGACCAATTCAGCCCAGAAAGATGGCTTGAGGATGGGAACTTGATTTCAAAGACAGCGTTCGAGTTTCCCGTCTTTAACGGCGGGCCACGAACGTGCTTAGGGAAAAATATGGCTGAAAATGTTGCAGTGCAGGTCATTGCCACCATGGCTCTCTTTTTCGATTTTAAGGCTATTGATGAAAAGGAACGGATAAGTCAAAACAGCCTGACATTACCGATGGATGGCGGCCTACCATGTAAAGTAACGATACGGACTGGGTTGCTATGAAAGTTGCGTTCCTTTGCAATCAGACGTTTATACTAGAGCAATGAAAGAGCCATCTTACCAAGCTGATATCACACAGGAACATATGCATATACACATCAGATGGTGCTTATATAATACGTAATCATACAAGCCCCTACTAGTGAGGCTATAGTTGCAAGCTTAATCTTCGCAGGCATCTGAACGTCTCTAAATGCGCCCTTCACACCAACTTGTACGCCTTCCTAGCGTATGACATTCCCAAAATCAAGATGAGTAATCGTGCAACGCTTTTGCAAATGCAGCTTATCCAATTTAGGAAAATGACGATCGGGATTGTGCATAAGACCCCAATCAAATAAGTGCTTATATTGTGCGATCTGCTTACAAAACGTGTTATTGCATGATAATATGTAGCAACCTGGTTCGGGCAATTATGGCGATATATATGTCGCCCATCTTCTCAAACAAAAGCACTATTAGATCTCTCCATCATTTCAATACAATTTCAACATGGCACAGTACACCACCAACTTCGTTTCAGCTGACGGACTCGACATTTTCTACCGTTCTTCGGGGCCCCAGAACCCTTCAACATCTGTGGTCCTTCTACTCCATGGATTTCCCAGCTCCTCTCACCAATATCGGCATTTAATTCCCCTCCTCAGTACCGGTTCGAACAATAAATATCGAATCGTCGCTCCTGATCTTCCCGGTTTCGGCTTCACCAAAGTCCCTACAAGCCGCAACTATGTCTATACCTTTGAGAACCTCTCTAAAAGTCTAGAAGCCTTTCTTGATGCTCTCAAAATCGAAAAGTTTAGCATGTACGTTTTTGATTACGGCGCACCCACCGGCTACCGCCTCGCATTACGCAGACCAGGCGGCATTCAAGCAATCATCACCCAAAATGGTAATGCATATGACGACGGCCTCAGCGCATTCTGGGACACCCTTCGTCCGTATTGGAAAAGCGGAAGCTCGGAGGATAAAGACCGCGTGCGAGCTGGAGTCCTCACTCTCGAGGCAACGGAGTGGCAATACACCCACGGAACTAATCCGTCCAAAATAGCTCCTGAAGCACCTTTTCTCGACTACGCGCTAATTTCTAGACCGGGTAATGATGAGGTTCAACTCGCATTGTTTTATGACTACCAGAAGAATGTGGAACTATATCCGAATTTCCAGGGGTATTTCAGAAGCTCGAAAGTGCCCATCCTGGCGGTTTGGGGAAAGAATGATGAGATATTTTTACCCGAGGGTGCTGAAGCCTTCAAGAGAGATGGCGGGGAGAAAGTTGAGGTGAAGTTACTGGATGCGGGACATTTTGCAGTGGAGAGTAATGCGGAAGAGATTTCGAAGCTAATGTTGGAATTTTTGAAGAGGAATGGTATCTAGAGGAGCTGTTTATTAGTGCTTACCGGCTTCTGTGTACTAATCTTATGTCCTGCGTATTAGGGTGTTAAATTATCGGGTGACAGCAGAATGAATCTTAGGACTAGTGGATAAAGGAAATATAATTCCTTCAACTTCATGTTCTGCTTAGTTTAAAGAAATGGTTTGCTCCCTCCCTGTCTATGACTTGCCCGTTCGCTAAACCTTCACGCATGTCAGCTCCTTACAATATCCACGGCGGTTTGCGGGGTTCTCTAAGCACCTTCCAAAAAGGGTAGATACCTTAGGAAATACCCTTGGTTAATTGGATACGCAATACGATAAACAGCTTAACTCGTTCCATCAACATATGTGACTCAACGACTCAACGATATGGCTTCGTCCAAAGCCGATCACTCTGAGTAACAACTTACGATCGTCAACATGGCACCGAACTCTAGGATTATTGAACTCGCCAATACCATCTCGCTAAACACGGCAAAGGTCGACGCTCATCTACGGGAGCATAATCTTCCACAGCCTTCCTTTGACGCCAATGCACCCTTGACTTCGGTGCCAGACGGCGCTCAGGATATTGAAAGAGCACGAAATGCAGCCGTAGAAGCATCCATCGAGCTCCAGCAGCTACTCCAAGGAGTGGATAACCTACTAACTCCACTGGTATGGTTCCCCTCAATAACTTGCCCATTTTTCTAACTCGGAAGACAAATATGACGAGTCTCGCGGCCGTCTCCCGCTTTAATATCGCATCGAAGGTTCCCATTGATGGCGAAATTTCGTTGCCTGACCTAGCGGAGGTTTGTGGACTTTATGAACATGACTTAAGCCGTATCATACGCTTCGCCATCTCGCACCATCGGGTATTCCAAGAGCCGCGGAAGGGTATTGTTGCCCATTCGGCCGCTTCGAGGAGACTGGCCAAGAGTGAGCAGATGCAACATGTCTTAGGATTGACATTTGAGGAGGTCTGGCCTGCGCAAGCCAAAGTTCGCTGGTCCTCTCCCACCCATATTGGGGAAGGTGTCACATGCATTGACTGACTGTTCATAGACAGTAGATTCGTTAGTTAAGTTTAATAAAAGTCAGGAACCAAATGCCTCAGTAAGTTATCTGGATTCTGAGGATATGGATACAGATGTGGATGTGGGTAAAGTGTCAGGCAATTTGAATGATAATATATTTAGGGGTTTGCACTCGCAAATGATACAACGCTTCCATTCTATGAGTTTTTAGGACAACATCCGAAACGCGCAAAACGTTTCGGTGGAGCTATGTCCACGGGTAGCAGTTCTGGGCTCCAAGCCCTCGCGGATAATTTCCCGTGGGCTTCACTTCCCGACGGGGGACTCGTTGTCGATGTTGGGGGTTCCCAAGGGCATGTCAGCGCGTACTTGGCCGAGGCATTCTCCTCCCTCAAATTCATGGTTCAGGATCTGCCTGAAGTGATATCAGACATGAGCTCTGCCTTTAAAATCCCGGAAACATTAGCTGACAGAGTGTCACTCATGGACCATGATTTCTTTACATCTCAGCCGCTGAAAAATGTCGATACCTATCTTATACGATACGTGTTCCACAATTGGTCGGATGAGTATTCTGTTAAAATATTAAGGAATTTAATACCTGGACTCAAGAGAGGGTCTAATATTGTGATTCAGGATCATTTGATGCCAGAGCCGAATACGTTACCGTTGATGAAGGAGAGGGACATTCGGTTTGTGCCAATACTTTTCCTATAGAGAGTGTCTAATATGGGTTAGGTCGATGGATCTTATTATGTTGACTCTTTTTAATTCGAGAGAACGAGATGAGGATGATTGGAAAGGATTATTCAAGCAAGCTGATCCGAGGTTCAAATTCGAAAGCGCTGAAAGACAAGCTCCGGACTCTCCTTCAGGAATAATCGTGGCGACCTGGGAGGGTTGAGGGAAATGTCAACCACTACGTTGAGTCAAGAACAACTTAATGAAACTCTCCAGAGTTCAGAATTGAAATATTCATCACCTGGGGTAGTTTCAGGCTATCACCATCGAGAGGTTCTACAAGTTGTCTCTCAGTTACCAATGAGACTTTATTTCCGAATAAACTTTATGCGTTTAATGTTCTATAGATATTTTCGTAAACAATATATCGCAGGATGCATCGAATATCTAGCAGCGACAGCAGTTCCATAAAAAGGCGATGTTTGCATCAAGGAAGTTGTGCTAGTAGACTCATTATCACTATAGTTAGTAAGCACTTGAGTTGCTTGGATAGAATCTGTCCTCGCTATCGTTCTGGATAGCATACTGATTGAGACTACAATTGTGGATTCTCACAGAAATATATTTCGAATGATTTGGTTTTAATTATAGGTCAGTGTCATATGGGTCTTAGTAATTCATTCCCACTTATATGCCAACGGGTTTAAAAGTTCATGGGGCAAAGATTCACCAGTGATTATGAAGCACAGCCATTGTCATCTATATTATTCCGTTATATACACACCATCGTCTAAATTGTTATGGGATAAAGCAACCGAAGTTTTGGAAAGTGAAAATGCAAGGTAAAATCTTCGAACGGTAATAATACTCTAACTATATTCTCGAGTCCAGGCAACTCCACATGATTATTGTATGCCGCTGGCGAGATCACCCTCCTTCCAGGCCTGTCATCCCCGCTTATCTCTCACCAGAGGGGTCTCCGCACACGTATCAATCTTCGAGCTGGAGAGGCGCTCGAGGTCATTACCTCAGTGGAGTTGAGGAAGTCTCCACATTGCCCGAAACCAGACACGCAGCCAGTTCCGCAGTGAAGAGGAGTATCACCGCAGTATCCGAATTTGGAGCAACATTTCCCGAATTTTGACCCTACACAGGTTTGCTTATTTTCTCCACACACCCCACTGGTAGAAACCTGGAGGCTGCTGTTCGCTGTACCGGTCCCGGATGTAATAGGAGCAGCTGCTGTAGCAGTTGAGCCCAATGAAGCCCCTGGTTTGGGACCTGATCCAGAAACAGGTGATCCTGCCGCTGCTGCCGCTTGACCACCAACTCCGCCTACTGGGGCACATGTTCCCGTGAAGGATCCCTTGTCGTCAGTTGTAGTCAGTTTGGTCGTTACATCAGCGTCTGGTCCTGGGTCTGGGAAGACGGCATCTTTTCCTTCGACCGTGGTGCATCCGTTGCCCAGATTGGCAAGGAACAGTGAAGGGCGGGAAGAGAAGGCGACTGCAGGTTTGGCTCCCGTTCCGGCTGCGATATTGACTGATGCGCAGTTCATATATATCTCTCGGTTTCCAACCTTATTGTACCAAACCCAGGCAAACATTGCTGGGCCTGTCTTGGCATCGGAGGGGAGCGTGAAGTCGAAGTTTTGCCCCGACGATAGCGGGCAAGAACCAATGTACGAATGAATCGTGGAGAAAGTTTTGGAGTCGTAGCTTAAAGCTATTTGGCATGAACCTCCGCCGTGTGGCGCTCCGCCGGTAACCGTAAAATTATATTTTTGACCAGCGGTCCAAGTTGCCACCGGGGCGCCTGCTCCTGTTGTATCGGCCATATCCGAACTGTAACCCTTGCACGGAAATTGGGCAGCTCCGCTGAGGGGAGTTGTCATGCTGTAGTCGACATTCTTTGCGTGGGGATTGTTGGATGCTCGAAAAGGCGCTGGATACGACAGTGCCATGTGTCCGTTGACTGATGAAATGGCCAGAGCGGCCATGAGTATTGTATGGATCATATTGAAGGTTTGGAATTTAGGAGTGTTGAGTGTTTTCCGATCGAATGTCTGATTTGCTTGCAGAAGTTCAGTCTGGAGAAGGAAGAGGAGATTGATATGCAGAAGAAGTGAAGCTCTCCAGGAGGTATATAAATCTAGTAACAAAGAATGTATTGTGAATGAACAGCTCGGTCAACGAGAACAATGGAAAAACAAAACCGTTGTTAAAAACAATAAAGAGCAGAAACAGGATGCACAGCATCAGTGATTATTTATTCACTTGAAAGAACCATGGAAAGATATAACCCACTGTTACCCACATATGATCACAGAATAAGCCCCAATAAACACTGAGTCACCTAGATAATGAAAGGCTTACAAAAGGTTTCAAACGGACAGGGACACCAATCCAATGGCCACGGAAGACAGACTGAGAAATTCTGTCTAGTCCATTCCCCGATGGACAAAATAACCAAACTCGCAACGACCATTGTGAACTGCATGAAACAAGACAAGTTTACTGCCAAGAATCCACTGCACTGATTGGAGGTCCCCGGAATGCATCGAAAGGCTGTCAGGGCATTATTGGATGCACTCGAAACATGATTCGGAGGTGATTTTCAGATGTTGGCGATCAGCGACTTATAATAGGGGATGGAGACGCCAAGGCTCGGTTGCTGGTGGTGGCTTCTCTGCCAATCGAGCTACCTGACACGACGTGTTCTGAAGCTTCAACGCGCAGGCCGACCTCGACGAAGCTTGACTTTAAGACTGCCGGAAGCCATTAACTGGGGACAGCTCAGTGCCCACTGTGCACGATGATCGCATATCCTGTCCTCAGCCGTTCACCGACATATAATTGAACGGAAGACATGATGAAAATCTCAGAGATCGCCTGTCACATTGCGAGGGATGTCGCGTAACGCGTAACGCGTAACTATCGTCAACCCCCTCACTGGCAGGGCCGACTCGCTAATTAACCAGAGAAGCCAACCTGCCTAAGGTACCTAAATCTCTCTTTCAGGCGCAGTGGGATATATCAATAATCTATGTTATGGCACTCTAATTAGCACCTACACGTGCCTAGGTACTCAAGGTAAGATAGCCGAGTTTTCGTTTCTCAGTTGGCAGACTTTGGGGGTTTCCTCCGTTGAATATACAGTAGTACGCAAAGGTGCGCTCGGGCTCTGGTATAGATATGGTCACCATGGCTGAAGAGCAATATTGCCAAACAACACACAGAGAGAGACCACGGCCTCCCTCGCCCCGTTCAAGTTGCTCCAGTAGCTCGCCCGTGTCAGCGACAGAGCCCCAACCCATATTCTAAATCAACTCTTCCAGCCGTTACAGAACCAATCTATCTCCTCCGCCCCCTCATTGGCAAGAGCAACGAGAGGAAGAGCTATCTGAAGCCTCCTGAGAGTCTGCTTCTGGCTCCGAGACTGGGGATGAATTTCCTAGGTGAATAAAGGTTTTTAGTGATCCTGTCTCCAATTATGATCCTGCTGCGAGGTCCCTAAGAGCAAGGGTATATACGGCGTCAGTTGAGACCAATCCCGGATCGTCTTCCGTGGAAAGACCTCCTTCAAACGCTAGCCCGAAGGGTCTGTGGAAGGCAATATGGACGGACGGCTTCATTGCGGACTCCCTGGCAAGTATCCTTTCTATCATCCTCCAGCAAAACCCCTCAGATTCAAAGTTTTGGCTATGCCGATGTATTATCTCTCTTGCCTTTTGTGGATCCCATAAACCCAGGTCCCAACATCACATATTCGTGCCCTGATAATTTACCCCGGGGTCTCATATTTGTTGGCTGTATTGGCTGGATGAACGCCGATGAGGTAGCACGGTATTTAATGATGGGTTATCGCGTTTGGGATAGTGATGGGCGCTGTTTGCATTTCACAAGATATGATAGTCTGAAGGGAACATGTCACTAGCTCAGTTAACGTTGTCGTACTCAGTATCTTTAGCACATCCCTGATTTGAATGTTCAAACTAGGCTGGGAATCTTTACACCGACGCTGTAGTTGATACAAGTGCGGATCACGACAAACCCCTACCTGTCACAAGAGTAATGCCCACCCTGGAGTATCAAAATGAGTGCATCAGAGATAATGGCCGAGGGAAAGAGCTGCCTCGAGATAGCGGGCATAGCCTAGAATTCATCCAGATATAGAAATGCTCGGTCATGCTATGCACCATCAAGTTGCTTCCCATGTGTTCCTTATGGTGGTAAAAGGCTGAACTCGCCGCTACTCGGAACAATTTCATCTGACGAAACTACAAATGCAATTACCTCCGGGTACCAGTGCTCTAAACTACGAATTAAGATGCGGTATCTATCAATCCAATATCCACCAACACGTCTTATTCTGGAAAGGATTAACTCTGAGGATCCGAAAGGTGTGGGTGGCCTTTCCGAACTATCCGCTTCCCTGGACTTTAAAGCACTTTTTGAGTGCGTACAATAACTAATGATTGCGTATCTAATCATGGTGGTGAATGTCGAAAGAAAAGGAAAAGATTAGAAATTGAGGCAGTCAAATGATACTCGTGGATGTCGAGAACATGTGTCTCGTGGGAGATGGATGGAGTCAACTTGCGATATGCCACATTTGACCTACATTTGGGGGAAGAAGCCAACCCTCAAAACCAGGGAAACTTTTCAAAGTCTCAAATTACCTAATTCGGTTATTAAGATGGGATATTCTCAACTGGTCCAAGACTCAGCAGCAGTTGTGTTGGGTCTTGGTTGGTAGTATCACTGGATTGATGCAGTGTGCATTATCCAGGACGATGAAGCACAAAAACTAATGCAGATCCAACGACGGGCCAACATCTATGGCTAATCCCATGTGACAATTGTGGCGCCAACTAGCACCGACACCACTTATCCACTCCCTGGTGTTTCCCAACCATTGCCTCAACTAATCGAAGTAGTCCATCGCATGCCTTTTAGCAGGCCACCTCTCGGGACTCTCTTCCAATACTCATAATCAGGTGTATGAATGCAGAGGTTGAACATTTTGAGAGCGCATGATCTCTCGTATATATATCTTTTCTTTGCTGGAAGGTAGGTATATTTTGAATTAGGGCGATGAGTCACTAGTGATTATGACTAAATATTCTCTCCTCAAGACCGTGATAGGTATGCTCATCCATTAAATCCACTCAAGGAGATGATGGAGATCCAAAGGTTTGCATGGACGCGCCGCCTACTTGATTAATTCTATCAAATCACATCTCAGTACAGCTGCGGAAACCTATCTTATCAATGAGATATTGAGAACGTATTCTTCAGCACCCAAGATATCATCTCCAGGTAACTTAGTTGGTCTCTTGCAGGAGGGCTACCTACTAGAGTCTTTGATTGGGTGCTGCTCTGTCTCCCACACGGCAATATTCCGAGGTTAAATGGGCCTTCAGCACAAATACCTCGTCTAAAGTCTCGCCACATTCGTGGACTTGGTTTGGACGCGCGGACTAAGTGTCATATGCGTGTTATACTTACCGTGGAAGCCGTTTTTTGATGAGATTCGTCCCCATGTTAAGACTTTCGTGATCAAATCCGCAAACGAGGGGTTGACGATTCGTCGACAGCCATCAAACATATAGCTTCAAGATACGTTAGAAGAGACCAAAGGACGCCAGTCAACAGGACCAGAGAAATCCGTTACGGATACATTACAACATCCCGATATCATCTCTAAGCAGATTCTAGAGTTCGAGGCCTAATCAACCCCGGCCCTATCCGAACACCCCTACAAGTTGTTCGGCTTGCCGATTGAGTAGTTAAACACCGGACCGAGTTATGGTATGTTACAGTGACACAGTTACCAATATTACAGAGCGTTATCAAGGATCTTCTCTCGAGCATATTGTAATAGCCACATGTGACATCCGGCAAGCATTCAGGGGCGGTCGGTTTGATAAGGAAAGGTTATTTGGAGAGAAGGATATGATGGATGTTATGCTAATTGTTTGGACATGGGAGAATGTAGAGCGACTGGCGGTGGGGAAGGTTTATGCTCAGGCTTGGGAGACGATTCGACCGAAGAATAATAAGCTTATTAGGTTATATTGAAAGTGTCTGTTGGTTGAGTTCAAGTATCTCTGGGCTTCATAATCCTATTTCCTTTAGATACTATAGGCGTAATCCTCCAGTTTCCATTACTTTCTCTTTCCCCTCATGATCCCCAAGTCCATGGCAGTGTTATCAACTTTTGGCGGAGTTGAATGACTAGGCGTATGGTACAAAGTTTCCACCTGTGATTAATTCCAATGGCTTGCTAGTTTGTGTCCAAGCTTAACAATGGGAAGTACAAACGTTGACTGGATTGTTTCAGGAATGGCACATGGGTAGAGGACAACGAGAGTGTTTAATATCGACATGCTTTGAATAGATAAGGGTGTATGACATAAGTCAGCTCTGATCTAGCGGCTCTCCAGGTGTTAACAAGTCATCTATAAGCTTGTGGATGCATAGTAGCTATCTATGGGCCTTGGGGTATGTTCTTGTTTTTTAGTGTTCATAGGTAGGGGTTGACAGCATCGGAGAACATGGTTGGCTGTTGTTAGTTTTTTAGGAATCAAATGTAACTACCTTCACTCTGTAAATGGACTTAAATGTAATAAAATCATTAAATATATGACTCTGGTCACTATAGAGAACCACAGCGGCATGCCAGAGTACAAGAAAAGAATGTCTTACCCCGAACAAAGCACACCTCTTCTCGGAGATCAGATCTAAGTACCCCATAGTCCTACCTGGATATCTCCGGCGCCATGACTAATTCTTGAGGATGAATATAATATTTCGGGATTCTAAGACATGCCCAGTGAAGTGGTGCCGTTTTCTAGACCGGCGATATCCACCGAGATCTCCTAAACTTATCAAGTAGTGCCCATGACTGGAGTTCCTCAGCCTTGTTTAAGAGAGATGCACCCCAGCTCAAGAATTCTAATATATTATGATTCCAGTATGTCACCACTGCATGCCTTACCACAGCGTACTACTT